CCTCAAACAAATACCTAAACCAAAGAAAACAAACGAAAAAAAATAACACAGTCCTTACTTACGGCGAGGAACCATCAGCGTCGAGCAAGCCCTGCAAAAACCAAAAATAAAAAGTCAGTTTCTCAAAAAATAAAAGAAAGAAAGAAAAGAAACCAAAAGCTTCAAGCCTCGATCTACGTCGATCGGGGCTGTTTCTGATAAAACGGACTTCAGATCTGGGAATATTTCGTTGAAAAGAGCTTCTTGAAATTTTTTGGTGTTTCCAACCACCGACGACCACTGACAACGGTGGACTAGGCTACGATCGACGCGGTGCTCCGACGGCCAGACGACAAGACAGTCGGAGCTCTCCCCCCAGAGCTCTTTTTTCTCTCTTTCTCTCTTTTTTTTTTCTAAAATAGAAAATAATGAACCAAAAAAAAATCTGTAGCTATATATAGGAAAGCAAAACTCAAAAACGACGTCGTTTAGGGAAAGACCCAAAACGACGTCATTTTAACAAAGGAGGATCCGTGCGTGGACCCGAATCCGACCCGAGATCCGTGCAAATCGATCCGTCAACCCGCTTCAGCCAACCTTGAACCGATCCAGTGAATCGGTCTGAGTCGGTCCGAACCACTGGACCGCCTGAACCACCTATCGAACCGCAAAACCGGTCAGACCGGTCCAGACCAACGTTGACCGGACTGTTGACCGGTCCGGTTTAGGTAAAAAAAATTTTTTTTTGCATTTTATAATTTTTTTATATTATTATTTTTGTTATTTTAAGTATATTTTTATATTTATGCATGATAAATTTCTAAATTTATTAGAATAAATATTTAATTATTTTAATAATAATAAAATTGAAAAAAAAAATTTAAAATATATTTAAAATGTTCAAAAAAAATTTATTATTATTATTAGTTTCCCTACCTAGATGTTGGAGGGAATAAAAATATTTTTCTAAAAAAATAATTCTACTTAGATGTTGGAGAATTATTATGAATAAATTTTCATAAAAAAAAAACACATAAGAAATTTTTAATTAGTTTTCAAAAATTATAAAAAATTAAACTTACTTCGAAAGTCCGCCTAGATGATGGAGATTTTTAGAGATGTTCACGTTTTACTTAAACCTTAAACACTAATTCTTAGTTTTCAAAATCCTAAGTTCTTAAACCCCCTAAAATCCAAAATCCCTAAAATTCAAACCCTTAAATCAAAACCTCAAACCTTAAAACCAAAACCCTAAAATCTCCAAACTCTAAAACCAAAACCCTAAACCTTCCATATCCTAAAATTCAAGCTTTAAAACCCTTTAAACCTTAAAACCAAGCCTTCAAAACCTCTACTCAAGCCCTTACTCAAAACATACTAAAAATCCTAAGGATACGTATGAAAATTCTATTTGAAGCAATTTGTTCTCGAATGCCGCCTAAATGATGTGGTATTTAAGAAATTTTATTTCGTTAAATCTTTTCACACGATTTCTTAATTCCCATTAATAATAAGATTAATAAATAAAAAGTATAATAGTAAATTGGGATCTTAAATATAAACAGTCGCACCTAAGCTCTGCCTAGATGTTGGAGAGTCGAGGTGGTCTCATTATACTTAAGAATCCAACTTTTAAATTGCATTTCATCCTACATAACATTCATTTGCATACATACGTTAACATATTATTATCAGTAATTATTTACACTATTCTGTCTTTAATTTTTATTTACTACTTTGTGATAAAATATTTTATAATAAAAAAAGAATAATACTTTTAAATAATTTTGTGATATTACAAAACAAAAGAAAAATAACATTCCGAAAGAAATTATTCTCGGTACTCTGCCTAGATGTTGGAGAGTCACTAATAATTATTTTTTATAAAGATTGTTATTTCATTTTAAGGACTATTGTGTTAAATCTTAAGCGAAAAGAGTTATTTTAAATTCTACCTAGATGTTGAAGAATTTTAAGATAATTCTTTAACTTAAAGATTTCTCAATATTTCTAAATAAAAATTTTAGCAAAATTTTATTTTTTCAAATGAAAGGAATTATTGTTAAATTTCAAGTTAAAATAATTTTTATCCAATACCGAAAATAGTGCGTGATTAAATGGTACCAATTTATAGGCGTTGTGGGGGTGTTAATCCTTCCCTACGCGTAACCGACTCCCAGACCCAACCTGATTTTTTGTAGACCGAAATTTATTTTTTTGATAAACTTTAAACCCGTTTTTATAGTTTTATTAAAAAAATAAACTTTTGGGTGATCAATCACATCCTAACAAAGATTTGTGGTGACTCTCCCATTTTATTTTTTTGATTTTAAAACTCTATTTTTACGTCTGACGATCTCAAAACCATTCAGACATGTATCAAAATTTTTTAATTTATTAGTTCTGATTTTCTATTTTAATTTTAATTTAATATTTTTTAATAAAAAATTTCACTTAAAAAATTTCATCTAAATGTTTTGCACTTGAATCCAAGCCTGATGACACTTTAACTACTCATAATTACATCTTGAACTTGACTAAATATTAATACCAAATATCTGAACCTGATTACAGGATATCTGCAAAGAATATAAACTTTGAGTATTTGATTGTAAATAACATGAATATCCGTTATTAGATTTGAACCTAAATCCATAGTAAAATAATAAAAAAAAAGTTAACATTAATTTCAATGTATATTATTGAGTAAAATTAAGTTGACAAATTAAAATTAAAAATCATATTTAGACAATTTATGAATTTTAGTATATATTAAATTAATTATAAGTATATAAGCATAAATAATTTAAAACAAATATCTAATATTAAAATAACATTATTTTATAGTCGGATTTAGATTGTGGGTATCCAAAAACAAGTATCCAATTAAACCCATGATGGGTAGTATTTTTACTATCTAAACTTGATTATATGTTATCCTATTACTGTTTAATTGAATTGGATAGTGTAAGTAACCTACTATATAAAAAATATATATATTTATATAATACCCATTGTCATCTCTATACGAGGATCAAACATAAAACTACATGAAAAATAACTATTTTCCATTCCATAAGTCCATCCTCAAATGTTAAAAAGATTTGAATATGAAGCCTCTATTGGAGTCTTTTATTTTAACAATTGAAATTATTAGAAATTGTTTGTCATAATTAAAACACTTAGCTAATTTTAAACAAAAATGTTTCCAAACGGCGTTATTCACTATTTAGACTTTAAGATTTTTATTTAGAGGATTGAGTTGAAGTTTTAATATGTGAAGAGTAAAACTATGCAATGAGAAATAATTACTTCCCATTATATAATATTTATCATCTAATATCTAAAATTTAACATCTAACATAAAACAAAAATTGTCTAAATGACTTAGCACGATGACATGTGTATTTGAAAAAATTTGAGGTGAAAGAGGTATTTAGATACTGTAATTTAAAGTTAAGAATTTTTAGTTAGGTTTGCATTTTCTTTTTCTGATAATTATTAGTTTTGGGTTAATTTAATTTATTTATATTTATTTAAGATATTTATTTGAATATTTTTATATTGATCTTATATGAAAATAATTTTAGTATAAGATCATTATAATTATATATGTTTGTCATTTTTTTTAGTATTTTGATAGTTTTTCTTTAAATCTTATCATTATTAATTATATCTAATTGATATAATACCACCAAGGTGCTAAAGTACCAAGAAATATTCTAAACCTATTTCACCAAAATAACTCTTTTTGTTTATTAAAGAAAAAGATACAGTGTATCTTTTTTCTTCTTCCCAGTGAATCTTTAGCCATTTCTAAATAACTTTAGAATAGATGAATATATATCAAATCATGTAAATCTTCGCATGTTTTGGTTTTCAACTTTCTTCGTTTGATTTTGCCCCCAAAACTTTTCCTTCCCCGGCCCTTTCCACGATCAATTGGAAAAAAATTGGAGATCATCACGAACCGACCAGTTTTTACAAAAACGTATAATCATCACACGACTCACATAAGCAAATGGGTTAGTTTCATGTTGTCTAATGACAATATAGAAACCATTGTTGACCCAAGATTGCAAAGAGATTTTGACAATACTTCTATGAAGAAAGCCATTAATGAAATGACAATGGCTTGTGTATCTCCAAATTCGATGAAAAAGCTAACCATGAATTATGCTTCAACTTAATTAAACGAGTGTTTGTCGACCTAGATTGATAGGAACCACAATATTCGTCTGGCGCCAACTGAAGTAATTCCTTTAACTAGGTGATTATATATGCAAAATCAATTGGTATAGAAAGGGTCAATTAGACATGTTTTTATCATCTATACGTTTTAATGCTTTGCCACACGTTCAGTGGATTTGAGGCGTTTTTATAAAGATTATGTACTCTTGGACTATGTAAAAGTTTGAATACTTAGTCTTGTATTATTTTATTGAATATTATGTCATGCCCATTTTGAGTATGTAGGAGATTCCTGACAATTTGGTCTGTTTGCAATAGAATTTTAACATTTCAACTCACGTTCTCTTTTTTTTTTTTTTTTTTTGAATTTATTTCAACTGACATTCAAGTTCTGCAGAGGAAACAAAATTTGAAATAATTTCAAATCATCCCTGGTATCTGGATATATAGGCAAGCCTTTTCTTAAGTTTTGTGATTTTGAATTAAGTTCCTTTTTTTTCTTTTTTTGGTAAGTTTAAGCAAAATGCTATATTATTTGAAATCATCTTGTTTGATAGATTTTTTTAATTTCTTTTTATTCATGTTCAAAACATGCACAAGTTAGAAGTAGCAATCGATTTTCACTGTTTAAAAGTTGAGACATTTCACATCGTATTGCACCAGACTAAATTATTTGCCTAAAACTAGGCCATATCAAGTACTTGTTCAACTCTTGGAAATTCCAACTGTTCTTGAACTTTTCCATATGTCATCAGCAGATATTTTACAAATTGTTGTTTAACATTAATTAATTATCACACAAGTCTAAATATTTCCTTTAATTTTTAAATATGGTAACAATATACCAAGACACGAATGGGAGGGTGCACTTTACATCACGCATAATGAACAAGTCGTTCTTAAACAAAGACTTCTCACAAGCCTACCTTCGAAAAATACAACTAATTGCTAAGACCTTTTACTTGGTACACTGTAAATTCTTGTTTAATCTCTGGTCATGTTTGTCTGTGTACCAATTCCACGTTTAATAGATAAATCTAACTTTCAACAGTACCACAGAAAAGGAAGGCCTGACAAAAATATGTTGTAAAATGTATACTACTTTCATGTTTAAAATATCTACAACAACAATTGACCAATTTTTTTTGTACCACTGTCTCTTTACAATATGGTACTTGGTTCTGATGTAGTGTTTGAGTTATAGGATACTTCTTTGCACTCAATAGTGAGAAACTGGAGAGTCAAATGAGGATGAGAAGTCATTTCCTATTGTTTAGCATCTTTGTTCTGCAGGCACTTGTGATTCATGCACAGAATCAATCAGGTTTGGCTATCTAAGTCTCTGGACATGTATATATAAATTCCAATTCTCATTAACTAACAGAAACAGCTAAGTTTCTCCCCATGTTTCTTTCCAGGGTTCATTAGCTTAGATTGTGGGTCGCCAGAAGGTTCAAGCTACAACGAAGCCACAACAGGCATAACTTATACTTCAGATGCACCATACATCCAAACTGGCAAAAGCAATACGATATCTGATCAATCCAATTCAGGGAAGCAGCAACAGTTACTGGAGTATCTTAGAAGTTTTTCGGAAGGAGACAGAAACTGTTACATGCTAAACCTCACAAAGGGTGACAAATATTTAATCAGAACAACTTTCATGTATGGAAACTATGATGGAAAAAATAAGGTACCAGAATTTGATCTACATTTAGGAACTAATTTCTGGGCCACAATTGTATTTCAAAATGCATCTACTCTTATAGTCAAGGAATTCATTCATGTTCTTCAATCGAATTATTTGCATGTCTGTCTTGTGAACACTGAGAAAGGGATACCTATCATATCAGCACTAGAGTTCAGGCTTTTGAAAAACACGACATACAACACTCGGTCCGAAAAAGAATCACTGGAACTTTTCTTCAGGAATTATTTTGGTTCAACATCCAATTCAACAGTCAGGCAAGTTGTTCTCAAAATTTTGGTAAATATAAATGAAGAAAAGATTTTTTATGCTTCTCTCTTAATTATTGAGCGAAATTTGCCTCAGGTTTCCAGAAGATGTTTATGATCGTATCGGGACGCCTTACCAAAGAAATGATTTGGGACAAATAAGTACCTCTTCTCCCGTTACGCATGCCAGCTACTATGATCCACCATCGCTTGCCATGAGGACTGCCAGCACACCAGCCAACGCTAGTCAACCCTTGAATTTTTCAATCTATGATTCTGATTCCAATGCCCAATTTTATTTTTACATGCACCTTGCAGAACTTGAAGAGCTCCAAGCTAACCAGTCCAGAGAGTTCATCACCTATCTCAATGACGAGCTTTGGTTTACAGCTTATAGTCCTACATATTTGCGGGCAGACACTATACAAAGCATAGCACCGGAAAAAGGAGGCCAGTTTTCAATGGTAAAAACCGAAAGATCAACCCATCCGCCCATCCTGAATGCCTTTGAGGCTTATGAAGTAAAGGAGCTCCTACAGCCACAAACTGTTGAAAAAGAGGGTATGTGCACTCTAAAACTAATGACAGAGATTCTCTTCATACCTATCATTCTGCTAGTATAACTCCTGTTCTCACATATATATGATAGTTGATGCGATGATGAATATAAAATCAATGTATGGATTGATTAGAAACTGGCAAGGTGATCCTTGTGCTCCAAAAGAATACTTATGGGAAGGTCTTAATTGCAGCTATAATGATTCAAATCAACCTACGATCATATCTTTGTAAGTCTGTGCTTTAGAGTTGAAGTTAGCTACTAATTTTTATTCAAATAACTTCATTATTATTATTAGTAAAACTATTTTTTATTAAATCAGGAATTTATCCTCAAGAGGTTTGACCGGAGAGATTCCCTTATATATCGTCAATCTCACTCAATTACAATATCTGTAAGTGTCGATCTCCATCTCATATGAAATAACCAGTTATCATCCTATATAACGATGATGGAGGAGAAATATAAGCTTAACTAATTCTGCTACAATCTTAGGGACTTATCAAACAATTATTTGAAAGGAGCAGTGCCCGAATTTTTAACTCAACTGCAATCTTTGATCATCCTGTAAGTTACTTGGAATTTAGACTTAAAAAATATAAATTTTGAATAAGGAGTTAAAGAACGTTCTTCTCTACCTTTGCAGAAACTTGACAAGAAACGGTCTAAATGGTTCAGTTCCAGCAGGACTCATTGAAAAGTCAAACAGGGGATTACTACAATTAAGGTATATATGAATTCCTTTCCATGATCTATGATTTTGAATAGCAATTTCCTTGTGTTCATTTTAATCTCCTCTTTAGCAAACATCAAAACAAATTTATAGCTATTAGTCCTTTTATCCAAGTCTTACTTTTTCTGTTTGTCAACTGAATTGATTAAGTGTGGACGAAAATCAAATTCCTTGTACATGGAAATCATGCATGACAACGAAGTCAAAGAATAACAGTACCGTAGTGGTTCCGTTATTAGCATCAGTTGCTTCAGTGCTTTTTCTCCTCGTCATAATTGTTTCAGCTGTCTTATGGACGTGGTATAAAGGGACAAAACCTTCAGGTAGGACAAATCTTACAAAATATATGTACTTAAGTAACATAAAAATGAACCTTTTCATGCTATTGTGAAAGATTTTCTCAACAGTAATATGCTTATTGAACCTGCTTTAATGTTGTCAGCAGTAAGGGAAATGATTGTGGACTCTAGAAGACCATACCAGAATGAGTTAAAGAATCGACAATTTACATACTCTGAGGTCCAAAGGATCACAAACAGTTTTGCGAGAGTTATTGGGAAAGGAGGATTTGGAACAGTTTACCACGGTTGCTTGGGTGATACTGAAGTAGCAGTTAAGATGTTATCAAAATCATCTAGTCAAGGGTATAAGCAGTTTGAAGCTGAGGTATGAGAGCCATGACCCATGAGTACTAATACTAAGGTTTGACCTCATTGATACATATATATAAACTAATTAAAATTTGGGTTTCAATTTATCATTATATATATATATATAGGTGGAGATTCTTTTGAGAGTTCATCATAGAAATTTCACTACCCTTATTGGTTATTGCGATGATGGCACCAACACGGGGCTAATCTATGAGTACATGGCCAAAGGAAACTTATCAGAGTATCTCTCAGGTTTGAACATTAAACACTTACCACTCTATTTTCAGTAATTCGTTGGATTTGATGTATTGTATACTGTTAAATTTCTTTACTTCAAATTAAAGGAAAAAAAAAAGGGAGGATTGATTAACTCTTAACTTCCTATGAATTCAGATAAAAGTAACGGTGTCTTAAATTGGGAAGGAAGACTTGGAATGGCGCTGGAGGCAGCACAAGGTTAGTATTAGTTCACCTATAATAATTTCTGCATTTTTTTTTTTTTTTTTGGTTTATTTCACTAATTAAGTAATACAAAAAAAATGAAAATGCAGGACTGGAGTATTTACACTGTGGTTGCAAACCACCCATAATCCACCGAGATGTAAAGTCTAGCAACATATTATTAACTGAAAACTTGCAAGCTAAACTATCTGATTTCGGGCTATCCAGAAGTTTCGAAGGTGTCTCTCATGTATCCACCGTCGTAGCCGGTACCCCTGGATACCTTGACCCTGAGTAAGTACATCTTGTCTTGAGATGATCGTTTCTGATCTCTTTTCCACCTTATCTGACTGCTGCAAATTTGTTGGTCTCCACGCTTGGTAATGCAGGTATTCTACATCAAACAGGTTGACTGAGAAAAGTGATGTTTATAGCTTTGGGGTAGTTCTTTTGGAAATCATCACAAACCGGCCAGTGTTTGTAAGAAATATGAATGAGCCCGCTCACATAAGTCATTGGGTTGGTTCCATGTTATCCAATGGGGACATCCAAAACATTGCGGATTCAAGATTGCAAGGGGATTTTGAGATAAATTCTGTACGGAAAGCGATTGATGTCGCAATGGCTTGTTTATCTCCATCTTCCACAGGAAGGCCAACAATGAATAATGTGGTGACGGAATTGAGCGAGTGTTTGTTAGCGGAGATAAATAGGACAAGGGGAGTGAATGTAGATGAATCACCAGAATCAATTGCCATGGCATCCTTGAATTTTGATTCTGATATAACTCTACCAAGGTAATTTGGACCGGAAAGCTTTGTACATTATTAACAATTATTAAGTTTTTTTTTTTTAAATAAACATAAACAAAAAAAAAAGAAAAAGAAAAAGGCGTGATTAATTTTCTTTTTCTTCGAATGATATGATGATGTTACGTGGGCTTCTCCATGTTAGGATATATCTATGAGTTAATTAATTATGACCTCTTCAACTAGAACGAATCAAATCTATTTTATTTTAATTAATTTTTAAAAAATAAATATAAAAAATTAACCTATTGATAACCACACCATTTTTTTAAAAAGAACTACTAGCCCAAGATGTAATTTTTAAAAAAAATAATAATTAAATACTATAAATAAAAAAATCAATTACAATAAAAGCTAGACTTGTTAAGCGTATGCAAAGAGCCAAAAAATATTTTTATTTAAAAATATTCTCTTTTTTATTAAAAATAATTTTATATTTATCAATATATTAAAAATATAACTGCGTATATAAATATTAACAATATGTGCCCAAAGTTATAAGAGACATATATATATATATATATATATATATCTCACTTGGGCTTTGAGTTCAAAAAAAAAAAAAATGAAATGGCCCAAATGAAATAAGCTCCTGGCGGCTGGGTTGAAATTGGACAGATATTTTTAAGTATAAAACCTTTCGTTTTTTTTTTTTTCCTAATTCATTTCTTCCACCTTAAAAAAAAAAAAAAAACAAACAAACAAACAATCGGTCTTCCTCAAAATCCCAATTTTCGGCCGACATCACCGTTGTCGCCGTCGTACCTCTTCGCCGGCCGCCGTTGATCGGCGCTTAAAAATCCGTCAAAAAATTTTCTCGACTCCTTTTTCCCCCACCTTTTCGTTTCCGGTATCAGTTTTCCATAAATCATACTAGAGTTTCCTAGATCTGAACTCTAGGTCAGCGGCTTCTCACTCTTTTTCTGTCGTTTTCCACCGTCATCCTTCCGAAATTTTAATATATTGTTACCCTCTTTTTCTCCTTTCTTTTCACCCTTTTATTCCCAAAAGGACCTCGCCGCCGCTCGTCACCGCCACTGTCACCGCCGGTTGTGGTGATTACAACCATAAACTTACCTCGTCTCTTTCTTTTCTCGCCGAAAGGAAACTTCTTATGACAAAAACTCCCTTAATCTTGAAACTATACCCAAACCGAAAATCCCTATCTCCCCTTTTGGATATTGTGGCTTACGGTTTTTTGTTGTTGTTCTTGTGGCTTTAATTTTTTTGCTGTGTATTGATGGTGTTGGGTTGATTTGTGTTCGAGGTATGGGAAGTTGTTTCGGGCCAGTAGGTTGGGGCCGTGAAGGTGAGCGGTGGTTTTTTTTTTTTTCTGGCGACAGGTTCTGCCGAGGTTATGGCAGTTTCAGCGAGGGCTGCTGGTTGCTGATTAGGGTCGGTTTTAGTGGAGGCAAGAGAGGTGATGTTCGGCAGTGGGTGATAGTGTAGGCTTGGTTTCGGTTGAGGTGTTGGTTGCTGCTGGTGACCGTACTGGAGAGGTGAAAATGGTGAGGATGGGGATCGGATTTGGTCGTTGAAGGGAGAGGGTAGGACTTTCGATTCTGGTTAGAGCTTGTGGTGGTTTAGGTGGGTGATCACGGTGGAGGCTGTAGAAGGGATGCAGGGATTGCCGATGCAAATGGGGCTCTTGGGAATTTTATTGGTTTGTGAAAAATTAGTTCTTTCTGTCCTTCATTTCTTATTTTTGTTCGGCCTTAATAGGGAATTGGGTTGCAGGTGTCTACACTGAACAATATCTAAGCCTGACTCACCAAAATAACTCTTTTTGTTTATTAAAGAAAAAGATACAGTACACCTTTTTTCATCTTCCTAGTGAATCTTTGGCCATTTCTATCATAACTATAGAATAGATGAATATATATCAAATCATGTAAATTTTCGCATGTTTTGGGTTTCATTTTTATACGTTTGTTTTTGCCCAAAACTTTTCCTTCCCCGGCCCTTCCCACAATCAATTGGAACAAACTGGAATACATGCTTGTAATGCAGGTATTCTACATCAAACAGGTTAACGGAGAAAAGTGACGTATATAGCTGTGCGTAGTCCTTTTGGAGATCATGACGAACCGACCAGTTTTTACAAAACATGTAATCATCACACTACTCACATAAGCAAATGGGTTAGTTTCATGTTGTCTAATGATAATATCTAAACCTTTATTGACCCAAGATTGTTTGGAGATTTTGACATTACTTCTATCAAGAAAGCCATTAATGAACTAGCAATGGCTTGTGTATCTCCAAATTCGACGAAAAGGCCAACATGAATTATGTTTTGATGGAATTAAATGAGTGTTTGTCGACCCAGATTGACAGCATCCACAAAATTCAGCTGCCTCCAACTGAAGTAATTATTTTGCTAATCCCACTTATGACGTGCTTGGTAGAGCAAAACGGGTGGAAGGATGAATAGAGAAGGGTGAAAAATAAAAAGAAAGAGAATTTTAAGTGTTTTTGGTTGGAAAAAAAAAAAGAAGAGAACAAAATATATATAATTTTTTATTATTATTAACAAAATTAAATTACTCTAAATTGAAAAAATTAGGGAGGTGTGAGCATATGTTTCATATTTATAAAATTATTTATCATATTTAAATTTTTTTCATCTTTATTTATAAAAAGTTATAATGATAAAATCATATAATTTTTATTTTTATTTTTTAACTCTATCAATTAATAGATAAAAAAATTACATTTTCTTTTAATTGTTTATCTTTTCATTTTTCTACAATGGTACCAAATAAAGTGCCTGTTCAACTTCTGGAGGAACATCAAGAGCCTGTTCAACTCCTGGAAATTCTGACTATTCTTGAACTTATCCATCTTTAGCATCAGCAGAGGGTTTACAAATTCAACATTAATTAATTATCACTTAAGTCCAAGTATAATATTTTATTAATTTTTAATTAATACAATAACAATCAAGACACAAAAGGCAGGTTGCACTGAACATCAGGCATAATGAAAAAGTCATTATTAAACAAAGCCTTCTAGCACGCCTACCTTCGAAAATTCTACTAATTACTAAGACCTTTTCCTTGTTACACCGTAAATTCCTGGTTTAATCTCTGGTCATGTTTTTCTGTGTACCAATTTCACGTTCAACAGATAAATCTAGCATTCAACAGTACCACAGAAAAGGAAGGCCTGACAAAAATATATTGTATAATATATACTACTACATAAGACTTCAACTTAAACAAAAAACAAAAAAACCAAAGTTGTTTTCATGTTTAAAATATCTAGAACAACAATTGACCAAGTTTTTTTTTGTACCAGTGTTTCCATTATGGTTCTTGGTTCTTATGTGGTATTTGAGTTATAGTAGACTTCTTTGCACTCAATTGTGAGAAATTAGTGAGTCAAATGAGGATGAGAAGCCATTTCCTATTGTTTAGCATCTTTGCTCTGCAGGTACTTTTGATTCATGCACAGGATCAATCAGGTTTGGCTATCTAAGTCTCTGGACATATAAATATATATATATATATAAATTCCAATTATCTTTAACTAACAGAAACAGCTAAGTTTCTCCCCATGTTTCTTTCCTGGGTTCATTAGCTTAGATTGTGGGTTGCCAGGAGGTTCAAGCTACAACGAAACCACAACAGGCATAACTTATACTTCAGATGCGCCATACATCCAAACTGGCAAAAGCAATAGGATATCTGATCAATCCAATTCAGGGAAGCAGCAACAGTTACTGGAGTATCTTAGAAGTTTTACTGAAGGAGACCGAAACTGTTACATGCTAAACCTCACAAAGGGTGACAAATATTTAATCAGACTAACTTTCATGTATGGAAACTATGATGCAAAAAATGAAGCACCAGAATTTGATCTACATTTAGGACCTAAATTATGGGCCACAATTGTATTTCAAAATGCATCTACTCTTATAGTCAAGGAAATCATTCATGCTCTTCAATCGAATTATTTACATGTCTGTCTTGTGAACACTGGGAAAGGGATACCTATCGTATCAGCACTAGAGTTAAGGCCTTTGAAAAACACGACATACAACACTCAGTCCGAAAAAGAATCACTGGAACTTTTCTTCAGGAATGATTTTGGTTCAACATTCAGGTAAGTTACTCACTCAAAATTTTGATAAATATAAATGAAGAAGAAATTTTTTATGCTTCTCTCTTAATTATTGAGCAAAATTTGCCTCAGGTTTCCAGAAGATGTTTATGATCGTGTCTGGACGCCTTACCAAAGAAATGATTTGGGACAAATAAGTACCTCTTCTCCTGTTAGGCCTAACAGCGACTATGATCCACCATCGCTTGGCATGAGGACTGCCAGCACACCAGCCAACGCTAGTCAACCCTTGAATTTTTCCGTCCAATATTCTGACTCCAATTCCTCATTTTATTTTTACATGTACCTTGCAGAACTTGAAGAGCTCCAAGCTAACCAGTCCAGAGAGTTCATCATCTATCTCAATGACGCTCTTTGGTTTGGACCTTTTAGTCCTACATATTTGCGGGCAGACACTATACTAAGCATACAACCGGGAGAAGGAGGCCAGTTTTCAATGGTAAAAACCGAAAGATCAACCCATCCGCCCATCCTGAATGCCTTTGAGGCTTATAAAGTAAAGAAGCTCCTACAGTCACAAACATTTCAAAAAGATGGTATGTGCAATCTAAAACTAATGACAGATTCTCTTCATACCTACCATTCTGCTAATATAACTCCTGTTCTCACATATATATGATAGTTGATGCGACGATGAATATAAAATCAATGTATGGATTGAATAGTGTAGACACCGATTTTATCCGGGCTTACTGTTTTATTTTTTTATAATAATAATATTTAACAAAACAAAACAAAAAAGCAAAAAAACAAAACAAACAAAAAACCAAAACGGAAATCAGACAGAAGTCAAGGAGTTGGTACGACGCTGAACTGCCCCGACTAACTCCGCGACCAACTCCCCGACCAACCCAACCAAACCCCCGACCAACCTCCTGCCAGCCACCCTACAGCTACCAACTAACCACCCTACAACCAGCCAAATCCCACTTAATTGAAACTCTTTAAAATCAACACATAAACTCTAACAAAGAAAAGGAAGAAAAAAAATTTTGGAGGTGAGAGTTCTAAAACAAAAATTTTTCCAGCTTGAAAGTTCAGGAACGAAAAATTCTGATCTACCCACCCAAACACCCCAAATACCCAAACAAAAGCCAACCGAAAAAAAACCACAAAAAAAATTTTCAAAAAAAATACAAAAAAAATCAACACAGTCCTCCCCGCAAAGAGGAACCCAGCGCCAAGCTTCCTGCACGAAGAAGAAAAAAAAGGTCAGCTTCAAAAAAAAAAAAAAAAGAACGCAAAAAAAAAAATGCCGAAACTTTGACTGCAGATCTACGAATTTTGAGACTCCTTTTGGTGAAAAGGAGGTTAGATCTGCGCTCAGGGGCTCGAGAAGAGCTTGTGGGTGAATTTTGAAATTTTTCGACCACCGGAGACGGCGACCTGTGACCAGCGAACGGCGGCCAACGCGGTGCTCCGAAGCAACCGATCGACGGACCTTTCCCCCAGCTCTTTCTCTCCCTCTCTCCTTTTTTTCTGAAACAGAAAGCCAAATGAGCTAAAAAAAAAATCTTCAGCTATATATAGCAAGGCAAAAACTCAAAACGACGTCGTTTAGGGAAAGACCCAAAACGACGCCGTTTCAGCTAAGGGCATCCGCGTATTGACCGCAATCTGACCCGGGATCCGCGCAACCCGACTCGTTGATCTGCTTCCTTCATCGACTCTGATCGGTCTGACTGGACCGGTACCGAACCGCCCAGACCGAACCGAACCGCCGAACCAATCCGTCAGACCGAACCGTGCGTTGACCGGATTGTTGACCGGTTCGGTTCAGGCAAAAAAAATTTTTTTTTGAATTTTCTAATTTTTTATTATTATTATTTTTTGTTATTTTAAATATATTCTTATATTTATACATGATAAATTTATAAATTTGTTCGAATAAATGTTTAATCGTTTTAATAATAATAAAATTAAGAACAAATAATAATAAAAAATATATTAAAATGCTTTAAAAAATAATAATAATAATCTTCCCTGCCTAGATGTTGGAGGGAATAAAAATATTTTTCTAAAACAATAATTCCACCTAGATGTTGGAGAATTATTGTTAATTATTTTTTATAAATAAACATAAGAAATTTTTAATTAATCTTAAAAAATTATTAAAATCGAGCTTGCTTAAAAAATCCGCTAGATGTTGGGAATTTTTAGAGATGTTCGTATTTTCTTAAAAAATGAAACCTTAAGCACTATTTCTTAATCCTAGGATTCTAAAACCCCTAAAAATCCAAAATCCATTAAATCCAAAACTCCCGAAATCCAAAGTCCTAAAAAAAAAATCCTAAGGACACGTGTGAAAATTCTATTTGAAGTAATTTGTTCCCGAATGTCGCCTAGATGATGGGTATTTAGGAAATTTTACTTCGTAAAGTCTTTTCACACGATTTCTTAATTCGTATTAATAATAAGATTAATAAATAAAAAGTATAATAAAATTGGGATCTTAAATATAAACGGTCGCACCTAAGCTCTGCCTAGATGTTGGAGAGTCGGGGTGGTCTCATTATACTTAAGAATCCAACTCTTAAATTGCATTTCATTATAAAGGACATTCATAAGCATACATACGTTATCGTATTATCATCAATAATTGTCTGTATTATTCTCTCTTTAATTTACTCATGGTACTCTGCCTAGATGTTGGAGAGTCACCAACAATTTTCTATAAAGAGTGTTATTTTATTTTAAGGATTGTTGTGTTAAATCTTAAGTGAAAAGAGTTATTTCAAATTCTGCCTAGATGTTGGAGAATTTTAAGATAATTCTTTAACTTAAAGATTTTCTCAATATTCCTAAATAAAAATTTTAGCAAAAATATGTTTTAATGAAGGGAATTAGAGTTAAATTTCAAATTAAAATCATTTTTATCTAACATCGAAAATAGCGCATAATTGAATGGTACCAATTTATGGGCGTTGTAGGGGTGCTAATCCTTTCTCACGCGTAATCGACTCTCAGATCCAATCTGGTTTTTCGTAGACCAAAATTGATCTTTTTGATAAACTTTAAACCCGTTTTTATAGTTTTATTAAAAAAATAAACTTTTGAGTGGTCAATCACACCCTAATAAAAATTGGAGACGACTCTCCCTTTTTTAAAACAAAAACTCATTTTTACGTCTGACGGTTCCAAAACCGTTACGACAAATAAAAACTGGCAAGGTGATCCTTGTGCTCCCCAGGAATACTCATGGGAAGGTCTTATTTGCAACTACGAGGATTCCAATCCCCCTGGGATCATATCTTTGTAAGTCTGTGCCTTAGAGATCAAGTTAGCTACTAATTTTTATTCAAATAACTTCATTATTATTGTCAATAAAACTATTGTTTATGAAATTAGGAATTTATCCTCTAGCGGTTTGACCGGAGAGATTCCCTTAAATATCGTCAATCTCACTCAATTACAATATCTGTAAGTGTCAATCTCCGTCTCATATGAAGTAGCCAGTTATCATCCTATATAAGGATGATGGACGAGAAATATATATAAGCTTACCTATTTCTGTTGCAATAACAGGGACTTATCAAACAATAATTTGAGTGGACCAGTACCCGAGTTTTTAACTCAACTACAAACTTTGACTTTCCTGTAAGTTATTTGGGATTTGGACTTGAAAAATATAAATTTTGAGCAAGGAGTTAAAGAACATACGTTCTCTATCTTTGCAGAAACTTGGAAAGAAACGCACTAAATGGTTCAGTTCCCGCAGGACTCATTGAAAAGTCAAACAGGGGTTTGCTCCAATTACAGTATGTATATATATATATATATATATATATGCAATCCTTTCCATGATTTATGATTTTGCATAGCAATTTCCTTGTGTTTATTTTAATCTCCTCTTTAGCAAACTTCAAAACAAATTTACTGCGTGAGTGGTTAAATTCTTACATATTGGGATTGGTATAGGAAACTTTATGTACCAGATGGCAGTTGTTACTTGTTAGTATTCCTTTTATCCAAATCTAATTACTTTTTCTCTTTGCCAACTGAATTGATGATTAAGTGTGGAAGGAAATCAAATTCCTTGTACAAGGGGCTCATGCACGACAACGAAGAACAACACTGGAGTTGCTCCGTTAGTACCAACAGTTGCTTCGGGTCTTTCTTTCCTTATAATTGTTTCAGCTCTCTCATGGTGGTTTAAAGGGAGAAAACCATCCGGTAGGACAAAACTTTCAAAATATATGTACTAGTTAAGTTAAATCTTTCTCACGCTATTGTGAAAGATTTTCTCAACAGTTTTGCGCTTATTGAACCTGTTTTAATTTAATCATCAGCAAGCAAAATGATTGTGGTCTCTAGAAAACCATACCAGAATATTGAGTTAAAGAATCGAGACTTTACATACTCTGATGTCCAAAGGATCACAAACAAATTTGAGAGAGTTATTGGGAAAGGAGGATTTGGAACAGTTTACCACGGTTGCTTGGGTGATACTGAGGTAGCAGTTAAGATGTTATCAGAATCATCTAGTCAAGGGTATAAGCAGTTTGAACCTGAGGTATGAGAGCCTGAGTGCTAATACAAAAGTTTAACCTCATTCATACAAATAAACAAACTAATAAAGTTTGGATTTTATTTTATGATTTTATATAGGTGGAACTTCTTTCGAGAGTTCATAATAGAAATTTCACTACCCTTATTGGTTATTGCGATGATGGTACCAATGTCACGGACTTAAAGAAAAGTTTTGAATCCCACATCAAACATAATAGGAGGGTCACTGGGATATAAAAGAGTTCACACTACCTCCGTCTTTTGAGGCACCTTTTATAGGATAAAATCATGAGGTCAAGGGGGGGTCAGAGCGAACAATACCTCACAAGAGTGTGAATCGTGACGATTAGGCTAATCTGGGACGCCGAAAGGGTGAATGTCCAGGTCTCGGAGCCACGCGGGTTGGGTGCGGGAGAATGTCACGGACCTAAAGAAGAGTCATGAATCTCACATCGAACATAATAGGAAGGTCACTAGGGTATAAAAGGATTCACACCACCTCCGCCTTATGAGGCGTCTTTTGTAGGACAAAATCGTGAGGCTAGAGGGGCCAGAGCGGACAATACCTCACAAGGGTATGAACCGTGGTGAAAGGCTGATCTGGGACGTCAGAAGGGTGAATGCCCGGGTTTCGGAGCCTTGCGGGTTCGGAGCTTAAGTCTCGACCCGTGACAAGTGGTATCAGAGCCAGCCTCCGTGACGAAGGCGTCACGAGATTGGGTGCGGGAGAATGTCACGGACCTAAGGAAGAGTCCTGAATCCCACATCGAACATAATAGGAAGGTCACTGGGGTATAAAAGGGTTCACACCACCTCCACCTTATGAGGCACCTTTTGTAGGACAAAACCGTGAGGCTAGGAGAGCCAGAGCGGACAATACCTCACAAGGGTGTGAACCGTGACGAAAGGCTGATCTGGGACGTCGAAAGGGTGAATGCCCGGATCCCGGAGCCACGCAGTTCGGAGCTTAAGTCTCGACCCGTGACAAGTGGTATCAGAGCCAGCCCTAAACCGTTCGATCCACGCCAAGCACCTCAAGGGAGGTAGGCAGGATGGACAACCTCTGTGACGAGGGCGTCACGAGGTTGAGTGCGGGAGAATATCACGGACTTAAGGAAGAGTCTTGAATCCCACATCAAACATAATAGGAGGGTCACTGGGGTATAAAAGGGTTCACACAACCTCCGCCTTGTGAGGCTCCTTTTGTAGGACAAACCATGAGGCCAGGGGGGCCAGAGCGGACAATACCTCACAAGGGTGTGAACCGTGGCGGTTAGGCTAATCTGGGACGTCGGAAGGATGAATGCTCGGGTTCCAGAGCGGCGCAGGTTCGGAGCTTAAGTCTCGACCCGAGACAAGTGGTATCAGAGCCAGCCCTAAACCATTCGATCCACGTCAAGCACCTCGAGGGAGGTAGGCAAGGTGGCCAGCCTTCGTGACGAGGGTGTCACGAGGTTGGGTGCATGAGAATGTCACGGACCTAAGTAAGAGTCCTGAATCTCACATCGAACATAATAGGAAGGTCACTAGGGTATAAAAGGGTTCACACCACCTCCGCTTTGTGAGGCGCCTTTTGTAAGACAAAACTGTGAGGCCAGGGAGGCCAGAGCGTACAATACCTCATAAGGGTGTGAACCGTGACGGAAGACTGATCTAAGACGCTGGAAGGGTGAATGCTTGGGTCCTGAAATCGCACGAGTTCAGAGCTTAAGTCTCGATCCGTGACACCAACATAAGGCTAATCTATGAGTACATGGCCAAAGGAAACTTATTAGAGTATCTCTCCGGTTTGAACTCATTAATACATTTCATTAATTAGTCGGAATATTTGATATATTGTATATGATTAAATTTCTTTACTTAAAAAAAAAAAGGGATGATTAACTCATAACTTACTATCAATTCAGATAGCAGTAGTAGTGTCTTGAATTGGGAACGAAAACTTCGAATCGCGCTGGAGGCAGCACAAGGTTACGTAACACCTCAATCCTATATTTTTTAAGAACTGTTATGATATATAAATATATATACATAAGAACCACTATGATATATATAATACTTTCTGTTCAAAGTAAATAATATCTCATAGGTTGAATGTGATAATACGTTTTATTCAAAGTAAATAATGTCTTACAAATTAAATGTAAATTTCTATAAATGATATCAAAGCAATCATCAATTGAAATGAATTAAATGCTACATTACAATAGTCACTTCCAAGATTTCAATGTTTTGTGTGATCTTATTCTATAATTTTTTATTTTAGATAACTAAATGTTATTATATAAGAGTTACCTCTAGAATTTAATACTTAGTACATAATGAGAGTTTACTCTAAAACCTCAACTCTTAGTATGGAGTCAACTCTATAATCCTTGAGGGTTAGGTGGTATTCAATGGAGTCATTTCTAAAATTCTTGAGGGTTAGGTGGTATACAATGGAGTCATTTCTAAAATTCTAACATTGATTCTAATTCTATGTGTTATGTGTTGGGCTTGTATAAATAATATCAAAACAATCATCAGTCGAAATGAACTAAATGTTACATTACAAGAGTCACTTCTAAATTTTCAATGTTTAATGTGATCTTGTTCTATAATATTTTATTTTAGAAAATTAAATGTTATACTATGAAAGTCACCTCTAAAATTTAATGCCTAGTACATAGTGAGAGTTTACTTTAAAATTTCAACTCTTAGCGTGGAGTCACCTTTATAATCCTTGAGGGGTAGGTGCAACACAGTAGAATCATTTCTAAAATTCTAACACTGATTCTAATTTTATATGTTATGTGTTGGGTTTGTACATGGTGAGAGTCCTTTCAAGATTCCGACTCTTAATGTGAAGTCACTTCTAAAATGTCTTAAAAGTATTACGTAGTGAGAATTACTTTTAAAATCTCAATTTTATAATCTCAGTTCTTTATGTTTTATATAGGGTTTAACGACGTGAATGATAAGTTTTAATTAAAAAAAATTTGTAACACATATGGTATATATATAAATCTAAATTCATATTTGTAAATAATTTTTTATAAAATAAAATCATGAAACTTTTGAATTAAAATCAATGATATCTTGTAAATTGAATATCAGGTCTCTACAGTTAATTAACTATTATTCATGAAATAAATGAAAATGCAGGACAGGACTATTTACACCATGGTTGTAAACCACCCATCATCCACCGAGATGTAAAGTCCACCAACATCCTATTAACTGAAAACTTGCAAGCTAAGCTATCTGATTTCGGGCTATCCAAAAGTTTAGAAGGTGTCTCTTATGTATCCACCGTCGTTGTCGGTACCCCTGGATACCTTGACCCTGAGTAAGTACATCTTGTCTTGAGAAGATCGTTTCTGATTTCTTTTCCAACTCATCTGATCATTGCTGTAAATTTCTTGGTTTCCATGCTTGGCTATGCAGGTATTCTACAACAAACAGGTTAACAGAGAAAAGTGACGTTTATAGCTTTGGGGTAGTTCTTTTGGAAATCATTACAAACCGGCCAGCGATTGCAAGAAATATAGATGAGCCTGCTCACATAAGTCATTGGGTTGGTTCCATGTTATCCAACGGGGACGTCGAAAACATTGTGGATTCAAGGCTGCAAGGAGATTTTGAAATAAATTCAGTACAGAAAGCGATAGATGTGGCAATGGCTTGTTTATCTCCAGCTTCCAAGGAAAGGCCAACAATGAATTATGTGGTAATGGAATTGAGCGAGTGTTTGTTAGCAGAGATAAGTAGGACAAGGGGAGTGAATGAAGACGGATCGCTAGAATCAATTTCCATGGGATCCTTGAATTTTGATTCTGATATAACTCTACCAAGGTGATCAGGACCGGAAAGCTTTGTACATTAATAAGAATTCAGCACTTCATTGGACATTCAAATTATTCATCGAGCCATGTCTTAAAGTTATTTTTCCAAGTATCACCAAGATAATAGAAACTCAAACATTAATTTCACAATATATCTAGCTCTTTGCAAAAGAAATCCCCAACTAGTTGAAAATTATATATATATATATATGTATTTTATTTAAAGAGTTTCATGCTAATTGATTGGTTATAACCCATCAAAATGAAAGTTGAAATTCATATCCATATACATATATAAACATTGATAATAAAATCTTTTTTAATTGTCCATTATTTAAAATTATTCCTTTCATCTCAAATTGTTATTCATCTTTGGCTAATTTTTTTTTTTTTATATAAAACTGATGTTTTAAAATCAAAAATAAAATTATTAACTATTATTAAGTGTTAAAAAAATTATTAGTTTTTTCTCCAAATAATAGCATGATGTTATATGGGCCTCTCCATGTTACGATATACCTATGAATTAATTATGACCTCTTCAACTAAAACAAATCAAATCTATCTAGTCTTTAATTTCTACGAATTAAATATAAAAAATTAACCTAGTGATGATCACACTGCTCTTCTAAAAGAACAACTAACCCAGGATGTAGTTTTTCTTTTTAAAAATTGAATACTATAAATAAAAAAAATCAATTACAATAATAGCTAGACTTGTTAAATCAAAGACTTGGTAAGCATATATATATATATATATTAAAATTTAGAATTTCTTCTCTTATATATACTTTAAATATTAGCTATAATTTTAAATATTTTCCAATCAAAAGTCCACTCAACATATACATATATATATATATATATGTATGTATATGAAGAAATAATTTTAAGTGTCATGGTTTGAACCATTCTGCTCTCTAGTTGATGGTTAGATAAGTATAAACTTTTAGATATGAAAAACTTGAGTTTTTTTCCCAAACAAAGGTATTTTGTAATCTTATTTCCTTGAATGGTGTGCTTTTAGACTTTATTCCCAAAAGCGTGCAGTGTTGTACAGTTAAATCCTGTCAGCAAAAAAAATTCCCCATCACTTTTCTTTTTCAAATCCCCCTCTTCTCTAGCTTCCTGCGATTTCGGTGAGTCTGTGACTATTTAATTTCTCTTTCATTTTTATCTTTTGCCAACGGCAAGGACATTGGCTAAGAATGAAATAATAGTCTCCAAAAATGAAATATTGAGAAAGTAAAATGAAAAAAAAAATCCAAATACAAAACAGTTTAAGGTCACTCTTGATTAAGCTTTGTTGTTCTCCTTCTAAATCCAGCAATTCCTGTAAGCAATGGATAATTCTTTGGGGATGCGGGTGAGGTTTTGAAATAAAGTAAAAGACTTGATCTTTGAAGATTACAAATCAATTGTTTCAAAAAAAAAAAAAAACACGAAACAGAAAGAAAATTGGTATAAAAATATACGAGGATTTTGCATCATTAATTAAAACAATCTACTAAATTGGTTTCTGTTTCTAATTTTTTTTCTCAACCATAAAGATCATTTTTATTCATAAAAAGTTAGCAATTACAATACATAAAAGCCTGGTTCAAAAAGATCAGTAAAACAAAGCCTCAATACGATAACAACAGCTCATACCAAATCTTCCTTTAAAAATCAAAATAGCTTACAACCGAACAAAAAAGAAACCAGCTCAATCCACCCCACTTATCTAAAGAGTTAGCAAAACATTAGCTTTTCTAAACATATGAACAAAATCAATCACTCCAATCTTCTTACTAAGCTTATCAATCTCATTCACAGTGTCCCATTTCTTCCAAAGTCTGAATTCAAACTTTATAGACCCAAGATAATGCTATCATTGAGTGAGAATCAGCAAAAAAAAGAACACTTTTTAAACCAAGATGACTTTGAAAAACCTCCAGCACCATTATAATTACCTAGATATCAGCAATATTAACATCTTGTAAGCCAAGCAATCCAAAAAAAAAACATTGCCAAAACTCAACTAGAATGATCCCTTAATTCCCCTACACATATTGCCTTACCTTGTTTTCCTTTAACTCAAAACCAACCTTAAACTCAAACCTATTAAAAGGACATGTCATGAGAACATACATGATACTTTTGACTCCACTAAAGATAAAAAAAAGGATAATATTGAGGCACATTGCAAAATCATTCCCTCTATAGCAACTTTTCTTGACACGTCTAGAAAACAGCATAGCAAATTGATATTCTCCATAAGGCTCATTATGCAACCTCCCAACATCCCAATATCCATTTCGCGAGATAACACTCAAAATGATCCAGATGTTGATCCAGAAAACAGGGGTCGCAGCAAACTTCAAGAAGAAATTAAATACAATTGCCTTATAAGCTTATCATTTTCCATCATCCAAACCAAAGTTCACTTCCATCCCAAGATCATCATGAAAATTCTTTTCCATCCAATCTGTTGTTTGCAAAATTAGCTAACTCAATCACCTATCAAATTTATCACAATTATTGAAATGAAACATCACCACCTAGAGCAAACCTAAATTTGCTTTACAGCCTCAAATTCCAAAAATCCACCCCATAACGTCAATTAATTATCAACCAAATCTCATGAAACCAAACATTTACCACAAAGTAATAAAATATATATAAGATCCATTCCCTTAATAAAAGCAAATCAATCATAAACTTTATATAACTATAATTGATCACACTTGAGCTCTTATTAAAGAAACCAATTTCCCCTATTGATAAAAACACTCTCAATCTCTCGCTAGCTAGAATTGAAATCCAATTATCATTATCAGAGTCTTATATCCTCCCAATTCTCATATTATCACATTAATTCAGTTTAGTCTCTTAGATAAAGATGGGTTTTTTACCCTACCTTAACTTAGTGCTTAGAGTTTTAGGATCTTGAAATTGATTTCCCTTTTAAAATTCCAAAAGATTGATCTTTGTTAATAATAGAGAAGAAGAGTAAATCCTTTTTAATTGAATTTTGAGAGGATTATACTTAATTAAATATTTTTTGTTTTTTTATCTTAAGGTGGAGTCCACGTCTACATACTACCTCAATTTAGGAATTATGTATAAAACAACTCTAACTTAGTAAATTAGATTAATGAGTGCCTTAGTTGAGGAAAAAACTCTGAAAAACTTAGCTATCGTATCTAAATATATATACAATTTGACCATTTAGCCTATATAACTGATTTACTGTCACTCTAGGCAACAAAATCAGTGGTGTAAATCTGGACCAGTTGGATCAATATTATAATATTATTGTTATTTTTATTTATAATATTTTGTTATTTAATATAATGTTGACAAAATTAAATATAGGAAAATATTGCACAATATAATATAATTTTTAAATAAACACATATTATAATTTATTCATAATGAAAATTTATTTCAAAGGTTTGATTACTGATGCTACATAAAATTTTTTCATGTTTCTGTCATGACAATCAAAATATTAAAAAATAATACAAGTAAATAAATGATACAATACTTTTTATTTCTTTTATAATAAAATTAGATTTGAACTATTGAATAACTAATTATAAATGAAATAATTATTTCATCAAGTATATCAAAGGCGGTTTGATTGTAAACTTATCCATTGACCAAGTCTGATTAAGTGCAATTAATTATTCAAAAGTCTTGTTGAAGCAGGATCAGCTCTGGTCGATTTATCTAGTCTAAGAAGCTCAAAATTTTTTTAAAATATATTGAAATATAAAGAAAATTAAGATATTAATATCATATTAATTTTAAATATATTTTTAAAATTTAAATTTAAATAAAAATAATGTTTTTATTTATTAATAAAATAATATTTTAATGAAATTGGATCAGAGTCAAACTCGAAAACTCATGCTTAAAACCGGCTCCAGAATAAATCTAATTAATTGTTGGAAGAAAGACTGACTCATTTATCCCTAACTAGCTAGTTTTATACAATTAAGTAAAAAGGTATATATTTTAATATACATTATAGTTATTTATACATCAAAAAAGAAAATAAAAAATTAATTATAACTTCATCCTTTTTAACCATTAATTAATTATAGCATTAATTACAAAAAAAGGGAAAAAATAAAATAAAAAAGTAAATATTCCAATTACATTTGTGGAAGTGGATCTTATTTTATATACATAAATAAATATATGTACATGTCTTCCACTCCCTCCCTTAATACAGTGCAATACAAATTTTTAAGAGGTTTATAATCAGAAGAAAAGTTATCCTGCTTTCTCGGTTGTGCCTTCTGATTTCGGTGAGAAGAGCCGGAAGGACCGTTATTTTTCTTTGTAATTGATGCTATAGTTAACGGTGACGAGGGTTTAGATTCCATAAATTCCGTTTGGTTAGAGGTACTCCAAAATTTTTTGTATGACTTAACTATAATTAGACATTGTTAAGACATAATAAATTTTTTTTTTTTTTGGTTTAAAGGAAGGCATAGCCTTTAAAGGGGGAAGACGAAGAGATCTTGACCTGAAATCATGAATTTTATGTCATCATAAAATCTCTTTAATCTTAGATCAAAAAATGGAGAATTAAGACATAATAAATTTGACGAAAAAATTAATAACTAAAAATTATTTTAAATAATTTAGATAGGCGGATCTTACTTTTTTTTTTTGTATAAAAATTTAACTACTTTAAATTAATTTCCCAAAAAATAAACTACGTTTTTTTTTTTTTACTTCACTTGCAAATAAACAGGAAAGATAAACTTCAAAATCTATCCTACCATTGATGATTGTGGAAAAGAATCAGTTTTGGTTATCGTTATATTTTACAACATTTTTTCTTTTGTTTTTAGGATTAATTTTGTTGATGATTTTTTGGGTTTGGTGAGTGGATGTTTTTATTCGGAAGCTGGGTGGATGGATGTTTTCTTTTCTTTACTTTTGATCCAATCTAAAATCTCAATACTAAAAAAATATGATTTTTCAATTTAAAAGTTTGATTTTGTAATCAAATAAAAATGTTATTCATGATTTTGCAATGGAAAAGTATTTTTGGGATAAAAAATTATTATATTATCTTATATTTTTATTATTTTATACATATTTTTCAGATATTTCAATTATTCATAACACTTTTTAAAATAATATTAAATCTTTACAAATTTTAATCACATTTTTTTAACATATTTTTTTCAACTTAAACAATTTTCAATTGCAGCGTTAAACTAACCTAAAAATAATCTTTTTAATCTTAATTATTTTGATTTAAAAGCCAAAGAGTGTAAAACTTACATTGTTATAAATATATCCTTCTTTATTTTTTTAATGATTAATTTCCAAATTTCAATCTTGCCATGCATTATCCATTAAAAAAGAATTATATAAAACAGTTAATCACATCATCGTTTATATTTTTCATTAAAATCATGTTGCGTAATCATGTTGTAATATTTTAATCTCATATCAAAATATTTTGAGAATCTGTTATAATTTATAAGTTGATATTTTAATTCAAATTTATGAGATATATTTTGTGAGATAAAATAGTAAGATCTTTGGATTAAAATAAATAATACGTTGTAAATTGAGTACAGCTCTCTATAAATTATATCAGAGCACGAGCCAAAAGAACTAAGTGCTAAAGTCTATGACAACTACATTCAGAATCCTACGAGAATTAAGTATTATACGATGAGATATATGTTTAGAACCTTAACGTTTAATGCGATCTTAATTTTGTGTGTTTTGTGATTTTGTGTATTATCTATTGGACTTAACAGAAACGTTAAACTTTAATGAGAAAATTTATGATTTCTCAATCTTATATGAAAATATTTTAAAAATTTCTTATGATATATAAGTTAATATTTAAACTCATACTTGTAAGAATCCTTTTATTGGATAAAATTATTAAACTTTAAGATTAAAATGGATAATATCTCATAAATTGATTAAAATTTTTACACATATTATTATTGAAAAAATTAATTATTTATTACATATTAAATAGTGAATATTTATTTTAATAAACTCATGTATATAATATGTAATAAATGATTTTTTTTCTCAGCAATAAATGATTAATTTTTTACATTGATAAAATTACATTTAAATGAAAGATATATGACCATCATTTCTCTATTCATTAATTGACGTTAGACTTGCAGACACTTTTGAATCAACTCCTACTATAAGTGCTACATGCATTTATCGTTGAATTTAATTTTCAAATACGACGATAGCAGCTCAAGAATGCTATGCATGTCTCGGGCAATTAGCTAGCACTCTTATGTATTTTAATTTTACAGCAAAATAGATATATATTAGTGTAATGCTTCACTTTTATCACATTATATTGTGAGAATCTATTATAATATATAAAATAATTTATATTTATATTCATAAATATTTTTATGAAATAAAATCGTGAAATTTTTTAATCAACATGAATACAAATTTTTACAATTATAATGAAAGTTTCTTCGCTAATTTTGCTTTGATGGTTGAGTGGGACATTGAGAAAGACCCAGTTAAAATGCTCAAGATTAGGAAAAAAAAAAACGTTACTAACCATTGAGTTCTTAATTGCTTCTGGAAGTAAAAATGACCAAGTTTTCTACATTATATATTATTCTATTATTACACCATAAGTTTGTAAATATAAATAAGTTATAAGATGAGAATTGCTTCTTTGTGGTACTTGGCTGTGAATTATTGAAGATTGTAAAGAAGATGTTAAAGCATTTTCTCCTTGTATTGGTTAGCTGCTATGCTGTTGCAATTTTGGTTCATGCCCAAGATCAAACAGGTTTATTTTTATCTAAATTCTTTGAATAACAAATTCAATTCTCTTTCGCTAACCAAGGAACTTATTAAGGCCTTCCTTTTGTTTCTCGCAGGTTTCATTAGCTTAGACTGTGGGCTACCAGATAATACAACCTATATTGAATCCACAACAGGCATCAACTATATTTCAGATGCAGCTTATATACAAACAGGCATAGGTAAGAGTATCTTACCTGAATTCCAAACAGGACTGCCGCGGCAGACATGGCATCTTAGAAGCTTTCCTAAAGGGGACCGAAATTGTTACAACCTTAGCCTCAGAAAGGGAGATGAATACTTAATCAGAGCGACTTTCGTTTACGGAAACTATGATGAAATGAACAAACCACCCAAATTTGATTTCCACCTTGGGCCTAATTTGTGGACTTCTGTAACAATACAAAATGCATCTGTTGTTATAAGCATGGAAATTATTCATGTCATCCAATCAAATCGTTTGTTTGTTTGTCTAGTGAATACTGGAAATGGGATACCATTCGTATCAGCACTAGAATTAAGGCTCTTGAATAATGCTACCTACAGAACTCAAATAGGATCCCTGCAACTTTTCACAAGGCTTGATGTTTGTTCAACAACTGGTTCAACATTCAGGTACATACTAAAAACTTTTTGATGTGTAATAAATGAAATTTTAGATATCTTTGCTTAGTTAATGAGCAATAATACCTCAGGTTCAAAGAAGACATTTATGATCGTGAGTGGTGGCCTTATAATAGAAATGATTGGACACCAGTTACTACCTCTTATACTGTTACAGCAGGTAGTAATTTGTACCAGCCACCATCTCTTGCCATGAGGACTGCTTGCATACCTGTAAATTCCAGTCAGTCCTTGGTTTTCTCCATTGACCCCAGTTCCGTTCCCAATGCGGAGTTTTACTTATACATGCACTTTGCTGAAGTTCAACAGCTCCAAGCCAACGAATCCAGGAAGTTCAACATCTCTTATAACGGCCAGTTTTGGTTCGGGCCAGTTATTCCTTTTTACTTGGCCTCAACCACCGTTTTCACCCGATCAGCCTTGACTGGTGGAGACTACCAATTTTCAATCTACAGAACTGCAGATTCAACCCTTCCACCCATCCTCAACGCAATTGAGATTTATACCGTAAAATCATTCGTACAATATGAGACAATCGAGACAGAAAGTATTTTCTTTTAAACTCAAAACATATTGGTTTTCACTAGTTTGCTATTTTAATTAGAAAATCAAATTGCATGGTTTTAACTCCAATTGTTATTTATGTATGACATAATAGTTGATGCAATCTCAAATATAAAATCAATATATGGATTGCAAAGAAATTGGCAAGGAGATCCATGTGTTCCTGAAGCATACTCATGGGATGGTCTTAATTGCAGCTACAACGGTTACAATCCACCTAGAATCATATCCTTGTTAGTCTATATATGCCTCTATTTTCTAGTCCGAATATAAATATATATATGTTGATTCAGTCCATATCTTTGATCATAACACTATTTACTCGTGCTGACCATTAAATCAGGAACTTATCCTCAAGCGGCTTGAATGGAGAGATACCGCCTTACATAATCAGTCTCACTCAGTTACAATATCTGTAAGTATATATATCAAGATCGAGATAAACTAGCTACCAAGTTGTTGATTTGTTATAAAGGGAGAAACATAAACTCGATCGATTACTTCTGTGAATATACCAGGGACTTATCAAACAATAGTTTGACTGGACCAGTGCCTGAGTTTCTATCCCAACTGCAAAGCTTGACAGTTCTGTGAGTTACTAGGGATTCAAACTTAAAAATGAAGATTCTTTTATTAAGTTACAGTAAAGGATCATAAATTATATACCCCCGCAGGAACTTAGATGGAAACATGCTTAATGGTACAATTCCATCTGCACTTATTGAAAGGTCGAAAAATGGCTTGCAATTAAGGTATGCTTTCTGTTAAACAATGGACTTAATTATTCTTTCCATGATTTTCCATTATGGTGCTCCAAGCCATTCATCTCATTCTTTTATAGTAAACAATGAAACCAAATAAGAACATGGAGACACAAGTCAGTGGAGTTCACAGGGGAGCAAATATTGAAAAAAATCAAAGATGTAGTTAGATTACGATTGATTGGCCTAAAAAATATAGCTTATGATCATGTTAACCAAGAACTATGTGAGAGATGGGAGTTGAGTACGGACTCATTTGTGGTGTAAAAAGTTTGACAGTATGTAATTGTTGGTTGGTAGCAGTTCTACCGCTTCTTGGATAATGAATAAAAATTACTTATCCCAAAAAAAAAAAAAAAAAGAAAAGAACATGGAGTCATGTTATTAGGATTGACTGAAACTTGATACCATCGGGAGCCATCATTCGTGCGTGTATAGTTTGTCTTACTCTCTCTGTTGTGAACTGAATTGATGTAGTATTGACGGAAATCCCAACCTTTGTGTGTCACTCCCGTGCAAGAAGAATAAGAAGAAAAACGTTGTTGTTCCAATTGCAGCATCAGTTGCTTCATTTTCTGTACTAATAATTGTATTGGCTACCATATGGAGGCTTCTTAAAAGGAGACAACCACCACTAGGTATGACCTCCATTACAAAAATAGATAAGCTCAGAACATTGAACTGAACTATTTAAATGCCTTTTTTCTTTAAGCTATTCTCAACAGATTTATGCTTATTGAACCTATTATCAGATGGGAATACGGATGATGAATCCAACACATTATTCCAGTCATTGGAGTTAAAGAATAGGCGGTTCAAGTTCTCTGAGGTACAGACGATGACAAACGACTTTAAGAGAGTTCTTGGTACTGGAGGATTTGGAAATGTTTTCTACGGCAACATAGATGACACTGAAGTAGCCGTAAAGATGCTATCTCTATCATCAAGTCAAGGGTACAAGCAGTTTGAAGCTGAGGTATGAGAGCCTAGCATACATAAAAGTTTTATATATGTCATTTATACCCATTTATATCAAACTAATTAAAACTTGTCTTTTTTAATATAGGTCAAAACTCTTTTTAGAGTTCATCATGCAAATTTGACAAGCCTTATTGGGTATTGCAATGAAGGTGCCAATCTGGGGCTAATTTACGAGTACATGGCCAAAGGAAATTTAGCAGAGTTTCTATCAGGTATGTTACAAAGTGCTTCACCTTCCAACTCCTTCAATTTTTAGTTCTAGCAAGAACAAAAATTCTGCAATCTCTGTTTGGACAACTTTCTAGATAAGTTAACACACTTTACATGGAAGAATGCAGATAGAAGTACACGTATACTGAAATGGGAAGAAAGAGTACGAATAGCACTGGAAGCAGGGCAAGGTTAATGCGTTTGCTTTATTTAGTTTTCCATTTTATTAATTTGTGACTTCAAGTTAACCAAACACAAAAAACTGAAAAATATTAATGTAGGACTTGAGTATTTACACGAAGGTTGCAGACCACCAATAATCCACAGAGATGTGAAATCTTCAAACATCTTATTAAACGAAGACTTCCAAGCCAAACTAGCAGATTTCGGGCTGTCAAAGACATTTCCAATCGAAGGTGGAAGTCATATATCAGCATCGGTTGCTGGTACTACTGGCTACCTTGATCCCGAGTAAGTACGTCTTATTGCTTGTAAAATTCAACACTATATAGTTGTAATGATCTTACTAAGTTTCATGTTTCTTATGCAGGTATCGCACATCATTCATTTTAACCAAAAAAAGTGATGTTTATAGCTTTGGGGTTGTTCTTTTGGAGATCATAACAGGTAAACCAGCTGTGATTAATGCACAAACCAACAATGTGAGAACTCACATAAGTAAATGGGTTAGCTCCATTCTGTCTAGAGGTGATATCAGAAGTATTGTTGATCAAAGATTAGATGGAGATTTTGATGTTAATTCTGCGTGGAAAGCCGTAGAAGTAGCAATGCTTTGTGTGTCTCACAATTCAACAAGAAGGCCAACCATGAACGAGGTGGTGCTGGAACTAAGCCAATGTTTGTCTGCGGAAAGAGCCAGGACAACGGGAGAGCACGGAAATAAATCAAAAAACCCAGTTGACATGATGACCATGAGTTTAAGCACTGAAATTGGTCCTGTACCGAGGTAATCATTCAAAGTCATGGGAATAGACGTAATGATCATGAATCTAGATTCTTGAATAAGATCGATTAATTCCTAGAAAGGTAGCTTAAATTTTATCAGTCAGAGTCGACTGAGAGTATTATTGTACGAGAAAGGTATTGTATAAAATTCGATATATATTTTGTGTATGATTTTAAAGACTTAATGTTCTGGATAACAATTGCAATTCTCTTTTCATATATGACAAAGGATTCAGGCGTATTAATGTTGGGATTCAAGGAGTGCTGTATGTGACATTTTAAGCTTATTTTTGTGATACCACAAACAAAAGGCAGATTAAAGCTGTTTATCTTCCTTTTGGACGGCTTTCTATGGGTTGCTTTTCTTTTTCGATTCTGGGCATACTTTTCTGAGGAATTGGCTTCCATATCATTCTTTCCTTATCTTTTCAACAAGCCATCTTTCCCAATTCCTATTTGGATTAAGGGGATACCTTCCGCTTCTTGCTTACTAGTTATTTGGATTTTTTTTGTAGCTGGTTAAATTGGATGATTTATCGGAAAACTTTGTTTGAGGGTGTAAAATGCAAAGCGTGTCATAGAATGCCAGAGGTACCTATAGTAGTATGAAAGTTCAATTTGTGAGGTGGCTGTTAAAGGTATATACATTAACTGGTTTTCTTGCAGGATACTAGATTGATGGCTTGTGATTTCAGATAATTGAGAAGTTTTGGTCCTATGGTAATTTTGATTAGCGTTCTGACATTATGGATTAATGTTTTTTGAATACAATTCTATGAGGTGATTAAGGAAAGATGTATTGCAATCTTGGATTGATGGTTGGATCTTGATTTTAGGTATTGCCTTGTGAATATGAATGTTTCGAGTGGACAGGATGAAAAGAAACTGTTATGGGAAGTGTTTTATCCATAAGGGCCCGGAGCTTTGGTACTTCATAAGGTTTGGTTGATTTTATATTTATGGAGAGCGTTAATTTTGGAAGTTGATTGGGTTTGCTAATTTTGAAGACAGCTTTTTAAGTGAAAAATGATTTTCTTGGAGTTCCTGAAATAGGATGAAGAATTTTGATTATCATGACAGAAAATGATTTATTTTACGGGATTTGACTGACGCTTTTGATTTCAAGATCACTAGGAAGAACCATTCTTTTTCCTTAAAAAAAAAGTACTAAAAACATTTTGAAAAATCAAAGGCTTCATTATTAACATTATTATATTTGCATACAAATTTTTTCTCTTGTATCTTCATTAAGTATATTATTAATTATTTATTAGTAAAGTATAATCTTGATTAACGGTTGGCATGCATCAAATTAGTCCACCGAAGATATATAACAAACTTAGGCAACTAGGATTAATTAAGTAATTCATTTTATATGTTAAGTTGGATGAACTTGCTCTAAACCTACCTATACATTGGGTTTTAATATCTTTCTTTGATCATACAGTCCATGTGTAGAATTTATTTATCCAACAACAGAAATTTCCATCGAAGCAAATAAAAATAGGTATAATTTTAAAATAAGTTTGAAAAGCATAGTTATCCTTTGTACTTCAAAGTCATCAAGGACAACTCTGGCGACAAAGACAGGTCTAATTAATTAATTTTCTACTTAAGTTTTACACGAGAAATAAGTATTCATTGCTTAATTATAAAAAAAAAAAAAAAAAAGTATACATTCCTTGTCAATAATTTTTTCTATTATTAATTTATCAAAAAATAAATGCTTGTAAATAATCTAAATTAACGCTTATATGATTCTCACACACAAAAAACAATTAGATACATCATTTTTCTTATCTCTCCAAAATTCAAATTCCAAATTCCAATAACAAGAGATATTATTGAAATTAAGAATATTATTACTTTATAATTTTTTTGGTTAAAAATATCACAGTTTGAAAATTAAATAAAATTATAAATATTGAAATTTTGATCTTAAATAATATTATTTTTTTAAAAATGATTTCATAAACTAATTTAATTAACTTACAATTTCAATTTTCAATGTTTTCGCCGTTAGCAAATTATTTTTATGGGAAAAGATATCTTATTATATATATATATATATATATATATATATAGATGACATTTCAAGTTTCAACTATATTAGAAGTTCAGCAAATTCCGCGTCGTTTAACCATATTATTGATAAAATTAATTAAAGTATAAATTAAACGAAGTCTTCCCTTAAAGTCCGCCCCACTAGCAAGTCAGCTGAGAACCTTCAAGTGTCAAAGGCCATGTCTGTCACGTTTTGGTCAAAAATTTCACTCTATTGACTTGCAACAACCATACAACGGATCAATTCACGCAGCTAGCATTAGTTTAATTAAATTTTTACAGCAAACGCACGTATAGCATACAGAATTACCCACCAAGGCTTAGCCTCGTTAGTAGAAATGCACAAGATTTAAAAATAAACATTTTAATGCTTAAATTGCTCTCGGAAGAATAATTGACCAAGTTTCATTCATATTTTATTTCAATGAACACTACTTTGCCTGTATATATGAAATTTATGTAAGTTATAAGATTTGATCAATTGCTTCTTTGTCCTCTAAAGACAGTAATGGAGGTGTTAAAGCATGTCTCCCTTGCATTGATCATTAGCAGCATTGCTTTTGCAGTTTTGGTTCCTGCCCAGCTTGATCAATCAGGTTCAGTTATCTAATCTTTCAATCAGAATTTCTATTCTGATCTTCACTAACCAGGGAAGAACTAAGATCTTGCATTGTTTCTCTCTCAGGTTTCATTAGCTTAGATTGTGGGCTACCAGCAGATTCGAGCTATACTGAAGCCACAACAGGCATTGATTATATTTCAGATGCAGCTTATATCGAAACTGGCATTGGTAAGAGTGTCTTACCTAAATTCCAAACAGGAAAGCAGCAGCAGACATGGCACGTTAGAAGCTTTCCTGAAGGGGACCGAAATTGCTACAACCTTAACCTCACAAAGGGCGACCAGTATTTAATCAGAGCTAGTTTCATGTATGGAAATTATGATGAATTAAATAAAGTGCCACAATTTGATCTGCATTTAGGTCCCAATTTGTGGGGTACTGTATCATTGCAAAATAATGCTTCCACTGCTATAACTATGGACATAGTTTATGTCCTACAAGAAAATCATTTGCATGTTTGTCTGGTGAATACCGGTAATGGGATACCATTCATATCGGCATTAGAGTTGAGGCTTTTGAACAATACTACCTACAGAACTGAAACTGGATCCCTACAGCTCCTCACAAGGTATGATGTTGGTTCAGCAACGGGAACACTCAGATAAGTTATTCTATCAGCTTTCAACTTACTAAAACCTTTTGATAAATAGAATTATAATTTTTAGACTCCTTTGCTTAGTTCCTGAGTAATGCAACAGGTTTAAAGAAGATGCTTATGATCGTATCTGGAGGCCTTATAAAAGAAACGATTGGACACAAATAAGTACATCTTCTACAGTCGGTTCTGCAGACGACAACTACCAACCACCATCACTTGCTATGAGGACTGCAGGCACACCAATAAATGCTAGCCACTCCTTGGATTTCTTCATTGACTCCAGCTCTCTTCCAGGTGCTCAGTTTTTGAAGGATTTAGAGCAGAGGAAGAACAAAAAAAAGAAGAAACTAATCTGTCACTTGAAGTAAATTGGCTCTGCAGATCATGAGCTTCATTTCATTAATATATAGGCTTTAACATACAAAAGTTTGTTTAACTACTACAAGAGTTGTTTGCCTAACAGTATGGATCACCATGCACAGATCCATCATGTTACCTAAACTGATCAGATGGCAGAACCTATTACAAAAGTGCCAGTAGAAATGCCATACCTAGTTGCTTCAACCACTAACACACTAACAGTTTTACTTGTACATGCACTTTGCTGAAGTTGAAAGGCTCCTGGCTAATGAGTCCAGATCCTTTAACATCTCTTATAATGGCAAGTACTGGTATGGACCTTTTAGTCCTACTTACTTGTCCTCAACGACTCTGTATACTCAATCAGCTTTGATTGGTGGACGGTACCAATTCTCAATCTACAAAACTGCTGATTCAACCCAACCACCTATCCTTAACGCAATTGAGGTTTATATGGTAAAAGAATTCTTACAATCTGAGACAATCCAAAAAGAAGGTATTCTCCTTAGAACTCTAAATATATGGTTTCACCAGCTAGCTGCCTGTCTCCACAATCAATATGCAGGCCTTTAAGTCATAATCTGATACATTTCTGAAACAAATAGTTGATGCAATCTCAAATATAAAATCAATTTGTGGATTGAAAAGAAACTGGCAAGGAGATCCATGTGCTCCTCAACCATACTCCTGGGAAGGGCTTAATTGCAGCTATGATGGTTACAATCCACCTAAAATCATATCTTTGTAAGTTTTTGCCCCCCCACCCCCAATGTTCTAGCTATCAATATCTTCCTTCAGTTCAACATCTTTGCTAGCGGTTCTATTTAACATTAAATCAGAAACTTATCCTCAAGCGGATTGACTGGCAAGATACCTCCTTACTTGGCCAATCTCACTCAGTTACAATATTTGTAAGTATATTAAGATCACAATAACTAAAAGTCTAAAAGGTCACGAATCTATTTATTGGAAAAACATTAGCTTAACTGTTACTCTGAAATGTCAGGGACTTATCCAATAATAGTTTGAATGGAGCAGTGCCTGAGTTTCTATCTCGATTGCAATCCTTGACAGTGCTGTAAGAAACTAGGATTGAGACTCCATAAACATTTCTTTGTAAGCTAAGTTGAGGATCATTACTGCTATATTTTGCAGAAACTTGCAAGGAAACAAGCTGAATGGTACAGTTCCAGCTGAACTTGTTGAAAGGTCAAAGAATGGATTGCTATTGAGGTATGCTCTCTGTTCAGAAACTGGACCTATTGTTCCCATGATTTGCCATTATGGTACTCTAAACCATTGATCACAATGTTTCTTTGTAAAAAATGAAGCCAAATAACATGGGGGCTAAATACTTAGGATTGACTTGAACTTGATATCGCATGACAATCCTAACTGTTTGGGTATTCCAAGTCTTAACCTTCCTGTTGTTAACTGAAATAACTGTAGCGTTGAAGGAAATCCAAACCTTTGCGCATCACTTTCATGTAACAAGAAGAAGAAGAAAACTGTTATTCCAATTGCAGTATCAGTTGCTTCATTTGCTGTTCTCATAATTGCGTTGGCTATCTTATGGAGGCTTAAAAGGAGAAAACCACCAGTAGGTACGATCAACATGACCAAAATCGGTGAATTTCGAACATTAAATGGAGCCTTTTTCATGCTGTTGCTTGAAACATTCTCAAAATGTTTATGCTCATAGACCTATGCTGATTTTATCAGGTCCAAATATGGATGATGAATACCAAAACTCAGCCCCATCACTGGAGTCAAAGAACAGGCAGTTCACGTTTTCTGAGGTGCAGAGAATGACAAACAACTTCGAGAAAGTTCTCGGGAGAGGAGGATTCGGAACAGTTTTCCATGGCTACTTGGATGACTCTCAAGTAGCAGTAAAGATGCTATCTCATTCATCTGTTCAAGGCTATAAGCAGTTTCAAGCAGAGGTACAAGAGCCTAACTTATATGAAAGCTTCTTCTCATTTATGATATCAAACTAATTAAGATTTTGGTTCATTTATATAGGTCAAACTTCTTCTTAGAGTTCATCATAGAAACTTGACAAGCCTTATTGGGTATTGCAATGAAGGCACCAATCTGGGGCTAATATACGAGTATATGGCTAAAGGAAACTTACCAGAACGTTTGTCAGGTTTGGATACACTATTCTCCGCATTCTGATTCAATAAATTTTGTTTCTAGCAAGAAGGGAACTCATCATATCAATACATGCATGGTTGGAGAGGTTAACGCACCTTATGAAATGGATGCAGATAGATGTCACAGTGTCCTGATTTGGGAAGGAAGACTTCGAACGGCACTGGAAGCAGCACAAGGTTAACATGCATTAACTTAATTTATTTTCCATTTTTAAAATGCTTTTTATAAGTTTTATTTGTAATAGCAAGTGAACTAAGAACAATAAATTGAAAATTGCTGGACTGGAGTATTTACATAATGGTTGCAAACCACCAATAATTCACAGAGATGTGAAATGCACAAACATCTTGTTAAATGAAAACTTACAAGCCAAGTTAGCTGATTTCGGTCTGTCCAAGACTTTTCCTGTTGAAGGTGCCACTCATGTATCGACATCCATTGCTGGTACTCCTGGCTACCTAGACCCTGAGTACGTACATCTGCTTTTGGCAAAGCTATTGTTCTTAGAGTTCACCTTTGCTTTGTTGAAATGATCTTTGAATTCAAACAAAATTACATTTTTGTTATGCAGGTATTACATATCAAACAGATTAACAGAGAAAAGTGACGTTTATAGTTTTGGGATTGTTCTTCTTGAGATAGTAATAAGTCGACCAGTGATTTCAGAAACCAATAATAAGAGAACTCACATAAGTCAATGGGTTAGTTCCATGCTGTCCAGAGGGGATATAAGAAATATTGTTGATCCAAGATTAAGAGGAGATTTTGATGTTAATTCTGTGTGGAAAGCTGTAGAAGTAGCGATGACTTGTCTGTCTCCAACTTCCACAAGAAGGCCAACCATGAATCAGGTAGTGGTGGAATTAACCCAATGTTTGTCAGCGGAGAGAGCTAGGACGGTGAGGGGACATGAAAATGAATCACAAGACTCGATTGCAATGATTACCAGGAATTTTGAAACTGAACTTTCCCTACCAAGGTGATCGTGAATCTGAGAAAAAGATTAATCCCTGGCAGGATAAACCCAAAAATATTATCGTCATTTTGATGCTTTCTAGCTATGGTTGATGTGAGTACAGTGGCATGCAACAGGGTGTAGTTTGTGTAAAGAAAGTCTGTTCTAGTGGACTATATGTAGATAATTTCATACATATACTTTTGTGCATGATTTCAAAGAACAATGTCATGTCCAATTTGAGTAAACCAGAAATTCCAGCCATTCTATTCCGTAATTCTGTTTTTCATCAGAGTTCAAACATTTTAACTGGCATTTGAATGATGCAGATCAAGTAAGTTTCTGTCATTTTTTCCCCAAATATTACCTGCATCTTGGTAAGAAAATAAAAATTCCTCAAGGATTCTGAACAAGTTACATGATCAGGAAAAACCAAAAAAAATGACAGTTGAAACCTGATCTGTGATCACTGATTCAACAGCATCCTCTACCACTTACTGACTAGTTTCGGTTCTCCAAATATTATGGTGAAGAGAATATGGTCCAACATCTTGTCACAATGACTTCTTCCCCTTCAAAAAAAAAAGACGAAAACTAACTAGGCCTTGAATTTTACGATAAAAGAGGGAAGGAAAATCAAGAGGTCAACTTTTTTGTCTGTCAACAAAAACTGCATCTCTTGCGCGTAAAACTCTCTTTCCTTCTAGCTAAACCGCATTATGTAAGGTCAACTATGACCAACAACTTAGAACATCAACCGACAGAAACAACTTTATTCTGAGCAGAATGCCTTGACAAGAACAGCATGCCAGCAGTATTCTATCAACTTAAATAACAATTCTACTTATGAACTTTCTTAGCTACATCTTTGATGCTACAACTGAAAAATGTTCAAATATACTACTTAGTCCTCTTATAAATAGAGATGGTCAACAGATTTATCAATTTATTTCCTCTCTTTTGCATCTTCACTCTATTGATTTCTGATCATTGAAATGGCAAATTCCAATTAGATTATTATAGTTTCATGTTTTCTTATACTAACCATCCAAGCCTACCCTTTACCTGGTGATCTATTAAAGTATAAATTGAGGGTATCATATTTCACACCCTCAATTACAAAATACTATGTTGGTATGACTTGTTCTTTCCCTAAACAAACCTGTGACTTGGCAAAATAGGATCAATGGAGTAGACAATTTGAAAACCTAGTTTCATATTTAATAATCTTGACCAAAATTATAATCAAGTATTCAAGAAAATATGCTCAGAACTTTCATTTAATACCAATGCTGAAATATACTATATAAATTGGTCAATACTGTTTGCTGGATCAATGCCAAATGGACAAAGAAATAAGTTCCGAATTGTACCCAACAGAAATTTTCTTGAGTTAATTTAATATATCAATCTGCCGTTTCCTACAGAAATATTGATGTAGTAATGGTTATTGATTACAACAGCAACAATTGACCAAGTATCTAAAATATTTTTATATAATATAGCTAATGATAAACTGTGATTAGGATTATAATGCTAGTTTGCTACTTTCTTCTCCTATGCAGAGGAAGCTAAAAATAAGATGGAGATGTTTAGATGTTTTTTCCTGGCTTTGTTTGGAGGTTTGGCTTTCGTGATCCAGCTCCAGCTTCTTCAGGTTAATGGCCAAGATCAATCAGGTTTTTCAATATCTTAATTTATGCATATCCATTCAGATGAGATTCTTTCACCATAAACAGGACTCAGACCTTTCTTGTTCTCTCAGGATTCATTAGCTTAGATTGCGGATTACCACAAGACTCCAACTATACTGAAATCACTACGGGCTTAAACTATAGTTCAGATGCTTCCTTTATAGAAACAGGCATAAGTAGGAGTATATTACCTGAATTCAGAACAAATGTTCAGAGGCAGATGTGGTATGTCAGAAGCTTTCCTGAAGGAATAAGAAACTGTTACAACTTTAGACTTAAAAATGGGAGTAACTATTTGATCAGAGCAAGTTTCATGTATGGAAACTATGATTCGCAAGATAAAGCACCAGAATTTGATATGCATCTAGGACCAAATCTATGGTTTTCAGTGAGACTGAAAAATGCATCCACTTTCATAACCAGAGAGATAGTGCATGTTGTCTCATCAGACAATTTATACGTCTGCCTGGTCAATACGGGCAATGGAACACCTTTTATATCTGTACTGGAATTAAGGCTTCTGATGAATAGCATTTATAAGACTCAAACTGGATCACTGGATCTCTTGGCGCGGCTGGATATTGGTTCGAAAGACAATGAAACAATCAGGTCAGTGATTCACTTTATAAAATGACATCCTATTTTTTTTTCCCCTGAAAGCACGAGTAACCATTGCTTGCTTTGCACAAATACTACATACCATAGGTATAAAGATGATGTCTATGACCGTATTTGGTGGCCTCAAAATTTCGCTGGTTGGAACCAGCTTACAACATCACATACAATTGATTCAAATGGCCATAATGATTTTCAACCACCATCAGTTGTCATGAGAACTGCTGCCACCCCCAAAAATGCTAGCCAGCCAATTGATATCCTTTTGAATGGTGACAATTCGACTGCACAATTTTATGTTTACATGCACTTTGCTGAAGTTAAAAAGCTCCAAGACAACGAGTACAGGCAGTTCAACATTTCTTTGAATGGAAAGTTCTGGTTCGGACCTTTTGTTCCAGATTACTTATACACAACCACTATATACACCCTGTCAGCATTAACTGGAGGCCAACATCAATTTTCAATCTATAAAGCTCACAATTCTAGCCTGCCACCCATTCTCAATGCCCTTGAGGTCTATATGGTAAAAGAACTGTTACAAACACAATCAGACCCAATGGATGGTATGTTCCTAAATCACTGCTTTTGCATCTCCAGTATGTGTAAAATAAGAATTATTTAATGTAACTATGGAAATGTTAGTTGAAGCTATCACAAACATCAAGTCAATGTACGGACTAAAGAAAAACTGGCAAGGCGATCCATGTGCTCCTCAAGCTTACTTGTGGGATGGTCTTAATTGCAGCTATGCTGGTTCCGATCCACCTAGAATCATATCCTTGTGAGTCTATATGTTAAAAGAAATATAGTTTTTCCACTTATTTGAACTCCGTTTTCATAAATTACTGAACATACAACTAGGAACTTGTCCTCAAGTGGATTGACAGGAGAGATATCTAGATACATATCAAATCTCAACATGATAGAAATTCTGTAAGTTCCATATTCTTGTGCATTTATACCATTAGTTGCTAACCTATGATTTAGAACAATGGGCTCAATTGTTTCTATCATGCACGTTGTCAGGGACTTATCTGAAAATAATTTGACTGGACCAATACCTGAATTTCTATCACAAATGACCTCACTAAGAGTCCTGTAAGTTACTTGGCAAATAACACATCTGCAAATGCATTTTTCTTAGAAAAAAAACTAAAAGGTCATATTGCCATGCAGAAGCCTAAGAGGAAACTTGCTAAATGGTTCTGTTCCAGTTGAACTTATTGAGAGATCAAAAAATGGGTCGCTATCCTTAAGGTTTGCTTCTTGACAATAACTATACGTAAAATTATTACTTTCACATTCCCCACACTACAACTTATATCATGTCAAAGTGGATATGGTCATGTAATACTATTTTTTCTTTTGAATTTAACTAATTCTCATTTAATTATGTCGAAATTAATGTGTTCATTTGATAACTATTATAGTTCAGTAACTTTGTCCTGTAGTACAGGTACTATAATATTCTAACTCTCACATACCATCAATCGAATTGATTAGTGTTGAAGGCAATCAAAATCTTTGCTTATCAGCTTCTTGCAAGAAAAAGAAGAAGTTTATTGTACCAGTAGTAGCATCAGCTGCTGCATTTCTTGTCCTTGTAATTGCGTTGACTACCGTATTGAGCATTAAAATAAGAAAAAAACAAGGTATGAGTCCACTATGAAAATAACCAAAGCTCTAGAATATAATAGAATCTATGATATACTAAATGCAATTGGTGAAGGATTTTCACTTGTTGTATGCTTATTGAACTTTTTGATAATTCACTAGCTAGGAAGGCTGATGCCACATCCAACACAGAAGATCAGTTACTAGAGTCAAAAAATCGGCAGTTCACTTACTCTGAGGTCCTCAAGATTACTAACAACTTTGAGAGGGTTCTTGGCAAGGGAGGTTTTGGAACAGTTTACCACGGCTACTTGGATGGTGCTCAAGTGGCTGTGAAGATGCTATCTTCAATGTCAGTTGAAGGCTATAAGCGGTTTCAGGCAGAGGTGGGTAACTTTTATAAGAAGTTTCAGGTCATTTATAAAATACTGAACTAATTATTATAGATATGAGTTTTAATTTCAGGTTGAATCACTTTTAAGAATTCATCATAGAAATTTGACAAGCATAGTTGGCTATTACGATGAAGGCACCAACAAGGGGCTAATCTATGAGTACATGGCTAATGGAAACTTAGAACAGCATCTGTCAGGTGTGGGCTCATTTGAAAATTTTGAAATATTGTGGTAAAAGCCAGCATAGTTGACATATCAGATTACTAAATTGAATTGAACAAGCAAAAGGGTTTAAACAAATTCCATGTCGCTAATGCAGAAAGTAGCCCTAATATCTTGAGTTGGGAACAGAGACTAAAAATAGCAATGGAGGCAGCACAAGGTTAGAATGCATATGATTTGCTTAATTTCATTTCACTTTTACATGTCTGTTTTAATGCGACTTCAAGTGAATTATCACTGCAACTCAAAATCAGGATTGGAGTATTTGCACGATGGTTGCACACCACCCATAATTCACAGAGATGTAAAGTCCACCAATATCCTATTGAGCGAGGACCTACAAGCCAAACTTGCTGATTTCGGGCTGTCCAGAACTTTTCCTCTTGAAGATGATACGACCGTCTCCACATTTGTTGCGGGTACCCCAGGATACCTTGACCCTGAGTAAGTACTTTCCATTTTTGGGATACAAATAAACATAGTTTCATCCTATGACGGCAAGCTGAGTTACATGTTGGCTTTGCAGGTACAGCATATCAAACAGGTTAACCGAGAAGAGTGATGTGTATAGCTTTGGGGTAGTTCTGTTGGAGATAATAACAAGTCGACCTGTGATCAAAAAAACCAATAAGAATGCTCATATAAGCCAATGGGTTAGTTCCACACTCTCAAAGGGAGACGTAAAAAACGTTGTTGATACAAAATTACAAGGAGATTTCGACATTGATTCGGTTTCCAAAACTATAGAATTAGCGTTGTCTTGTGTATCCCCGATTTCCACAGGGAGGCCAACCATGAATCATGTAGTGATGGAATTAGGTGAGAGTTTGGCAATCGAGATGGAAAGGACAAATAATAGCCATAAAATTGAAGTGGGGTAGCTTGGCAATCGTGTAATGTATTTGTCACTCTGGCAGCTTCAATCATTGTTTCCATTTGTATAAAGAAATATAATTTGTTTTTCAACTGTTATTGGAAATTGACAAGTAATACCAAAAAATGAAAAATCAAAAGAGACCTTCCTGGTCCCTGGATGTGTGCCTGCAACCTTCTTCAAAGGGTATTATTTACGTAAATGTCCATCATTTCCTGAGGTATGATATGACAAACAAATAACGGCCACACACTTCCAAAGGTAACATGGGTGACTTGTTTAACCGGAGGGGAAAACAGATTCCTTCCAGGTCCAAAATTTTATCTTTAACCAAATCATCATTTTACTTGAACATTGAACAAGGCAAATTTTTAATATTTATATTTTATTTAATGTTTTATACGAATAAAATTTAAAGATTGTATTATCAGATGATTTTAATTTTTATTAAAAAATTTTATACACTTAATCTAAATAAAAATGAAATTACTTACATAAACTTTGTATTGTGAAGTTCATAAATTAAAATTGAAATTTCAAATTTATAGATTGAATCATTGAAAAGTTTTGCTATATAGATATGTAAATTTTTAAAAAAATATATTTTTAGATAAATATTTTTATTAAAAGTTTTGAAAATTTTTTTGTGTTAAATAGTATTAATCAAATTTAAATTATAAATAATTTTTTATATATTATTAATTTTATCATTAATTCTATCAATATATCAATTTAAATTTTTTACTAATGTTTTTATTAAATTATTTTTAATAAAAATTTCATCTAATTAAATTGTCTCCAGTCGTTCCACTCTATACACTACTAGTTGGTTCGTTACCATATCTCCAAATCCATTTGTCGAGGGGAGCTTTGTTTTTGGCATCAACTTGGATAAAAATTTTCTATTTCATTTTTCTAAAAAGATTTTAACAAAAAAAAGTCAAAGTATTCAAAGTTGCTGACTTTGACTAAGTAAAATTTGTATCTACTTCATACCAAATCAATATATTTAAATTTTCTTATGACTTTTTTTATTAGGAAACTTAAGGGAAAAAACAAAAGATAGAAAACATATAAAGTCTTGTTCAAGATTACTATCAGAGACATTAATATAATAAAGCTTGATACGATGCCAGTCCGATTAATTAACATCAACCACATAGATTGAACGCAGCAGCTGTTCTTCAATTTAAAAGGTCTGGACGAACTTTCTCAGCATTTAACAAAAGTCTTATCTCAGCTCTCATACTAAATCAGCGGTTTGATTTTTCTTGGTTAATTTGGTCATACAACTTGTTCAGATTACTTGCAACTTGCAGGAAAGGTAATGAAAAGTATTCACCCGACTACAAAATATGGTTAACTATATGGCAATAACCTATAATCAAGTTGTTGGTTTAGACATGGTCAAAGGGATGTTAAGACATTTGCTTTTAGCAGTGCTTAACAGTTTTGTTCTAATAATTCTGATACATGCACAAGATCAACCAGGTAATTTTAATAGTTGTATATGTCTGAATCTGTAATTATTTGCCATTCATTACAAGCACTAAGTCCTCTGCCTTTCTCTCTCAGGCTTCATTAACATAGATTGTGGGTTACCCGAAAATTCTAGCTATCCTGAAAATGAAACGACTCTGACTTACATGTCAGATGCAGCCTTCATTGACACTGGCATCAGCATGAAAATATCATCGGAATTCGTAACGGATAGCCTTCGGCAACCATTCAAGCATGTCAGAAGCTTTCCTCAAGGAATCAGAAGCTGTTACAGTATAGAAGTCAGCAGAGGTAATAAGTACTTGATTAGAGCATTTTTCATGTATGGAAATTATGATTCCCAACGTAAAGTGCCAGAGTTTGAGCTGCATCTTGGAGCTAATTTGTGGGAAACCATTAAACTATCTGATGCATCTACTTGGCGAATGGCGGAGATCATACATGTACCACTGTCAAATTTTATATCTGTCTGTCTAGTGAACACAGGATTTGGGACACCCTTCATATCAGCAATAGAATTAAGGCCTTTGAGAAATACTATCTATGAAATTCAATCTGGATCACTGGAACTCCAATGGCGGTTTGATTTTGCTTCATTAACTGATCAAATATTGAGGTAAATCATTTTATATATATGCCGCGATTCCTTCTTTCTTTTACCTTAATTTGAAATGTCAACGTGCTTAAAAACTGAGAAATTGCTCAGGTATAAAATAGATGAATATGATCGTCTCTGGTGGCCTTACAATTTAGAAAACTGGGCTCTGTTGAATTCCTCATTTTCCATTGACTCCAAAAATAATGATTTCAAACCACCATCAATTGTCATGGAAACTGCTGCACAGATGAAAAACAACAGTAAGCCCTTAAGTTTAACTTTTCTAACCATTAAACAGACAGACAAATTTTATGTGTACATGTACTTTGCTGAAGTTGAAAAGCTCCAAGCAAACCAGTTCAGACAGTTTAACATATCTCTGAATGGACGACATTGGTCTGGACCTCATTCTCCTGCTTATTTAGAAGCAACTACTGTCTATAAAACAACACCATTGACAGGCGACTCAGAATACCAGTTTTTAATATACAAAGCCCAAAATTCATCACTTCCACCAATCATCAATGCCATTGAGGTATACAAGCTCAATGAACTCCCACAACTAGAAACAAACCAAGATGATGGTATATATGTTCTTTCCAAATATTCTTTTCATTTTGTAAATATGGTCTTCCTCTCCTAGTATGATTTGTCCTAACTATTGTTTCTTGTACAAAATTCTATAGTTGATGCCGTTAAAAATATCAAATCAACAAATCAAATTAAGAGAAATTGGCAAGGAGATCCTTGTTCTCCTGAAGCTTACTTGTGGGATGGTCTTAACTGCAGTTACAATGGTTCACCTAGAATAATATCCTTGTGAGTCTGTTTCTTCAAGGTTATGCTGATTTCTGATAAATTCTAGATCTCTATAATTAAGGCTACTGCAAATTTCATCAGGAATTTGTCCTCAAGTGGATTGACAGGGAACATAACACTTTACATATCAAATCTGTCAATGTTACAAATCTTGTAAGTATCTCTTCTAACAGAACTGACCAAGCTGACAACATATTTAAACCAAATCCACTCAATTTCTGTTTCAATGTTAGGGATTTGTCCAACAATAATTTAGTGGGAGAAGTGCCTAGTTTTCTGTCCAAACTGCCACTCTTGAGGGTCCTGTAAGTGGCAAATCTTAAATTAAAAAATTAAGATTCCTATATATTCTTTTCAGGAAAAAGAAAAACATTTGATGTCTCTATGCAGAAATTTGAAGAAAAACAAACTCATAGGTTCAGTTCCAGTTGAACTCATCCAAAGATCAAAGAATGGTTCTCTAATACTGAGGTATGCTACTTTATCTAAACATACCCAAATATTATGATTATTCATTTTGATGAATAAACGTTTACTGGTAAATCAAATCATAGTTAATGTGATTACAGAGATTTTCTGTTTTCCATTTTGCTTCCTTTTAATGGGGGAATTAATAATTAATCTCCTTAGAAGAAATACTACATTATTAGTAGTAGTTTGACTCCAAGTCTCATCCTTGTCTTTATTCAAGTGTTGGGGGAAATCCAGATCTTTGTTCATCAATTTCATGTGACAATAAAAACACGAAACTTGTTGCTTCAGTGGTTGCATCTGTGGTTACATCATTCGTCCTCGTTACTGCCTTGGCCGTCTTCTGGTTTCTTAAAAGGCGAAAGCAACAAGGTAAATGACCATTACGTATTCGTATTGGTTTGAAGATCTAGAATATATAATATGCTATGTTCTTTTTAGTTGCGTTAGCAGGGAAAATGGATGGTGAATTCAATAGAACAAATCCGGCATTAGAGTCGAAGAATCGACTGTTCACTTACGCTGAGGTCAGGAGGATTACCGGCAACTTCGAGAGGATTCTTGGCAGGGGAAAACATGGAACTGTTTACCGTGGTTACTTAGATGACACTCCTGTTGCTGTAAAAATGCTCTCTTTATTATCCGTCCAAAGCTACAAGCACTTTCAGGAAGAGGTACAAATATGAAGTTTTGATGCTTCAGCTCGTATACATCATTTAAACTAAAAAGAAATGATTTTTCTTAGGTAAATCTTCTTCTAGGACTTCACCACAGAAACCTGATAAATCTTGTTGGCTATTGCAATGAAGGTGGGCTTATCTATGAATACATGGCTAACGGAAGCCTAGAGGAACTTCTGTCAGGTTTACTTGAAACTTGAAATCTTAGATTAGATATGGAATCATGCATTTCATTTCATCCAGTATGTCATGTTATGATTTTAATCCATTGTAACAACAGACAGCAGCACTAATTTCTTGAATTGGGAGGGGAGACTGCGAGTAGCATTGGATGCTGCACAAGGTTAGAGTGTAGAGAAGCTTGTTTTACATCCATTCTAGGCATTGTTACTTGACCATTAACAGCTATAATTGATATGCAGGACTAGCGTATCTACATAATTATTGTAAGCCCGCCATAGTACATGGAAATGTGAAGTCCAGTAACATCTTAATAAATGATGAATTTCAAGTCAAACTAGCAGATTTTGGGTTATCCAGGACCTTTCTAAATGATGAAGACGCCAACGTCTTAACCTCTGCTGCTGGGACACCAGGGGACCTCGATCACGAGTGAGTAGCTTCCTTTAATCATATTTATCGCTTCTGAGTTGAAATTGTTCAAATGAAAGTCAACTGGAGTAAATATGTTGGGGCTAATTTACATTTTTTGCTTTCAGGTATTCAGAATCAAAGAGATTAAGCGAGAAAACTGATGTCTATAGCTTTGGGATTGTTCTTCTGGAGATGTTTACAGGCCAACCTGCTATTTCAAGAACACCTAAGAAGGCTCATAATCATAAAGATCTAGTTGAACTAGTCGGTTCTATGGTTGCAAAAGGAGACATTGCAAATATCGTTGATCCAAGATTAAAAGGAGACTCTGGCATTCAATCTGTCAGGAAAGCTATAAAGATAGCAATGGCTTGCATATCAGCAGCTGGCACTGGAAGGCTAACCGTCGATGAAGTAGTGATGGAATTGAATCAGTGTTTAGCAGTTGAGATAGCAGAAAACAACAAGGGCCAAGAAAGTGAAGCAAAGGGTTCGATTGAGATGATCACCGTGAATTTGGAAACTGATGAATCTATCCTTTTAGAAAGTTATCAGTTTCACTCTAGGAAGTCAACTGGGTCATGACTTAATTCTTGAGAAGAAAGAATATCCGGAAATTAGCATAGTAAATTTCACAATGACACCTCACGTGTATTTGTTTTTTAAATATTTTTTAAAATTAAGTATATTTATTTTTTAAAATTTTAAATTAATTTTAATATAAAATATCATTATATGATTCATTGATAATATATAATATTTATACATCGATAATTCATTAAATATAAATTCTTATAATAATTAAACTTTGCACATATTTATTTATAAACACCTTTAAACTTTTAAATTTACTTAATAATAAGATGACAATGTTTTATTCATTGTTAATCCAATATAACTCGTCTAGATAGATCATATTAAGTCTCAACATATTTGTACATGTAACCATTTTAAGTATGGATATAAAAAAAATCATATTAAATTTAAAATTATTTTGATATTAGATTATTCGATTTAAAATTGATATAATTGACAAGAAATTCTTTTAGAAACAAATTTGCTAAAACCATTATCAGGATTAAGGTAAATTTATACTTAAGGTCTTAAATTACTAACAAATATCTCATGTATCTGAAGGGAAAAAAAAAAGAAGAAATTTCCCATTTCTTTTCATTCTTTTTTATGATCTTAAAAACCGTTTGAAATAAACCAGATATTAATACAGAATGGGCCTATTATCAGTTGGGCAACATTTGTCATGTACGTCCAAAATCAAACCCAAAACCACCACTTCTATTATAATTCACAGGCTATTTGAGTTTCTAGGCTAGTTGGGCCAAATAAGTCAGAGCCGAACTGGATTTCTCCACCAAAATTTGAAGTTAGGTTTTGCTTTGATAAGTAGTATGGGTGAGTATTTCACTTATAATTTTTTTATTATAATTTTATAATTAATTAATTAATTATAATAATAAATTATATAAATTTATTATTTAAAAATATAGATTTAATATAAATTTTTTATAGACTTTATACAATATTAAAGTATTATTGATTAATTATATTATAATAATTGTAAGTGATATGTTCTCAAAAAATGAAAAGGATTAAAGATGAAAAATTTGTTACCACTAATAAATACCATAGGCTGAAAAACATGGGTTGATTTGAAATTAATAAAAATATTTAATATTCAAATCTAAATAAAATCTAATAAGAGAAAAAATCAATCTTTATCAAATCATTTCGAATCAGTGTTTTGTTTTTCTTTTCTTTTTTTCTCAGTTCTACAAATCTAAACACCCCTGACATGGTCTGTTCCAAGGCTGCAACTTAAATAGGGCAGTGGGGGAAGGTATTTTCATGGCATTTATGATTTTGCAAAAGCATCTTCTAAAAGTAACAAGAAAGTTATTACCTAATGACCCTAAATTCCATGGATAAGTTCCATTGCCAGCGAATGTCCACAAAGAGCAGAGCGCTCTGGTTTCAGACGTTTGAATAAAGTTAATTTCCATACTGCAAGTCGAAGCAAGTCCTGACTCAATTAAATCCACTTTAATTATTGATTGAAACGCAAGCCTGTAATCCAAAGAAATGTCACATAATCTTTTCTTAACTTGGGGAACGAAAGTCTAAACCTACTACCTTTTTTTTCAAAGACAAATGTTGTAACCATCATCGTCAGCAATGGTATGTTTCAAACAGAAACCAGTGTCCATTGTGAACGGAAATCGGAATGAAACTGGAAAAAAAATGGACTAAAAACATTGTGACGTTTAAACATGATTAACTATACTCAAGATTTGCATTCGAGGAGCCGTCAAAAAGCAATAAAATTGTGCGTTCGACAAAAACTTTTGCGAAGTCCACCTTTTCTGCGTTTATGTCCAACCTTGGTTGAGTGAGGACCAATAATTCCTAATACCTAGCTACAGAATTTCAGCAACCGTAGCCAATCATAATAGAGCAGAGTAGCTATCCTTTCCCACGGTTAAGAAAATGACATTTCCCTTGATTGATTTACTAGTCAGCTCTTAAGGCAAAGGCAATATAGCTGTCCCAATCAATGCAGCAGCTACAATCATAACCGCTCAAGCAAAGTCAATTCTCCCAACTTGAACTCGAAATGTTCTTATGCACACGCAAATTGGTTATTTTGAGACCTATGAAATGTGGTCAAACTTGAGTGACAAACAAAACAACAAAAAAACCCAGCCAGAGATCTGGGCTCCTTTCTCAACAGATTGTCTAAATTTAGCATGTTCATCTAAACCACAAAAGACCCATTTGATCCAATCAAAGCCCACTTTTTTCACCCTTACAGGACAAAGCTGAAACTGCCAAGCAAAAGCAGGATATAAAATTTTATGAAAAAACACACATCACCATCATCATCAAAACATCATTGGTATGGATGAATTAGGAGTTTAGTAATCATATAGATTACAAATGCACCTGCCAAAAAAGAAGCATAAACATGTGCTAGGCAATTAGATTGGGGGTGGTTTTCAAGATCACGCTTTGGATTGAATCTAGGAGACAGGACCACTGGCTGGGAACTCACAAATTTTTAGAGAATGTTTCTTGCTTTGTTTAGCTACACCAAGTACTCATTAAAAAGAAACAATCGAAAAAGATCTCCAAAAAAAAGAAAGCTTTTAAGTACAGACAATACATTAAACAAATTATATTAAACAAGAGTAAAGTGATCATAATCACTTTCTAGCCTCTTGGTCTTAATCATCGGTGCTATAATTGCTAAGCCTTTTCATATGAAACGGGTTGTCCAGAACAAAGCTATTTACACCCTTCTCTTTGCTTTTCCACTCCAATTATCTTAATTTTGAGAGTGGAATCAACAAAAAGAATGGCGGAAATATACAGAACTGATCAAAAACTCTCCCTTTATGCTCTTGGGTGGTGGATACAATAATGGTGATAATCAGGAAATCTATCATTACCAAGAGCTTTTAACTCTAAATTACAGAAGACGTGTAATGATGAAATTGATGGTCAAGGGATTTGGGAATAGTTTTCTAATATAGTAGTACTTGTTCTGAGGCCGGGAATTTTTTTTTTTTCATGTTAATCATTAAAGATGAATTATGAAATGACGATGAGTATCACTGAGGAAGTATGTGGTTAGGAATTCTTTTGTAGGTTTAGAAATAGTTTCTTCAACTCTGTGGGTGGTGGATATGATTGGGGTCTAGGAGTGGAAAATTATGTTTTTGCATGGGGAGAGAGTGGTTGACTGGTAAAGAAGAGAAAGCAAGGTTGGTAGGAGGACAATTCATAGGGTCAAGCTTGTGGCCTAGGTTTTCTAGTGCCTTGACTTGGGACCTGAGGAACTTTAGGTAATTTGCAGCCTCATCAAGCATTGATGCTGTATCCATCTTGCTCCCACCAGGAACCAGCCTCTGCAAAACCCTAATTCTCTCACTTATCCTCTCTCTCCTTTGCCTGGCAGCCACAGTTTGTGGATCAGTTGATATTCTCACGTTCTTCCTCTTTGGTTTCTCCACCACTTCCAAGCCTAAGTTCACAGGCCTGAAGGCTGCAGCTCGATAAATCATCTCTTTCATTTGTGCAATGGCCTCTGGATCAGGTTCCTCTATGGAAGAAGATACTGATGAACTCGGCTGTTGAAAATTGATGTTCGATGAGGTAGTTCGCTTTTCTGATCTGGCTTTCTTTGCTTTCGGTGGGTTCTCAGGAATGAGCCTAAAACCACGTTCTATTGCAGAAGAGTCCGTTTGAAGAAGATTCAAGTAACAACAATTCAGACCAACTTTAAACTCACTTTGATCATTCCCACTCTTTGAAGAACTAGGCTTAGTTTGTGATAATTTGCAGTTATTGATGTATGGATGATCCGAAGAACTCTGGGACACTGTTTCATCAAGCTCATTTACTGGACAGTTGAAATCTTTGCTTCCCATATTTAAGCCGTTGTTTTCGGACTCTCCTGATGAAACTGCACTGCTAGCAGCAAAATTCCATAAGTTTTTACAATCAGAGAAAATCATGGAAATCCCATCATCTTCAACTGATGTATCAGTGTTGCTATTAGCAGCTGAAAGCAAGCAATCAAGGGACTCAAGAGCGCCTGTTGTTGTGGAACCAGCCTTTCCATTTCGTAAACCTTTGATGACCTGTGAGTGAACTTCCATGCCAATATCAGGAATTGAAGCATTTAATGTGCACAAACCATAAGCTCTATTCAACGGAGGAGGAGTGCACAACTCTTGTGTTAAAGCATCTCCCCAATAGGCAGATTTTAGGAGGTTTGTATCTGTAGCTAACCTTACTCCTTGACACTGCAACATATACAAGTTTAAGGCGACGTTCACTGAATCTAGTTCAGAAGCTGGATGTGGAACCATTTCACTTACTATATCTGAATCTGGATTCACACAAGATGGCTGTGTTTTTTGGAGTTCATGAATTGGACTGAAGATATCTTCCAGCAGATCCATCTTGCCACCGTACACGGAAGAATTTGAGTTGGAAACCAAGAAACTGTCTTCTATATCATTTCTCCGACCGTTCCATACAGGCAATGAGTTTGCTACAACTTCTGAGCCATCCCATTCCAGGCCATCCATGGATGAAACTTTTTTCTGAACAAAAGAAAAATAAAATTACTTCAACATCTATAAGCTAAGGACTTTGAGCCAAGGTTCTATAGCAGTTATCTCAGTTTATCCTATAGTGTTTCCTGAACAGAATAAAAGAAAATTGAGATGAAATATAGTTATTTGAAACTTTGAGTAAAAGTACATACCAAATCCAGATCGATCCAGGTGCCACTCTTGTTAGCTTTGCCAAAAGAAGCCAACAAATGAGGAATATTTGCTGCAAGTTTTTTAACAGAGACAAAGATGGATCAAACCCGAGCTTAATATCACTTTCTGTACAATCTGGTACTGGCACTAACCGTCCTCTTTAATTCTCGACCATGAAAACTGTGATCATGAACAAAACAACCATTGCTAACGTCAGTCTTGGCAATTGAACTTTGTCCTGTATCAAGGAAAAAAAGGATTGAAGAGATTGCCCCAAGAAATCATCGACAAAAGATAAACATGAAAGCTTAAATAAAAGTCATGTAAACATAACAAATTTTGGTGCATACAGAATACTTGAGGGAAGATATTTCATCTACCTTGAGCTGTCATGAAGAAACAGTATTGACACAGTATTATGTTTGTATAGATAGGAAGAATAAAGGAGCAATTTTATAATAGACCAAATACTTTGTATTAAAATTTGAATAATATAAAATATAAGGAAATAGGGTAGCTCAATTAAATATAATGTCAAAGTTGAAAGGCGGTGTAATGTGGGCTTTGAAAAAGATAAGGCTTTTTGGTCAGTTTTGGTGGGTGTGTATAAGAGTATATTTCTGCAGATGGAGAGCATGAGATATCAGAGAAGCATTTTTTAATCTTAACTGTATGTATAATTTGATAATCTTTTTATATAGTTTTGTTCTCTTTCTGGTGGGGAAAAGCTCTGACATCCTTTTGGGTGCTCATCCTATTCCATGCGCACTGTAAAGTTTCAGTAAAAACTAAAAACTGCAGTCAAACAAAGCAACGATCTTTTTATATAGTTAGATACCACTCTCTTTCTAAAAGCTTTCAATGCATTAATCATAGTTTTAATCGTGACTTGTATCCCTGTTTTCACTTTCTTCTGTTTTGTAGAAATATAGCCATGGTACTACCACATAACAGAATTAATCCTGACATTGAAAATTATAGCTATTAAGGCAGTAAAACAGTAATTTTACATGTATCGCTCTGAGATAATGACCTTATTCTTACCTGAATTTCAACATTTTCTAAGAATTTCATTCATTAAAATTTGATGATGGAGGTAAATTGTGAAAGCAACGTTAGTAAAGTATTACAAAAGGTTGTAAACCTGAAAAGTATCTGCAGTTACATTTCTTAGGATTGCCATTTTGAACATAAGCAAGAGTAGTGGGAGACTGGGGGGAAGTTAGAACAATTAAAAAGATATTGGCTGGCAGGCAAAGTAAAGCGTAGTCAGAGGAAGAAGATAGATAGGGCACAACAGCACAAGCAAGTTGCTAATAGAATTTTGTCTCTTTAAACCATCCTATATATATATATATATATATATATATATATATATATATCCTTTTTCTCTTCATTTTATTAAATACAAATAGTTGTACTTGCAAGACGGAAAGGAAAAGGAAAGAAAAGGGAGGGGCTCTGAGTCCTACCCACATGCGCCCCATCATTACAGCTCAGTGAATGGGTTCCCATGTAGCATTTGCTCTTCTATATGCCATTGCCAACCTTTCCCTTACACATATATATCTCTCCTCGTATTGTCAACTCTCTCATGTTTTTCATCACCAAATCTGCAGATAACAAGTGACAAGATATGGTTCGAACATCAGATTTCTTGACAAATTAACAAAAGTAAATTTCAAGTCATTACAGTTGAAAAAATGAATACTACTACAAGGAATGGAAAATAAATTATAAGTATACCAATTTAACTTGAAAGTTCAATTCCAAATTCCAATCCTCAGCACCAACCTATATGAAGGGAAAGAGAGAGAAAATAAATAAATAAATAAATGAAGTAGCATTAAATGACTGTTTTAAGTAAAGAATCCAAATCCCAGTTGCTCTCAAATCTGAATAGAATTGAAAGAGATTCGTTATTCTTTAGGTGAGTTTGACTTTGAGTCTCGATTTTTCCTGTCACAATTACAAAACTATGACCTTATTGAAACATATGCAGCTATCTCAAACTTAAATAGGTGGATCTTCCTCAATAATTTTGGTGCCACCAATTCTCAATCTTTCTTATGCACGATTAATATTTGATTAAATAGTCAATCTTTTTTTATGACAATGGTAATTATTTTGTTTCACAAAAATGTTGTTTAGACAAACAATGTTGAAATAATAATCTCTTAACCAGCACCCAAATGCAACCAGGCAGCAGTAGCTTAATGCCACTTTGTAACCTGAGAGGTTAAATTTAATAACTAAAGCATATAAAATTAATTATTCATTGTAACACTCAAACATTTGAAATTCCAACTTAGATAATGGATGTATATATGATTATTTAAAATATTTGTTCATGATTATTATAGAATCTAAACATGCTGAATATATATAATTAAATAAATGTACATATGATTAATGTTGAAATCCATATTCCTCCACATTAAAAAATTTTTGTGCAACATGTTTGGAAATTATGAGCTCCTCAAAACTTAAGTCACTGGAGTTTTCCATAATATGCTTAATCTATCTATCAAGCGAGCGAAACATATATATATATATATATATATATATATAGGGTTGATTAAACGGTTGGTTCAAATAATTCGATCGTAAAAATTGAATAATCAACTTAATTGATTTAGTCTATTATAAAAATCGAATTAATTGATATATATATAAAGAAAACCAACAAAATCGAATCGAATTAAGGTGATTAGTTTTGATTAATTTTCTTAGGTTAATCGGTTTTAATTTTTATTTCCTATATTAAGTATACTTATATCATATTATTTGGTATAATTATATCATATTATTTTTTTTAATTATTTATTTTGTATTAAGTAGGATATTTCAATTTATTCGGTTTAAATATTTTAAAATCGAAAACTGATCATTTTAACCATTTAAATCGAAATAATAATTGAAATACCATACAACCCCGGTTTACCCTCCTCAATTTTCAAAAATTCAATTTTTTCATTTTTTTTGGTTTTAATCGAATTTTGCCCAACCATATATATATATATATATATATATATATGTGTGTGTGTGTGTATATATATTATATACCTCTTTGCAATTTTTTTTTCCTACAAAGCAGTGTTGCAAATTGGGGTTGACTAATGAAATTTAATTTGGAGAGAAAAAAGCTTAGGTAAGGCATTTTAGAAAGTTTTGTGAATAATAATAGTTTTTCCGCTTGAGTGCAAATGAATTTTTGAAAATATTATTTTTATATTATAAACATTTAAATCATAAAAATTTTTCACTTCAAAAATTTTTTGAACACATTGATATTTTAAAATGAACATAAATAAAAATATTTATAAATTCTATTCGATGCTAAAAGTACTTTTTTATGAATAAATATATCTTAAATAAATATTATCATTTTGAAATGAAATATCATATCCGATTATACAATTTTTTAAATTTTTAAAAAAAGAATTCGAATGTGAAACGATTATTACAAGTGAACTTTGACAAATACAAATACAAAAAAAAAAAAAAAAAAAGCCCACGATTTTGTTTGGTTGGGCCCTTATATTATCGTTTTTATTATCATCGTAGAGCTAATGGCGCGTGCGGTGGGCTCCCTCATCCGCCACGCTTGCTTCTCTCTCCTTTGAATTATTGCTGATTGGACACGTGAACGCAACGCTAACGGATCACTTGTGGCGCAGGATGATTGGGTGGAGACCTAAATGAATACCAGGCTCGCACGTGGGGGAAACCTAAGCAGTGAAGAGCTAGATATGTGGGGACCATTGGGTTTTCCTATCTGATTGATGAAATGATGATGATCAGCTTGACCCCCATCTTACTCTTCAAACTTTTAACATTATCTCCATCTGTGATTGTGATTTGCGTCTCTATCTCTGATGTGGATGTCTTCTACTCAATTCTTTGTCCTTATATTAAGCAGTATTTTTAAAAAACTTTTATTTTTAATAATTTGTTTACCAAAAAAACAAAGCATATATTCATCTCTAAGTATGTTTCCACACATGTCGGTAAAAATGAAAGATAAGAAGAAATCAACGTGACCGTCTCGTCGTCGTCGGTCGGCGAGAGGTATTAACAACGACAACGACATGTCACGGTTGATAAAAACCGTCGGTTCAAGTTGGTGGTAGCTAGGTTTTGGTGTGCATGCATGTACAGAGGTTTGTCACATTCAATGACCTTAAGCTTACCAACCCAGAAAGGGCCAAAGGCCCATGATGGGGTGGTAGTGGGGGCTGGCCGGCTGGGGGACCCTTGTCTATTCAAAAATAAAGGGTCGTCGTCCCCGACGTTTTCTAGAACTGGCATTGGTGATTATGAATATCATTCTAGAATTCCCAAGCTGGGTGTTGAGGCCTTGAGGGTCCTGAATCATGATGCTTACCCCAACGTTCGTTACACCCTAGGCCCATATGGTCACCATATTTTTCTATTTGTATTTTGTAATTGTAAAACTTCCGGGCCCAGAATAAAAAACATAAATAAATAAATAAATAAAACTTTGACACAAATGAGATTTTTGTGAGTTTGTTCTTGCATTTCATTTTTAGTATGAAAACTGTTAAGGGAACTTTGGCTTTGAGCCTTTGACTTCGTCCCTTTTTTTTTTTTTGAGGGGGGGGGGGTGTTTCAGTCGTTCAGATGCTTCCTATTTCTTCAAACAAGCATGAAAAGCATGAGACATGAATGAAATTCATGTACGGATGATCTCTGTACTGAATATTTATACAAATTTAATGTTCTAAGGCCCCAAGTTTGTTGATGTGGCAATATATGGTGTCACCAAATAATTCTAGAACGTACCTATTGCCATCTTGTATCTACAAAAACTATAATAAGATAATTGCCCAACTAAACAGTTAAAAAAAAACCCTAATAAGTAATAACCAGAGGTATATGTACTCCTCCCTGCATAATCAATCCAGATGTTGAAGTCTTGAATGGTGATTTTCCAGGAAAGTTTTATATAGAACAACATGATTATATATACAAAAATGGGCAAATTTTACGCTTTTGTTTGCACTAGCTAGCTCCACTTGTGGCGTGGATCCACTCAACTGACCAAGCTTGCTCATCCATCTTTGCAGACCAACCACCAAGAGAAACATGTAGGACCTTATAGCAGACTGACGTTTTCCAAGGAAGCTTGTCTCCAGAAGCATAGGCCATAAAGCAAATAATGCAGCTGAGCTTTGAAGAAGCAACTCTGAACAACTAGGCACCCAAGATTTTAATTGATACAGCAGCTCGTTCTTACTTGCAATGATACACAACATACAGAAAAATAGAAAAAAAAAAAAAAGCTGCAGATAAGCAGGACAAAACAGAGAAAATAGTCATAAAAATTTTGTAATAATATAATAGACAATTTTGTCATGATAAAACCTGTCCAATTAGATTGTCCTTTGTATTTGCACATCAGCTTGTTTTGTATCACACGCACGCCTAGATGTTCTATATGCATTTTCTTACAATTCACATTCTACCTCTTAGAATTGCTTCCTCCTTTCTGACCTGTTTTATAAGTCCAATGATGATCACCAGCAATCCTTGATTGTAAGGAAAAACAATACCTTAGATCAATATACGACACATGATTTGTTTAGGACAGGGTTCTTTATTCGTCTAGACAACACATTAATCTAATTTCTCTGCATATCATATAAACCTTAGATAAGTTGATTGAATATTGCATCAAACTAGTATTATTGTCAAGAAAATTATATTTATTTCGAAAAGAAACGGAGGTCATATTTTGACAAAACAGATACATTGGTTTGAATACGCTAAGTTTATTCTTGCATGAATAATTTTGACAAGGAAATGCAAGGAATGGATGAAGTCTCTTTCCATGTGATTTTGACAGAAGGTTCATCCATCCTAAAGACATAAACAAAAACTACTTAGTGATGATAAAGAAAGCTTGAAAAGGATTTTTATTTTTCTTTAATTTGGATTAAGCTTGAAGGGTCCCAGTGCAACTGCAAACCTGCTAAGGGAGGGATGAAATTAGGGCTTAGTTCTAATTAATGACGGCGTTCAAATCTGGCAGCCTCAAGTATCAAAAAGAAATTAGGGATATTTGTCTTTTTCATGATTTGCTGAGTGTGGCGTGGCCTATGTGGATTAGTACTTTTTAATGTTCTAACGTTTCAATCTTTCCTTCCTGCGATATAGTCCGAGTTACCCCAGGGCCTGATCAATCCAGATATAAAATTCATGTGGAGTATTGTGTAAGCAATCCTAATAGAAAATTCGGTTACCGAATGCAAAATGAACAGCAAACAGAACAACTTGGTTTTATCTTGCTCAATACATTAGCAACCACGAGCGTAGCTGGAGCTTTAGTCTTCCCAGGATTACATGCACGCAAGCTTGCTCCCAAAATACCATAAAGCCAATAATGCAGCATTGCTTCTCAAATTAAGCAGCAGCGAACCATAACCAACTTCGCAAACTAATGCAAGGTCCATTTCTCACCTGACTAAAACTTTTATCCATCAGTAGTTCAGTGGCTTCTTCTTGGGTTGAAACTTGCAATGCTACCACAGCAGGAATTGTACGGTGGAGTTCTAACATTCTCAGAAAGAACTGATAAACAGCTGAGAGAACCAGTAACCAAACATCACAAAATGAAATGGACAGTTATGTTGAGAACGTGCAAAAATATTCATTAGATAACTGACAATTCAGAGTCTTCGTATTTTTAGGACTAGTGCACAACCCAGTCTTTGTACTTGAAGGATTGATATTTTTATAGACATGAACATGAAAAGTTTTTCCAATGCCTCCTTAACACATTCTACCTCTTATAATTGCTTCAGCCTTTTTGACCTGCTTTAGAGGTCCTATGATGAACATCAGCAATGGGACAAATGGTTTTGCAAAAAGATAAATTTATGGAGGGAAACATATAGCTAATACAATCATGAGATTATCCACAACTCACATTTCGCAAATCTGCATAAGCCATAGTTTTCAGTTTCTAAATGGACTTTGTGCAATTAAATGGCAACAAGTAATCAAGCAACATTTAAATACAAGCAATTAACTAACACTGAGAATTGCCATATAAAGTTCATAAAACAACCTTGTCTGGGGGTCCTTTCTCACCTCCGATCAAAATCTCAGCACTGTAACATTTTTGCATTGATATTTTGAGTGAGAGAGAGAGAGAGAGAGAGAGAGAAAGGGAGGGAGTCTAAGAGGAAGACTAACTTGCAGGATTCTTTAATCTCACATCAATATCAGCCACATGTTTTTGCTTCATTTAGAAGAGAATTTTGTATATTCATGTAAATGATATATCTGAATATCGTTTCTCTGGTATCAGCTCTGGATAGGTAAATCCAATGTTAATTGAAACGAGAAAGCTAGGAAATTGTTTGACTTTGGAGATAAAGTAAACAAATAACTACTCTATATGTTTTGTGGACCAAGACTATTTTAAACATACTTCCATATGAAAATTGACTCTTAAAGGCTTGTGCTACAAACTTCTATATGTTGGAGTAGAATTTATAGTGGTAAAGGAACATATAAGGTTGACTCTTAATTAGAAACCACAAAGGTGATAACATACACGAAAGTTTCTGATATTAATAAAAGGGGATATGGGGAGGACCTGGAATAGGTGGCCAATTTGCAATGATGAGAGAATAAAGGACAGGCTGATGCTAAATGATAAACGGTTCAAACACCTGCCTTCTTTAATAAATGAGAACAAAAGAAAGCATCAGAACAAACAGAGTTGACGATGGAAAATGTATAATGATTGTTAATCAATAAAGGGCCATTGAGAGAATCATCCGGATGAAACTATTGTCTTTTGACAGCAAAGATCTTAATTTCTAGTTAGCTCCATATGTTGCTGTCAGCTATTTGTTCCACTTGTTAGTGATCTTAATACGCTATCTGCATGAGTATAAGAAAATATCAGCCTGGAACATATATATGTAGGTAAAGGCTAGAAAATCAGACAACTAAACCAGATCAGTTTGATCGAAGCAGAATGCAAAGAAGATTAACATGGACATATTTCTGTAAAGGATATTACATTGACAACTTTATAGAGACAGTATAATAGAAACACCCAACAATCTTATCTTTCATTATTGGACCCAGACCATCCTTCTACTTCAATAAAATTGGAAATATTACACGTGTTTTTTTTTTTTTTTTTATCTATATTTTGAAAGATGTTCATTCAGATGCGATACCATTTAGTATCACTAACAAGGAAGTAAATGCTCCTTTACACTGGAAAGAAATTAAGAGTATATACTCGCAGCAAATTTTCCTCAAATTTTGGAATTAGTATTCGAACCAACCTGAGTATCCATCACTTTGTGTAGCTTAATACCAAACTGAAAATACAGTGCCTACACGATATTGTTTACGATAATAATTAATAAGTCTAGCAGGATTTAAATTGTGATTTCGTTTTCAATTGTATTATGTTTATCTCGATGATGGATATAAAAAAGACCATCATTGTCATTTCCATTATTGCTATCGTAAATTTTTTTTTTTTATATAATAATTATATTTATACTTATAAAAACTTTTAATTTATAATTTTTAAAAGAATTTATGATATTTTTTGTTATTTATTTTTTTAAAAGAAATTATTCATAACTTTTTTAAATTATAAGAAAACATTCATTTAATGAAAAAGACATTCATATTCAGTATTATATCAAAGTTCCTAAAACTCCTATTTTCTTTAAACCCAAATACCCTCCTGCCAGCCTTCAAATTAATAATGCCCACCATTTTATCAAACAAACACACCCCTCCAAATTTCCTGTGTCATTTTTTTTTTTGGGAAAGTTTTATTTCTTTCAGGCTTTCACTACCCACTCACCCGACCCGCCCCAAACCCTTCTGCCTCAGCCTTCAATCCAGTGCCTAGTGCCCCCACACTCCAGCTTCCATTCCTCCAGAGTCCAGCCTCTGTGTTTTCTTCTTCACTCTTCTTCTTTTCCTTCACTCTACTTCTTCTCGTCTCTCTCACAGACCCAAACCCCAAAATCAGTAAATCGGTAAAATCCTCCCCTCTCGGCTTCTTCTGATCGAGCTCTCCGGCCACCGCCTCCTTCCTCCGCCACTGATTTCAACACACACTCAGCCCACAGCCTCTCGGCCTCCATTCACTGATCAGTCATCAGAGATTTTTTTTCCAACAGCAATTCGCAGGAAGCCAGTAATTTTTTTTTTTTTAAAAGGTAATTTCAACTTACTTTTACCTTCAAATTACTTGTTCTTCACACTTGATCTTGATTGAGGTTGAATTTGGGTGAATTGAGTTGATTTAATTCTAGATCTAGGGTTACTGGCGGTTTGTTTTTTTTTGGCTTCTCTTTTTTACTTTCTAGGGTTAGGCTAAGAATTGAATTATTGGTTTTTGTTGTTGACGTGCTTTCTATTTGGATTGGCAATGATGGCAATAGTGGACTGTTATTCCCCGTTGTTTTGAGTGTGTTTCAAATTCACAGCCGTTTTTTCTCATATAGCAGTGGCTGGCAGAGGCATTTCTGCTACTGCACAGCTATTTAATTCCCTGAAGTATAGTGCATAAAATGTTTCTTTTATGAACACATAATTACTCAACTAAATCTTTTGTGAGACCTCACTATCTCATTTACAGTCATGGATAACTTATGTGATGAAACTAGACTCAAGGGCAGGCTTGCAGGCTTTCATTAGTTTCTTCCCACCTTGAATAGCATCAACCAAATATATAGCATCTGAAAAGGCAGGCTGCCACGGAAAAGGATTTCTTATATGATCATCATTAATGATAATATTAATAGTAATGCACAAATAGAAAAAAGTAGCCAAGATATCATATGCAAAGGGCATATGTGAAACATGTTTCCTTCTGTTGCATATCTATCTTGACGAAATATTCATTATTCAGTTTTAAGATTATATAATTAGCTTAAGAATAAATACATAACCTGCATGATGCAAAATGTTCCATAACGACAGTGGCAAACACCTTCACAATTTAGAGTTTGGACCTAAAATCACAATTTTGCTTTGAATTTTTGGTTTATAGTCTTCTGATTGGTTCAATGGTGATGGAGCTTTTTGCTTTTGGGTGATAAGAGAGAGAAGAAATCCTTCTCTTTGTGAATTCCAAGGCAACCCTGGCAGAATCTATCTTTTTCTATATGTTTTTCCATCTTCCCCACTGTTTTTTTTTTTTTTTCTTATTTCTGTCTGATATACTGCTTTTATTTTTCTTTTACTTTTTATCAAGTTATCTTTTATCTGGAACTTTGACTGTTAGTTTTTGTTGTAAAAAAAAGGAATGCTAATTGTTATATTGTGGTGGTGGTGGTGGTGTTGGCATCTGAATCTGGGCTAAAAGTTTGGTTCTTTTTGGTCCGGTAAGACTCTAGATATTGGTGAAATTTGTGTTGTTATCAGTTGCTTAATTTGTTATAACTGCTGGGTTATTGATTTTTGGAGCAAAAGGTTTGATCTTTATGCAGTGGTTTGGTTCTGGTAGTTAGCAAAAACTTATGTTTTCTGGAGCAATTTTTCATGAGTTCTTGTTTGTTGTTTATGGTTTTCATTCAAAAGATCTGTTTTTTTGAGGTGTGGTGACTATTGGCTGTTGGTAGAGTTCTGAATTCTTCTTAAGTGACTGATTCTGAATTAATGCAAAGCCAAAAGACTTGTTTGTTGCAGGTAGGTTGATTCTGGGTGATTGTGTTTCCTTGGTGAGAATTTTTCAAATGCCATCTAGGGATCAAAGTTTTGGTCTGTATTGAATTTGGCTTGAAAGGATGCTAAGGGAATGTTTTGATGGTGGAAGGATCAGTTTTTGAGTGGAATTTTGTGGTGAAGGACTGTAAATGATGATGAGAGGGGGAAAAGATGAGGGAAGAGTGATGAGTCCTATGTTTCCTAGGCTTCATGTGAATGATACAGAGAAAGGAGGGCCAAGGGCACCTCCAAGGAATAAAATGGCTCTCTATGAGCAGCTCAGTATCCCTTCCCAAAGGTTCAACTCTGGATCACCATCCATGCTGCCTCTTCCTCCAAGTAATAACAACAGCTTGGTTCCTTTAATATCATCAAGCCATGTAAGTTTTCTAACTTAAATGATTTCCTAAAGTCATAAGATGCAATTGTCTCCTTCAAGTTACCTTGTGTGAATGGTATCAATCAATATGATGGCCTTTTTTTTATGTTTGTGTTTAGCCATTTTAGCCTTTGAATTCTTTTCTTTTTCTTTTATCTGTTGAATTTGATTCAAGGCTTGGCATCTATTACTGCTAGGTTAATCATCTGGTACCTACATAAGGTTTCTATTTGTTTGCCAAGGTGGGATCATCATGTTCTAGATTTATGCAAATACTTCTTTAAGCATCATAGTCTCTTCCATTGCTTTTGTGCTTTACCTTATAAGTGTTCAGTCTGTAGAACAAAATTTGTGTGAGGTTCTGAGTTATGTGGATTGATGTAATTTTTTTTCTATTTTATATTCTATGACTAGAAATTATTCATATTTCTAGGGTGGTGACAATGAAAGGAGTATGTTTGTGCCATTCGGCAACACCCATGAATCTTCCATTTTGGCTGATAAGTTTCATTCTTATTCCAACCCCGGGACTAATCTAAATACCACTAAAGGAAATCAAGAAAGAAAAACCACAAAAGCTATAGATGACAATAGTTTGGATACCACACCACCAATTCAAGCAGTTTCTAAAAGCAATCCATTGCAGCCACTGCATTTTTCTAACTTTAAGAAATTTTCCTTAAGGAAGCTAGGTTACGATGATGATCTTAGGGTTCCTACCTCTGTTTTGTCTTTAATAGAACAGAACTTTAGTTGCAGTAAGCAGAGTGAAGGCCGGGGAATTTTTTCTAAATTGAACTTGAGCTCTTCAATGCAACTTCAAACTGCTAATGAAAAGCAGAAAGAAAATGATTCTGTTGATCCAAAGTCTAGAAGATATGCTGGGAACCAAGATGAGGAGAAAGAGAGATTGTTTCGAAGTCGTCAAAACATCATGGAAAGGTCTAATTCAATTTTGTCAACTAGAGATGAAATCCTGGCAGACACATCATCTGACCTGTCAATCAAAATCAAGGATTCAGAATCATTAAAACGACCACACGCTTCCTATAACCAAGAAAACAAAAGCAGCTCAGTGGATATATTGAACAGTGAAGATGGTCCAAATGCTCGGTTGCATCATGAGTATGTGGTGACACAAGACAAAATGATCTTTAGGGAAAATATGTCGGTGGAATCTGGCAGATGCCTGGAAAATACTTCCAAAGTGAGAAATGAGTCATGCATGAGACAATCACTTGGAGTTGATGATGGAAGTCCAAATGCACTTGAAAACAGAATTAAGGTCCATGAAGAAAAGAAGGGTGGGGCTAAGCAGGTTGGGGGTGTTAACAGACATAATAATGTCCCAGATCCCTCCATGTTGGAGTCTGAATCTCTTTTGGATATATGCCCTGATGATGTCGTGGGAATCATAGGTGAAAAGCATTTCTGGAAAGTAAGAAGTGCGATTGCCAAGTAAGTATCCCTCTTCTATTGTAGCTATGTGCATCTGCTGCAGCTAATGAACATCAGAAGTATGTGGTCTATTCAATTTTGTTTAGCACAGCTGCATTTTTATACCAATATCTAATTGCAGTGTACCTTCCATGTCTACTATATCTAACTGCTCTTTTTGGCTGTCACTATTAGATATTTAATACAATTTGCTATTTGAATTACTTCTATCTCTTCCGAAATGCACTCAACATTTGTTGCTAGCTCTGCTTCGTGATGTGATACTAATCGGTATATCACTATTTTCAGCCAACAAAGAGTCTTTGCTGTGCAAGTCTTCGAGTTGCATAGACTAATAAAGGTAAACGGGTTATTGTGCTATTGACTTGCTTGGCATTTCAGCAAATATCTATGTAATCTCATTTTTTGGTTTCTTACCCAGCTGTGTAAAATGAAATACCTTTTCTGTTTTCGTGTTTGTTTGATTGAACAGAATGAAAGAAATTTACTTTTGCATTATTTTTGAACAGGTTCAGAGGTTGATTGCTGGGTCACCACATATATTGCTTGAAGATACCTTATATATGGACAAACCATCTTTAGATGTTTCTCCCGTCAAGAAGTTGCCAATGAACTATGTTTCTGAACCACCATTGATCATTAAAGTCAAAGATAATTCTCAAAAAACAAATATTAGCATCGAATGTGCAGATGAGAATGCAGTTGCAAAGCTTCCTCTTCCCTCTACCAATGATGATACCAGCAAAGGACTTGGTACAGGCCCTTATTCAGGAAATGCATCGACAACACCGATGCCTGCCAATACCAGGCCATCTCCTTGGTGTTTCTCTCCACCTGGAAATCAGTGGTTAGTTCCTGTAATGTCTCCTTCTGAAGGACTTGTTTACAAGCCATGCACAGGGCCTTTTCCTTCAACTGCAGGTTTCTTGGCACCAGTTTATGGCAGCTGTGGTCCTGTGAACCTAGGGGACTTTCTGAACACAGCTTATGGTGTTCCAGCTTCTCACCATCAGGGATTTGGAATTCCTGCTGGCAACCCTCCGATAGGTCAGACCTACTTTCCACATTATGGTATGCCAGTTAGGAATCCTTCAGTTTCTGGCTCAGCAGTTGAGCAGATGGGCCCGTTTACTGGAGTCCAGTCAAAGGGCAATCAGTTCTCAACAGGTGATGTAAACTTCACCATAGCTCACCAGAGTTCATGCAACATATCAAGTCAGATGAGTCAAGCAATCTCATATTGTGCTGGAAAATTACCTGCATCAAAAGAGAGCCAAATACAGGGAAGTAGTCCCAGCGAGTAGTCCATCTGAGAGGGCTAAAGGGGACGCACTTCCTTCTTTACCTACAGAACCTACAACACAGGCATCCAATCATGACGGTCAAACTAGCGGGCAGCGAACAAGGGTGATTAAGGTTGTACCACATAACCCCAGATTAGCGACTGAATCAGCAGCTCGGATCTTTCAGTCTATCCAAGAAGAAAGGAAACAGTATGATTAGTTTTTGTATCTAATCAGACCTACCTTGCCGAAGGTAACTGTATACTTAATACTTTGTCAAATATTTGATGTTTTGCATCTAATTCTTATATGTTAATAGCATATACATAACATAAGCAGCTTAAGGTTGAAAAACAATAAACTTTTGCTTGATTGTAACCATGCTTGATTCTATGTTTTATGATCAACAGGCTTTTCTGTAAGAGCCTTTTTTGCAGCAAATCTTAGCCGCATTAAAAAATTAATAATCAAGCATGTACTGCACCATAAGCCTTTAATTACCAAGCATTCAAGTCTACTTTAAATACAATTCAGGAAGAAATCTAAGGAGAAGTCCCATATGCCACGTGCTTTCTGGTTCTAGCAATTTTTTGTGTTTCCCGCTCTAACAAATTTCTTGTTTATATAGCCGAGTTAATCATGGCACTTAAGAAGAGAGTTGCCGAAAAAAGAAGATAAATGTTGCTGCAACTAGTACTGACACCAGTTCAGTTAACAAAACCCTGACTGATCTGCACAAATAGCCCCAATAATGGAACAATTTGAAACCCTAACCCAACAGCTAGTCACTAAAGGAAATGATACAGAACTTCAACTTTCCCACAGACTTCGAAAGATCCAAAAACCCCAGAGTCCCAAGAAACCCACCTACATAAAAGCTGCCGACGTACTATGACGGTGCTGCTTTATCGGCGTTGAAGAAAACGAAACACCCGGAAACCACTACCTTACAAATACCCGAACGCAACTATCATACAAAAATCCAAATAAACAACCTTGGAACCACAACCTAACAAAAACTTGAAAGCTCGGATGGAGGCGATGGAGAAAGAGCTGAAAAACAAAATCTTTACCTTTGATGACGAGTTCAAGTTCTTAGAAACATCCCCGTTTGCCGAGAATATTTACCTAGCTCTACCATCAAAAGGATTCAAGATACCCACAATTGAAACTTACGACCTTGAACTTTCAGCTTGCTCAGAATTCTGAGTTCCAAAGGCCTCCTCACTAGTTTGCTTGGCCACTAGATTCTAAGAAGGTCCTTGAGTTTGAGTAGGAACAGGGACCTCCATCACATCAGAAGAAGATGAAGATATCTCAGAAGTAAAAGATTCCTTGAAGTCAGATGACGACCCAGAGTCAGAGTTGAAGACTGGGCTAATAGTTGATTAGGAGGACCATTAAGGTGTGACAGAAATAGGAGTTCGACTAAAGGAGGTAACTGGTGGAGAGGCTGAAGAAGAGGGAGCTGAAGAGGATGAAGGAAAGTCAGTTAGTGGAGCCGAATATACTGCATTTGTGGGGATAGAGGGATTTTGGAGATCAATGTCTATTACTGCTATGATTTTATCCATCCCTTAAAAGATCTTATCGTTGCTAACTCTGGCATTTTTTTCAATCTGCTTCTGGTTTTAACATCGAGTTCAACCAATAGACAGCGAACAAGGGTGATTAAGGTTGTACCACATAACCCCAGATTAGCGACTGAATCAGCAGCTCGGATCTTTCGGTCTATACAAGAAGAAAGGAAACAGTATGATTGGTTTTTGTATCTAATCAGAGCTACCTCGCCGAAAATAACTGTATTCTTAATACTGTGTTAAATATTTGATGTTTTGCATCTGTAATTCTTACATGGTAATAGCATGTACATAAGCAACTTAAGGTTGAAAAACAATAAACTTTTGCTTGATTGTAACCACGCTTGATTCTATGCTTTATGATCAAAAGGCTTCTCTTTGAGAGCCTTTTTTTGCAGCAAATCTTAGCCGCATTAAAAAATTAATAATCTAGCATGTACTCCACCATAAGCCTTTAATTACCAAGCATTCAAGTCTATTTTAAATACAATTCAGGAAGAAAGTGAAGCAACAGAGAAGTCCCATATGACATGTGCTTTCTGGTTCTAGCAATTTTTTGTGTTTCCTACTTTAGCAAGTTTTTACTCGGTGCTTTGAGGTCTCTGCTGAAGTCTTAGAAGTTGCTTTCATGGAGTTCACATTGATGTCGATTATTCAATTTGGAATTGTTAAGCTGAAACTGCTAAGAAGAAAATGCCAATCTGAAGAATACAATTCTTACTCAGACCAAGTGTTTAATCATTGGCTAAGAACATTTGAACTTGCAATTATAAAAGCCAACCACCTGGATTTATGAGGTTAGGGACCTAGGGTTGTTAAAAAGAATGCTTAGATGTTAGAACTTGAAGTGTCTGAGATGCAAATTCTTGAATTTGAGACTCGGGGGCATACTTATCTTGGCTGCCACCTGCATTTTCACTCCCAAGTAACATCCATCCGACTTATATTTATTAATTAAAACTATTACATTCTTTGTTTGGCTCTTAGGAAAATATCCTTCTGTCATAAATCACCATACTTTAGGCATACATGTTGCAATTAAATATCAATTTTATTGCTTGGCTCTACTTGCATTTATCAGAATATCCAGGGCCACCAAAAAAGAAATGGGTTCCAAAATTTTTCATGCCTCCCATCTGTAAATAATAGCATTCAGGCCTTGTCACATATGGCTCGACATTTTCAGCATCTTTTATTGATCCAGACTCATCCATGTACCTAAGATTTCGTATCAAACTAGCTTTGGTAAAGCCTTCACTGGGAAAATGGCCACTTCCCATTTGAGTAGAGGTGTGATGGCCTTGTGATTGTAAATTAACAATCTCTCCACCCCAACTTAATCTATCAGCCCTGTCAGATAGTGTTGTGAAGATCGAGCCTGGCCAGTATCCTACATCTATTTGCTGTATCCTCAACCACCAGTTTCCACTTTGCCTGTCCTGAAACATTTTCCTTATAGTGGTCACTCATCATTTATCTTGAAAAAAAATGACTGAAAATTTTGTCAGACATAAACAACAAAATGTGTTTTACCTTGTGTATAAATATGTTTATATCAAATTGACTGCCTCCATAGGTGGAAACAGGTTCTAAAAGTGAACCAAGGACCACCTTGTTGTTTGTTTGCACAAATCCAGGACATTCAAGATTATAGCAACCTGTCTTTTGATAGCCATCGCTCTAACATTCCACAAACAAACAACTTCAGACAACTTTTAGTTAATGTAAATTCGCAATATGAAAGCATATATATGTTTGATTTCTAACAAAATATAGAGATACAGACATCAGACAAGACGGATCAAGCAAACTTACAGTCCAGTAAATGAATAATCTTGTCTGTTTCTGGTCTGACTTAGTCTGCAATATGATTATAATAAGTTTACCAAGATCAAACTGATTCAAAAACAAAGGATGCTTTGCGTAGAAAACTTAAGCAATCCATCCGCCTCGAAGTGGTTGATACACTAAATCTGCCTGACCAACCCAAATTTGTGCTAAAGCAAACTCCGAATCAAATTCTGTGTTCCACACTTTAACCATGCACTTACTCAAAATTATTCCAAACGAACACGGAACTTGGCGTACTAAATCAATTTTTCTTCACAGCAAGGAAAAATAAAACATCACATTTAATCTAAATTTCTGTGACTGGTTTTTACCCTTTGTTTAGGAATTCAAAATGAAATGTAGAAAGTATCAACTTTAAACTCTCAATTATTTTATAAAGTCATGTTAAAAATAAAATTTCTAAATTAATTTAAAAATCAAATATCCTTTTGTTGCGGCCTTTTTTATATATATAAAAAAAAAAATGAGTAATTTGACATGGTACCTCATGGTTGTTTGCAGGATTAGCCTTAATTTGAACCTTGTCAAGGTCTTTCTTGGGAGGAACAAATGCCAGAGTCCGAGGAGGTTTGGGTATTTGTGCTCTAACAATGGGAATTGTTCCTTCAGGGCACTGTTCATTCTTATACCAATCGCGAATGAGCTTTGGTTCGAAATTTTCTGCTTCTATTCCTCCAATATATGAATTTGGTTTCATCTATCCAAAGAGAATGATCCTTATTGATCTTCAAGTGAGATAAAAAAAAATTTTACTTGAATAGAAAGGAATTAATTACATTACTGTTTTTCATTTTTAAAAATTATTTTCAAATTCAAAATAATATCTTTCTAATATTTTAAAAATATCAATTTTTCTTTCCATCTCAAATTATTTGGATGGTATTAATTTTTATGGAGTTTAAAAAAATGACTTTAATGTATTTAATATTAAAATTAACTTTTTTTTATAAAATTAAAGTTTCAAGACTTTTAATGTTAAAAAGTAAAAAAAAAAAAAAAAACCTTTGGATTTGATAATTGATGTGTATAAATAAAAGTATTATCTCATTAACGAGCAAAAAATTTTAAATCTTTTTATTAAAATTAAAATTTTAATAATATTTTACTAATAAATCACATGATTATTAGTTTCATATTGTAAATATATATCAAATATTTTTAAGTAGATATAATTAAGTGCATGACATACATGAAGAAACTAGTAAAAAAAAATCAAATGCATGTATTCCAAACGATAAAAACCTGTATGGTGTGATTCTTGAGGAGAGGATGATCAAAAGCAGGTTGTTTGTAGATGTCAACACAGTCAATTACATCACCATCTTCGCTCTGAACATATATATTAACAATTAACCATTATCACTTGTCATAAATGAGATAATTAATTAAATAAGCAATAGAAAAAAAAAGTAGTATTATTATATAGCAAAACCTGTATCGTTTTTATTGTTCCTTTATGCTTAGCCAACTTAATGGTTTTATCAGATGATGAGATCGACCTTCCATCCACATGAACATAGATAAACATGTGACAGACAGCTACAAACACGAATAAGAAGTATCCAAGCTTGGTTTTTTTATGATTCCAAGTAGCCATTGGATTGAAAAAAAAATTGGCAAAAAAGCTGAAAAAGTTTTTTCTTTCTGATATTTTTGTTGCAAAGTACTAAGACAAAAACTGAGTTTTTGTCCTAACTAATTGAGATGAGAAATTTTTGTTAGAAACATAAAAAGTTAACTGATGAATATTTGTACTATTAGCAACCAATAGTTATATATAAATGGGAAAACATACATGATTTGGGAATGTTATGTGATTTCTATATGGGAAAAGCTAGGTTTGGAAAGTTTTATGATTTCTATCTTGGAAAATATCTCTATTTAGGAGTTTATGGAAATGATATTACCAAGAATGAAAGTTAAGGCATTGATGGAAATTTTTCTTTTTTTTTTGGTAATATGTATCATCCAATTGAGGATCAGAATGGGAAATTTTATCTTCAATTTTAGCTTTTCACCTCATAATAAGTCATTAATGGAATAAGAACGTTCAAATTTATCATCAATCTTTCAATTGGTATACTTTTATCACCATACTTACAATTTTAAAATAAATTTATCATTATATTCAAATTTTATGTAGTAGTAAGGAAAAAAAATTATTATGTGACATTATATTTAATAGAAAATATCATGATAAAAGAAAAATAAAATCAAAATCAAAATTTAGCTTCACAATTTTTTTCCTTACCATATCATTTTCAAAATTAATTTTTAATTATAAAACAGTTTTCAACATGAGTTTAGTTTCTCCCATATTAAAAAATAAATAAATAAATATATAAATCCTTTAAAAAATTGAAATAAGATAAATTGCTAAGGATTTATCAAATTGCTCATTTTTATGAAATTAATCCATATTTAATCTTTTTAACAAATAAAAAAATTAAATGGAATTTCAAACAACTTTATTTATTTGAAATAATTTATTTTGCAATTTTATACATTCACCTTTTTTTTTAAATTACAATCTGAATATGAAAAATAATTACAGATGTTAAAATTAATTTGGAGCTTAAACATGCTGAATGATTTCTCAATTAAATTAAGTCAAACATTCTATTCATTGATTTTTAAGTAATTATTATTAATAAAAATTCATGCTAAATAATACTAAATTAGCAAATTGAGGGGTATTAGCCAAGCCGAAAAATGAAAATGAAAATAGGGATTGGACTAAATTATTCAATTAAAAATGATTATGAATTATAAAAAGCCCAACCCAATCTGTCTCACGGCCTGCGGACTCCCATCCTCTCTCACCGACTTTGACCAGGGAAGAAAGGCCACTTACAAATCGTTACACCCTAAACCTCGGTATAATTTTTGAAGCCAAATTTTTTTTTTTTTTAATTTCGTTTGATTTTAGTGTTTGTTTGGTCTTTGACGGTGATTGACGTGCAGGTAAGGTTCACGGATCTTTGGCGCGTGCAGGTAAGGTGAGAGGGCAGACCCCAAAGGTGGCCAAGCAAGACAAGAAGAAGAAGCCTAGTGGTCGCGCCTATAAGCGGATGAAGTACAATCGCGGTTTTGTCACTGCTGTTTAGCTCATCTCTATTTCTTGTTTTACTTTTCCTGTTTATATATCTATTAATACTAATTTGGAAAACAATATTTCTTGAGTAAAAAATCAGTAATTTATAAACCCATTTTTGAAAATTTTGGTTATGAGGATGAAGACAGTTGATTATTTTTATTCTGTTATACTATGTGGTCATTATAATGTTGGAATTGTGTTGTTAATTGATTTTGAACTTTGTTTCACAATTGAGATGTTAATATATGGAGTAATATTTTAAAACAAAATGTGATGTCACCGTAGATATACCAGTTTAAGAATGCATCCAATATCTCACATTATCTTCAATGGCCAAGTTCTTGATAATGGTTTCGATCAGTGTATTCAGAAAGTCCAGTTTTGATTAGCTCTTATTGCAGTGAATCATTGTAATGATGATTGTGCTCTTTTCTTGTGCCAACGACTAGTGTAATTCTAGTCTGTCCACCCAACTCATTTCCTTTCTAATTCAACTGCCATTTAACCTTTATTATTTGTTTTCTGCTCAACCTGTCATCGTGAATGAAATTCATCTTAGATAAAGTTGATATGGTGCCTTAACTTTGTTAGTTGTGTTATTTTTTCTAGGAATTGTCAGGTCTATATGCATCATACCTACATGATCTCTTATTTATTCATCTTCTTAACTTCCTCTGAGAATTGCATGGTAGAAGAAGCTTTGCTCGTGTTTCATCCTGCATTCTTGCTTATCTTGAGCATCGTAATGGACTGTGTGTTGGTTTGCTGTGAGCGGTTGTTGGCTTTGGGAAGAAGCGTGGACCCAACTCTTCGGGGAAGTGAGATTGGACTTGTTGGAGTCCTGCATAATAGGATGTTTGAAAGTTTGATGGGAACATTATATTAATATTTTTATGGCTTCATTAGCATTATGTTGTTCTGAATTACTTTGGAGACTTTTTTCGGTTTAAGGAAACTAAATACTGGTATGCATTGATTTCAAATATTACTAAGAGCCACGACATCTCATCCTTTACGTTCTTTATTTGAGTCTCTGAATTTCAACGAGTGATATGGAATGTAGAAGTTAGATAAATTGAGATGGTTAAATTGGTCCCAACTGCTGCTGTTTTTGACTCTACTGGTAAATTCAATTCGCCACTTATAAAATTGATTTAGGTGAGGTTTTGTTCGGATGATAGGTGTGGCTATCTAGCTCCTGTTTGTTCGAGAAAATTAAACGATTTGCCAATATGGGTAGTAATTTTCTTGCTAGCAGGCTGCAGATTTTGTAGCTGGTTTACTGCTGAAGGTGCGTTCGAAGACCTTTTTGTTCATAGGAGAGGGTTTACAAATCCAACTGACTAACATTTCCTTTTTGATCGCTAGGAGTGATAATCCTCAATCAATCAAACCCAAAAAATATAACAGACATCCAGTGGATCCTCCTTCCTCTTCCAGTACTAGACAACCAATTTCCTGGTTCGTGTGGTTAGACACAATGGCCTGAACATACAGGTCCTCTCTTAACTTCGGCCTTGGCTCGGCGGCATGCGTTCCCGATCTTTCTTGTTGCCGTGCATTGTTTCCTGTGGAAATCTCTGGTATCTGAATCATTCCTAGCTTTATAAAGTTGAAATTTATTCATTGTCCATCAATCTTTATACCCTGCTCTTCTCCAAAATGGCACCTTTTAAAGATTTGAAAAAAAAAAAAAAGGGTGGCGACTTTTATCTTTTGTAAAAATCCATTTAAAACCAAAATTCCATTCATGAAAATCTAGTCTGAGTTAAGGTTCAGCGACATAATAGGGTACAGAGTTTGAGACTAACCAGGAGTTCTATTTCATCTTCTAATAACAATCCTCGTAGCTGCAGAAAGTCCCCCCACATCACCAGCGGACATGGCAGCCCAAGGTACAAACAAAAGACAATCTTGGTTCTAAACTCAAAGCAACAGACAAAAATTCCACTTGTCACCAAGTCCGATGTTTCTCCATCCCCACTTTTCATTTCTCTTTCTCTTTTTGACCTTTTGCTGTTTGTTTACTTTAACAGTTTCAACTTCTTGTTAAAAGCAAAAATTACAAAACCATTCCATGTACAGAGCAACCACATAAAGGAAAGACCCATAAATCTCTCACTCTGTGTCTCTCTCTTTCTATCTCCAAAAACATTAATTGCCAACATTCATTAAAAGCTGGTGGAATTCAAGAGTTTAAGAGAAAGTTTGAACTGATCCATCTTGTTATTCAAAACGGTTCTCCTATTAAATTCAACCTTGTGTATATAAAAAAAAAAAAAAAACACATCCCAAATATATGGTAACAGCAATTCTTCCCTTCATTTTTTATCTATAAATCTCATCGTCATCATTTTTATATGTAGTGTTTATTTTCCCCGAGATCATCGGAAGAAAGGTCATTGATTCCTTGGAAACTTTCTTCCTCTCTTGCCATACTTATTAGCAACTGAATCAGCAGCTCGGGTCTTTTGGTCTATGAAAGAAGAAAGGAAACAGTATGATTAGTTTTTTTGTATCTAATCAGACGTACCTCACCGAAAATAACCGTATTCTTAGTACTTTGTCAAATATTTGATGTTTTGCATCTGTAATTCTTATAAATTAATAGCTTGTATATAAGCAGCTTAAGGTTGAAAAACTGTGAACTTTTGCTTGATTGTAACCATTCTTGATTCTATGTTTTATGATCAACAGGTTTCTCTGTTAGAGCCAATCTTAGCCGCATCAAAAAATTAATAAGCAAGCATGTACTGCACCATAAGCCTTTAATTACCAAGCATTCAAGTCCACTTTAAATACAATTCAGGAAGAAAGTGAAGCAAAAGAGAAGTCCCATATGACACATGCGTTTTCTGGTTCTAGCAAATTTTTGTGTTTCCTGCTTTAACAAGTTTTTACTCAGTGCTTCGAGGACTCTGCTGATGTCATAGAAGTTGCTTTCATGGAGTTCACATTGATGTCGATTATTCAATTTGGAATTGTTAAGCTGAAACTGCTAAGGAGAAAAAAGCCAATCTGAACAATACAATTCTTACTCAGACTAAGTGTTTAATCACTGGCTAAGAACATTTAAACTTGCAACTACAAAAGCCAAACACCTGGATTTATGAGGTTAGGGACCTAGGGTTGTTAAAAAGAATGCTTAGAAGTTAGAAGAGTGGCTGAGATGCAAATTCTTGAATTTGGGACTCGGAGCTATACTTATCTAGGCTGCCACCTGCCTTTTCACTCCCAAGTAACATCCATCCAACCTATATTTATTAATTAAAACTATTACATTCTTTGTTTGGCTCTTAGGAAATATCCTTCTGTCATAAATCACCATACTTTAGGCATACATGTTGAAATTAAATATCAATTTTATTGCTCTACGATGACTCTACTGGCATTTATCAGAATATCCAGGGCCACCAAAATGGAAATGGGTTCCAAAATTTTTCATGTCTCCCATCTGTGAATCATAGCATCCAGGCCTTGTCACATATGGCTCGACATTTGCAGTATCTTTTATAGATCCAGACTCATCCATGTACCTAAGATTTCGGATATAACTAGCTTTGTTGAAGCCTTCACTGGGAAAATGGCCACTTCCCATTTGAGTAGAGGTGTGATGGCCTTGTGATTGTAAATTAACAATCTCTCCACCCCAACTTAATGTATCAGCCCTGTCAGATAGTGTTGTGAAGATCGAGCCTGGCCAGTATCCTACATCTGTTTTCTGTATCCTTAACCACCAGTTTCCACTTTGCTTGTCCTGAAACATTTTCCTTATAGTGATCATTTTTCATTTATCTTGAAAAAAAATGACTCAAAATTTTGTTAGACATAAACAAGAAAATGTGTTTTACCTTGTGTATAAATACGTATATATCAAATTGAGTGCCTCCATATAGGTGAAAACAGGTTCTAAAAGCGAACCAAGGACCACCTTGTTGTCGGTTTGCACAAATCCAGGACATTCAAGATTATAGCAACCTGTCTTTTCATAGCCATCGCTCTAACATTCCACAAACAAACAACTTCAGACAACTTTTAGTTAATGTAAATTCGCATATGTTTGATTTCTAACAAACTATAGAGATAGAGACAGCAGACAGGACGGATCGAGCAAACTTACAGTCCAATAAATGAATAATCTTGTTTGATTCTGGTCTGAGTTAGTCTGCAATATGATTATAATAAGTTTACCAAGATCAAACTGATTCAAAAACAAAGGATCTTTGGTATAAAACTTACAATCCATCCAGCCTCGACAGTGTTTAATACACTAAATTCATGCCCTGACACAACCCAAATTTGTGCTAAGCTAAACTCCGTATAAAATGTTGCTGGGTTCCACACGTTAAGCCATGCACTTACTCCAAAATAGTTGCCATCGTCCACGGAAACTTGGGCGTACTAAATCAATTTTTCATTCATGGCAAGGGAAAATAAAACATCAAATTAATCAAACTTTTGTGACTGTTTTTACTTTTGTTTAGAATTCAATGAACGTAGAAAGTAGAACTTTGAACTCTCCATTATTTATATAGTTATTTTTAAATTGTATTATCTAAATTAATTTAAAAATAAAATACGTAATTATTATCCTTTTGTTGCGGCCTTTTTTATATAAAAATAATAAAAAGAAATGAGTAATTTGACATGGTACCTCATGGTTGTTTGCAGGATCAGCTTTAATTTGAACCTTGTCAAGGTCTTTCCTGGGAGGAACAAATGCCAGAGTCCGAGGAGGTTTGGGTATTTGTGCTCTAACAATGGGAATTGTTCCTTCAGGGCACTGTTCATTCTTATACCAATCTTGAATGAGCCTTGGTTCGAAATTTTCTGCTTCTATTCCTCCGATATATGAATTTGATTTCATCTATCCAAAATGAATGATCCTTATTGTTTTTCAAGTGAGATAAATAAACTTTACTTGAATAGAAAAGAATTAATAACGTTACTCTTTTATTTTTAAAAATTATTTTTAAATTATCTTTAACTATTTCATTTAATCAAGATAACTTTAAGAAGATATCAAAGTTGAGGTTTGAACCCCAACTTTCCCCCTTCTTTTTAATGTAGGGCTCTGTATCTTTGAATGATCAGAAAAATTATTTTTAACTTCATGACAATATCTTTTCAAATATATGAAAAAAAATCAATTATAATTTAAGAAACCATGAATTTGATAATTGGTGTGTATAAATCAATGTATTATCTCATTCAAGTGCAAAAAATTGAATCTTTTTACTAAAATTAAAATTTTAATAATATTTTATTAATAAATCATATGATTATCAACTTCATATTACAAATATATATAAATATTTTTAAGTGTATATAGTTAAGTATATGACATGCATGAAGAAACTTTGTAAAAATAAATCAAATGCATGTATTCCAAATGATAGAAACCTATATGGTGTGATTCTTGAGGAGAGGATGATCAAAAGCAGGTTGTTTGTAGATGTCAATACAGTCAATCACCTCGGAACCACAACCCAACAAGAACTTGAAAGCTCGGATTGAGGCGATGGAGAAAGAGCTGAAAAACAAAATCTTTACCTTTGACGACGAGTTCAAGTTCTTAGAAACATCCCCGTTTGTCGAGAATATTTACCTAGCTCTACCATCAAAAGGATTCAAGATACCCACACTTGAAACTTACGACCTTGAACTTTCAGCTTGCTCAGAATTCTGAGTTCCAAAGGCCTCCTCACTAGTTTGCTTGGCCACTAGATTCTAAGAAGGTCCTTGAGTTTGAGTGGGAACAGGGACCTCCATCACATCAGAAGAAGATGAAGATATCTCAGAAGTAAAAGATTCCTTGAAGTCAGATGACGACCCAGAGTCACAGTTGAAGACCGGGCTAATAGTTGATTAGGAAGGATCATTAAGGTGTGACAGAAATAGGAGTTCGATTAGAGGAGGTAACTGGTGGAGAGGCTGAAGAAGAGGGAGCTGAAGGTGGAGCCGAATATACTGCATTTGTGGGGATAGGGGGATTTTGGAGACCAATATCTATTACTGCTAAGAGCTTATCCATCCCTTAAAAGACCGTCTCGTTACCAACTCAGGCGTTTTTTTCAATCTGTTTTTGGTTCTAACATCGAGTTAAACCAGTAGACAGCTCGAATACAATCTCTTCCTATAATAATAGAAGATACCTCATCGTATAAAAAAATCTTTTCCCTATCATTGCCGTGAGTTGACTCTCCCTAACCTCAACCTTAAAGTTAGAGAAATTTGAATCAAAAGACACAATTAAAGTTAAAAGGGGTGCCGAGGGTTGAAAAGAAAGGAGAAAAATGGAAAATTGATGAAAACATACAGTATTCTTTTTTTTTTTAATTTAAATATTCACTGACATGAGATTGGATTTTAATAAAAAGATTTATGAATTTAAAATATTCATATATTAAAATGTAAAAAGTATTTATAACATTTAAATAATTGTCCAAAGGTAAAAAAATAAAAATTTTAGTTTGAAAATATAAACAAATATAAAAGAACTTAATTATATAAACAAAATCAAATCAGTTACGAACCTAATTTAATTTTATATTTTTATTTGATTAAATACTAATTTATTAGCTGAATTGTTTTTTTGAAATTTATTAATTTTATGTAAAATGGAATATTTAATTATTATTATTCGGCCAAAAAATTATTATTATAAATTTTCTTTGCACTAATAACTTCATCAAAAATTTTTGTAATAAGTTTATCATTTAATTACTCAAAAAAAATTATAAATGTATTACTTTATTACTCGAATTTGACAACGGAACGAAAGAACATTGCCTAAAGAAATGTAGCTATCGATTAATCGATTCTTTAGCTCTCCCTAATTTTCATTTTTTGGGTAAAATCTGCCAAATTTTCTTTGCTAGCAAACAAAAACCTCATTAATGATTCCCAAAACTAAGTTTTTTTTTTTTTTTAATTCAAAAATAATTTGTTGATTTTACGTTGTTTGGTTAAAAAAAATTAGAAGGAAGGAAAAAGGTCGAAAAAATTTATATTTTCCTTTCCTAATGTTCAATAAAAAATAAAAAAATAGTAAAAAAAGAAATAAAATTAATAATAAAATTATTTATTTAAGTAAATTACGTTGTTTTTTATATTTGAAAAGATTAAATTTGGAGAGAATGAAAATATGCAAATCTTTTTTTTTTTTTCTCCTATTAGAAAAAATATCTTCTACGCTCTCCTTTCTTTCTTCTTTCAACGCATTTAATTGTGATTCACATGTGATTAAAATATTTATTTACGCACAAGGCAAAGCCAAGTCAAAGATAATCTTTGTTCCATGGCAAAGATCATCTCTTAACGCAAACTCCCGAAAGAGAGCGTGGACCATCCCCACGCCATTGAGTTGTCCAGCCAACCCACCATGATTATTCCGTGTAAACCACGCTCCATACTCCCACGCAAAAACCAACCCCTCCTTTCCTTACAAACAAAAGCAGGAGAGAAAACTGAGGAAAACAAAACAAAACATTTGCTTGAAAAAAGACGATTTTTAACGGATTTTTAGTTAAAAGATTGGCCAAATTTTGAACAACAAATAACATGTGGCCATGAAAGCCAGACCACCTCAGTAATCACTCACATGTCAAAGAAACTCAAGTCACTTTTTTACCACTTTGGTTCTTTTAAATTTTTAATAATTTTTTTTTAACTTTTATTAATTCACTGCAAATTCTTTAGCTTTTTCATGAACCGGATGCCCAATGAATATATGACATGTCAGCAGCATATCTATTTAAAGTGGGTCGTAGATGATGTGGAAGGATATTTGCTGTTGTTGGGCAACGGACAAGAGGGAATCGGAGGAAGTGCTATAAAGGATGGGGAGAAGTGGTGGGCAAGGTATATATATTTTTTTCAATCTTTTTTTCTCAGTTCTGTTATATCCATCCAGTTTAGAGTTTGGACCCACAATCACAATTTTGCTTTGAATTTTTGGTTTATAGTTTTTTAATTGGTTCAATGGTGATGGAGCTTTTTGCTTTTGGGTGATAAGAGGGACAAGAGATCCTTCTCTTTGTGGAATTCCAAGGCAACCCTCTTCTCTCGCAGAATCTTTCTTTTTCTACATATATATGCATCTTCCCCACTGTTCTTTTCATCTTTCTATCTGATATACTGCTTTTTTTTTTCTTTTTCTTCTCTTTTTTAAAACTTTTACTGGTAGTTTTTTGTTGTAAAAAAAAAAAAAAGAAGGAATGTTAATTGTTATCTTGTGGTGGTGGTGGTGTTGTTATCTGAGTCTGAGCTAAAAGTTTGGTTCCTTTTTGGGTATGTAAGAGTCTGGATATTGGTGAAATTTGTGTTGTTATCAGTTGCTTAATTTGTTATAACTGCTGGATTATTGATTTTTGGAGCAAAATGTTTCATCTTTATGGGCTGTTTTGGTTCTGGATATTAGCCAAAACTTGTGTTTGCTACAGCAATTTTTCATGAGTTCTTGTTTGTTGTTTATGGTTTTCAGTCAAAAGATCTATTTTTTTGAGGTGGGTTGACTATTGGATGTTGGTAGAGTTCTGAATTCTTCTTAAGTGACTGATTCTGATGGTTGAATTAATGCAAAACCAAGACTTCTTTGTTGCATGTAGGTTGATTCTGGGTGATTGTGTTTCCTTGGTGAGAATCTAGGTATCAGAGTTTTGGTCCGTATTGGATTTGGCTTGAAAGGATGCTAAAGGAATGTTTTGATGGTGGAAGGACCAGTTTTTTTAGTGGAATTTTGTGGTGAAGGACTGTAAATGATGATGAGAGGGGAAAAAGTGATGAGTCCTATGTTTCCTAGGCTTCATGTGAATGATACAGAGAAAGGAGGGCCAAGGGCACCTCCAAGGAATAAAATGGCTCTCTATGAACAGCTCAGTATCCCTTCCCAAAGGTTCAACTCTGGATCACCATCCATGCTGCCTCTTCCACCAAATAATAACAACAGCTTGGTTCCTTCAATATCATCAAGCCATGTAAGTTTTCTAACTTTAATGATTTCCTAAAGTCATAAGATGCAATGTCTCCTTCAAGTTACCTTGTTTGAATGGTCTCAATCAATATGATGGCCTTTTTTTTATGTCTGTGTTTGACCATTTTAGCCTTTGAATTCTGTTCCATTTCTTCTATCTGTTGAATTTGATTCAATTTGATTCAAGGCTTGGCATCTATTACTACTAGCTTAATTATCTGGTACCTACATAAGGTTTCTATTGATTTATTTGCAGCTTTCCTGAAAATTTGCTAGGTGGGATCATCGTGTTCTAGATTTACGCAAATACTTCTTTAAGCATCATAGTCTCTTCCATTGCATTTGTGCTTCTTTACCTTATAAGTGTTCAGTCTGTAGAATAAAATTTGTGTGAGGTTCTGAGTTAAGTGGATTGATGTAATTTTTTTCTATTTTATCTTGTATGACAAGAAATTATTCATATTTGTAGGGTGGTGGCAATGAAAGGAGTATGTTTGTGCCATTTGGCAACACCCATGAATCTTCAATTTTGGCTGATAAGTTTCATTCTTATTCCATCCCCGGGAATAATCTCAATACAACTAAAGGAAATCAAGAAAGAAAATCCGCAAAAGCTATAGATGACAATAGTTTGGATACCACACAACCAATTCCAGCAGTTTCTAAAAGCAATCCATTGCAACCTTTGCATTTCTCCAACTTTAAGAAATTTTCTTTAAGGAAGCAAGGACACGATGATGATCTTCGGGTTCCTACCTGTATTCTGTCTGGAATAGATCAAAACTGCAGTTGCAGTAATCAGAGTGAAGGCCGGGGAATTTTTTCTAAATTGAACTTGAGCTCTTCAATGCGACTTCAAAATGCTAATGAAAGGCAGATGAAAGAAAATGATTCTGTGGACCCAAAGTCTAGAAGATATGTTGGGAACCAAGAGGAGGAGAAGGGAAGATTATCTCAATGTCATCAAAACATCACTGAAAGGTCTGATTCAATTTTGCCAACCAGAGATAAAATCCTGGTAGACACAGCATCTAACCTGTCAACCAAAATCAATGATTCAGAATCATTAAAACGACCACATGCTTCCTATAACCAAGAAAACAAAAGCAGCTCAGTGGATATATTGAACGGTAAAGATGGTCCAAATGCTCGGTTGCATCATGAGTATGTGGTGACACAAGACAAAATGATCTTTAGGGAAAATATTTTGGTGGAATCTGGCAGATGCCTGGAAAATGGTTCCAAGGTGAGAAATGAGTCATGCATGAGACAATCACTTGCAGTTGATAATGGAACTCCAAATGCACTTGAAAACAGAAGTAAGGCCCATGAAGAAAAGAACTGTGAGGTGATGCAGGTTGGGGGTGTTAACAGACTTAATAATGTCCCAGGTGACTCCACGCTGGAGTCCATATCTCCTTTGGATATATGTCCTGATGATGTCGTGGGAATCATTGGCGAAAAGCATTTCTGGAAAGTAAGAAGAGTGATTGTCAAGTAAGTATCCTTCTTCTGTTGTTGCTACGTGCATCTGCTGCAGCGAATGAACATTAGAAGTATGTGATCTATTCAATTTTGTCTAGCACAGCTGCATTTTTATACCATTATCTAATTGCAGTGTACCTTCTATGTCTACTATCTATAACTGCTCGTTTTGGATATCACTATTAAATATTGTAATTCAATTTGCTATTTGAATCACTTCTATCTTTTCAAAATGCACTCAACATTCATTGCTAGCTCTGCTTCTCAATGTGATACTAATCAGTATATCACTATTTTCAGCCAACAAAGAGTCTTTGCTGTGCAAGTCTTTGAGTTGCATAGACTAATAAAGGTAAACGGGTATTGTGCTATTGACTTGCTCGGCATTTCAGCAAATTATCTATGTAATCTCATTTTTTGGTTTCTTATGCAGCTGTGTAAAATGAAAACTAAATTACTTTTTCTGTTGTCATGTTTGTTTGATCGAACAGAAAGAAAGGAAATTTACTTTTGCATTATTTTTGAACAGGTTCAGAGGTTGATTGCTGGGTTACCACATATATTGCTTGAAGATACCTTATATATGGGCAAACCATCTTTAGATGTTTCTCCCATCAAGAAGTTGCCAGCTGACTATGTTTCTGAACCACCATTGATTGTTAAAGTCAAAGATAATTCTCAAAAAACAAATATTAGCATCGAATGTGCAGATGAGAATGCACTTGCAAAGCTTCCTTTTCCTTCTACCAATGATAATACCAGCAAAGGACTTGTTACACATCGACCCAAATATGGGCCTTATTCAGGAAATGCCCGGACAACACCAATGGCTGCCAATACCAGGGCATCTCCTTGGTGTTTCTCTCCACCTGGAAATCAGTGGTTAGTTCCTGTAATGTCTCTTTCTGAAGGACTTGTTTACAAGCCATACACAGTGCCTTTTCCTCCAACTGCAGGTTTTTTGGCACCAGTTTATGGCAGCTCTGGTCCTGTGAACTTAGCTACAGGAGTTGGGGACTTTCTGAACACAGTTTATGGTGTTCCAGCTTCTCACCAACAGGGAATTGGAATTCTTCCTGGCAACCCTCCTATAGGTCAGGCCTACTTTCCACATTATGGTATGCCAGTTAGGAATCCTTCAGTTTCTGGCTCAGCAGTTGAGCAGATGGCCTCGTTTACTGGAGTCCAGTCAAAGGGCAATCAGTTCTCAACCGGTGACGTAAACTTCACCATAGCTCACCAGAGTTCATGCAACATGTCAAGTCAGATGAGTCAAGCGATCTCATATTGTGCTGGAAAATTGCCTGCATCAAAAGAGAGCCAAATACTGGGAAGTACAGCAAGTAGTCCCTCTGAGAGAGCTAAAGGGGATGCACTTCCTCTTTTCCCTACAGAACCTACAACTCAGGCATCTAATCATGATGCTCAGGCTAGTGGGCAGCGAACAAGGGTAATTAAGGTTGTACCACATAACCCCAGATTAGCGACTGAATCAGCAGCTCGGATCTTTCACTCTATACAAGAAGAAAGGAAACAGTATGTTTAGTTTTTGTATCTAATCAGAGCTACCTCGCCGAAAATAACTGTATTCTTAATACTTTGTTAAATATTTGATGTTTTGCATCTGTAATTCTTATATGTTAATAGCATGTACATGAGCAACTTAAGGTTGAAAAACAATAAACTTTCGCTTGATTGTAACCACGCTTGATTCTATGTTTTATGATCAAAAGGCTTCTCTATGAGAGCCTTTTTTTGCAGCAAATCTTAGCCGCATTAAAAAATTAATAATCTAGCATGTACTCCACCATAAGCCTTTAATTACCAAGCATTCAAGTCTACTTTAAATACAATTCAGGAAGAAAGTGAAGCAAAAGAGAAGTCCCATATGACATGTGCTTTCTGGTTCTAGCAATTTTTTGTGTTTCCCACTTTAGCAAGTTTTTACTCGTGCTTTGAGGTCTCTGCCGAAGTCTTAGAAGTTGCTTTCATGGAGTTCACATTGATGTCGATTATTCAATTTGAAATTGTTAAGCTGAAACTGCTAACAAGAAAAAGCCAATCTGAAGAATATAATTCTTACTCAGACTAAGTGTTTAATCATTGGCTAAGAACATTTGAACTTGTAATTATAAAAGCCAACCACCTGGATTTATGAGGTTAGGGACCTAGGGTTGTTAAAAAGAATGCTTAGATGTTAGAACTTGTCTAAGATGCAAATTCTTGAATTTGAGACTCGGGGGCAAGCTTATCTTGGCTGCCACCTGCATTTTCACTCCCAAGTAACATCCATCCGACTTATTAATTAAAACTATTACATTCTTTGCTTGGCTCTTAGGAAAATATCCTTCTGTCATAAATCACCATACTTTAGGCATACATGTTGCAATTAAATATCAATTTTATTGCTTTGCGATGGCTCTACTTGCATTTATCAGAATATCCAGGGCCACCAAAAAAGAAATGGGTTCCAAAATTTTTCATGCCTCCCATCTGTAAATCATAGCATTCAGGCCTTGTCACATGTGGCTCGACATTTTCAGCATCTTTCATAAATCCAGACTCATTCATGTACCTAAGATTTCGGATCAAACTATCTTTGGTAAAGCCTTCACTGGGAAAATGGCCACTTCCCATTTGAGTAGGGGTGTGATGGCCTTGTGATTGAAAATTAAGAATCTCTCCACCCCAACTTAATCTATCAGCCCTGTCAGATAGTGTTGTGAAGATCGAGCCTGGCCAATATCCTACATCTATTTGCTGTATCCTCAACCACCAGTTTCCACTTTGCTTGTCCTGAAACATTTTCCTTATAGTGGTCACTGGTCATTTTATCTTGAAAAAAAATGACTGAAAATTTTGTCAGACTTAAACAAGAAAATGTGTTTTACCTTGTGTATAAATATGTGTATTTCAAATTGAGTGCCTCCATAGGTGGAAACAGGGTGTATAATCGAACCAAGAGCCACCTTGTTGTTGGTTTGCACAAATCCAGGACATTCAAGATTATAGCAACCTGTCTTTTGATAGCCGTCGCTCTAACATTCCACAAACAAACAACTTCAAACAACTTTTAGTTAATGTAAATTCGGAATATGAAAGCATATATATGTTTGATTTCTAACAAAATATAGGGATACAGACATCAGACAGGACGGATCAAGCAAACTTACAGTCCAGTAAATGAATGATCTTGTTGGTTTCTGGTCTGCCTTATTCTGCAATATGATTATAATAAGTTTACCAACATCAAACTGATTCAAAAACAAAGGATCTTTGGTAGTAAACTTACAATCCATCCAGCCTCGATAGTGTTGTATACACTAAATTCACGCCCTGACACAAGCCAAATTTGTGCTAAGCTAAACTCCGAATCAAACGTTGCTGGGTTCCACACGTTAAGCCATGCAGCTACTCCAAAATAGTTGCCATCGAACTCGGAAACTACAGCATACTAAATCAATTTTTCATTCACAGCAAGGGAAAAAAAAACATCACATTAATCAAACTTCTGTGACTGTTTTTACTTTTGTTTAGAATTCAATGAATGTAGAAAGTAGAACTTTAAACTCTCAACTATTATATAAAGTCATTTTTAAAATATAATATCTAAATTAGTTTAAAAACCATATCCGTAATTATTATCCTTTTGTTGCGGCCTTTTTTATATAAAAAAATATAAAAAGAAATGAGTAATTTGACATGGTACCTCATGGTTTTTTGGAGGATCAGCTTTAATTTCAAGGTCTTTCCTGGGAGGAATAAATGCCAAAGTCCGAGAAGGTTTGGGTATTTGTGCTCAACAATGGGAATTGTTCCTTCAGGGCACTGTTCATTCTTATACCAATCTTGAATGACCTTTGGTTCGAAATTTTCTGCTTCTATTCCTCCAATACATGAATAAAATAAATATTCCAAACGATAAAAACCTGTATGGTGTGATTCTTGAGGAGAGGATGATCAAAAGCAGGTTGTTTGTAAATGTCAACACAGTCAATTACATCACCATCTTCACTCTGAACATATATATTAACAAATAACCATTATCATTTATCATAAATGAGATAACTAATTAAATAAGTAATAGACAAAAAAAAAAAGTAGTATTATTATATGGCAAAACCTGTATTGTTTTTATTGTTCCTTTATGCTTAGCCAACTTAATGGTTTTATCAGATGATGAGATCGACCTTCCATCCACATGAACATAGCTAAACATGTGACAGACAGCTACAAACACGAATAAGAATTATCCAAGCTTGGTTTTTGTATGATTCCAAGTAGCCATTGGATTGAAAAAAAAATGGCAAAAAAGCTGAAAAACTTTTTATTTTTTTCTGATCTTTTTCTTGCAAAGTATTATGGCAAAAACTGAGTTTTTGTCCTAACAAATTGAGATGAGAAATTTTTGTTAGAAACAAATAAAGTTCGCTGATGAATATTTGTACTATTAGCAACCAATATATATATATATATATATATATATATTGGAAAACATACATGATTTGGGAATGTTATGTGATCTCTATATGGGAAAAGATAGGTTTGGAAAGTTTTATGATTTCTATCCTGGAAAATATATGTATTAAGGGGTTTATGGAAATGATATTACCAAGAAGGAAGGTTAAGGCATTGATGGAAATTTTTGCTTTTGTTTTGGTAATATGTATCATCCAATTGAGGATCAGAATGGAAAATTTTATCTTCAATTTTAGCTTTTCACCTCATAATAATTCATTAATGTAATAAGAATGTTCAAATTTATCATCAATCTTTCAATTAATATACTTTTATCACCATACTTATAATTTTAAAATAAATTTATCATTATATTCAAATTTTTGTAGTAGTAAGAAAAAAAAATTATTATGTGACATTATATTTAAAAGAAAATATCATGATAAAAGAAAAATAAAATCAAAATCAGAATTTAGCTTCACATTTTTTTTCTTTACCATATCATTTTCAAAATTAATTTTTAATTATAAACAGTTTTTAACATGTTGAGTGATTGCTCAATTAAATTAAGTCAAACATTCTATACATTTATTTTTAAGTAATTATTATTATTAATAAAAATTAATGCTAAATAATACTGAATTAGCAAATTGAGGGGTATTAGCCAAGCCGAAAAATGAAAAAGAAAATAGGGATTGGACTAAATTATTCAATTAAAAATGATTACGGATTATAAAAAGCCCAACCCAATTTGTCTCACGGCCTGCGGACTCCCATCCTCTCTCACCGACTTTGACCAGAAAAGAAAGGACACTTACAAATGGTTATACCCTAAACTTCGGTATAATTTTTGCGCCAATTTTTTTTTTTTAATTTCGTTTGATTTTTGTGTTTGTTTGGTCTTTGACGGTGATTAACGTGCAGGTAAGGTTCACGGGTCTTTGGTACGTGCATGTAAGGTGAGAGGGCAGACTCCAAAGGTGGCCAAGCAAGACAAGAAGAAGAAGCCTAGAGGTCGCGCCTATAAGCGGATGCAGTACAAACGCCGTTTTGTCACCGCTGGTTAGCTCATCGCTATATCTTGTTTAACTTTTCCTGTTTATATATCTATTACTACTATTTTTGGAAAACAATATTTCTTGAGTAAAAAAAGCAGTAATTTATAAACCCATTTTTGAAAATTTTGGTTATGAGGATGAAGACAGTTGATTATTTTTATTCTGTTATACTATGTGGTCATTACAATGTTGGAATTGTGTTGTTAATTGATTTTGAACTTTCTTTCACAATTGAGATGTTAATATATGCAGTAATATTTTAAAACAAAATGTGATGTCACCGCGGATATACCAGTTTAAGAATGCATCCAATATCTTACATTATCTTCAATGGCTAAGTTCTTGATAATGGTTTCGATCAGTGTATTCAGAAAGTCCAGTTTTGATTAGCTCTTATTGTAGTGAATCATTGTAATGATTGTGCTCTTTTCTTGTGCCAACGATTAGTATAATTCTAGTCTGTCCACCCAGCTCATTTCCTTTCTAATTCAACTGCCATTTAACCTTCATTATTTGTTTTCTGCTCAACCTGTTATCGTGAATGAAATTCATCTTACATAAAGTGGATATGGTGCCTTCACTTTGTTAGTCGTGTTGTTTTTACTAGGAATTGTCAGGTCTATATGCGTCATACCTACATGATCTCTTATTTATTCATCTTCTTAACTTCCTCTGGGAATTGCATGGTAGAAGAAGCTGTACTCTTGTGTTTCATCCTGCATTCTTGCATATCTTGAGCATCGTAATGGACTGCGTGTTGGTTTGCGGTGTGCAGTTGTTGGCTTTGGGAGGAAGCGTGGACCCAACTCTTCGGAGATGTGAGGTTGGACTTGTTGGAGTCCTGCATAATAGGATGTTTGAAAGTTTGATGGGAACATTATATTAATTTTTTTTTGGCTTCATTACCATTATGTTGTTCTGAATTACTTTGGAGCCTTTTTTCGGTTTAATGAAACTAAATACTGGTATGTTTTGATTTCAAATATTACTAAGAGCCCCGACGTCTCATCCTTTACGATCTTTATTTGAGTCTCTGAATTTCAGCGAGTGATATGGAATGTAGAAGTTTGATAAATTGAGATGGTTAAATTGGTCCCAACTGCTGCTGTTTTTGACTCTACTCGTAAATTCAATTCGCTACTTATAAAATTCATTTAGGTTAGGTTTTGTTCAGATGAGAGGTGTGGCTATCTATCTCCTGTTAGTTCGAGAAAATTAAACGATTTGCCAATATGGGTAGTAATTTTCTAGATAGCAGGCTGCAGATTTTGTAGCTGGTTTACTGTTGAAGGTGCGTTCGAAGACCTTTTTCTTCGTAGAAGAAGGTTTACAAATCCAACTGACTGACATTTCTTTTTGATCGCTAGGATTGATAATCCTCAATCAATTAAACCCAAAAAATATAACAGACATCCAGTGGATCCTCGTTCCTCTTCCAGTTCTAGACAACCATTCACCTGGTTCGTGCGGTTAGACACAATGGTCTAAACATACTGGCCCTCTCTTAGCTTCGGCCTTGGCTCTGCAGCATGCGTTCCCGATCTTTCTCGTCGCCGTGCATTGTTTCATGTGGAAATCTCTCGTATCCGAATCATTCCTGTCCATCAATTTTTATACCCTGCTTTTCTTCATCTCCTCCAAAATGGCACCTTTTAAAGATTTAAAAAAAAAAAGTGGCAACGTTTATCTTTTGTAAAAATCCATTTAAAACCAAAATTCCATTCGTGAAAATCTAGTCTGAGTTAAGGTTCAGCGAGACAATAGGGTACAGAGTTTGAGACTAACCAGGAGTTCTATTTCATCTTCTAATAACAATCCTCGTAGCTGCAAGAAGTCCCCACATCACCAACGGACATGGCAGCCCAAGGTACAAACAAAAGACAATCTTGGTTCTAAACTCAAAGCAACAGACAAAAATTATACTCGTCACGAAGTCCGAGGTTTCTCCGTACCCACTTTTCAGTTCTCTTTCTCTTTTTGCCTGTTGCTGTTTGGTTGCTTTAACGGTTTCAACTTCACGTTAAAAACAAAAATTACAAAAACATTCTATGTACAAAGCAACCACAAAAGGAAAGACCCATAAATCTCTCACTCTGTGTCTCTCTCTTTCTATCACCAAAAACATTAATTGCTAACAATCATTAAAAGCTGGTGGAATTCAAGAATTTAAGAGAAAGTTTGAACTGATCCATCTTGTCATTCAAAACGTTTCTCCCATTAAATTCAACCTTGTGTATAAAAAAACCACATCCCAAACATATGGTAACGACAACTCTTCCCTTCTTTTTCTATCTATAAATCTCATCATCATCATTTTTTCATGTAGTGTTTATTTTCCCCGAGATCATCGGAAGAAAGGTCATTGATTCCTTGGAAACTTTCTTCCTCTCTTGCCATACTTATTAGCAACTGAATCAGCAGCTCGGATCTTTTGGTCTATAAAAGAAGAAAGGAAACAGTATGATTAGGTTTGTTGTATCTAATCAGACCTACCTCACCGAAAATAACCGTATTCTTAGTACTTTGTCAAATATTTGGTGTTTTGCATCAGTAATTCTTATAAGTTAATAGCTTGTATATAAGCAACTTAAGGTTGAAAAACAGTAAACTTTTGCTTGATTGTAACCATGCTTGATTGTATGTTTTATGATCAACAGGCTTCTCTGTTAGAGCCAATCTTAGCTTCATCAAAAAATGAATAAGCAAGCATGTACCGTACCGTATGCCTTTAATTGCCAAGTATTCAAGTCTACTTTAAATACGATTCAGGAAGAAAGTGAAGCAAAAGGGAAGTCCCATATGACATGTGCTTTCTGGTTCTAGCAATTTTTTGTGTTTCCCGCTTTAACAAGTTTTTACTCAGTGCTTTGAGGACTCTGCTAAAGTCTTAGAAGTTGCTTTCATGGAGTTCACATTGATGTCGATTATTCAATTTGGAGTTATTAAGCTGAAACTGCTAATAAGAAAAAAGCCAATCTGAATAATACAATTCTTACTCAGACCAAGTGTTTAATCATTGGCTAAGAACATTTGAACTTGCAATTATAAAAGCCAACCACTTGGGTTTAAGAGGTTAGGGACCTAGGGTTGTTAAAAAGAATGCTTAGAAGTTAGAACTTGAAGTGGCTGAGATGCAAATTCTTGAATTTGAGATTCGGGGGTATACTTATCTTGGCTGCCACCTGCATTTTCACTCCCAAGTAACATCCATTCAACCTATATTTATTAATTAAAACGATTACATTCTTTGTCTGGCTCTTAGGAAATATCCTTCTGTCATAAATCACCATACATTAGGCATACGTGTTGCAATTAAATATCAATTTTATTGCTTTGCGATGGCTCTACTGGCATTTATCAGAATATCCAGGGCCACCAAAAAGGAAATGGGTTCCAAAATTTTTCATGTCTCCCATCTGTAAATCATAGCATTCAGGCCTTGTCACATATGGCACGACACTTTCAGCATCTTTTATAGATCCAGACTCATCCATGTGCCTAAGATTTCGGATATAACTGGCCTTGTTAAAGCCTTCACTGGGAAAATGGCCACTTCCCATTTGAGTAGAGGTGTGATGGCCTTGTGATTGTAAATTAACAATCTCTCCACCCCAACTTAGTCTGTCAGCCCTGTCAGATAGTGTTGTGAAGATCGAGCCTGGCCAGTATCCTACATCTATTTGCTGTATCCTTAACCACCAGTTTCCACTTTGCTTGTCCTGAAACATTTTCCTTATAGTGATCATTGTTCATTTATCTTGAAAAAAAATGACTAAAAATTTTGTTAGACATAAACAAGAAAATGTGTTTTACCTTGTGTATAAATATGTTTATATCAAATTGAGTGCCTCCATAGGTGGAAACAGGTTCTAAAAGCGAACCAAGGACCACCTTGTTGTTGGTTTGCACAAATCCAGGACATTCAAGATTATAGCAACCTGTCTTTTCATAGCCGTCGCTCTAACATTCCACAAACAAACAACTTCAGACAACTTTTAGTTAATGTAAATTCGCAATATGAAAGCATATATATGTTTGATTTCTAACAAAATATAGAGATACAGACAGCAGACAGGACGGATCGAGCAAACTTACAGTCCAATAAATGAATAATCTTGTTTGATTCTGGTCTGAGTTGGTCTGCAATATGATTATAATAAGTTTACCAATATCAAACTGATTCAAAAACAAAGGATCTTTGGTATAAAACTTACGATCCATCCAGCCTCCACAGTGTTTAATACACTATATTCACGCCCTGACACAACCCAAATTTGTGCTAAGCTAAACTCCGTATCAAATGTTGCTGGGTTCCACACGTTAAGCCATGCACTTACTCCAAAATAGTTGCCATCGTCCACGGAAACTTGGGCATACTAAATCAATTTTTCATTCATAGCAAGGGAAAATAAACATCACATTAATCAAACTTTTGTGACTGTTTTTACTTTTGTTTAGAATTCAATGAACGTAGAAAGTAGAACTTTGAACTCTCCATTATTTATATAGTTATTTTAAAATTGTAATATCGAAATAAATTTAAAAATCAAATCTCAATATTTGAAATCATTATTTTTTTGCTGTGGCCTTTTTTATATAAAAAAAATAGAAAGAAATGAGTAATTAGACATGCTACCTCATGGTTTTTCGGAGGATCAGCCTTAATTTCAACCTTGTCAAGGTCTTTCCTGGGAGGAACAAATGCCAGAGTCCGAGTAGGTTTGGGTATTTGTGCTCTAACAATGGGAATTGTTCCTTCAGGGCAGTGTTCATTCTTATACCATTCTTGAATGAGCTTTGGGTCGAAATTTTCCGCTTCTATTTCTCCAATATATGAATTTGGTTTCATCTATCCAAAAAGAATGATCCTTATTGTTTTTCAAGTGAGATAAATAAACTTTACTTGAATAGAAAGGAATTAATAACGTTACTCTTTTTTATTTTTAAATTCATGACAATATGTTTTCAAATATATGAAAGAAATCAATTATAATTTAAGAAATCATGAATTTGATAATTGATTGAATTATCTCATTCAAGTGCAAAAAATTGAATCTTTTTACTAAAATTAAAATTCTAATAATATTTTATTAATAAATCATATGATTATCAGCTTCATATTACAAATATATATCAAATATTTTTAAGTGGATATAGTTAAGTACCTGACATGCATGAAGAAACTTAGTAAAAATAAATCAAATGCATGTATTCCAAATGATAAAAACCTGTATGGTGTGATTCTTGAGGAGAGGATGATCAAAAGCAGGTTGTTTGTAGATGTCAACACAGTCAATCACATTACCATCTTCACTCTGTGAACATATATATTAGCAAATAGCCATTACCATTTATCATAAATGAGATAATTAAATAAGCATAAAAGCAATAGACAAAAGAAAAAAAAAAAAACTAGTATTATTATATAGCAAAACCTGTATTGTTTTTATTGTTCCCTCATGCTTAGCCAACTCAATGATTTTTTCAGATGATGAGATCGACCTTCCGTCCACATGAATATAGCTAAACATGTGACAGACGGCTACAAACAGGAATAAGAAGTATCCGAGTTTAGTTTTTTTATGATTCCAAGTACCCATTGGATTGAAAAAAAAATTGGTCAAAAAAGCTGAAAAAAAAATTTTTTTTTTATTATCTTTTCTTTGCAGAGTACTAATTGAGATGAGAAATTTTTGTTAGAAACAAATAAAGTTCACTGGTGAATATTTGTAGTATTAGCAACCAATATATATATATATGAGAAAACATACATGATTTGGGAATGTTATGTGATTTCTATAAGGGAAAAGCTAGGTTAGGGAAGTTTTATGATTTCTATCTTGGAAAATATTTGTACTTAAAGAGTTTATGGATATGATCTTACCAAGACGGAAAGTTAAGGTATCGATCGATTTTTTTTTTTTTTTCATTTTTTGGTAACATACATATATTATCCAATTGAGGATTAGAATGGGAGATCTGATCTTCAATTTTTAGCTTTTCACCTTATAATAATTTATTAACAGAATAAGAATGTTCAAATTTATCATAATCTTTCAATTAGCATACTTTTATCACCATACTTATAATTTTAAAATAAATTTATTATTATATTCAAATTTTATGTAGTAGTAAGAAAAAAAAATTTACTATGTGACATTATTTAATAGAAAATATCATGATAAAAGAAAAAAAATAAAAATCAAATTTTAGGTTCACAATTTTAACCTTACCATATCATTTTCAAAATTAATTTTTAATTTTAAAACAGTTTTTAACATGAGTTTAGTTGGTTTGTATTATATATGTATGGTATTTTTTTTTTTTTTTGCCAAAATATGTGGTAGTTTAGACACTTGAGAAAAGATGACGCAAAGGGTTTTATTTTTTTTTCTAATTTTACAAAAATAAAACTAAGTATATTTCACTAAAAAATGAAATGATTAGAATTTAAAATTTCATCTTTCAATATCACATGTAAAAAAATATACATCCTTTAAAAAATTGAAATAAGATAAATTGCTAGGATTTATCAAATTGCTCATTTTTATTAAATTAATCCATAATTAATCTTTTTAATAAATAAAAATAAAATGATATGAAATTTCAAGCAACTTTATTTATTATAAATCATATATTTTGTAATTTTATACGTTACTTTTTTAAAAAAAAATTACAATCTAAAAATATAAAAAAAAAAGTTTACAATTATTGAGATTAATTTAAAATTCAAACATGTTAATGGCTTTTTTTTAAGTTAGTTGCATTAACCAGTTGCATCAAGCCACATATTCCGTACATTGACTCTTAATTAATTAATTAATATTATTATTGTTATTATTATTATTATTATTATTATTATTATTATTAAAAATTCAAACTAAATAATCTTAAATTAGCAAATTGACGTACCAAAAAAAATAAAGGTATTGGCCAAAAAAAAAAGAAATAGAAGTTGGGCCAAATTATGGATTATAAAAAGCCCAACCCAATTTGTTTCTGGGGCTGCGGACTACTCCGAGTGGTCGAACCCGTTTTCCACGGGTCAAGAAAACGGGTTCAATTTTGTTCTCTAATATAAACCCAGATTCCAGATAAAAACCCTAACCCTAAATCCCTCCAAAAACTCTCATCTTCTCTCACCGACTTTGACCAGAGAAGCAAGGATAGTTACAAATGGGTAAACCCTAAACTTTGGTATAATTTTTGCGCCAATTTTTTTTTTTTTAATTTCGTTTGATTTTAGTGTTGTTTGGTCTTTGACGGTGATTAACGTGCAGGTAAGGTTCACGGATCTGTGGCGCGTGCCGGTAAGGTGAGAGGGCAGACTCCAAAGGTGGCCAAGCAAGACAAGAAGAAGAAGCCTAGGGGTCGCGCCTATAAGCGGATGCAGTACAATCGCCGTTTCGTCACCGCTGGTTAGCTCATCTCTATTACTACTATTTTTGGAAAACAATATTTCTTGACGAAAAAAAGCAGTGATTAATAAACACATTTTTGAAAAAAAATTTGGTTATGAGGATGAAGACAGTTGTTCATGTTCATTCCGTTATACTATGTGGTCATTAGAATGTTGGAATTGTGTTGTTAATTGATTTTGAACTTTGTTTCACAATTGAGATGTTAATATATGGAGTAATAATTTTAAAAAAAATGTGATGTCGCCGCGGATATATCAGTTTAAGAATGCATCCAAAATCTTATATTATTTTCAATGGCTAAGTTCTTGATAATGGTTTCGATCAATGTATTCAGAAAGTCCAGTTTTGATTAGCTCTTATTGCGGTGAATCATTTTAATGATGATTGTGCTGTTTTCTTGTGCCAACGATTAGTGTAATTATTGTGTGTCCACTCATCTCTTTTCCTTTCTAATTCAACTGCCATTTGACCTTCATTATTTGTTTTCTGCTCAACCTATTATCGTGAATGAAATTCATCTTAGATAGGGTGGATATGGTGCCTTAACTTTGTTGGTTGTGTTATTTTTACTAGGAATTGTCAGGTCTATATGCATCATACCCACACGATCTCTTACTTTTTCATCTTCTTAACTTCTATGAAAACTGCATGGTAGAAGAAGCTGAATTTTTGTGTCTCATCCTGCATTTTTGCATATCTTGAGCATCGTAATGGACTGTGTGTTGGTTTGCTGTGTGCAGTTGTTGGCTTTGGGAAGAAGCGTGGACCCAACTCTTCAGAGAAGTAAGGTTGGACTTGTTGGAGTCCTGCGTAATAGGATGTTTGGAAGTTTGATGGGAACATTATATTGAAATTTTTATGGCTTCATTAGCATTATGTTGTTCTGAATTACTTTGGAGCTTTTTTTCGGTTTAAGGAAACTAAATACTGGTATGTTTTGATTTCAAATATTACTAAGAGCCCCGACGTCTCATCCTTTACGATCTTTATTTGAGCCTCTGAATTTCAACGAGTGATATGGAATGTAGAAGTTCGTAAATTGAGATGGTTAAATTGGTCCCAACTGCTGCTGTTTTTGACTCTACTCGTAAATTCAATTCGCTACTTATAAAATTGATTTAGGTGAGGTTTGTTCAGATGAGAGGTGTGGCTATCTATCTCCTGTTTGTTCGAGAAAATTAAACGATTTGCCAATATGGGTAGTAATTTTCTTGCTAGCAGGCTGCAGATTTTGTAGCTGGTTTACTGCTGAAGGTGCGTTCGAAGACCTTTTTCTTCGTAGGAGAAGGTTTACAAATCCAACTGACTGACATTTCCTTTTTGATCGCTAGGGGTGATAATCCTCAATCAATCAAACCCAAAAAATATAACAGACATCCAGTGGATCCTCGTTCCTCCTCCAGTTCTAGACAACCATTCACCTGGTTCGTGAGGTTAGACACAATGGTCTAAACATACTGGCCCTCTCTTAGCTTCGGCCTTGGCTCTGCGGCATGCGTTCCCGATCTTTCTCGTCGCCGTGCATTGTTTCCCGAGGAAATCTCTCGTATCCGAATCATTCCTAGCTTGATAAAGTTGAAATTTATTCCTTGTCCATCAATCTTTATACCCTGCTCTTCTTCATCTCCTCCAAAATGGCACCTTTTAAAGATTTTAAAAAAAAAAAAGTGGCAACGTCTATCTTTTCTAAAAATCCATTTAAAACCAAATTTCCATTCATGAAAATCTAGTCTGAGTTAAGGTTAGCGAGATAATAGTGTACAGAGTTTGAGACTAACCAGGAGTTCTATTTCATCTTCTAATCACTATCCGCGTAGCAGCAGGAAGTCCCCACATCACCAGCGGACATGGCAGCCCAACGTACGAACAAAGGACAATCTTGGTTCTGAACACAAAGCAACAGACAAAAATTCTACTTGTCACCAAGTCCGAGGTTTCTCCATCCCCACTCTTCGTTTCCCTCTCTCTTTTTGGCCTTTTGCTGTTTGGTTTCTTTAACAGTTTCAACTTCTTGTTAAAAACAAAAATTACAAAAACATTCCATGCACAGAGCAACCACATAAAGGAAAGACCCATAAATCTCTCACTCTGTGTCTCCCTCTTTCTATCACCAAAAACATTAATTGCTAATATTCATTAAAAGCAGGTGGAATTCAAGAATTTAAGGGAAAGTTTGACTGATCCATCTTGTTATTCAAAACGTTTCTCCTATTAAATTCAACCTTGTGCATAAAAAAAAAAAACACATCCCAAACATATGGTAACAACAATTCTACCCTTGTTTGCTATCTGTAAATCTCATCATCATCATTTTTACATGTAGCGTTTATTTTCCCCGAGATCATCGGAAGAAAGGTCATTGATTCCTTGGGAACTTTCTTCCTCTCTTGCCATACTTATTAGCGACTGAATCAGCGGCTTGGATCTTTCGGTCTATACAAGAAGAAAGGAAACAGTATGATTAGTTTTTTTGTATCTAATCAGAGCTACCTCACCGAAAATAACCGTATTCTTAGTACATTGTCAAATATTTGATGTTTTGCATCTGTAATTCTTATATGTTAATAGCATGTATATAACCAACTTAGGGAATGTTTGGTACAAAAGCGTACGATAAGATTAGGATAATATAATATTATGAATAAGATTAGATTAATTAATGTAATTTTATTTTATGTTTGATATATGCAAATATTAAGATAGAATAATTTATTTATTTGTCAAAATTATTTTTTCTTAAAATTTATATAATTTAAATTATTGATGTGATATTTAATGATATAATTGAATATATAAGTTTAATTTTATGGATTAAACATAATCATCTCCACTTAAAGAAGATTGAATAATCTTATGTCAAGAGAATATTAATATTTCTTACAATCCCTATTCATCTCTTTAAATAAAAATTAAACATGATATGGGACAATTAGTATCCTATTTTATCAATAATTCTATGCATCAAACATGACTTTAAGGTTGAAAAGCACTAAACTTTTGCTTGATTGTAACCATGCTTGATTCTATGTTTTATGATCAACAAGCTTCTCTGTAAGAGCTTTTTTTTGCAGCAAATCGTAGCCGTATTAAAAAACTAATAAGCAAGCATGTACTGCACCATAAGCCTTTAATTACCAAGCATTCAAGTCTACTTTAAATACAATTCAGGAAGAAAGTGAAGCAAAAGAGAAGTCTCATATGACACGTGTGCTTTCTGGTTCTAGCAATTTTTTGTGTTTCCCATTTTAACAAGCTTTTACTCGGTGCTTTGATTACTCTGCTGAAGTCTTAGAAGTTGCTTTCATGGAGTTCACATTGACGTCGATTATTCAATCTGGATTTAAGCTGAAACTGCTAAGAAGAAAAAAGCCAATCTGAAGAATACAATTCTTACTCAGACCAAGTGTTTAATCATTGGCTAAGAACATTTGAACTCGCAATTATAAAAGCCAACCACCTGGATTTATGAGGTTAGGGACCTAGGGTTGTTAAAAAGAATGCTTAGAAGTTAGAACTAGAAGTGGCTAAGATGCAAATTCTTGAATTTCAGACTCGGGGGCATACTTATCTTGGCTGCTACCTGCATTTTCACTCCCAAGTAACATCCATCCGACTTATATTTATTAATTAAAACTATTACATTCTTTGTTTGGCTCTTAGAAAAATATCCTTCTGTCATAAATCACCATACTTTAGGCATACATGTTGCAATTAAATATCAATTTTATTGCTTTGCGATGGCTCTACTTGCATTTATCAGAATATCCAGGGCCACCAAAAAAGAAATGGGTTCCAAAATTTTGCATGCCTCCCATCTGTAAATCATAGCATTCAGGCCTTGTCACATATGGCAGGACATTTTCAACATCTTTCATAAATCCAGACTCATTCGTGTACCTAAGATTTCGGATATAACTAGCTTGGGTATAGCGTTCCCTGGGAAAATGGCCACTTCCCATTTGAGTATAGGTGTGATGGCCTTGTGATTGTAAATTAACAATCTCTCCACCCCAACTTAATCTATCAGCCCTGTCGGATAGTGTTGAGAAGATCGAGCCTGGCCAGTATCCTACATCTATTTGCTGTATCGTCAACCACCAGTTTCCACTTTGCTTGTCCTGAAACATTTTCCTTATAGTGGTCACTGGTCATTTTATCTTGAAAAAAAATGACTCAAAATTTTATCAGACTTAAACAAGAAAATGTGTTTTACCTTGTGTATATATATGTGCATTTCAAATTGGTTGCCTTCATAGGTGGAAATAGGTTGTAAAACCGAACCAAGGCCCACCTTGTTGCTGGTTTGCACAAATCCAGGACAGTCAAGATTATAGCATCCTGTCTTTTGATAGCCATCGCTCTAACATTCCACAAACAAACAACTTCAGACAACTTTTAGTTAATGTAAATTCGCAATATGAAAGCATGTATATGTTTGATTTCTAACAAAATATAGAGATACAGACATCAGACAGGACGGATCAAGCAAACTTACAGTCCAGTAAATGAATAATCTTGTTTGTTTCTGGCCTGACTTAGTCTGCAACATGATTATAATAAGTTTACCAACATCAAACTGATTCAAAAACAAAGGATCTTAGGCAGAAAACTTACAATCCATCCAGCCTCGATAGTGTTGTATTCACTAAATTCCTCCCCTGACACAACCCAAATTTGTGCTAAGCTAAACTCCCTACCAAATGTTGCTGGGTTCCACACGTTAAGCCATGCAGCTGCTCCAAAATAGTTGCCATCGAACACGGAAACTTCAGCATACTACATCAATTTTTCATTCACAGCAAGGGAAAATAAAACATCACATTAATCAAACTTCTCTGACTGTTTTTTCTTATGTTTCGAATTCAATGAATGTAGAAAATAGAACTTTAAACTCTCAATTATTTCATAAAGTTATTTTTAAAATATAATATCTAAATCAATTTAAAAATCATATCCGTAATTAATATCCTCTTGTTGCGGCCTTTTTTATATAAAAAAATATAAAAAGAAATGAGTAATTTGACATGGTACCTCATGGTTTTTTGGAGGATCAGCTTTAATTTCATCCTTGTCAAGGTCTTTCCTGGGAGGAATAAATGCCAGAGTCCGAGGAGGTTTGGGTATTTGTGCCCTAACAATGGGAATTGTTCCTTCAGGGCACTGTTCATTCTCATACCAATCTTGAATGAACATTGGTTCGAAATTTTCTGCTTCTATTCCTCCAATATATGAACTTGGTTTCATCTGTCCAAAGAGAATGATCCTTATTGTTTTCAAGTGAGATAAAAAAAAAAAAAAGTTACTGGAATAGAAAGGAATTAATAACATTACTTTTTTTATTTTTAAAAATTATTTTTAAATTCAAAATAATATCTTTCCAATATTTAAAAAATATCAATTTTTCTTTCCATCTCAAATTATTTGGATGGTATTAATTTTTATGGAGTTTAAAAAAATTGACTTTAATTTATTTAATATTAAAATTAATTTTTTTTATAAAATTAAAGTTTCAAGACTTTTAATGTCAAAAAGTTAAAAAAAGAAAAGAAAAAACCATGGATTTGATAATTGATGTGCATAAATAAATTTATTATCTCATTCACGTGTAAAAGACTTAAATCTTTTTATTAAAATTAAAATTTTAATAATATTTTACTAATAAATCACATATTATCAGTTTCATATTGTAAATATATATCAAATATTTTTAAATAGATACAATTAAGTACATGACATACATGAAGAAACTTAGTAAAAATAAATCAAATGCATGTATTCCAAATGATAAAAACCTGTATGGTGTGATTCTTGAGGAGAGGATGATCAAAAGCAGGTTGTTTGTAGATGTCAACACAGTCAATTACATCACCATCTTCCCTCTGAATATATATATTAACAATTAACCATTATCATTTATCATAAATGAGATAATTAATTAAATAAGCAATAGACAAAAAAAAAAAGTAGTATTATTATATGGCAAAACCTGTATTGTTTTTATTGTTCCTTTATGCTTAGCCAACTTAATGGTTTCATCAGATGATGAGATCGACCTTCCATCCACATGAACATGGTTGAACATGTGACAGACAGCTACAAACACGAATAAGAAGTATCCAAGCTTGGTTTTTTTATGATTCCAAGTAGCCATTGGATTGAAAAAAAATTGGCAAAAAAGCTGAAAAAATTTTTTTTTTTCTGATCTCTTTGTTGCAAAGTACTAAGACAAAAACTGAGTTTTTGTCCTAACTAATTGAGATGAGAAATTTTTGTTAGAAACAAATAAAGTTCACTGATGAATATTTGTAGTATTAGCAACCAATAGTTATATATAAATGGGAAAGCATACATGATTTGGGAATGTTATGTGATTTCTATATGGGAAAAGCTAGGTTTGGAAAGTTTTATGATTTCTATCTTGGAAAATATATCTATTTAGGAGTTTATGGAAATGATATTACCAAGAATGAAAGTTAAGGCATTGATGGAAATTTTTTTTTTTTTTTTTTTTTGGTAATATGTATCATCCAATTGAGGATCAGAATGAGAAATTTTATCTTCAATTTTAGCTTTTCACCTCATAATAATTCATTAATGGAATAAGAATGTTCCAATTTATCATCAATCTTTCAATTAGTATACTTTTATCACCATACTTATAATTTTAAAATAAATTTATTATTATATTCAAATTTTATGTAGTAGTAAGAAAAAAATTTTATTATGTGAAATTATATTTAATAGAAAATATCATGATAAAAGAAAAATAAAATCAAAATCAAAATTTAGCTTCACAATTATTTTCCTTTACCATATCATTTTCAAAATTAATTTTTTATTATAAAACACTTTTTAACATGAGGTTAGTTTTTCCCATATTAAAAAATAAATATATGTGGTATATATTTTTTTTGCCAAAATATGTGTGGTAGTTTAGACACTTGAGAAAAGATGACGTAAAAGGGTTTTTTTTTTTTTTTCATTTTTCCCTTTTTTTAGTTTTACAAAAAAATAAGTATATTTCACTCAAAAATAAAATTATTAGAATTTAAATTTTCATCTTTCAATATAACATGTCAAAAAAAAAAACGAATCCTTTAAAAAATTGAAATAAGATAAATTGCTAAGGATTCATCAAATTGCTCATTTTTATTAAATTAATAAATAATTAATCTTTTTAAAAAATAAAAAATTTAAATGGAATTTCAAACAACTTTATTTATTTGAAATCATATATTTTGCAATTTTGTACTTTCATTTTTTTTAAAATTATAATCTGAATATGAAAAATAATTATAGATGTTAAGATTAATTTGGAGCTCGAACATGTTGAATGATTTCTCAATTAAATTAAGTCAAACATTCTATACATTGATTTTTAAGTAATTATTATTATTATTAATAAAAATTCATGCTAAATAATACTAAATTAGCAAATTAAGGGGTATTAAGCCGAAAAATGAAAAAGAAAATAGGGATTGGACTAAATTATTCAATTAAAAATGATTATGGATTATAAAAAGCCCAACCCAAGTAGTCTCACGGCCTGCGGACTCCCAGCCTCTCTCACCGACTTTGACCAGGGAAGCAAGGACACTTACAAACGGGTATACCCTAAACTTGGTATAATTTTGGCGCCAATTTTTTTTTTTTTTTAAATTTCGTTTGATTTTAGTGTTTGTTTGGTCTTTGACGGTGATTAACGTGCAGGTAAGGTTCACGGATCTTTGGCGCGTGCCGGTAAGGTGAGAGGGCAGACTCCAAAGGTGGCCAAGCAAGACAAGAAGAAGAAGCCTAGAGGTCGCGCCCATAAGCGGATGCAGTACAATCGCCGTTTTGTCACCGCTGGTTAGCTCATCTCTATTTCTTGTTTTACTTTTCCTGTTTATATATCTATTACTACTATTTTGGAAAACAATATTTCTTGAGTAAAATGAAGCGGTAATTTATAAACCCATTTTTGAAAATTTTGGTTGTGAGGATGAAGACAGTTGATTATTTTTATTCTGTTATACTATGTGGTCATTACAATGTTGGAATTGTGTTGTTAATTGATTTTGAACTTTGTTTCACAATTGAGTTGTTAATATATGGAGTAATATTTTAAAACAAAATGTGATGTCACAGTAGATATACCAGTTTAAGAATGCATCCAATATCTCACATTATCTTCAATGGCCAAGTTCTTGATAATGGTTTCGATCAGTGTATTCAGAAAGTCCAGTTTTGATTAGCTCTTATTGCAGTGAATCATTGTAATGATGATTGTGCTCTTTTCTTGTGCCAACGACTAGTGTAATTCTAGTCTGTCCACCCAACTCATTTCCTTTCTAATTCAACTGCCATTTAACCTTTATTATTTGTTTTCTGCTCAGCCTGTGATCGTGAATGAAATTCATCTCAGATAAAGTGGTTATGTTCACTTTGTTAGTTGTGCTATTTTTACTAGGAATTGTCAGGTCTATATGCATCATACCTACATGATCTCTTATTTATCCATCTCCTTAACTTCCTCTGAGAATTACATGGTAGAAAAAGCTGTACTCTTGTGTTTCATTCTGCATTCTTGCATATCTTGAGCATCGCAATGGACTGCGTGTTGGTTTGCCGTGTGCAGTTGTTGGCTTTGGGAAGAAGCGTGGACCCAACTCTTCGCAGAAGTGAGGTTGGACTTGTTGGAGTCCTGCATAATAGGATGTTTTAAACTCTGATGGGAACATTATATTAATATTTTTATGGCTTCATGAGCATTATGTTGTTCTGAATTACTTTGGAGTCTTTTCGGTTTAAGGAAACTAAATACTGGTATGTCTTGATTTTAAATATTACTAAGAGCCCCGACGTCTCATCCTTTACGATCTTTATTCGAGTCTCTGAATTTCAACGAGTGATATAGAATGTAGAAGTTTGATAAATTGAGATGGTTAAATTGGTCCCAACTGCTGCTGTTTTTGACTCTACTTGTAAATTCAATTCGCTACTTATAAAATTGATTTTGGTGAGGTTTTGTTTAGATGAGAGGTGTGGCTATCCATCTCCTGTTTGTTCAGGAAAATTAAACGATTTGCCAATATGCGTAGTAATTTTCTTGCTAGCAGGCTGCATATTTTCTAGCTGGTTTACTGCTGAAGGTGCGTTCGAAGACCTTTTTCTTCGTAGAAGGTTTACAAATCCAACTGACTGATATTTCCTTTTTGATCCGTAGGGGTGATAATCCTCAATCAATCAAACCCAAAAAATATAACAGACATCCAGTGGATCCTTGTTCCTCTTCCAGTTCTAGACAACCATTCACCTGGTTCTTGTGGTTAGACACAATGATCTAAACATACTGGCCCTCTCTTAACTTCGGCCGTGGCTCTGCACCATGCGTTCCAGATCTTTCTCGTCGCCGTACAATGTTTCCTGTGGAAATCTCTCGTATCCGAATCATTCCTAGCTTTATAAAGTTGAAATTTATTCCTTGTCCATCAATCTTTATACCTTGCTCTTCTTCATCTCCTCCAAAATGGCACCTTTTAAAGATTTAAGAAAAAAAAAAAAAACGTGGCAACGTTTATCTTTTGTAAAAATCCATTTAAAACCAAAATTCCATTCATGAAAATCTAGTCTGAGTTGAGGTTCAGCGAGACAATAGGGTACAGAGTTTGAGACTAACCAGGAGTTCTATTTCATCTTCCAATAACAATCCTCGTAGCTGCAAGAAGTCCCCACATCACCAGCGGACATGGCAGCCCAAGGTACAAACAAAAGACAATCTTGGTTCTAAACTCAAAGCAACAGACAAATTCTACTTGTCACCAAGTCCGAGGTTTCTTCATACCCACTTTTCATTTCTCTTTCCCTTTTTTGCCTTTTGCTGTTTGGTTGCTTTAACAGTTTCAACTTCTCGTTAAAAACAAAAATTACAAAAACATTCTATGTACAAAGCAACCACAAAAGGAAAGACCCATAAATCTCTCACTTTGTGTCTCTCTCTTTCTATCACCAAAAACGTTAATTGCTGACATTCATTAAAAGCTGGTGGAATTCAAGAATTTAAGAGAAAGTTTGAACTGATCCATCTTGTCATTCAAAACGTTTCTCCTATTAAATTCAACCTTGTGTATAAAAAAAACACATCCCAAACATATGGTAACAACAATTCTTCCCTTCTTTTTCTATCTATAAATCTCATCATCATCATTTTTATATGTAGTGTTTATTTTCCCCGAGATCATCGGAAGAAAGGTCATTGATTCCGTGGAAACTTTCTTCCTCTCTTGCCATACTTGTTAGCAACTGAATCAGCAGCTCGGATCTTTCGGTCTACAAAAGAAGAAAGGAAAGAGTATGATTAGTTTTTTTTGTATCTAATCAGACCTACCTCACCGAAAATAACCGTATTCTTAGTACTATGTCAAATATTTGATGTTTTGTATCAGTAATTCTTATAAGTTAATAGCTTGTATATAAGCAACTTAAGGTTGAAAAACAGTAAACTTTTGCTTGATTGTAACCATGCTTGATTGTATGTTTTATGATCAACAGGCTTCTCTTTTAGAGCCAATCTTAGCCGCATCAAAAAATTAATAAGCAAGCATGTACTGCACCATAAGCCTTTAATTACGAAGCATTCAAGTCTACTTTAAATACAATTCAGGAAGAAAGTGAAGCAAAAGAGAAGTCCCATATGACACGTGCTTTCTGGTTCTAGCAATTTTTTGAGTTTCCCGCTTTTACAAGTTTTTACTCAGTGCTTTGAGGACTCTGCTGAAGTCTTAGAAGTTGCTTTCATGGAGTTCACATTGATGTCGATTATTCAATTTGGAATTGTTAAGCTGAAACTGCTAAGAAGAAAAAGGCCAATCTGAATAACACAATTCTTACTCAGACCAAGTGTTTAATCATTGGCTAAGAATATTTAAACTTGCAATTATAAAAGCCAACCACCTGGATTTATGAGGTTAGCGACCTTTGGTTGTCAAAAAGAATGCTTAGAAGTTAGAACTTGAAGTGGCTGAGATGCAAATTCTTGAATTTGAGACTCAGGGGTATAATTATCTTGGCTGCCACCTGCATTTTCACTCCCAAGTAACATCCATCCAACTTATATTTATTAATTAAAACTATTACATTCTTTGTTTGGCTCTTAGGAAATATCCTTCTGTCATAAATCACCATACTTTAGGCATACATGTTGCAATTAAATATCAATTTTATTGCTTTGCGATGGCTCTACTGGCATTTATCAGAATATCCAGGGCCACCAAAAAAGAAATGGGTTCCAAAATTTTTCATGTCTCCCATTTGTAAATCATAGCATTCAGGCCTTGTCACATATGGCACGACATTTTCAGCATCTTTTATAGATCCAGACTCATCCATGTGCCTAAGATTTCGGATATAACTAGCTTTGTTAAAGCCTTCACTGGGAAAATGGCCACTTCCCATTTGAGTAGAGGTGTGATGGCCTTGTGATTGTAAATTAACAATCTCTCCACCCCAACTTAACATATCAGCCCTGTCAGATAGTGTTGTGAAGATCGAGCCTGGCCAGTATCCTACATCTATTTGCTGTATCCTCAACCACCAGTTTCCACTTTGCTTGTCCTGAAACATTTTCCTTACAGTGGTCACTCGTCATTTATCTTGAAAAAAAAAATGACTCAAAATTTTGTCAGACATAAACAACAAAATGTGTTTTACCTTGTGTATAAATATGTTTATATCAAATTGAGTGCCTCCATAGGTGGAAACAGGTTCTAAAAGTGAACCAAGGACCACCGTGTTGTTTGTTTGCACAAATCCAGGACATACAAGATTATAGCAACCTGTCTTTTGATAGCCATCGCTCTAACATTCCACAAACAAACAACTTCAGACAACATTTAGTTAATGTAAATTCGCGATATGAAAGCATATATATGTTTGATTTCTAAGTCAAGATAGAGATACAGACATCAGACAGGACGGATCGAGCAAACTTACGGTCCAGTAAATGAATAATCTTGTTTGTTTCTGGTCTGAGTTGGTCTGCAATATGATTATAACAAGTTTACCAAGATCAAATTGATTCAAAAGCAAAGGATCTTTGGTAGAAAACTTACAATCCATCCGGCCTCGACAGTGTTTAATGCACTATATTCATGCCCTGACACAACCCAAATTTGTGCTAAGCTAAACTCCGTATCAAATGTTGCTGGATTCCACACGTTAAGCCATGCACTTACTCCAAAATAGTTGCCATCATCCACAGAAACTTGAGCATACTAAATCAATTTTTCAATCACAGCAAGGCAAAACAAAACATCACATTAATCGAACTTTTGCGACTGTTTTTAGTTTTGTTTGGAATTCAATGAATGCATAAAGTAGAACTTTGTGCTCTTACTTAGTTCACTCAATCATTTTAAAAGGTGATATCTAATAAGTCTATCATTATTTTTTTCAGCAGCTTTTTTATATAAAAAACCATATAGAAAGAAATGAGTAATTTGGCATGTTACCTCATGGTTTGTCCGAGGATCAGCTTTAATTTCAACCTTGTCAAGGTCTTTCCTGGGAGGAACAAATGCCAGAGTCCGAGTAGGTTTGGGTATTTGTGCTCTAACAATGGGAATTGTTCCTTCAGGGCACTGTTCATTCCTATACCAATCTTGGATGAGCTTTGGTTCGAAATTTTCTGCTTCTATTCCTCCAATAAATGAATTTGGTTTCATCTGTCCAAAGAGAATGATCCTTATTGTTTCTCGAGTGAGATAAATAAATTTTACTTGAATAAAAATGTTTATTTTTAAAAAGTATTTTTAAATTCATGACAATATCTTTTCAAATATATGAAAAAAATCAATTATAATTAAAGAAACCATGAATTTGATAATTGATGTGTATAAATCAATTTATTATCTCATTCAAGTGCAAAAAATTGAATCTTTTTACTAAAATTAAAATTCTAATAATATTTTATTAATAAATTACATGATTATCAGCTTCATATTACAAATATATATCAAATATTTTTAAGTGGATATAGTTAAGTACATGACATGCAAGAAGAAACTTAGAAAAAAAAAATCAAATGCATGTATTCCAAATGATAAAAACCTGTATGGTGTGATTCCTGAGGAGAGGATGATCAAAAGCAGGTTGTTTGTAGATGTCAACACAGTCAATTACATCACCATCTTCACTCTGAACATATATATTAACAAATAGCAATTATCATTTATCATAAATGAGATAACTAATAATAAGCATATAAGCAATAGACAAAAGGAAAAAAAAGAAAACTAGTATTATTAAATAGCAAAACCTGTATTGTTTTTATTGTTCCCTTATGCTTAGCCAACTCAATGGTTTTATCAGATGATGAGATCGACCTTCCATCCACATGAATATAGCTAAACATGCGACTAACAGCTACAAGCACGAATAAGAAGTATCCAAGCTTAGTTTTTTTATGATTCCAAGTACCCATCGGATTGAAAAAAAAAATTGGCAAAAATGCTGGAAAACTTTTTTTTCTGATCTTTTCTTTGCAAAGTACTATGGCTAAAGTTGATTTTTTGTTTTGTTAGAAACAAATAAAGTTCACTGGTGAATAATTGTACTATTAGCCACCATTATATATATATAGGAAAACATACATGATTTGGGAATGTTATGTGATTTCTATACGGGAAAAGCTAGGTTTGGGAAGTTTTATGATTTCTATCTTGAAAATATTTGTATTTAAGAATTTACGGATATGATCTTACCAAGAAGGAAAGTTAAGATATTGATGGAATTTTTTTTCATTTTTTGGTAATATACATACATTATCCAATTGAGGATCAAAATGGGATATCTGATCTTCAATTTTTAGCTTTTCACCTCATTATAATTCATTAACGGAATAAGAATATTAAAATTGATCATCAATCTTTTAATTAATATATTTTTATCATCATACTTATAATTTTAAAATAAATTTATCATTATATTCAAATGTTATGTAGTAGTAAGAAATTTTTTTTTTATTACGTGACATTATATTTAATAGAAAATATCATGATAAAAGAAAAAGAAAATAAAAATCAAATTTTAGCTTCACAATTTTTTCCTTACCATATCATTTTCAAAATTAATTTTTAATTATAAAACAGTTTTCAACATGAGTTTAGTTAGTTTCTATTATAAAAAATAAATATATGTGCTTTTTTTTTTTTTGCCAAAATATGTGTGGTAGTTTAGACTATAGGTATGAATGATATATTAATACTCGTAAGTTACTCGGATTCGATTCGAATAAAACTCGAATTTGATTCGATTATTATCAAGTTGAGCTCGAATTCGAGCTCGAGTAGCTCGACTCATCGATTGAGTCGAATTCGAGTATTTTTATACCTGATTCGAATAGCTCACAGTCTAATCGAGTTTTTATATTTAAATATTTTTTATTATTTTAATTAATAAAATATTTCGAATTCGAGTTCAAATTCGAGCATAAATAATTGAACTCTTATCGAGTTTAAGAATCGAGTTTATTTTTACATATTAATCAAGCTTAATCAAGCGAGCTCTAGTAGTTCAATTTCGATCATGAATCGAGTTCGAGCTAGAAAAATAAAATTCAATCGAGTTCGAGTCGAGTATCAAGTCACGAGTTGAAAGTCGAACTCAAATTCAAATTTTTCACTGTATCGACTCGACTCGATTACAACTTTAGACACTTAAGAAAAGATGGCGCAAAATAACCTTTTTTTTTTTTTCCCCTTTCTTTAATTTTACACAAAATTTTAAGTATATTTCACTCAAAAACGACATGATTAGAATTTAAAATTTCATCTTTCAATATCACATGTAAAAAATATATATCTTTTAAAAAATTAAAATAAGATAAATTGCTAGGATTTATCAAATTGCTCATTTTTATTAAATTAATCCATAATTAATCTTTTTAATAAATAAAAATAAAATGAAATGAAATTTCGAGCAACTTTATTTATTATAAATCATATATTTTGTAATTTTATACATTCACTTTTAAAAAAAAAATTACAATCTAAAACTATAAAAAAAAAAAAAAGTTTACAAATATTGAGATTAATTTAAAATTCAAACATGTTAATGTCCTTTTATAGAGATAGTTACACTAACCAGCTGAATCAAGCCACTCATTCTATGCATTGACTCTTATGGTATTATTATTATTATTATTATTATTATTAAAAATTCAAACTAAATAATCTTAGATTAGCAAATTGAGGTACCAAAAAATATTAAGGAATCGGCCAAGCCCAAAAAAAAAAAAATAAAGAAAATAGGGGTTGGGCCAAGTTTTTCAATTAAAAAGGATTATGGATTATAAAACGCCCAACTCAATTTGTTTCAGGGGCTGCGGACTACTGTGTAGCAGTCAAACTCGTTTTCCACCGGTCAACAAAACGGGTTCAATTTTGTTCTCTTATATATACTCAGATTCCGGATCAAAAGCCCTAACCCTATATCCCTCCCAAAACTCCCATCCTCTCTCACCGACTGTGACCAGGGAAGCAAGGACACTTACAAATGGGTAAACCCTAAACTTCGGTATAATTTTTGCGCCAATTTTTTTTTTTTAATTTCGTTTGATTTTAGTGTTGTTTGTTCTTTGACGGTGATTAACGTGCAGGTAAGGTTCACGGGTCTTTGGCGCGTGCCGGTTAGGTGAGAGGGCAGACTCCAAAGGTGGCCAAGCAAGACAAGAAGAAGAAGCCTAGGGGTCGCGCCTATAAGCGGATGCAGTACAATCGCCGTTTCGTCACGGCTGGTTAGCTCATCTCTATTACTACTATTTTTGGAAAACAATATTTGTTGAGTAAAAAGAAGCAGTAATTTATAAACCCATTTTTGAAAATTCTGGTTATTAGGATGAAGACAGTTGATTATTTTTATTCTGTTATACTATGTGGTCATTACAATGTTGGAATTGTGTTGTTAATTGATTTTGAACTTTGTTTCACAATTGAGATGTTAATATATGGAGTAATATTTTAAAACGAAATGTGATGTCGCCGCGGATATATCAGTTTATGAATTCATTGAATAGCTTACATTATCTTCAATGGCTAAGTTCTTGATAATGGTTTCGATCAGTGTGTTCAGAAAGTCCCGTTTTGATTAGCTCTTATTGCAGTGAATCATTTCAATGATGATTGTGCTGCTTTCTTGTTCCAACGATTAGTGTAATTTTGTGTGTCCACTAAACTCATTTCCTTTCGAATTCAACTGCCATTTGACCTTCATTATTTGTTTTCTGCTCAACCTATTATCATGAATGAAATTCATCTTAGATAGGGTGGATATGGTGCCTTCACTTTGTTAGTTGTTTTATCTTACTAGGAATTGTCAGGTCTATATGCATCATACCTACATGATATCTTATTTATTCATCTTCTTAACTTCCTCTGAGAATTGCATGGTAGAAGAAGCTGTACACTTGTGTTTCATCCTGCATTTTTGCATATCTTGAGCATCGTAATGGACAGTGTGTTGGTTTGCTGTGTGCAGTTGTTGGCTTTGGGAAGAAGCGTGGACCCAACTCTTCAGAGAAGTGAGGTTGGACTTGTTGGAGTCCTGCATAATAGGATGTTTGAAAGTTTGATGGGAACATTATATTGAAATTTTTATGGCTTCTTTAGCATTATATTGTTCTGAATTACTTTGGAGCCTTTTTTCGGTTTAAGGAAACTAAATACTGGTATGTCTTGATTTAAAATATTACTAAGAGCCCTAATATTGTGCCCTTCCTAATATCGTGTCCTTCATGTTCTTTTATCGAAATTGTTCTGGATTATCATTAGACAAATTGTTTTTGAAATTCGAGGGTCTCTGAATTTCAACGAGTGATATGGAATGTAGATGTTTGATAAATTGAGATGGTTAAGTTGGTCCCAACTACAGGTGTTTTTGACTTTCTATCTGGTTTATTGCTGAAGGTGGGTTCGAAGAACTTTTTCTTCATAGGAGCAGGTTTGCAAATCCAATTGACTAACATTTCCTTTTTGATCGCTAGGGGTGATAATCCTCAATCAGTCAAACCCAAAAAATATAACACACATCAGGATCCTCCTTTCTCTTCCATTTTAGAGCCATGTAACAGACAACCATTCTCCTGGTTCGTGTGGTTAGCCACAACCACAAAGGTCTGAACATAATGGGCCTCTCTTAACTTCGGCCTTGGCTCTGCAGCATGCGTTACCGATCTTTCTTGTCGCCATGCTTTGTTTCCTGTGGAAATCTCCCGTATCCGAATCATTCCCAGCTTTATAAAGTTGAAACTTATTCCTTGTCCATCAATCTTTATACCCTGCTCTTCTTCATCTCCTCCAAAATGGCACCTTTTAAAGATTTTAAAAAAAGAAGGGTAGCAACATTTATCATCTTGTAAAAATCCATTTTAAACCAAAATTCCATTCATGAAAATCTAGTCTGAGAAATCTGTTAAGGTTTAGCGAGATAATAGGCTAAAGAGTTTGAGACTAACCAGGAGTTCTATTTCATCTTCTAAGCACAATCTACGTAGCTGCACGAAGTCCCCACATCACCAGAGGAAATGGCAGCCCAAGGTACAATCAAAAGACAATCTTGTATCTAAACTCAAAGCAACAGACAAATTCTACTAGATCCCAAAGGCGAGGTTTCTCCATCCCCACTTCTCATTTCTCTCTCTTTTTTGTCTTTTGCTGTTTAGTTACTTAACAGTTTCAACTTCTTGGTAAAAACGAAAAATTACAAAAAACATTCCATGCATATAGAAATCACATAAAGGAAAGACCCATAAGTCTCACTGTCTCTCTGTTTCTATTCACCAAAAACATTAATTGCTAACATTCAATAAAAGCTGGTGAAATTCAAGAATTTAAGGGAAAGTTTGAACTGATCCATCTTGTTATTCAAAACGTTTCTCCTATTAAGTTCAACCTTGTGTATAAAAAAACACATCCCAAACATATGGTAACAATAATTCTTCCCTTCTTTTCTATCTGTAAATCTCATCATCATCATTTTTACATGTAGCGTTTATTTCACCCGAGATCATTGGAAGGTCATTGATTCCCTCGAAATTTTCTTCCTCTCTTGCCATACTTATTTTCCTTCTTGTTTTACAAATACTCAGTTGGCAAAAAGTGATTTACTTTGCTTATTGATAGCAGTGATCTCATTCATTCCTATATAAGATGCGTTTCAAAGTTTCGGCTTTGGGATAAAGGTTTCGATCCTAAAAGGGTGCTTCTTGGTTTGGTTTTAGAGGAAATACAAACCCAGAAAGCTGATTTTAATTGAGGGATTAAGTTATGACGCAGTCAAGGGTGTTGGCAATGGAGGAAGGTAAGGACCCGGCTTCTGCAATCAGAACGAACCTCTCCAGGGCTTTGCCTTTGAGACTCCTTCTATTTTGTGTGTTGCTTTTGGTCCTGGGCGTTGGATTATCTATCATCAGTATGTATTCAGTACGGTTTTTTGTGGTCCAGCAGATAGCTACTGTAGCCCCATCAACTATTCGGCCATGGTATGAAGAGGTTAATAGCATAGAAAGTTTGATTAGGCCTCCATCAAACTTGATGCATACTATGAATGACACAGAACTATTCTGGAGAGCTTCGTTTGTTCCTCAAATCAAGGAATATCCTTTTAAGAGAGTCCCCAAGATTGCCTTCATGTTCTTGACCAAGGGGCCATTGCCACTGGCTCCTCTTTGGGACAGATTCTTCAAGGGACAAGAAGGGCATTACTCTATATATGTCCATGCACTGCCATCTTACATTGCTGGCTATCCACCATCATCTCCTTTCTACAGGAGACAAATCCCAAGTCAGGTACTAGGCAACCTTTCATTTTTTTCTCACATATGATATGGGGTGACTTTTTTCTCTTTTTTTTGTTTAAATATGGGAATTACTTTTTAACATAAATTTCTTGAGCTTGTATTTGTTGAAATCTTGGTTCATTCTCCATTTAATTTGTTGTTAACAAATAAATGTTTATGTTTATCCATATTAGTTTATCAAAGAGTCATGTTATTTATGAATTACTTTCTACAGATTTCTAAAGGACGCCATATATTATTGAGTCATGTAGTTTACTGATATAAGCAGCATGAAAAACAGAGTTTGTTTAGGCTAGAAAGCTATTAAAAGTAATTGTGCTTTTGTGCTGCCATCTCTTTCTTGTTTGTGTTCACCGAGCTTTCGAGTGTTGTTTGTAGAGGTAGGTGCACTTGAGGCTTGTTCTGTTATTTCTAGATTATGTGAATTAATATGGTGCTGATAAATGAAGCACACTTATCTGACATGTATGCCAAAATTACTAACTTCAAGGAAGTCATTTAACTTTTTGGAATGGATGCTGATCAAAATCTCATCTTGACTGATTGTTGATCATTTTCCTTTTGTCCTATTATTCAAATAGTAAAGTTTTATCTTCTTTGTCCCCCATTACTATACAAAATGTATATAGCCATTGCTTACATATCTGGCTCAAACTTATAACTCTTGTCATTTAGCAAGTTCCTACTCTATTTTTGGAGTAAACAATTTCCTACTTTCTTTTATGTTAAGCTTTAATAATTTTGATTGCTTAAAAGTAATAACAAGGAAAGCAGTTCAAAGTACCATGGCTATAGCAGATATTTGCTTATATATAAGTTTGATGTGGCTTTGAGGCAGACTTTTCCTTTGGATGTATATAGTTAGAAGCTGCTGGATTCTTAAGGTGTTCTTTTATTTCTATTGTGGAAATTTCATTAATTGACTTTCCTTTACTTTTAGTGGAATGAAATTGCTACTTGTAAGTTGTAACCTTTCCCTTACGGGTAGTATCCAGAAAAAACTGTAGCTTTCTTTGGATCATTTCATGTAGTAGGGTTTTGCCTGATAATAAGCAATCAACATGACCTTTCTAACAATTGATCTTTCAATTTTACCTGTCCTTTATTATCCAGATAGTATATTGTATCACAGAATAGAATCTGGTGCAATTTCTTTTAGCACCTTACTAGGTTGCCTCTTAACTTGTGACCACAGGTACAAGGTGGACACTGATTTCGTTGTCTTCAGGGTGAATGAAACTTCTAAACCACTTTTGATGTGCATAACACTTGGCACTAGAAAGTGTATGGGTACTTCATGCAGATAATTTCTTTGTTATTTGTTATCATATTGTAGTACTAAGATTTCTGTTTCTAATAATTTTATTTTCCCTAGATCTTCATGTTTAGTTATGTACAATTTGTACAGTCATTGCTTGGTTCTAGTAGAGCAGCTCGACAAGCATAATTGGCAATCAAGATATGACGTTCTAAATTTTACATTGTAGTTAAGCGGAGAAAGCTGTGCAAAGAAGAGATATCAGAATTTAAAATATGCCTCTATATGATCAGTTGGCGATAATGCTATTACCAGATTAAAAGCTGAAGTGTCATTTTAGTGGAAAAGAACTGATGACATATGATACCATGAAAAAGAAAGTCTTTCAAGTGAGTGGAAATAAATGGGCGAATGAATAGACATCTTTTTCCTTAACTTTGGGTTACTTCTCAGGCGAATGAATACATGCCTAAGTTTTGCTCTGCAACATCTATAGATTATTCTTCCCTATTATACCTGTTATACCTGTTGTTTATTTGTCATCTCACTGCTCCATTATTTCTGTTTCTTGAAAATTTGTTATTACAAGTCTCTTTAAAATTGGAATAGATATATCTTGTATGCATCTTGGAGCCTGTAAAAAACTTGTTGCTGGCTTTATATGTGAGACAAATCTTTGCCTATATATTCTTTCGTGTTGATTGCCTTCATTTATTTTATTGATCGTTTGCGCTATTTTTTTGATCTTATAATAAGATACAATTTTTATATTTTGAAATTTTGGCAGACTATATAGTATGATGTGTGTAGAATTTGGATGTTCATCTATTTATCAGTTTGCTCTTACAACACCTGAGAACTGAGAACCCTTTTTTGGGTGGTTGATTCTTATGACTGTAAATTTGGACTCTTCGAGGAATAAAGGGGGTAGTAGTGGCTGTTGCACTCCAACTAGGATGTCAAAGTACGAAAAATACCCATGAGAAATGCACTTGTCATATAAAATATGCTTCCGGTCTATGCTTTACACAACCGGTTGGACATGTCATTTAAAATATGGCTGTATTCTATGCTTTGTACTATCACTTGCTAACTTTCTTGTTTGATATTTTCTTTTTCTTTTTTTTTGTAGATATTTTTCTTTTCTTTTATCTTTAGAACTTGTATCTGCATAAGCTTGATCTACTTTTTAATGTATTTTTAAACGCTAACACATCAAAAGAACAATAGACATGTTTTTTCAACTAAGGAAATTCTCTAAGCATAATATTTCAAGTTGCTTTTGGAATATGCTCGATTAAATTATTTGGTTTTCTTTTTTATTCTTTGCAGATGGTGGAATGGGGAAAGATGAGTATGTGCGAGGCTGAGAGAAGACTCATTGCTAATGCATTGCTCGATATCTCCAATGAATGGTTTATTCTCTTGTCTGAGTCCTGCATACCTCTGCACAATTTCAGCATAATCTATCGCTACATATCAAGATCAAAACACAGCTTTATGGGTTCATTTGATGAACCTGGACCTTATGGGAGAGGACGCTACGATCCACGCATGGAACCGGAGGTCAAACTTAGCCAATGGCGCAAAGGGTCCCAATGGTTTGAAGTTAACAGGAGGCTTGCAATTAATATAATTGAGGACACCACCTATTATCCTAAGTTTAAGGAGTTCTGCCAGCCAGCTTGTTATGTGGATGAGCACTATTTCCCCACAATGCTGAGCATCCAACTGCCTCATCTCTTGGGAAACAGGACTCTTACATGGACAGACTGGTCAAGGGGTGGTGCTCATCCAGCCACATTTGGAAAGGCTGATATAACAGAAGGTTTCTTTAAAAAATTTTTTGAAGGTCAATTGTGCCTCTATAATAGCCAGCCATCTACAGTTTGCTATCTTTTTGCAAGGAAATTTGCTCCAAGTGCTTTGGATCCTTTATTAGGATTGGCATCCAAAGTTTTAGGGTACTGACTAGGGTTGGCTACCAAGATTATAGTTGGAGTTCTAATTAATGCATATGTCTGTCTGTTACAGAAATGATTTACCGTGAGTTTACAGTCCAGTCATTCAAAACACCGCTGTTCAAGGCATTTTTGCATGTATAGATTATTAGATCCTGATCTAATCTGGCATGATTTTATTGAATTTATCAGGTTACAACGGATTGAATGTAATGTTTATACTGTGAGATAGATATTAGATATACTCCTTAAATAATAGTGCTATTCCTGGACTGTTATTGTATCTCACATCAGGTTTTTATTGTCAAGGGAAAAATGGGAAAGGTATTTTGCCCTCTGGCCTTCCGGCTTAGATCAGGAAATTCTAAAATACCTATATAAAATTAGGAATCTAGGAAATAGGAATACATAATCAGCTTCTCTGCAAGTTTACATAGCATTTACTAAAAAAAAAAGTAAGTTTACAGAAGATTTGTCAAATTAATGATATTTCTCTGCAGCTTCTCAATCTTGTACTCTCAAGAGCAATTTGTGTAAGAGATCAATACGCCACATACTACAATTTTCCTCTTTCTAGGCAGTGATGAGTGATCCACATATCCAAGTCTTCATCACCATGAAACACTAAAGTGACCAAGAGAAGAGAAATGGAGTACCTTGAAATCCCGACGCAGGTTCCTAGGGCAAAAAGTTTGAAAACATGGCTTCAATACTTATAAGTACTTAAAACTCAAATTGGTTAATCTAATTTTGAATGTTATGTTATATGCATTAACTTACTTTTCCTGAAAGCATTGATCTTGTGATGCATGAATGGTGTTCTCTAAATCTTCATACTTTTACCATACAATTAGCTAGGTTTGGATTCAAATGCTTGAAAATTTGCATGGGATATTACAGACAGTAAAATGATATAATATATCTAATAGGTAATTAGAATTAGGAAACAGGGACTGATTTGGAGAAACGCAATGAATAATGATAATGGCTGATGGGAATTATCAATAATAAACAAAAGAAGAATACCATGTAATGCTCTGAAGCTGAGAAGAGTTCAGCCGTCTCTTCGCACGTCTTCACCATCAATTGTGATGGTTGGGATGTGAGAGATGTATGGCCAGTCCTCCCCTCTCCCATTTCTTGAACAACGTTCTCTCAGAATCGGGCAATCGAAGATATCCAATACTTGCAGAGTTGTCTTCTGGAGAAGAACGCGTGGCAGCAACTTTAACTTGAGGCAACTATTGATTTTCAAGGAACAAAGACTTGGCATGATAGTTGGTAGGTTCCCATATTCCCACTCTTCCCACTCTTCCATAACTTGAAATTTGAGATGTTTCAAATTAGGGAAGGCAATATTATTATTAACAGATGATAATGAAGAAGAAGATGTTTGTCCTTCTTCTCTGTCTGCTCCCATAAATTCTTGGCCCACTTTTTTCACTTTCTTCATTTCCCATATCTCTAGATGTTCCAGGAAAGGCAACTTCCACATGGGAGGCAAGGTTTCCCAAAAGAAACAAGCCCATAATATAACCCTCTTCAGCATAGTCAATGATGTCATCCAACTGGGGAACACGGTTGGACCATTCATGCGATTAATGGTCAAAGATTCCAGGTACGGAGGTGGTTGTAAGGCTTCAAGAAGAAATGCTTCACGAAGAAATGCTTCATCAGTAATTCTTCTATTTTTGGAATTGGAATCAAACGATAGAGTCAAATTCCGGAGGCCAGTCTTACTTCGAAGTCCTGCTTCCTCTGCCTCATTTCCTAGACTCTCGTTTCCCAATCTTCGTACCATTAGCACTTTCTGTTGAATCACATCCCCCAATCCTATTATCTTAAGATTCCCTCGTAGATGGGCCAAGTATCCCAAATCTCTAAGGTTGAATGCTACACCCAATCCGCTGAATGCTTCACCCACTACAAGTTCTTCCAATGTCTGCAGACGTGTCAATCTTCCAAATCCACTTGCCATGGATCTGCATCCATATGTTTCTGCATTTTGAAGATGTCTCAAGTTGACTAGCCCTCCAATTCCAGAAGGCAATCTTCTAAGACCTAAGCACAACCTGATGTTTAGAGTTTGTAAGTTACACAGGTCACACAATGAATCAGGCAAATATTCCAACCCTTTATTTCCCTCCACACTAAAGTATCTCAAATGTATCAATTTTCCTATTTCCATTGGAAGTTCTTTAATTGAACTTTGCAGTCGACATCTATTGTTGCTCAAGTCTAGCATCCTCAGACGAGTCAACTGATCAAATAATTTCGGCAAAGCTGCATTTAAAGTTGATAAGTTACAATGACTTGAATCAACTAGGAGGCTGCGTAGCTTTTTAATATTGTAAAGGGGATTTGGAATTGCGACATGGTCATCATCAAGAATCAATGTTAAATGACGAGCATTTTCACGAATACAGTCAGCCCTTTGCTCTTCAATATCATTGCCTGATAGCGCAAAACATTCATTTTTTCTCAAAAGCTGAGCAAATTCATGCACTATATCATGCATTTTGCATCGAACTATGCTATCATCATCTTCATCTTTTTCAAACTCTTGAAAGAAAGAACGCATTGCCAAGTTATCAAAATACTCTTCACCTACAATCTCCATCTCATTTCCTTCCATGTCTCCAAGAAAACCTTGAGCCATCCATAACTTGATCAACAAATCTTTCTCTATCTTATGATCTTTAGGAAAAATGGCACAATAAGAGAAGCATTGCCTTAATGAGGATGGCAAATCATAGTAGCTCAATAGTAAGGGAGAAAAAAGACCATTTTCAGCCTCATCAAGCTCCCACATGTGACTATCCAAGATTCTTTGCCATTGTTCTCTAGATCTTTTGAAACGTAAGAGACCTCCTAATGTTTTTGCTGCAAGTGGCAAACCCTTACACTTATCTGATATCTTCTTACCAATGTCTGCCAAAATCTTACGCTCTCTGTCATTCCTCCGAGAAAGTGCTATGTGACTAAACAAGGACCAACATTCTTCTTCGGATAACTTCCCCAAATGGAATAATTTGGTGCAGCCCATGATAGTAGCAACATTCTCCTTACGTGTGGTCACCAAGATTTTGCTTCCTTGGGGACCACCGTTAAGACAGCATTTCAAAGATTGCCACTTCCTCTCATCCTCAGTCCACACATCATCTAGAACAAGAAGGAACTTTTTTCTGGTAATAGATTCATGGATTTTCTCTAGCACACTATTCAACTCACTTAAACTCCAGGCAACACCCGTTAGAGATTCAAGAATTGCTTTTGCAACCCTCATCTCATCAAAAGGATTTGAAACACAAACCCATATTTTCTTTTGAAAATAGGCATTTACCTCACTCTGGTTGTAAACCATTTGGGCTAAAGTTGTTTTTCCTATTCCTCCCATCCCCACTATAGAGATCACAGGGATTCCCCTTACTTCAGTATTGTTTTCACTTAGCAAAATGCTTGTAAGGGTGCATTTATCTTTATCTCGACCACGTATTTCCGATACATCAACAAAGCATGTAGTTTTTGGTCGTTCAGACTCTAGATCATTGTTCCCAGTTAGACTAACGATGAAAGCATAATCATCTTTCTCTTTTGCAATGGCTTGAAGCCTTTCATTTAGCTCTTGAATCTTGACAGCAATATCACGACGTCGAACAAGTCGTGGAATAGAAATGCTTGTGCGTTGAAGCCAAACAGCATTATCACGACGTCGAAAAAGTTGTGGAATAGAAATGCTTGAGGATTGAATCGGCCTTACCAAGGACGTCGAAGATGAAGAGCTTTCATATTCCTCGGTTTTCGATTTGAGAATTGCAGTGCTCCACTCATCCAACACGTCTTCAATATCATAAGCTACGTTGTGAAGCTTATCGAGCCAAAGTTTAACAGCTTGCTCCTTCACTTGTCTTTTCTCTGCGTCTATAAGGACAGCTCGGATGATCTGAAGAGTGCGGCCGATCTTCCTGACTTCTTCGTCTACACCGACAACAAGTCTCACCCCATTTTCAGCTACTTGACAGCCGATCGAGGCCAGTCGGTCTAAGACTCCAGAAACAAGCGCATCGACCATTGTAGAGAGAGCAAATACTTGAGAACAGACAGGATCGAAAGAGGAGATATCGTTATGCTTGAGGTCAACGCCAAAGCTTTATTGTTGAACCAAAAAAGGCATATATTTTTCGCGATTGTATCAATCTATACAATCGCACCCATGGGTGCGTTTGGATCCATGGGTTTTAGCCCCGGTTAAAAACCTCCCCACAATTTTTTTCCTGTAATTTATTTTTTATTTTGTTTTTTATTTAAAAATTATAAAATATTTTTTAATTTATAATAAACAAAATTTTATTATTATATAAATTAATAAAATTTATTATTATATTATGAATTAATAAATAAATAACATTTAATTATTATATGATAAATTAATAAGTAAATAAAATTTATTATTATATAATTAATATGAGTCAATCAAAAATATATAATTACATAAATGATAAAAATAAAAAATATTATTTTATATAAAAATAATTTATTAATAATTTATTAATTTTATAAATACTAAATAATTAAAATTTTTTATTTATTACATATAATTTTTAATTTAATATTATTAATAGCTGTTTTTTTTTTTTACTTTCATTCGAAGGTTTGATGATATAATTTTTATGGCACCATAATATCATTTTATGATTGTTATTTTAAAACTACAGTTACAAAATGCAAGTGTAATAAAATTCTATCCCATCATACAACCAAAAGACTTAATATTTGAATTTTTTGTTTTATTAAGACCGCAATTTTATTGAATTATGATTTATGCTGAAGAGATAGAGAGGGTTCCTAAATTCTGATGGAGAATTTAAAGTCGATTAAGCAACCTGTTTTAAAGGTTGCTTGACCATGCAAAACAGTGACCTATGGTGAAAGCTTTTGAATCGAAATTTAAGAGTAAGAAACAAAATTGTACCAAAAAGAAAAACGTGAAGGAACAGAAAAGCTTGACCATGCAAAACACTGACCTTGGTCAACCTTCGGGAAACGAACCGGTCTTTGCCTTCTGGTACCGACTACATGATTATTGGCCACAATTCAACTGCACTTGTCCACATGTAACAGAGGAAGTTTCCTACTCCTCTTCAACACTTTTGGTATAGAGAATTTCTTGAGCCTCAATGTAGCTTCTTTCTTAGGTATGGATTCGGACAACCTGAACCATACTAGGTTCTTTCAACCTGGTCAAGATGAGCTTCATTTCCAAGAAGTTGGAATAATATCAACATCATAGTCATAGGTCGCAACTTTTGCTTAACTACTGAATCCATTAACATAAAACAGACACAAAAGTTTTTTTTTTTTTTTTAAATCAAACAATTGACACAATCCTTACGTACATGGTTTTTGGATTTGGACATTAAAGCGATTGAATTTTATCGATTCTTGTAAAAACAAATACATAATTCACACTGATGATGAAACTGTCATTCAATAACACTATACCCAAATGTGATGTCAACAATATGTTACTGGAAATCCTTGAGGACCAGTGGTCCTTATTTGTCTTTAACTTTATTGGTGCTAAGCATATCCCCTGGAAGAGTTGGATGCTCCATGCAAGTCCAGGGTACAAAAAAAAGGTCCCCCATGAGGAAATAAACTATTCCACCATACTTTTCGGTAGCAGCAAGCTCTGTTATGATATGTAAGAGAAGTAAGTTAGCCTCTCGACAAAAAGAAGCAGAAAGAAAATTTTGCAGCTATAGGTTTACATAGGATTGCTTATATACTGATGTTTAAATTATTATACAGATTACCACCTGCACTATGGTTAATTCAAAAGAGATAATATTTCTAAACCTGCTTAATTGCTGCCTGAATAGCAGGGTACTTCTTTCGATAATATTCAAGGTTCGCAGATTCTAATTGAATCTCAAATGGTACTGAATGAAGCAGCTTGATGCTGCAACTATCACTAGCTAAAAATGAATGCTTTATGTTGTCTACAATCAATAGCATCACAAAGACAAAAAGAGAATGGTTGTTTCATGAGGCTGGCAGTCTAGTAAATAGGCAGAAGCAAAAATTTCACAAGTTTTAGAGAGGATACCTACCAGAAGCACAGTGAGTAGAAAGAACGACTTGGATGTATAGAATTATATTAGTAAGATTGGCCAAAGAATCAAAATCAGCTTAAGGTAGGATATTCAATAGAACTATTGTTTTCTCCAAAGCAAGACAGAGATTTCTGATGTAGAGTATTTTTTTTCAGTTCCCCGCTTTATCAGTCAATCACAAGTATAAAGGCAAATGCTTGCTACGTATGTCTTGTATTTGTTTTTGACAATTGTTGAAAGCCCATTAATTAGCAGCAGAGCAAAGAAAGCAACGTACAAAATTTTGAGAAAATTACATAGCATATGTACACATTTGGTGCTTTGATGTTGAAAAGCACCACCTTGAAGAAGAGAAAGAAAGCCGGGTGGGTGATACAACTGAGATCGAGAAGTTCATAAGATGGACCCTGCGAAGGCTGACATGATGAGATGAGATATCTGCTCTTCAGGTAATATTGTCTGTATTTCCTTTCGATCTAGCTATCAAGTGGTTTCAAGCAGAATTTCTTAGAAATGAACATATTATGATAGAGTCCTTGTGATTCTTGGCCATGGCGACCCATATTTCTGAGTTTTTCTCATCACCGAACACTTCAGTCATAGAGACAGAGAAAAATGGATGCCTTGAATCCAATTCAGGTCCCTGTAAGCAGCAATCAAAACTCAAATGCTTTAAAAATTGAAACTCATTTACCCGATTACGAACGTCTTCCATGCATGGACATCAGGTACCAGAAAGTGTTGTGATGCATGGAATGATGGAAATTTTTGTCTTCATATACTTTGAAATCAAATATAAAGCAAAATGTATATATATGACAAAATGTTCCATCAAAAGAAAGCTGTTAGACATGGCATTGGGTTGGCAATTTCTCATTTATGTCAGAAACCAAACATCCGTACTTTTCTCTTTAGATGTTCATATCTAGTATATGACCATCCAAAATTCCACTTTTAGTAACTGGAAAATTTGCTCACCCACTAAAATAGAAAAAATAATAATAAAAAGAAGTTGATGAATGAATTCTAAAGACTATGATTGCAAGTTCACAAGAAGACAGAACCAATCTAAAAGAGATTATTGCAGATCTAGTATTAAAACTCACCAACGATCTAAATGAGGAAAATTATAGACACAGATATGGCTGAATGTATTGTAAGTTTGAGCAATGATAACACTAACCAAATAAAAGTAGAAATACCTGAGGATAGATTGCACCACCACAACTTATGACTAACAAGAGAACCCCAGGTCTTGGCCGAGCACCAATTGATCGTCAATTTGGATGGTAGGGATGTGGGAGATAGAAGGCCAATCCTCCCCACTCCCCTTTTTAAAACGTTCTCCGAGAACAGGGCAACCTCTGACATGCAGTTCTTGCAGCATTGTATTATGAAGAAGGTGGCTTGGCAACGCCTTCAACTTTAGGCAATAGTGTATTGTTAATGAATGAAGACGGGGCATAATTGTAACAGAGTCTTCTCCTCTGCTTGTCCACAGGTTTGGATATTCCCACTCTTCCCACTCTTTCATGTAATAAAATTTGAGTTTTTTCAACATGGGGAAGGCAATCTTATTATTAACAGATGAAGAAGGTGATGAAGAAGAAGATGCTTGTCCATCTTCTCTTTCTACTCCCAAAAATTCGTCTCCCACTTTTTTTACTTCATTCATAACCTCTATCTCTAAAGATTCAAGGGACTGCAGCTTCCCCAGGGGAGGCAAGCTTTTCCAGTTGAGACAATTCTGTAGTTGAACCCTCTTCAGCATAGTCAACGATGTCATCCAACTAGGGAAAGCAACGGGACCTCTACAGTGGAACATACCCAAAGTTTCTAGGTGCGGAGGAGGTTGCAAGGCTTCTAGTACAAACTTTTCATCCTCAGTTTTGATCTGCTGTATATCCTGGGGATCAAATTTTAGACGCAACCCACGGAGGCCACTCTTTGTCCAAAGCTGTGCTTTCTTTGCCCCACTTGGTTCTGCCACATTTGCCAATCCTCTGATCTCAAGGTCCCCTCGAAGATGGGTTAAGTTTCCCAAATCTCCGAGGCTACATGATTTACTCTCAACATCACCACGGCTTACCACAAACTCATCCAATGTCTGTAGAGACGTTAATCTTCGCATTCCTTTTGGCATGAATCTGCATCTATCTGTACCAGCATTTTGAAGATGTCTCAGGTTGACTAGCTTTCCAATTCCATGGGGCAATTTCATAAGATTTTTACAAGACCTGATGTTCAGAGTTTGCAAGTAACACAAATCACACAGACTATCAGGCAATCTTTCTAACTCACTGTTCCCCTCTAAGTTAAGATATCTCAAATGCATTAATTTTCCTATTTCCTTTGGAATTGCTTTAATTGAACTTTTTACTCCATAATCCATGTCTTTGAAGCTTAGTATCCTCAGACAAGTCAACTGATCCAACCATTTAGCCAGTGATGCACTAACAGCAGAATTATCATTTAAATTAAGTTGCAGGCTACGCAACTTTTTTACATTAAAAATGGCATTGGGAATTGCAACAGCTTCATCATGAATCAGTGTTAGATGATGAACATTTTCCTGATAAGAGTCCATTTTTAACTCTTCAACATTGTTACTTGCCACCATAAAACTTTTCATTCTTCTCAAGTATTGAGCAAAATCATGCACTATATCATGCATTTTGCAGCTGATTATGCTATCCTCATTTTCATCCTTTTCAAACTCTTGAAAGAAAGAATGTATCACCAAGTTATCAAAGTACTCTTCACCAATGATCTCCATATCTTTATGTTGCGTCTCTCCAAGAAAACCTTGAGCCATCCACGACTTGATCAATAAATCTTTCTCTAATATATAATCTTTTGGAAAAATGGAACAGTATGAGAAGCACTGCCTTAATGGTGATGGCAAATCATAATAGCTTAATAGTAAGGGAGAAAAAAGACCATTTTCAGCCTCCTCAAGTTCCCATAACCGACTATCCAAGATTCTCTGCCACTGTTCTCTAGATCTCTTAAAACGTAAGAGACCTCCTAGAGTTTTTGCTGCAAGTGGCAAGCCCTGGCACTTATCTGCAATTTTCTTACCAATGTCTTCTAAATTCTCACGCTGTTTGTCTTCCCTTCCAAAAAATGCTAGGCGACTAAATAAGGACCAACACTCTTCTTTGGATAACTTCCCCAAACGAAATAATGTGCTGCAACCCATGATAGTAGCTACATTTTCCTTCCGTGTGGTCATCATGATTTTGCTTTCTCTGGAACCATTGTCAAGAGAGTATTTCAATGATTGCCACTTTCTCTCGTCTTCACCCCACACATCATCTAAGATAAGAAGGAACCTCTCTCCCTCAATAGATTCACGGATTTGCTCTAGCAAAGTATTCAACTCGGTGAAGTTTGAAACAACTCCTGTTAAAGCTTCAAGAATAGCTTTCGCAGTCCTCATTTCATCAAAAGGATTTGAAACACACACCCATATTCTCTTATTAAAACAACCCTTCACCTTATAATGGTTGTAAGCAATTTGGGCTAAAGTTGTTTTCCCAATCCCTCCCATCCCCACTATAGAGATTATGGGGATTCCCCTTTCTTCATTGTTGTTCTTGCACAGCAACATGTTTATCAAGACATTTATATCTCTGTCACGGCCATGTATGTCAGATACATCGACAAAGGATGTTGTTATTGGTCGTTCCGGTTCTAGATCAGTCTTCCTATTCAGATCAACTGTGAAAGCATAATCATCTTTCTCTTTGGCAATTGATTGAAGTCTTTGATTTAGTTTTTTAATCTTAACAGCAATATCATAACGGTGAATGGCTCGAGTAATGCTATAGCTTGGAGAGTGAATCCACGAGCGTACCTTGCTTAGAAGGAAGGAAGTTGAAGGGCTTTGAGCTCTCGCGATTTGCAATTTGAGAATTGCAATTTTCCACTCATCCAACACGTCCTCAATGTCATAAGAAACATTTTGAACCTTATCCAGCCAAACTTTAATAGCTTGCTCCTTTAGTTGTCTTTTCTCTGCATCCACCAGGACGGCTCGAATGATCTGAAGAGTGCTGCCGAGCTTTTTGACTTCTTCTTCATTAACGCCTGCAACAAGTCTCAACCCATATTCAGCTTCTTGAAAGAGGACCGCAGCTAATTGTTGTGAGACTGCAGAAACAAGTGCATCAGCCATGGTAGGAGAACAAAAATACTTGAGAATCACTGAATCAGGAAGGATCAAAAGAGATGGTTAGTTTCTGAACAAAATGACGTTGACGGTTGGCGAAATTGCTTGGGATGGGGAAGGAATGGGATAGACATCTAGAAAGAGAAATGGTAGTGGTTGGACTGAAACAGGGGATGGAAGTTTCGGCTCCTTTGTCATAAACAGACAAACAAAGCCTCCGTTTGAATGGACGGAAAGATAAATTTTGATGAAATTAAAAATAATAATAATATTTATTACAATTATAATTTAAAAAATTAATGGAAATTTTTTACTAATTTAAAATTATTAAAATCGTCGTTTAATTCAATCGAAAGTATGATAAACTTATTAACATCACACCGGAAGGCGCTGAGATGAAAACGGCTACTAAGAGTATGCCGTCGCAACGTGGCTCACTTTTTATTACTTTTGAATAGGAAGATTTTGTTTATTTATTTATAATATTTTTAGTTCGATAAGTGTTAAATAATATTACGGTTATTATCATTGTTAAAAAACTATTCAAGAAAAACTTTAAAAAAATAGTAATCAAATTAAAAATTTAAAATCTAAAACCTGTAAAAAATTTTGTAGTCAAGATTTGAAATGGTCACTGTATTCATTAATTTTCATAACTATATCGACAAAATCCAATATGGAATCAGAGTATGGCGTGATAAATTCATCTTAAACCATCTATTTTGATTATTTAAAAATGATCTATTCATTTAGAAATAAAACATCATTAGCATATGCTAATGATGTTTCAAAAAAAGTGAAGGGATTAAGTCACGAAATTTAGTATGTGATCCACCCTTTTTTTTTTTTTAATTGTAGAAATAGAAGCAAAAAAGAGTGATTAAAAAAAAACTATAAATTACACATATTATCAAAAACAAAGATAGAAATTCATGAAAATTGACAATTAAATTAGAAAAAAAATTTGGAGCCTATGACATTTCAATTAAAACAAAGCTTAAATATTTTTGCGTGAACTAACAGTTAGGATTTGTTAAATGCATTGGTAATTTAAAAATAAAAAAAATTATAAATATTAAAATTTAAATTTTAAATTTATTGTATGTTATTTCTTAAATATGATTACACGAAGAAACTGAATTAATATTCAAATCCAAATGTATTAATAATGTAATTTAATTTTTACTTTTTGATTTTTTGTTTTTTGTTCATTTGAAGTTTACAAGTTTTTTGTTTTTTTTTTCAAATGTTGATGTGCCTATAATTAAATTTAATTATTTTTATTATATTAAAAACATTTTGTGCTGTTTTCTTTTTGGAAGTATAGTATTTTTATTTAATAGCTGCATTTTTTGTTAACATCAAATAATTATTTTCTTATGAAAATATGTCATTACAGATTTGACTGTATTCGAAATATAATAAGGAATATAATGGTAATAAGGTAAAAGATATATATAATGAATCGTATTCACAACTCAATATTTATAGTTATTAAATAATATGTTTAAATTCAGTACTTAAATTTAAGTAACATTACCAAACAATATTAATATTCAAATTCAATGTTTATAAAATTCAGTACTATAAATTCGATACTTACTTTTTCAGCACTTAATTTTTTTAATTTATTAAACAGCACCTTAATTAGCTAAAGACTATTGTCATTCTCAAATGGAGCATAATAAACAACAGAACGGTCCCTTAGTACTAAGTTAATAAAATAGTTGGTTAAGATTTATCTTTTTTGATAAAAAGATTTTAAGTTCGAATCTTGTCGGTGATCATTTGTTGAAATCATCTCAAATACACGACTTGTAATCACTTATCTTAAGTTGTCAAATATCATACATCTTATCCTAACTTGAGAGACTAAACAACCTATCTATTTCTGAATTTATGATGAAAAATTGTCAGCTTATGGAAAAGAAACATGTGAAATGCCATCTTCACGAGGCAATTGATTGGGAATAAAGATGCAATTCTGAATAATTCTTCTCCACGGGAATCACATTCCATTTGGCTTCACTTCACTCGCAGCTATGAGAGGATTACAATTTATTACATCCTTGTAATTTGGCACCTATTGCAATCGCAGTTAGAACAATGTCGAATAAAGATAAAATATTAGCATGCAGCATGCTTAGGGCAATTTATGCAATGGCTGGGACGGCATAGTTTCTCGAACAAATCTCTCTCAGAACATGTAAAATTTTCTGGTGAGAAGAAAGATGGTTGTCAGCTTTAATTTTTCTTAAAATTTAACAATTTTAAACATGACACAATGACAAAAAAATTTAATGACCATATCTTAGCACATTTACACCTTTAATTCGGATGTTAGGAATGTGAGCGTTGTTAGGCCACTCGTTTCTGCAATGTTCGGAAAGAGAAGGACACCAAGCAATGCTCAATTCCTGTAGGCTTGTCGCCCAGTAAAGATGGTTTGGCAAGGCCTTTAACCGACAGCACCTCTGAATGTCTAAGGAATGAAGACGTGGCATGATTGTGATATCAATTACTCCACTGCTTGAAGATGGGATTTCATAACTCCACTCATCCCATTCTCTCATGTCTGAAAAGCGAAGTGATCTCAAATTGGGGAAGCCAATCAGAGGTGATGAAGATGAAGGGGAAGATGTTTGCTCGTGCTCGCTTTCTACCCCCAAAAATTCAACTCCCACAGTTTTCACTGTGCTCGAGTTTAATATTTCGAGTGATTCCAAGGAAGGCAATGTTCCCAGGGGAGGCAAATACTCCCAGTTTTTGCAATTACCAAGAGTGAGACGCCTCAGCTTGTCTAACGTTGACGAGTTCAGCCAACTGGGGAACAGGATGGGCCCTTTGAAGCACCGTATCTCTAATCTTTCCAAGTGAGGAGGCGGTTGCAATGCTTCCAGAATGAGGTCTTCACCGCAGACTCTCCCATTTAAATCAAAATTTAGTGTCAAACCAATGAGGTCTTTCTTATCATACAGTTTTGCTTTCCTACCCTCAGTCACATCTGTTGCATTTCCTAATCCTCTTATCTTTAGATCCCCTCGAAGGTAACTCAAGTTCGCCAAATCTCCAAGGGCAAATGTTTCACTGCCATTGCTGCCATCGCTCACCGCCAACTCTTTTAATGTCCGAAGGCCTGTTAATCTTTCCATTCCTTTAGGCATGAATCTCAATCTAAAAGTCTCCCAATTATCAAGGTGCCTCAAATTGAGAAGCCTTCCAATTCCAAAGGGGAGCGTTCTAAGACTTCTACAACGTGTGAGGTCTAAGGTTTGTAGATTATATAAATCACACAAAGTTTCTGGCAATTCTAGCAAATCATGGTTATTACTAAGCTTCAGGTACCTCAAGCGTATCAATTTCCCTATCTGTTTTGGTATTTCTTTAATCAAACACCAACTCAAATCCAGAGTCCTTAAACACATCAGTTGATCAAATAACTTAGGCAAAGCTCCTTCAATTGACCTATTTTTATTATATGACTTGATTAAGAGGCTACGCAATTTTTGCACATTGTCAATGTAGGAAGGAAATGAGCTCTCCTTCTCAAGCACCATTACCAGATGACAACATTTTCCATTGTAAGAGTCTATCTTGGGCCCTTTCACAACTTCTGCTTCCAACATTAAACATTCATATTTTGTCAAAAATAGTGCAAAATCATGGACTATATCATGCATTTTGCATTTCATTATGCTATTGTTGTTTTCATCTTTTTGAAAGTCTTGAAAGAAGGAGCGCATGGCTAGGTCATCAAAGCATTCCTGACCAATGATCTCCATCTCTTTATGTTGCATTCCCTTAAAGAAACCTTGCGCCATCCACAATTTGATCAACTTATCTTTCTCTATCACAGAATCTTTTAAAAAGACGGCACAATAGGAAAAGCACTGCCTCAAGGTTGGAGGCAAATCATAATAGCTCAACAACAAGGGAGGGAAAATACCTTTTTCAGCCTCTTCAAGTTCCCATAGCTCACTGTCCAACAAACTCTGCCACTGTTCTCTGGATTTTTTGAAGCGTAAGAGTCCCCCAAGAACCTTTGCAGCAAGCGGCAAACCTTTGCATTTGTTTGCTATCTTCCTACCAATGTCCTTTAAACCTTTGCATTCCTCACTAGTCCTTCCAAAAAATGCCATCTGACTGAACAACAACCAACATTCCTCCTCGGACAATTGCCCTAATGGGAACAGAGTCGTGCTACCCATGATACATGCAACATTCTCCTTACGTGTGGTGATCAAAATTTTGCTTCCTGGTGACCCACATTTGAGGGAGTGTTTCAATGGTTCCCACTTTGTGCAATCTTCAGTCCACACATCATCCAAAACAAGAAGAAACTTCTTTCTCTCAATTGATCGATGTATTTTCTGCAATAAAGTCTCCAATTCAACTACATTGGGAGCAACCTCGTTTAAAGCTTCAAGAATCGCTTTGGCTATTCTAATCTCATCAAAAGGATCCGAGACACACACCCATATTCTTTTATCAAAGCAGGCTTTCACCTTCCGGTCATTGTAGGCTAGTTGGGCAAGAGTTGTTTTTCCAATACCTCCCATTCCAATCACAGAGATGATACGGAGCCCTTGACTGTTTTCGGACAGCAACATACTAATTATAGTATTCTTATCCTGGTCCCTACCACAAATCTCGGATACATCAATAAAAGAAGTAGTGATTGGTCGCTCAAATTCTTCAAAATTGCCCCTAATTAAATGAAAACTGAACATATCTTTTTCTTTGGCAATCACTTGCAGTCTTTTGTTCAGACCCTTTATCTCGACAGCAAAGTCACGATGCAGAACAATTTTACTGAAACACAAGCATGGGGAGGGAATAAAGGAGCATGCCTTCTTTGCAATTTGAGATTTGACAATGAAAGTGTTCCATTCATCTATCAAATCATCCATGTCATAAGATATGGTTTTAAGCTTGCCCAACCAAAGCTTGACAGCTTCCTCTTTCACCTGCCTTTTCTCTGCATCCATCAGCACTGCTTGGATAGTCTGGAGAGTGTTCTTGAGCTTCTGGGCTTCTTTCCTCACATCCGCAACAAGTGTCACCTCTCTTTCAACTTCTTGCTAAACAACAGCTGTTAGCTGCTGCAAGACTGCTGAAACAAGAGCATCAGCCATGCTTTGATCAGAAGGACTAGAGAATGATGGATTCAAATGGAGGGGGAGTGACAGAAAATTTGATTATCAAGGGTTTTGGCTTTGGAGCCCCTAATTAAGTAACCTGTTATCAAGGTCAAGGGGGTCCTATGCAGCTGAAAAGCTGGACCATGTAAAACATTGACCTATGGCAAAAGCTTTTGAATCAAAATGTAATAGTAGGACAATAAATGTATCAAGGAGAAAAACGCGAAGGAACAGAAAAGCTTGACCATATCTCCGGAAACTACCGGGTCTTTGCCAAGAAGAAAAACTCGTGGTAAAAGAAAAGCTTGACCTTGTCTCGGGAAAACCACCGCTTTGCCTTCTTTTCCCTCGGTTTGGTTGCCTGTCTACCACAACGACAATAGGCCAGAATTATACGGCACCAGGGCGTGGCCCAGGGGGCCGGCTGGGGCATGGCCCCCCAATTTTTTTTGCACTGTTATAGCATAATATTTCATCCTATTAAAAATTATATTTAATTTTTTAAATTATTAGATATTATTTGATTTTTTTTATATTTTTAATTTTATTGATATATCCTCTATATATAAAAATAAACGATATAAATACTCTTATAAATTTTTAAAAATAATAAATTTACCTTTAAATTTGTAGTATTTTTTATTTATGTATTAAAGATTATTTTTCATTAAATATAACATTTATTATTTAATTATTTAAATTAATCCAAAAATATTAAAAGTTAATAACATAAACACCCTTATGAATTTTAAAAAAAAACAAATTTACTTTTAAATTTCTAGCATTTATTTATTTATTTATTTAATAAAGATTATTTGTCATTAAATATATAGCTTTTTATTTGTTAGTTATTTAAATTTAATTCAATTAAAAATTTGTGAATAGAATTTATATCAAATTAAACTACATTAAAAATTTATTTTTGGGATATGGTGGATGTATTATCTAAAATTAACCCAAATTTACTCTTTTTTTTTTGTAGGATTCTTTTTTGTTCAATTTCATAAGTAATAATTCAATTAAATTCATATCAAATACATTTCTCATCAAATAGGTTATAGCATACTATAAGTCCGTGATATTGAATAAAGCATAGACAAAATCTTTTCTCTGTTGCTTAATTAGTCATTATTTTATTCTAAATTATTATATCATAATGTTTATCCCTAAAAAACATTTAATTTTATCTTAAGTAAAACATATAATTTTTCTTTTTCAATATACAACCTAATTTACTCTTTATCTTTTTTAATAGTACATATCATGAGTCTTTAAATATATTTATATTTTTTATTTATTTATTTTAAATCAATTAAAATTAAAGTTCATACAAAATTATTAATTAAATTATCAAAAAATTATTGAGAAAGAGTAATACATATATTATGGTAAATTTGTATGTTTGATTTTTAAAAACTTTTTATGATAATATATATTTATATGTTTAATGATTGCAATGATTGATTTATTTTACTATAATATTTCTAATCACTTTATGCAATTACATTTTAATGTTACAATGTCTAAATGAATCTTTGCTTTGTGAACATAATCTCCCTTACATGTGAATTGTTACTAAACTTAAATTTTATTTTATCTTTTATAGATTAATTTTATATTACATCCAAGTTAATTTTAATCAATCTTTATTTTTTTATTTTTAATTTAAAATATTTTGTACTTATGATATTTTTATAAAACCATAGTCAATATTGTTAAGAAACATTAATCTTGAAGAAGATAAATTATTTGATATAATGTTGGTTGAGTTTTTTTTTTTTAATTCCACAAGGGAGTTAAAAAATTAACACATCACTCACTTATTTTATCAATTTTTTTTTTTATATCACTCACTTATTTTTTCAATTAGTCTTTTTTAATATACCTTGAAGCTTAAAAGGTATATGTGTTACACTACTAATTTCAATTGTGAAATTTAAAAACTCTACTATAAATATATTTTATAATATTTCCTTGAATAATATAAATTTATTTTTTTCAATTAAGAATGCTCTAAAATATTTTTGTATTTTGATAGTGAAAAATATTTTAATCACATGATTAATTGTGCGCGTTTTGTTGAATAATCAAAGCTTTGTTAGTTTTGTAACCAATTATTATATTATTTGAATCAATAATGTTATAGTTTATTTTCTGTTATTTGTTTATATTCTTTAAGTATATGATTATTAATTTGTACTCTTATCATGAAAGCATCTATTTAATAATTATTTGTACTTTATGAGTGTGTTTATTATAGATAAATACATGTATCATCTATGAATATATGTATAAAAATGTGAATTGTAAATAATATTAAAAATAATTTTTTAATTTGATACACTCCTATTAATAATACATTGCATGCCAATCATGCATGTCTAACCAGTTCTTCAATTCATAAAGAAAAACTTACAATTAAACTCAATAGTTACATAATAAAAAATTTCAAAGTATGAAGATGTGAAATAAATATGTTTATTTATATAATCTTACAATTAAGATCAAAAATTAATTCAATTGATAATGTTAAATTATATATATACAAGAATAAAACAAATGAATCAATTAATATTTTATATAGATCGTAAAATTATTAAATTAATCTTTTTATTACTCTATAAGTCAATGTATCATAATATATATATATAAATAATTAAAAAAATAAAGGTGTTAGATGATAAATGATAACGTGACCTTTGTTTTTTTTCTTTTAATGTGTAAAAAGTTCTCTACTTGAAATTTAGCCAACTTTACTATAAAAAAATTTATTTAAATTTTAGCTAAATATTTAGAATACTCACAAACATATACATACTTTAGATCTTAGTGTCTACCTTAAATAAGACATTCTATAATTAAGAAAATGTTTAATATATATATTATATAAAATGTGGTAATTTATTAAATTCTCCATATTTATTTTTATTTAATATTTTTTAGTAAATTAAAATATTATCTACTTTTTTTTTATTAAAATAGTTTTTCTACAAATAAATAATTTAGTGTTTATAATATATTACACATATTAATATGATTTACACAATTAAATTAATTATAGAAGATTTAATGGTAAATCAATTATAACTTAGTAGTAAATGTATAATAATATAGTAGCAAATTATTGATAATTTTCTTATAAATTAGTGATAATTTAGACAAAATCAATAATAATTTTATACTAAATTAATGATAACTGTATAGTAAATTATGAATAACTTATTAGTAAAATAATAATAACTTAATAGTAAATAAATAATAATTTAATAATAAATAATTGATAAAAAATGTATGATAACATAATAATAAATACATAATAATATAGTAAGAAATGACAAATAACTTAACTGTAAATTATTTATACATAATTGTAAATATATAACACATATTAGTAAATTAAGAATAACTTAATAAAAAATAAGTGATAACTTAATAGTTAATTATTGATAATTTAATAATAAATAAATGAGAACTTAATAGTAAATTAATGATAATTTAATAGTAAATAATATTCAGTTTAATACTTATTCCATCCCAATAAAATTGTCACATTTTGATTTTTGTTGGTCAAATTTTTTCAATTTTAATCACCTATTATTTTTTATTTATTATTGATAAAAATATGAAAAAAAATATTTTAAAAACTTTAAATGAAGTGGTTTCTAAATATATGTTTTGTAAAATTTAATTTATTAAAATATTTAAAATAATAGATGTCAAAGTTAAAAAATTTTAACCAAAAAAAATTAACCGTGACAATTTAACTATAACAAATAAAGGGAGTAGTAATTAATTGACAAATTTAGTAATAAAGCATAAATAGCTTAGTAATAAATCAATGATAATTTAATAGTAAATAATTTATAACTAAGTAGTAATTAAAAATTAAAAATTAAAAGTAAATTAATATAACTTAATAGAAATTATCGGTAAATTAATAGTTAATTAATAATAATTTAGTATAGTAAATTAGAGATATAATTTAATAGTATATCAATTATAATTTAGTAGTAGATTAGTAATAATATAATAGTCATAGCATAATAACTTAATAATAACAATTATAACGTAATTGTAAATGCATAATAATATAGTTGTAAATTAATAATAACTTCATAAAAAAATATAACTTAATGATTAATCATTGATAATTTAGTAGTAAATCAATGAAAATTTAGTAGTAAATTAGTGATAGCATAATAGTAAATTTATTTTAGTTTAATAGTAATTAAATAATAAATTTAGTAGTAAATCATAAATAACTTAGTGATAAATCAATGATAATTTAATAGCTAATCACTAAAACTCAGTAGTAAATCAATGATAACAAAGTAGCAAATGCATAACACTATAGTAGTAAATCATTAATAATTTAGTAATAAATTATCGATAACTTAGTAATAAATTATTAATAACGTAATAGTAAAACACTGATAATTTAGTTATAAATTAGTTAATTATTAATAACTTATAGTAAATTATCAATAACTTAGTAATAAATCATTTATAATTTAATAGTAAATCATTTATAACTTACTGATAAATAATGATGATTTAGTAGTAAATCAGTGATAAGATAATAGTCAGTGAGTAATAACTTATTTGTTAATTAGTGATAACATTTTTTTTTTATACTTAAAGTTACTAATGATTGAACGTTGGTTACTAGAAAGAGAATAGAAAGAGAAAATGATTAAAATAAACCAACCATGAACATTTTCATTAAAAAAAATTTAGTAAAAAAATTTTAAATTTGAACGAAACAATAATGTTATATTATATAAAAAGAAAATTATCTCATATATTATAATTAATTGATAAAATTAATAGTATATCATAAATAACTTAGTAGTAATTCAATAATAATTTAGTAGTAAATAATTGATAACTTAATTGCTAACTATTAAAAACTTAGTAATAAATCAATGGTAATGAGTAAATGCATAATAATATAATAGTAAATCACTAAATTTAGCAGTAAATCACTAATAACGTAGTAATAAGTCATTTAGAACTTAGTTATATATCAATGATAATTTTGTAGTAAATCATCGATAACTTCATAGTAAATTAGTTATAACTTTATAATAAATTAGTAATAACTTAGTATTAAATCATCAATAACTCAGTAGTAAATCATTAATAACTTAATAGTAAATTATTATTAATTTAATAATAAATTATTAATAACATAGTAATAAATCAGTAATAACTTAATTGTCAATCGATGATAAGTTTTTTTATATTTGAAGTTTTTAAGGATTGAACTCCAGTTACTAGCAAGAGTGAAGTAAAAACTAACTAATAAATCAATTATAATAATAAATCAGAGTTAACTTAGTCGTAATTTATTGATAACTAAATGTTAAATCACTTATAATTTAGTTGTAAATCAGTGATGACAATAAATCAATGATAACTTGGTAATAAATCAGTTTTATCTTAATAGTAAAGTTTGAATAACTTAATAGTAAATTATTTATATTTTAATAATAAATTAGTGATATAACTTAGCAGCAAATCATTGTTAACATATAATAGTAAATCATTACTAACTTAGTAATTTTTTTTGGTTAAATATTGATATAAAGCTATATTTTTTAATATGTCTAACATATTTAATTCATTTAAAAATTATATTAATTACTATTTAATACTAAGCTATTGAGTTACAATATTTATGGATACTGTACACATATAAATAATTAAAACAATATTCATGTACTAATTACTATAACAACATTTTTTATTAAAAAAATCAAATTTTGAAGTGAAAATTTGTAAAAACTTTATCTATATTTACATGTCATTGATTGTCTATTAAATAATATATTAATAGTAACTAGATTAATGTTATATCTTTACCAAAATAAATTGTTGTGTTTTATGGTATCATTTATAACATTGATAGCAATTATATAAAAAATTTTGTTTTCAAAGATATTTTTAAAATGAAAGAGAAAAATAGTTAGTCTAAATTTATTGAAAAACACCATAGAAAAATTACCTATTAGTTATTTTCTTAGGTACATAATATTTTAAATTAAAATATATGATCTAATAATACTAATAATAGTATGAATTTTATAAATTATAATTTTATAACAATATTGTTTAAATAATGAAATTTTTGTATGACTTATACTTGATATATAATTAAGTGTTCATCAAAATTACTCCATTTTAATTAAAAAAGAGTTCAAATATTAAAAAATATATTTACTATCAATTTTAAAGTCTAAGATTTAAAACATAGTTTGCCTTCAAAATATATCTTTTGATATTTGTCTAAAATAGATCATATATTATTAATTTTAAAATTATAATATTTCATTATTTAACAAACAATAATAATATTGAACCAAAGTTAATTGAAAAAAGTACTTGAATATTTAAAGAACAACATAAAAAACTATTTGATTAGGATAAGGTATACCTTTAGGTAAAGTTTGTTATTTAAACTCTTAATATAACATATTTTAATAAGTTATGTATATTTAATTGCTTTTTGAGAAATCAATATTTGATAATAAAAATAATTTTAATCGATATCCCATATAAATATATAAATAAACATCGTTGATTATTGCATCAAAATACTAATGATTTTTTTATTACTTCATATACTTTTTTTAGAATATGTTTACAAATTAATATTTTTAATTAGTAAAATTCATGTGAGTATGTATTTTTTACTATAAAATGAAATTACAAAATGATTTATATTACATAAATAAGAACATCTTAAAAATAGAAGTTAATAATGAAAAAAAAATTATATATTTACTTTATTTCAAGTAACAAATACTTTATAACAAATTGGTTTCAAATCAAAATAACAAATTTAAATTTCCAATGATAAATAGATGAAAAGTAATAGTTTAAATGAGTTCGACAATGATCAATTGCCTAAAAAATTTATAAAATTGAAAATAAAAATCCACCACTAAAAAAACTTTAAAAAGTTATAAAAAAAATCATAAAATAGAGAAGAATGAAAGTACAAAATCTGATTTGATTGTGATAGAAGACAATATTTTATAGTAAAAAATATTAAAAAAATAAGAAAAAAATATATAAAAAAAGAATGAAGACGATGACTTAACACTTAAAGACTTAAAAGAAAACTTCTAAAAAGAATCAAAACAAAGAAACATTAAAATATAATTTTTATTGGAATTTTAATCTTAATTTTTTATTAAATTTATTTTTTAAAACTTAAATTTACATTTTTAATTTAATTTAGTATGATGATAATTATTTCAATTTTATTGCTATAAAATATCAAAATTATTATATTGTGTTATAATTAAAATTTGGTTAATAATCACGTATATGGCACGTGGAATAAAACTAGTTACAATTTAAAATATGATACAACATAAATAATAATAATTAACACAAAAATAACATCATTTACATTATAATAATAATTATATATAAATTTAATAAAATTAAAAAATATATTTTATATTTTTATGTTAATATAAATTTTAATATATAATTTTTATATAAAATAAAATATAAATTTTAATATTTTAATATTTCATATAATACAAAAACATAAATTATTAAATTGAATTACAATTCAACTGCACTTGTCCGCATGTAACAAGAAATTATCCATGTAGACCTTTTTTCTTTGAAATAACAATAATACGTAAAAAGTAATTTTTGAATATAAATTGTTTTATTATTTATATCTATGCTTTATATTAAAATTATTTTCTTAACAGGGTGGTTGCCTGACACTTGTTTGTATTATACAATTATCATTTTATTCTTTTATGTTATAAATTTATTATTTTACAATTCAATTACAATAAAAAATAAATTAAAATATACAAAAAATTTAAAAGTTTAAAATTATTTTCTAAGAAGAGAGTTGCGTGGCATTTGTCTATATTCATAAAATTACCATTTTATTCTTTTCATATTATAAATTTATTATTTTATTCTTCAATCAAAATAAAAACTAAATTAAAATATACCAAAATTTTTTTTTTTTAAATCAGATTATCATCAATTACTAGCCCTCACCACCGCCTCATCGCATAAACAACGAATCCAAAAGGACCAAAACCCATCCATAACAAATCTATACCCAACCAGAGCAAAACCAAAACCACAAATTTCATTCGTTTTATTTTCGATCATGTATTTTACTTGACTTAAAATTTAAAAATTAATACTTATCCTTGTTATTGTCATATGTTCAAATTTTTTACCACATAAATTATTTAATTATTAATGCGATAATGACCATGCGAACAACACTGAAATGAAATTAGTATTGATTTTGAACCATTTTCTCCTCTTCTACATTTTTCTTAAAGATAATGATTATAAATATGATTATATATTTATATTCGGTGAAAGATTTGTTTGATTTTATGAAAATATTGTAAAAATATTGTAGAAGTGATATAGATTTGATTCATTGATGGGAGATAAAATTATATATTTAAAAATTATTTATTATTTAGAGTGTAAATCTTTAAACACCGATGCAAAAGATTTATCAAAGAGTATTTTTGTTCTTTATCGATTTTTTTTCTCTTTTATTTTTTATACAATTCATCATATCATTTGTTTCATCCCATACAATTGCTGAATGCCATTTCTTTCATCATCATTTTACAATCATCGAATGCTATGCATGGGAAATTAAAAGTTTGAGTGTAACACTTTAATCTTACATTAAAAAATTATGAAAATCTGTTTGTTATGTTATGTATGTAGAGATTTAAATTTATACTTGTGGATTATCATTTGGTAAAATAAAATCATAAAATTTTCGAGTCAAAATAGATAATATCTCATAAACTAAGTACATATTTTCAGAAATAATATTGCAATGGTTATCAATTAAATGAAAATTAAGTGCTACATTATAAAAATCACTTATAAAATCATAAGAATTAAATATCGTACGATAAGAGTCATTTATAGAATTTTAATATCTCGTATGATACTGATTTTATGATTTTATATGTATTTTATATTACGTTTGATTGAAACATTAAAATTTAATAAAAAAATTTATGATATTTTAATCTTACATAAAAAAAATAATGAAAATTTATTAAACTATATATATATATCTAAATCCATATTTATAAAACAATTTTCATGAAATATAATTTTAAAACTTTCAAATTAAAACAAATAATATCAATTAAATTAAGTGTCCATCTATGAAACGGTTGGTAATATTTGAATTTAAACACCTTGCCTTCATTCTTAGGTCTGGAATTGGATCAGTTTCCTGATTCGGACAACCTGAAGAATACCAATTTCTTTCAAGATTTCAACAACCTTGTCAAGAGTAAGCTTCACCTCGACAAACATTTGGATCCATTCCCACTTCTTTAAATTCCAAAGAAGTTGCGATCAAAATCTGAGTAATTATTTTCCTATGTTCTTTCAATTTGAATATCACCATCATAATCATAGGTCACAACTTTGCCTAAAATACTGAATCGATTAACATAAAACATATATATACTGAAATTTTTTTTTTTTTGGCCTTTTTAAATCAATCGGTTGACACAATCCTTACATACATTATCTTGGATTTGGATTTGGGAAAACAAAAGCATAATTCACACTGATGACGTAACTGTCATTATCCGGATGTGACGTCAACAATATGTTATTGAAGGACTTTATGTAACAATCTTTGAACTAACCGGTCATTGGTTAAAAGTATTTTTAACATATAATTAAGATATTGTATTTAATGATTAAAAATTTATGCTCATAACAAGGGCGGGGTACAATTACAAAGATATAAAGTCGAAAAGTAAAACTTTAACTTGCAAGACAACACAAAGAGACAATGCACAATATCAAAATCCCGACAAAAATGGACGGCAATTTAATGTTCGTTGACCAAAATCACAAGATCATAGAGCATTAAACTAGTAGTGACGGACTGAAACATTGACGCGGAGAAGCGCGTAATAAGTAGACCGGTCGTAGGAAATAGTCTCGACGGTAACATAGCCCCTGGCATATCGGAATTTGCCCGTTCCGGAAACCACACCATATTCTCTGACGGCCTTGAATTGGTTGCTATTACCTTGTACCTCTATGGTGCTACCGTTGTAGGCCTCGTTGGTGAAGACAATTGAAAAGGACACATAAGCGTTGAGGCCATCCAAACCTGTGACGGATATACCTTGCCCACGTCCAATTGTGGCTGATGTGAGTTCCGGACCTTCTGTCATGCGGTCATCAGTCACAAGGAGTGTTCCAAAGTCGGTGACAGACCAGATCTTGCCAGGAAAGCCTACCATTGGAAGGCTACTGGCGTTAGGACCGCCTGAGTAGTCCTGAAAGTAGACAGTCATGTTGGTTTCTCTAAGTTCACCATCGGCCTTGGCTGGGAGGACCCACAACATCACCATAACTATGCCTGAAACAACCAGAAATAACATGGAAAAGTTAGTCCTAGTTGCCATATTTAAAAATCTAAATTAAAGCTTAAGTATCTGTGAAATGTGGAGATTGGAGACCAATACGAATTCCTTTAATTTATAGGGAAATTTATGGTTATGAAACTGAAAAAATCGATCAAAAAACCACATTCGCAAAGTCAACAGTATTTTAATTAATTTATTTTCAAAATTTTTTAATTTGAATTATTATTGTCTATATAAACAAGCAATCTAATTTGATATGGTTTTCTTCAAGATTATTAACCTCCTGTGGTTTAGTTTAGTTTTTTCTTTTCTTAAATGTTGTTGTCTAAATAAATGTAGCTCCATGCATAAAGTTCTCGGATCTGAAAAAAGGTTGGACCCACCACGTGGATTAGACCCATTGGCATCTTGACGTTGTTGTCTAAGCAAATACATAAGCAATATATTAATTAGTTGTGCAAGTTTTTCCTAGTCAATTGATATTGTCATAGTCAAATGCCTAAAATTTTCTGACTTGGACCATGATTTTCCATCTCAATGGCATCTTCAAAGTTCTCATCAATTGCAAAAACATGTAACCCACAAAAAAAAAAAAAGTCAGGACCGATCATACACATTACTACCTATATAATATATATATATATATATATATATTTGACTTCAAACATTTTAGTTGGATAAATTTCCAAGCTAAATAATCCCTTAATTTCTGATAAAGTGCACCATCCGTATTTATAATTTGCCAAGATTAAGCAGTTATAGTAAGCAGTCACCCTAGCTGTTCAAAGAAGTTGGGGGGTAAGCAATATTGAGTTTCGTTGGACAAAAGAAATTATTAGAATTGTTGAACAAGTGATAGGAATTTTCTTTTTAATTTCAATAAATTATGATCATATTGTTTTTAATTACACATGCATGCATTTGTTTCTTAAAAAATAGTAAAAACTATTGAAGTTCACATCGTCCATTGATATTTGATATAACCTCTATACCATTTATTTTTCAAATTTTACATACCCAAAATTATAAAATGCTCTTTGGGATTAAAATAAATAAAAATAACTTGGGATATATTTAATTTGTGGAAATATCACTCAAAACCAAATAAAAGAACAAGTGAAATGAATTTTCTTTCAATGGCATAAATGTACAAAAAAAAAAAATCACAATATCATCTTAGCATTTGCTATATGATAGTCCGATTAATTAAAAATTTATATGATAAGGCATATATTTACCCTAAAAAAGAATTACTCAAAAAGTCTATAAAAGAAAAATTAATTTCATATGAGTCTGCACGACAATCACAATATAAAAACCCCACGAAAAATGTGAACAAAAAAAATTATTTTCATTGACTAACTCAGGAAACTAATTAACTTGAATACAGATATGCATTTAATTTTTTTTTTTCTATTTTGGAAGGGTGGGGTTGTTAGAACATCAATGATCAATCTTATTTAGAATTGAATATTGAAAATTTGAATTAGCCAATCATAAAGGACTAAACTTGTAATGATAAGTTTAATTCAATTTATTCATACAACTTTTTCAAACTACAACCCCTTTTATAAATAAATAAATAAATAAAACCTTATGGCGATGGATTGAAGTATTGAAGTGGACGGGATGAAGGAAATAGTCTCGAAGGTAACATAGCCCCTAGCATTATAGCAAAAACCTCCAAAGGAAGGGGGAAAAGAAAGAACAAATAGTTAAAGGACATTGTAAATTGTTATTTCGGACACTTTGATTAATGAACTTGAAGCATAAGTTTGATATGTTCAACTAAAACAAGGTTGTATCTACAGCAGCAGCAGCACTATTAAGTGCCAACCCCAGTAAGGACGGTCAAGATTCTTCACAGTTCATCATGGGAATTTTCCAATGGCGAATGATTTTTTGGCTCTGCTGCAAGGAGATACCTAGCGGCCAATGATGCATGAAGTGCAGCTCCATAAGGAAGAACATCTTCATTGATCATAAAGTAGGGTGAACGAAAATATTTGAGTGGTGGACTGTCCTCATTTTGCATTCCAAGGAAGAAGAAATACCCAGGAATTGCCTCTTGGAAAAATGAAAAATCCTCAGATCCCATCTGTGGTTGCATGTCTTTAATTTTGTCAGTGCCAAGCATATCCCCTGCAACTTTCTGGAACAGCTCGTGCAAGTCCTTATTATTTATGGTTGGAGGAAAAAGGGGTACCGGTTTCTTGTTTTCGTAGAAATCAACAGTCGCACTGCACCTCTGAACAGCAGCTTGCCCTTTGATAACCTGTCATTTGAGCAAATCAGATTTTTGGGATTGTAAAATTATAAACATATTTGATTAGTACTACCTTCAAAATGCAGGAAATCTACGAAAAAACAATATATGAACCTCTTCCAAAACATTTAGTTGTTCACAAGGTTTTTCATTTAATGCTGGAGTACTTTATTTTATTTTGTGTAGTTTAAAAATTGCTCAATGATTTGCAAAATTATTCAAAATATCTAATTTATATACCTCCTCAATCCGCTGTTTAAGTTGCAATAAACTTTCTTTTGAAAATGCTCGGAAGGTCCCACCAATTGTAACGGAATCAGGAATGACATTGAAAGCACCACCTCCTTGAAATTTTGCAACAGTCAGCACCTACAAGGAAATGCTTTGTTAAAGTAGATCACAGAGTATCACAAGAAGCACATAGTTTTTTGGTATGTTGAGCCAGGGAAAATATGTAAATAGAAGGAAAAAGTTTTTGTGATGAATATTAATGGAGTGGAAGGATGACTAAAACATCATAAAGTAAATACGGCAGAGTAAAGAAAACCTAAGAAAAGTAATCGAACTTTCACTAGATTACAAATTATAAGTTAATTTTCCGAATAAGGATACATAAGATCCAAAGCGGACTTTTCTTAGAATGATATTTTAATAAATATAACATGTTTGAAATTGAATTGTCAAAGGGAAACCAAAATTTTAGAATATCTCTCTTTGCATTTTTAATTTAGAGGGAATTTAAGAACTTGTTGAACCTAGAGAGTTCCTCCTCTCATCAATGGATCAGGAGTTTAAAGCTGCTTTTGCTCCCTCAGTGTTCTGCTTTAACATTATTCGCACCTTCAGGCCTTGTTTCTGTTCCCCAAGCAGTAGTTTTAGGGACAGGTTCATAGGGGTTTAGTAATTTCAGGTTCTATATAAAGAAACATAACAGGCTATTAACAAAATCTACATAAAACCATTGCTAAATTTTCTTAATCAAGCAGTTTAAATGCACCACAACACCAACAACCCTTCAAAATGTAAATGCAAGTGCACAACATAATTTCTCAGAGCTTTCTTGACGGATGGCAAACAAGACCATTCATTCACAAGAACATTGTAGCAACTTGTTGCCTGATAACTACAATTACTCAAATCAAAGTAAATTGTTGCAGCCAATAACAGCATTAAAAAAAGGCTTAGAAAGATAGCCAAATCATTTCCTAATATGCACAGGAAGCAAAGGATAGAATGCAAGAAGTAATGGAAGGAAGAAATGTACCTGGGAATCCAGTGGATCAGCTTCACGTGAAACAAGATGTTGTAGGCTAACAACAACATTAGAGGCTGCCAAAATTGGGTCTATTGAATGCTGAGGAATGGCTGCATGGCCTCCTTTTCCGCTTATTACAGCATCAAAGAAGCCACTACCAGCCAGTAAAGGACCGGACCTGGAGGCCACTGTACCAATAGGTTGATCTGGTGCAACATGCAGCCCAAAGATTGCATCAACATCCTCTAACACACCTTCATCTAGCATCTTCTTTGCCCCTCCACCTCCTTCCTCAGCTGGTTGGAAAACAAGAACAACTGTACCCTGATTAGGAAATAAAACGGAACAGCATCAAGCATCCATAAGGAAAAAAAGGAAGCTAACAGCCTAACACAGTTAAAAACTTTCAAAGGACAATATGAATAACAATAGGAGAACTGGTCCTGGCTGCAGAATCACAGTCTAGATTGACATAGGCTAGATGTTCTGCTGTCTTTCTTCAGTTATGTGAGAAGTTTTTCACTAGACAGAGTTTCAGTTTAGGGGTTTATCTATTGTCAGTCATAACAGTTTAGGGGTTTATCTATTGTCAGTCATAACAAGGAATAAAGTTTCTAACAAACATCCACAACGAACAAAAAGTATCCAACAATCAGATTTTGTTTTAGTACCTAAAAATGGTTACAAGATCACGAAAACTAGTCAGAGAGTTATCTTGCTGAAACAATCAGATTTTGAAACAATTCTATATTCCTATTATATATCAACACATTGTGCTTTATGGCATTCCCTCACTTCTGAACTTTACTGCATGCTCCTCCTCTACCTCAATTATCATAGCAGAGAAAAATTCATACTAGGAGATTCCATCAATCATATCCAATAAAACTTATACTGATGTTCCATGATACATTACACTATCACAGACACAGTATATGCCTTAAAACTAGTACCTATGCTAAAAACCCAACAGGTAAGTTGGCATGGCAGCTGATTTACCAGATAAATTGATAAACAATCCTTTATTACCTTACCAGAAAGTAAGTTATCACATAACATGACAGCAAGCCAAGAAAAAAGTCTAGGTCTCCATGAGAAAAACTGTACTAGCAATGCAAACAACTTAAGAAGAGAAGAAACCCAATTTTGACTTTGAAGAAACTTTTTCCATCCACACAATAATCCCCTCTCATAAGGCAATTTTACATTCATTATCCTTTTCTCCATTACAAAAATAATAAATCTCCAATTAAAGAGCAAAATTGTTGCTCCCTAGTTCCGCATGTCCAATATCAATGAAACATTAAACACTATTATTTTTTTCCTAGAAAAACTAACAAAAAAAAATACTTTTATAGAAATATTTGTTCCATGATGCTTGGTAATGTCTTCATGATTCCACCCAATGATTTTCCAACTAAGTAGATTGCTTCAGTTAAAAAATTCTATGAGCAGAGCATCCCAGGTGCAGTGATAATTGATAATCTCTTTAGTTTTGAGGTTCAAAAAATAGTACTCTCTGCCAGAGAAGCATAGAATGGCATTTGATAAACAAATGTATTCATTATCATTTCCTTCATATCATATTTTAAAAGGTGAAATTAGCAATTTTGAAATGCTAAAACACTTCTAATTAATATGATTTATGTTATGGAAGGAAAAGAACCGCCGGAACTACCAGCAAGGCCTAAAAAACAAGCTACAGGCACCACAGAATTGGATGCAGATACTCAAATTAGCATCAAATTTGCTCAAGTGAAATTGTACTTAGCACCCTTACTATGCAAATCCTAATCAGGCCAGCAGTAATTCAGTCATAAACAAACTATAAAACATAAAGTTTGGGTGTAGCAAATATGAAATTAGCAAGAGAAAATTGATGTGACACACCTTTAACTCTTCAAGATGCTCTTTTAGTATTTTTGCAGCACCAAGAAGCATTGAAACATGAGCATCATGCCCGCAGGCATGCATTTTCCCCGGATGTTTACTCTTGTGCTCCCACTCGACCAGTTCCTACACATTTTAACAGGCCATTAATAGAAGTTCACAGCTGATTCCTTTCTTCATACGATACAAAGTTGAAGAAGAAAAATGGAAAGCAAACATCTTTCTGATCATCAAACACAATCTGCATGCCAGAATTCAACTAAAATCATCCTGGTTTACGAAAACCAAATTTCATATTAGCACAATTGGAAAACCAAAAGAACAAATTCAACATGCTAAAGTCATACAGTGCCTAGAATTGAAATATTAAGATCAATCCCTATACGTCAAACTTTTAGTGAAAGTAAAACAAATCAATAAAATCACTCAACTATTCAATAATTAAGCCTCATCTTTGCAGATTTAGCTTGAGACAAGACTAACTTTCAAAAACCAGAATTTCAAATGAATCCAAAAAGATATGAAAAAAAGAAATTATTCAAACCTGCATAGAAAAAGCATCCATATCTGCCCTTATTGCAACAAAAGGAGGTTTACCAGTCCCAACAAAGCCAACAACACCAGTAACTGAAACTGGGTATTTATAAGGAATACCCATTTTATCCAGTTCTTGTCTGATCAGCTTACTTGTCTCAAATTCCTCATATCCCAATTCAGGATTCTCATGTATCTTCCTCCTAATGCCCACCATCCAATCAACAAGCTCCTGTCTTTTAGCAAAATCAAGGAACTTCTTGGGGATTTCGGACAACCCATTTGACGAGCTCAAAGAAGAAGATGACAAAACAACTGTTGGATTAAGCAGATGCAATATCAAAAACAAAGAGACCAACTTGGAGAAACTCATGCTTGTTTTTCTATGAAAACAAGTTTAAAGCATGAAGTTTTAGGACAAAGAAGAGAATCTTTAGCTAAACGAAAGGTGGGTTCTTGATGTTTTTTGCTGATAATTATTAAGGAATTTTGGTTCCTGGGAAATCCTCAGCACTAAAATGTACTGAAATTTCGAGGTAATTTAAGATAAAACTCAAAAAAAAAAAAAAGATACTGTTGCATACTTGCATTTGAATATCTGAATATATTTTATTGTCATACTCAAGAAAGATTCAATATAAAGTTTTCAATATTTAAATCTTTAAAATAAAGTTAAAATAATAAAAAATCCTTAAAATTTATTTTTTACTTAGATAAAATCTATATTATTTATTTTAAATTTTAATTTGTATCCATTATAAGCCTTGTCCTTTAATTTATATTTAAATAAAATTTTAACAAAATTAATATTTTTGTTTAAATTAAAAACATAGTTGAATATAAATTAAAGAATAAAATTTTATTTGAACATAATTAAAATATAAATATTTATTTAAATAAAATGTTAAATTTTAAAATTTTTTTATATTTTAGCTTTAAAATATTCTTTAAATAATATAAGATGGAGGGTTTAATTATTAACCCAAACAATTCAATTTATTTAATTGATTAATCTTTGACTAATAACTTATTTATTTATTTGGCCATTTACTTTTGCTAAGCCCAAGGCTTTAATTTTAGGCTCTACCAACCATTTTAAGGTGAAAATATTGGGCCCAAGCAACCATGCATGAATCGTTATATATAAGGGCCATCGCTTTGGCACTTTATTTACTCTTTTTATCTCTCGCTTTGAAGCTTGGCGGCAGTGTTCTTCAAAGCCTCTGCTTAGCGAGGTATGTTTTCCTCCCTTCCACGCTTCCTTTTTCTTTGTATGTTACCTGTTTGGTTCCCGAGAAACCATGTTAAAAGAAAGTTTAAAATTTAGACTTTAGAATCGAAATTGTGTGAAACCCAGATTAGAAAAACATGACCCTTTTACCCGGTTAAGACCAAACAAGCTTGAAAGTCCCTTTTTTTGTCAGATTTCTTAAGGCTGATGAATTTGATCAAGAACCCTTTATTTTCTTTTTTTGTGTTTTGATTAAAAAATAGTTATGTATGTCATTCATTATTATGAATACAAAGTCATGTAGCAGTATTAGAATTCTCATTCACCAGCTTTAATAGAATTCAGGTTGCAATCTGAAAATTCTCAATTATATAAATTATAAATATACAGTATTATAGTAGATGAGATGTTAGAAAAGCAAATTTTAGCAAAGTGACTTTAGTTTTATTGTAGAACTAATATGCAAGTGAACTTGAATTTTCCTCACTCTGGGACTTTGATTATGGCATTTTGGTTTAACCTCTGAAAATAGGCTCTCAGAGAATTGTAATAATTTGTGATGTTTTTACAGGAACTTAAGGTTCCTTACGTGTAAAAGTTTTCCCTTCCTTTACATAGAAATATATTTGTCCATTGCTTCTTATATCCTCTTGTTTTATTTTGGTTAATTTTGGTTCCTTCAATCCCATTATTGTCCTAAATGGAGGAGAAACCCCTTTATGAAATGTATGACAAAATGAATAGATTCCTAAATAGTGGATCGTATTGATTTTAAAGAGAATCTGTCTACAGAAACCTCTGAGTAAGTAACCGTCATGAAGGAAAGAGAAAAGTACATCACGGTGAATGAGAGAATAGAATTTGCTGATCAGATGTCCCGAGAACCAGGTGTTAAAACAAAACGAAAGAGAGAGGATTTAAACATCATTAATGGCAGTTCTAAGTCTAGAAGGAAGGGAATCAGTAAGGAAACCAAGATCATGGAACAAAAAGTTGATAGGGTGGATTATATCTCACAATTGCCTGAACATATTATCCATCACATCATCAGTTTCCTGCGTTGTAAAAAAGATGCAGCTAGAACGAGTATCTTGTCAAAGAGATGGAGAGATATGTGGGTTTCTTTCTCAAATTTAGTCTTTGATCAACGGAAATTCCATGGACAAGTGAGACGTTTAGAAACGCTTTCTGAAGAACAAATTCAGAAAATCAAGAATGTGGAGATGTTTCGAAATTATGTTGATAACACTCTGCAAAGACATGTGGAGCTAAAAGATAGGAGTATACAGAAATTTGTGCTTCATATGACTCACTATAATTCTGAACTGACTACTTGTATGGATAAGTGGATTGATTTGGCGCTAAAATACAATATCAAAGAGTTAGAACTCCATGTCCCTGGGTATTTGCATGGATGCTACAGATTACCTCAATGTGTATTTGCTGCCAACACAATAACTGCATTAAGGGTTTATGGGTGTAAGTTGCGACCTTGTAATAATCTAAAACTTTCTAATCTGCAAAAAGTTTGCCTTGGAAAACTCTATGTCAATGAATGGATGATTGAGAATCTGATCCGTAGCTGCCCTCTGCTTGAGGATTTTAGACTCATCTACCCTATTGGATTAAAAACTTTTAAGGTTCCCAATCTTCCTAAACTTAAAAGGGTTGATTTGCACACTTGCTCTGGGCTGCGGGAGGTTAACCTTCAAGCATCAAATCTTGAAACATTTTGGTATCTTGGGAAGAAATATTTGCCTTGCAAAATTGAGTTGTCCACATGCAACACCCTTAAGAATTTGACATTAGAGGATGCTAAACTGAAGGATGAGTTGTTTCAAAAACATCTCTCTTGTTTCCTTGTCCTTGAGAAATTGGTTCTAAGCAAGTGTAATGCCTTGGAAAATATTATAATTTCAAGTTTTAAGCTTAAGACACTTATTTTAAGAGAATGCAAGCAGCTAGAGGAGGCAGATATTGATACCCCAAACCTTCTTTCATTCGAGTACAAGGGTGATAAGATGCCCTTTTCTTCCTTGAATCCTACAAGTTTAAAAGAAGCTAAGCTTTATTTTAAACCATCAAGACCAGAAGTTAATACTAGATTCCACAAAGGAGATGATCATACTCCTTGGTTTGCTAAATTGCAAGCATTTCTTGAGAGGTTTGATTACTCTAGAGGATTGAAACTCATGGCCCGCTCCAATAAGGTATCTTCCTTTTGGACTTTACTTTTTTGCTATTTTTATGAAGGAATAAATGTGTTACTATCCACATCTAGCATCCTCACAAATTTCTTCTATTTTGCTTGTCATTGTTTATCAAGAATATTGTCGTTTATGAAAAACCAAAGGGAATTTTTCTTCCGCGTGTCTATGATCTCAAACTTGACGTGGTCAAGTCATCAGTAGCTCTTGAGGATCTGTTGGATGATATTTTACGAACATGGCATCCAGAGACATTATCATCATTGTCAATTTCCAGAAGCAATCTCCCCAAGGTATGGCTTTGCAGCCGAAGGTTTCTATATGTATGCACTCATGTATTTAATAACGTTTTTTTCTGAGAAATGGGAACCTATTTTAACCGTACACTTCTGTTTTTCCTGAGTTACAGCTAGTACGTAAGAGACTAATAGGCAGAGAGAAGGAGCCCAGCTGCTGCACATACAATATTCCCGGTACTAAATGCTGGCGGCACTTTCTGGAATATGTCAAAACTGAGAACCTTGTCAATAACAAAGATACGTCTGAATGGATTGCTTGGTTGAGGTCATCTCGATCTATGTTCAAAATCAATTGTTTCAAATTAACTTGGAAATCCCGGAAACATGTTAGTCAGGAATAGACTAATGTTTAATTGAATATGATCAGACTAGAGTTTGGAGGGTTTTTTTTTTTTTTTTATTGTATTGGTATTGTTACTGAATTTTTATCATTGGGTCTGTACTTTTTTGGTTGTGAACCCATTACATGTTTTTGTTAAACAGAAACTCCAATACCTACCACAGGTGCTTTATTTTAATCTCTTAGGAATTTACTGTGATGATTGGTATCATATTGGCAGCAACAGACAGCTGGATTGCTATTATTGCAACCGAATAAATAAAAAATATATATATTTGTTGAAATGTTTTCTGATGAAAGAAAAAGCAGAGGGAAAAGCTATGGCGTAAATCCCAATCCTCTGAAGGAGCAAATGGTATCTGATTCCAGTTTCTGTCTATATTAGAACCACTTTCCACTCTTAGTATTGCCAATACCCCAAAAAAACTAGACGGTTCCTTAGTTTAAGGAGAAGAGCAAAGCTCATCTTTTATTCTGAATTCAGCATCCGATCTTCCAACTTCTGCTGGTTGATATGGTGAGAAATGCTAAATAACTTTCTTTCTCTCATTCCAATAATATACATATAGTGTTTACATTTCCCTGGTATTTTGTTCAGTTCTTAGATTTTGAACATGTAGTTGACTTCCATAATTTACATGCATGTATAGGATAGTGGCAAGGATCAGGCCAGTAAGAAAAAAATGAGTGTGGTCGTAGGACCATGGGGAGGAAATGGTGGAGATGCTTGGGACGATGGAGCCTATCATGGGGTTAGAGAAATCACTCTTGTTTACGACCGTTGCATTGACTCCATGAGAGTGATTTATGATAGGAATGGAAAGCCTGTAACAGCTGAAAAACATGGAGGTGTAGGAGGAACCAAAACGGCTGAGGTTAGCTCAATATCTCTATTCTTAACCTTTTTTTTTTTTCCTGTTTTGATGTGTTCCAATCATACTCAAATTCCATTGCTTGGTTTACTTTCCAGATTAAGCTAAAATTTCCAGAAGAATTCTTGACCAGTGTAAGTGGTCATTATTGTTCAGTGGTTCATGGCGGTAGCCCTGTGATTCGATCACTCACCTTAAAGAGTAACCAAAGAACGTTTGGTCCATATGGAGTTGAAGAAGGAACTCCCTTCACCTTCTCCGTGGAGGGAGGGCGAATCGCGGGTTTCAATGGAAGAAGCGGATGGTATCTTGATTCAATCGGATTTCGTTTATCTCGTGTTCAATCCCCGAAACTCTTTCAGAAGGTGCAGAAAGGGTTTCGAAGGCTTACCAGTAGTGTCACAAAATCCTCTGCCAAGGAGAAATAGTCTAAAGGCTCCTTTCATACATGGAGGGGCAAAGTTCATCACTAAAAAATGAAACTATAGCTGCAAGCGCCCAAGAGTTGAAATCATACAAGCTTGTTTTTTATATATTGTGAAATTTTGTTATCTTTGGTATGGTATTTGATGTTAGTAATGAGTTGGATTAGTTTTTTTAACTTGTGTTTTCATGAAAACGAGCAAAGAACGATAAAGGATCCTAACTCTCTAACCATACACCCTTCAAGTTAAGACTGGAAAGGAGGGAGATCAGTTTCATCGACTTTGGCAAATGAAGAAGAGTAACATCACTAAGTGGATGTCCCATATTCCATATTCACAGAACCAAGTTCGTGGAATCAGTACTCTTTAATGGAAGTCCCACATTTGAATATTATGATACCATTTCTCTCCTTCACTAAATCAAATTTGGCTACCTCACACTGGATAATTCTTTTTTTGAAGAAAGTTAAAGCACAAGAAATATCTCCCCCCCCCCCCCCCAAAAAAAAAAAAAAAGTGAAAAATAACTAGTCGACAGGTTACAACTTACAAGACAAGATAATATTGGGAGAAAGCTTAAATGGAAACTACTTGCCAACTAATCTGAGAAACGTCCTTGATAATAATCAGATCAAGAATTTGAGATTCAATTCAATCTTTGTTAAAAGTTTTTTAAAGGTGAAGCTAGCCAAAATTCTCACTCCCTGCCTGCTGCCATCCCTTCTCAAAGGTATTTGCACTTCTTTTTTTTTTTGGAAGGTGGGTGGGGTAGAAAGGAAAGATGGACATAGGAAAAGAGTTGAAAAAATCTTTTATTGTTTCATAAGTAAAAGCAAAATGGAAGTGAAGAAAAGTAATAAAACAATCATTTTTATAATTTACCTTCTCTTTTTTTTTCTTCTATTTTTCCATCTCATATGCTTTTTTGAGTAAAAAAAAAAATAAGTTTCACATATGTCCTTTATTTGTCCCCGCCCCCAATTTTTCCTCCATCCTACCAAATTAGCGATCATTCCTTTCCTCTAGTTTGCAACAGCTGGGATATGCTGTTGGTCAAACTCGACATAACTTCAATTTGATACTCGTTCATCATGTTGGATTAGTTCTCCAGTTATCCCCTAACATTCCCTCTCAAAGGAAGTTGTAAGCAGTGGAAGAGATAAGCTGCTATGACAAAGCTGCAAAGGTGACACTTCCTCAACAGAGTTGCAGCGCTGCTTCTCATGAACTACACACGTTAACTGCATGTCTATCTAAACATATACAGGTCAATTTCAGTGATCTACCTACAACTATCAAGCTACTTACTAAAAACCAAAGTGTCTCTTTTCAAATTCTCTTTCCTCAGGTCACATTTTGCCAAAAAAAAAACCTTAAGAGGGAAGATCTTAAATTGATGCCAATAAACATCAGCATAACACTAGAGACCACATTTCTACATTAAGCAAAAACATATTAGATGAAAGACAATCAGCCAACCAAATAATGGTGATCCTAAATGCTTATGTTCAACAGCATTTACCTAATCCATTCACTTGGTTGAACCACTTATCAACCCTCACAAGCATAAATACCTTCTTTAACCATAGGATTAAGCTCAAACATCATGATCTCAAACATTGACAACAACACCAACCTGGCAACCTCTCTACCAATGCATTCACAGAGACCCAATCATCCTACATACCACATTCTTACAGGGATTTTGGAGAAAATTTACGGTTAAAATTCACACTAAAGGCATCAGCTCATTTAAATGAAACACACACGTCATATAACGTCAGAAAGTAAAACCCAATTCAATCAAATTTATACATAGAATAAGATCTTCAAGCAGCAGTTATAATCCCAAATATCATAGTGTTATTATATATCACAAGCTCATTCAAATGGATTCCACCATTTTCTTAACCTCTAGCCTTAAGCTCTGCAAGCCGCCTTGACAAGTCGTCCTCATCAACCTTCTCCTGTGTCTTGGTTGAGACAGCATGAGATGCTGGCTGCGGTAACCCGACAGAGACCTCCAACCCATAATCATCAGCCACTTGCTGCATCAAGCTGTTGACCTCACCCTCTGGTGTGGACAATGAAGTAGAGCCAGCCATAGCACTCTCCATAAATTCTGCCTGGACCTCCATGTTCACAAACTGCTTCTCGAATTGATCCATTGTCTCTGACATTTTCTGCAGATTGCCTGCAACATAAAAAGAAAAAAAATCCCCTCAAATTTGACCATGTTCACATCCAAATTAATTTACAGTATAGGGAAAAAACAATACAATAAAAATTACAAAAACAAATGAAAGAATTTTACTTTAAGCTAACACCTCCACAATATTTTTACTTTGGGATAATTTACCCTAAAATTCCCCCCAAAAAAAATTTTTTTTTTGGTTCTCCTTCAATTCAACACTAAACTTTCCTAGTTATTAATTCCCCCTAAAAATTATTAGCATTCCCAATAGCCACCAAAAAGAGAGAGGAAAAAGGATTTAAAAAGTAATATTTTTACGGAGAAATTACCCGTGGCCAAGGAAGATTCCAGTGACTTGACGATATTGGCCATGGACTTGTTGATGGTGGTCATCTTAGCCTGGGTATCGAGCCTGGCAACCACAGCATCGAGTCGCGAGGCGAGCCGGAGGTAGTTCATCTGCTCAGTACGCTTGCGAATAGCATTCTCGGCATAGATCCGAGCTCCATCCATATTACCTTTCTCGATCGCCTTCTTCACCTTCAATTTCTCGGATTTCTCGTCCTTTTCGCACTTCCTCGCCTGGCGTTGGAGCGATTTGGACGTGAACTTCAGGTCCATGATCTGGTTCAAGAGCTTCTCGGTGTTTCCCATGGCTGGATTCTTTGTTTATTTGCAGAGAAAGACTAGATTTTGAGAGGAATTTGAAGAAACTAGGGAAGAAGTTTGGGGTTTTTTTTGTGTGTGCGTGTGTTTTGCTCTTGTATGAGATCTTGATTTTTGGGACGGTTCAGGGAAGATGCGACGAAAGTGGAAAGGCAGCAGCATAAATGGGTAGGCCCAACATTATAGACAATTTTTAGGCCTTAAATTACAGAGGTTTCCTTTTTCTTCCTAAATAAGAAATTAAAAAAAAATTGTGTAATCACAATTCATAATATAATTCAGTTTTTTATATATTTTTCATAATTGTTTTATTTTCATTTTTTTAAAAAAATGGATGCTACAATAGGCTGATTAATGCCAAAAATGGGTTGCTGCTCTTCATGTTTTCGTTTTATCTTGAAGAACTACATTTTCTCTCCTAGCTCTTATTTTATTTTATTTTATAAAGAATATAGGTTTTAAATTTTAAATTATTGCCATAATTATATATAGGTATATTATATTACAAGTTACAAAATTACCAATATGTTTACTGTACATTTATGTGAATAAGTTATTTTCATGACACGTAAAATAATTTTAATTTTTAATTATTTATTGAATAATTTTATTCAATTATTAAAATATTTCAAATTTTAAAAATTTTGACTTATTCAAATCTTTGAGTACTCTCATTAGTAGTTTGCATGTGTTTATGGTACTTTATCAGTTTGATCAAGGTGTGATAAGTAGATGCAAAATGCGTAAGTAATTTGCATGCATGGGTGGAGTTGATAATGAGGTCAAATAGTTTGAGACGAGTTTTTTAAGGTTGTCTTTTCTCATAAAACTTGTTGTTCATTTATAGATAAGATATGCTACTATCATTTTAGCTAATATTATTGTCAAATGAAGCAAACCCTGCTTCCTGGAAACTTCCATAATCCAAACGCCACAAGCTGCTGCAACAAACAGGCTTTTTCCTAAGGTCTATTTCCTATCACTTGGAATATGCAAAACCTCCTTAATTGGCTTGTATGTTCAAAATGACAGAACACGGAACAAGAAACTCATCCTGTACATATAGAAGATTTCCCAACTCTCTTCTAATCTAAACTTTTAAATGCAACAGTATATATTTATTAGGTATTCTAATAAATGCTGTGTGAAACTATATCAATGAATGAGGGAATATGTATAATCCAACACGCATTACTGCTGAAGTGCTGCTATTAATGCCTGTTATTCCAAAAACTATGCTGCCAGGAGAATGATAATAATAAATAAATTTTAGCATACGGCTTTCATCCTCATAACTCCACATATTCCACAACTATTCACCACCTGAAAATGGATTGGAAAATCGGCTTTGTGATGTAAGTATTTTCTGTTTACAAAAACCAAGAACTGAAAAATGCAAAGAGGATCGTGCCCCCATGGTGGCATGATCATTACTCATTGCCTTTACAGGATTACACACATCAGACCGGCCTCACCAAAAAGGCATGGGTTGGCAACAAAAAAACAAAATCAAAAGTGCCAAGTCACATATGGGCGTTTCACTCTCGTATTAACCGTCCTGTGTGTTTCTCTTTCACCTTAACCTCTCCCCCGATACCCGACTTTTCAGACACTTGTGCATAGATTCGTTTATAGATTTTACGCATGTAGTTTTCTTCTATGTACTTCTAATTGTAGTCCTTTGGCATTTTTATAGAAGCTCCTTGCTTTATTTAGCCTTGGAGAGTTGAGAGGAGAGCCTCCCCCACACCCCAGCTGGCTATATTTATTAGGCTAAACAGTGAAACAGGGACCTATTGAGGCCCATGTCCCATTTTGATGGAAATTTATGTCCTTTGAATGTGCATTAATCTTTGTTTGATCCCAAACACAGAAAACCCATTAAGCTGTTGGCTTAAAAAGTAAACACCTTTTTCTCTCCAAAAGATTTAGAAACCGAAGCTGACACTGAAAATTACCTATTTTTGTCATTAGTGCAGAGTTATTTTCAAATTCATTTTGATGGCAAAAATGGATGTCAAACAAGTTTTTATTACTAACTGATTTGAAAGAAGCCACTGCTCCACGACATTGGTTCTTTTAAGCTACAGGGTACTAGATTCAGGTGCTTCTTCTCTTTCCTTGGTGCGTTTTTTGGGTCAATTTGGGCTCTGGAAAATGAATGGGGTTGGAGAAGACCAAATTGTTTACGAGATTGCTGTGGTGGTTCCAAAAAGGAACCTGAAGGAAGAAAATAAGGGTTATGATTGTGTTGAGGTTCTTGTAAATGAGTTAATGGATGTGGGTTTGCTTGTTGAGAGAGTTCATGGCCTTTCAGATGAGTTTATCAAGGTTTGATTTTTCTTTTTTTCCTTCAAATTTGAACATTCTCCGCATTGTTCTGAGAGATCGTTTTTTGTCCCTTTTCTTATAGTATTTTTCTTTCAGTATATTAATTAATTGTTTGTTTTGCCATATGCTGGTTGTTACAGTAAATCTGCAATAACAATATTAGTTAAAGATGTACTCTTTTCCCTTTTGGCTCCTCCTTAGAGATTTTGTGTCTGTGTTGAATATGCAAATATGGTAATTTACATGCTTATTAACAAATTTATATGGTGCAATTGTGGTTGTTTTTTTTATGATATTCTGTTGCATACTAGTTAATGGCAATGGGTTCCTTCAGGGAAAGGCAATTTCTAGTCTTAATTACTTGAGTGTTCCTTGTTAGAAAATGTGAAGGCATTTGTTTGATGACTTCTCTCCAGCCCTCCTATTTTTCTTCCTAAGACATAAAAGAATTTTATTAGCAAATTTGCCTCTAGAGCTGAATTAAACGTGTTATTTACAATATAGAATGTTAATTGGAAATTTGAATTCATTGCCTATTCTGCTTTATTGCTCAATTTATGTTGTTTTCCTGAAGTCATGCTTGAGTCTGTTTTTGTAGTTTCCTTTCTTTTGAGTGGTTTGGATGTAAAGTTAATCTTGAGTTAAGTTGCTCAGTAACTATCCTTCTTTCAGCTGGCAGCACCGTTAGAGACTTTGGGAAAGGCTGCAGCCAAGCTGCAGATGAAGAAGCCCACTCATATTGGTAGTAAATATTTCGCTTTGATATTGATGGTTGTCTCGTTTCTTTTACTTACCATCATTTTAGTATCTACTTGCTTTGATGAAAATTGCTAATAAAGCACTTCACTTTAGGAATTGATTTACAATTTGAGTGGGAAGAGGTTGAAGCCTTTGTGCGGCAGGCTGATGGCTCATTGTTTAGTTGGTGTGAGCGTTTCCAGTGCTACCGTCACTTGATATATGAAACTGTGAGTTCTTAATGTACTCCATCTTACTTATTCTCTCTTTCTAATTTAACATTACTTCTTTATGAGACATCAAGCCTAAATTTAGAGGTCTTGCATGAGGCTGTAAAAATAAATTGGCTTCTTTATCTTTTGGCAGCTCTTTTTATGTTTAACTCAAGTGGTTGATATCAGTAGTTAATTTTATGGAGTCAAATTAAAATTCAAATGCATATTTCCTGAATGAGATGTAATATCTATTGAATTTTATGGTGTTTTACTCAACTATCAGCTCATGTTTGTTCTCTATATAGTAAAAAACGAGCACTGGTTGGCCATTTTTCCATATATTAGTTGTTTTCAATGGTTGGTATATTTGATCTGATCAATTAGGATTTCTCCTGTTTTGACGTTCTCTATATAGTTAAAAATGTTCACATATACAAGGAAGTATTGCCCTGTTGTGTATGTAAACAAATCTTTGGATCTGTAGTGTGTATGTATGCTGCGTCCACTTAAAGATTTTGAATTTCATGCTTCAGAAGACCAGTAATCATATAGAAATTTTACAGGTTAATAAGAATAATTCAGACGTAACTTTAAAATTTGATGGCAAAGAGATCCAATGGGAAGCTGGGGAATCATTACTGCTGAGGTTGGAATTGGAAGGAATTGTTAAACAAGTTTTCCCTTTACATGGTATGCTTAGTTACATTTATTAGCTAATTACCAGCAGTTCTCATGTTCTTGAAGCCCTGAAGTAAGATAAATGCTGTCTATAGATGAAACAAAGAGGAAGAAGCTACTGAGGAGTTGGGCATTGAATTGTTGGGACTTCACAAGTCAACCACTTGATGAGATTTATGCGTATTTTGGGACAAAGGTGATTATAACTTCATAGCTATCAAAATTTTGCAGATCACAATTGCAGTGCTTAGTCAATTGCTTAATCAAGGAATTTGTGAATGTTAGATTGCGGTTTATTTTGCTTTCCTTGGAATGTATACACGTTGGATGCTATTTCCAGCTGCATTTGGGCTTATCTTGCAGTTGATTGATTTTGGGTAAACCTCACCGTTTCTTTCTTCTTGGAAGATATTTTTGCCTTCTCAGTTGTTGAATTGCTTTATCCTTCATTTAATTTGATTGCCTGGGCTTAATGATTTATCCAGATCGTTACAATTACTAGTGCTTCCTGCATTCTTCATAAGCATAGTATTGTGGGCTGTGTTGTTTTTCCAGTTCTGGAAACGTAAAAACTCTGCACTTTCAGCCAGGTAAATTGATTTCATATAACTAGAAGGCCATCTTTCCGAATATGAGGCTTGTTTCCTTAGCTTTTCTGATTTAGTTTCTTTCTCTCTCTCTCTTTGTGGGTGGTGTAGGTGGCATCTTAATTTTTCTGTCAGCACAAGCCAAGGATACAAATCATTGGGGAGGGAGTGGAGCTCCATACAGTCTCCCATGGAACTTATAAAAAATTTGGAAATTGATAAAACGAAAGAGAAAGAAGCATTTCAAAGATATGAATGGTTTGGTTATCTCAAGCGATTCAGAAACGATGCTTTTGTCATTTTGAGTATCATCTGCCTTCAATTGCCATTTGAGTTGGCTTATGCTCATCTCTATGAGGTCATCAAGTCTGATATTGTGAAGTAAGATCCTGCATCTCTCTTTTTTTTTTTTTTACCTTGAATTAAATATGATTATGCCTGATTAGTAACTTATGTTAATTTATTTTCCTTGGCGGCTACTACAATCCATGTTATGAAAGTTCTTTTGTTTTTATCCTATTTAAATTGCAAAGTGTTTTACTTTATGTGTGTCATGCTTTTGGTTTCAGGTTCGGGTTAACTGCAGTTTATCTTCTTGTAATTCAGTACTTCACAAAGATTGGGGGGAAGATATCAATCAGGCTTATTAAGTATGAAAACAATGACAATACTGAATATCGGGCTGACAGCTTGGTCTACAAAGTATTATTAGAAAGTGGTTTGTCATTCAGTTTTCCTTTCTCTTGTTAAGATTTTATTTGAAGGATTCAATTTATATTTCAGGTGTTTGGTCTTTATTTTATGCAATCATATATCGGGGTTTTCTATCATGCCCTTTTACATCGCAACTTTATGACCCTTCGCCAAGTGTTGATCCAGCGTCTGATACTTTCTGAGGTAAAGATAATTAAGTTTCATTACTTTGTGCTAATACCTTACTACTTCTTGTACTCATGCTTTTGAACTGTAAAATGCTATTTAGGTGTTGGAAAATCTGTTGGAAAATTCTTTGCCATATCTGAAGTACAGCTATAAGAAATATAGAGCTGTTAGGTAAGATTTCCAAATTCTGTGTTTTTGATCTACTTAGCATACGGTACAGCTTAAGTTTACATTTCATTCTAATGCATCTCTTTTGTCAAGAAACAAGAAAAATCGTGAGAAAGGTTCAACTGGGAAGATCCAATTCACTTCCAGGGTGGAGAAAGAGTACCTGAAACCCAAATATTCTGCAAGCATTTGTGAGGAACTGGAAGATGGGCTGTTTGATGGTAATGTGCCCAATATGGAGTAAACTAATTGGTCTGTCAGAAAGTTGTTAAGATAAACTATTCCGTTATTTTCCTTTAAATTACTTTACTTTATTTAGCTCTATTTCCTGCCTAGAATAACATATAAGTGTGTGTTTGTGCTTAGATATATTTGGCCTGGGAAAAGATTTAATGATAATCATAAATTTCAATGAACTTTAGTACTGATTTGCTGTTAGATGTATAAAGACATTCTGTTTTACTTTGATTATAAAACACTACCTCAAACTTACAAAAATAGTTTTTCCTTCTGCTTGATGAAATTTGAAACCATTTGCAGATTTTCTGGAGTTGGCACTGCAGTTTGGAATGATCATGATGTTTGCCTGTGCGTTTCCCCTTGCATTTACCTTCTCTGCCTTGGTACATAATGCTTTAAATGGTGCTTTCACTTTGCAGTTATGATTTGATGTTGATTTCAGTTTTAATAATGTAAACTAAACTTGATAGTTTGATGCATAGAACAACATTGCAGAAATTAAAACAGATGCACTGAAGCTGCTTGCCATGTTGAAAAGACCCGTTCCACGGGCTGCTGCTACAATTGGAGCTTGGCTAAACATTTTTCAGGTATTTTTACGATAAAAATGTATGGTGTCAATCCGATGTTTGCCATCACAAAAAACAAATGTCTTGACTAAGAGAACCACTTTGCTTTAATTCTACTTGCTTTCAAACTGATTTTAGTGAGCCTTACTTGAGCATTTAGTAATTCCTGTTTGTAGCCAAGTCAAAGCAGGGGAATAGTTCTGGAGCCCAGACTTTCATAATTGGGTGGTCCAGTTAAAATTTTTCTGTTACTAAGTGGCTGCTTTCTGCATCTTTTATCATATCCTGAATACTTAAGTAGATACAGAGCATAGCAGTCCTAGTGTCATGGTCAGGCCTTGGTCCTGCCATGACTGACCCTGAACCGAGCAGCGGTCGAGACCGAGCTGGCGGGAAAGCGGTTCTAAGGAATGGGGGCGTGCATTCGGAGCTTTGGAACATGATGCTAACATGTTGTGGGGGCAATGGGAGCCCTGGGCCGCAAGATACGCGGGGAAGTTCGGGACAATGGTCGAACACCCTCAAGCCAAGTAGCCTGGCGGGTGCCATTTGTGGAAGCAGTGTGCGGGCGTTCCGAGCATGGGAATAGGTTGGGGACATTGTGTGTGGACGGTCCATGTCTTAAACCCCGAGATATGCAGGTAAGTATAAGGTAGTACGCCGGTGCCCTGGGACCAGCTAGCCAGTCAGGTGCTGTCGGTCTAAGCCATGTGCGGGCACCTTCGAGTGGGTTGGTGGAGCAACGAGCAGAATCAAGGAGCAATGGTGACCAAGAGGAAGGTTACGGGGCCCTGAGTTAGCTGGAGAAAGGCCCTGAGATGGCTGGGCAGAAAAGTGTCCCCATTTCAAACATTCTTACGGTCACTGGTAGCAGATTGGGAAAATCTCTAACGCTCTTTATAGGGGGACGACTGGTGTCAGCTCTCCACCACCCCCTTGGCTAGCGGGCAGGCGGGGGCCTGGCTAGTCTGAAGTAAGCTACTCCTAGTCACTGCTGGTGGCTAGGTGAGCGGGCATCGTAGGGTCACGAGCGTGGCACGATGTTTCCTCGGGTCACGGTAAACCCGGGGGCGGTTGGGGCCGGCGGGCCTCGTATCGCGCCTTTGCGTTGAACCATGGGGTTAGATGGTAGAGGTCGTTAGGCCCCTCGGTTCCCCTCCTGGAGCCGGAAGGATCATGCAATGGTGTTTATGTAGGAGGGATGCCATCGAGCCAAAGGGATGTGCGGGCTAGCAGACAGGCATGCTGCTAGACCCCTGTGGCTAGTCAGGAGAGGTGTGCTGCTGCTGAGGCAGCCCACCCAAGTCCCCTTGCGGGACTAGCATGATGGTTGGTGTCAACTATGCGTGTGGGCGGCTGGTGTGCTGCAGCTGCGGCAGTCCACCCAAGTCCCCTTGCGGGACTAGCATGATGTTGGGTGTCAATCATGCGTGCGGGCGGCCGATATTGATGCTAAGGGCCTAAGCCCTAAGAACCGATTCCCGTGGGACGAGATGAGCCTAGAGGCTCCGAGCTGGCTGCCGACCAGCTTAAATGTGGTGCTTGCGTAAACTCGATACGGCAGCTTGCGTACGATACGAGCGGGCGTGGTGTTGGGTTCTCACCATGTTAAAAGGTAATAATATCATGAGAATCGGGACTGTGTGTCCCTACGTGCATACAAGGATTGTGCTCGAGATACCAAGCCTTGCGGACAGAGCTGGGTGCTCGGGGTTACGTTAAGAATCGAGGGTTGTGTGCCCCTCTGGGGATTCGAGGGTCCGTGCTCAAGTCCCTAAGCCCTCCACTTGAAGAATTGCGGGCTGATGCGTGATGAGAGTTGGGTTCCTCTCTATAGAGTTCGAAATGAGCGATCTTATGGGGTCAAAGCCAGGGAAGGCTCGTGGGCATGCGGCTTGAAGGACCGGAATTGGTCTGTCCGCGGAAAAATGGACATGATAGAAGGCTGACCTTGACTAGGATTAGTCTTAGTGCCGCACAGACGCGTGGTTTTAGAAGTAGGAACGCGCGGATTGTGACATTTTGGTATCAGAGACTAGGTTGGCTCAGTGGCGAGAGTTACATGACCCCATGTGTGGGTCTAGCGATGCGAAATCGAGGTGGTGCTAAGCTCAAATGGAGCTATGAGATGCAAATGTGGGTTATGTGCTGATAGGGGCTCAAAAAGAGCCAACGATGCGTGCTGCGGGAAATATTGGGCCTATGTAAAAAGGCCTTCGAGTAGGCTCTTGGATGCCAAGCAAAAAGGCACCGGAGTCTAGCCTCACCTACAAAAAGGTGTTGGCATATGTTGGGGCATGTGATGCCTTCACGGTGGGAAGGAACCGTAGTGAGACCACGTTGCGAAAAGGGGCTTACACCATGAAATGGTGTTGCGTAAGGCCATGTGGGCCAAGTGAATCTTGTCCTGAGGGGCAGGAGGTATCAAGTTTCAAAATTAATCACTAATGTGTGCACTTGCTGCATGGTGCAGGTGCCCCAGCGGGGGTGCAAGCCGAAGTATTCGGGTCCAAGCATGAAGCTATTACACAGAAGAGTATGGAGTGGCTAGAGAGCAAAGCCACAAGCGAGATTGTCAGTGGACCATGAGCTGCATTGGTCAGTGGACCAGGAATTCTCGTGGTCAGAGGATCACGAGAGTGTGTGAATCGGTGAACCGAGTCTGTGTTGGCCGATAAGAAAGGCTTCACATGAGCTGTGGTGGTCAGTGGGCCACAACAGGGTGTAATCTGGTGAAACCAGCAAAAGGAAATGGCCAGTTGACAAGGCCTCAGACGTGTAGGCCAGTGGACCTTGAGGATTGAGCGGGTGAATCCCCGAGCCGAGCAAATCAGTGGACTAGGCGTTTTGTCGGATCAATGGATCTTCGAGTATGTGCGGATTTTGAGATATCATAGGAGCTATGCTAGAGTCAAGGCAGACAAGGAGTAGATCCATGGAGAAGACATGATTGCGCATAATGCTGCGTCGAGTTTCGAGTAAAAGTGGGGGAGACCTGTCAATTCCCCGTGAGACTGAGCCAAGACAAAGGAGCTTGAGTGATGGAGCTTAGTGTTCGAGCTAGGAGCAAAGACCGAGTTAGTGCGTTTTAAGGTGCCGTCTTGGGGGCGGTTGGTCTGAGGGCCACACCTAGAGAGGTGACCTTGGAGGGGCCGAGAGGACCCAAGTTGGGAGATGACCAAAGTGCTTGAATGCCACTATGTTAGGGTCTATCATGTGGGGTGCTGTATGAGTGCGGTTGACCTAAGCATCATGTCCAGAGGGGCGCATCAGTGGGTTGATGCTGCAAGCTTGCAGTTGGTGTGAGGGGTCACGTCCGGTGGGACGCACCAAGTGAGTGGCAGAGCGGGTGGTCATTCATTCTACTGAGGGTCATTGATCAATGAGGGCACCTCGAGGTCGCAACCTGATAATGACCGAGGGATGAAGCCATGGTATGGCCCATATGATTACAACCAAGATAGGTTAGGCGGTTCGAGCTGCAACAAAGCTGAGCAGCAATGGGATCAATCTACATCAACAATGGACGAGTACTGTGGGCGGTGCCTCATGTGACGGGACCTCGACCCAATCCTTGAGGGCACAAGTGAGAGACATATGAGTAAGTGTCAGCTGTGTGCAACAAGATAGATGGGTGTGGTCTTGGCGTCGATGAGGGCATCGACATAGTAAGTGAGGGAGAGTGTCATGGTCAGGCCTTGGTCCTGCCATGACTGACCCTGAATCAAGCAGCGGTCGAGACTGAGCTGGCGGGAAAGCAGTTCTAAGGAATGGGGGCGTGCATTCGGAGCTTTGGAACATGATGCTAACATGTTGTGGGGGCAATGGGAGCCCTGGGCGGCAAGATACGCGGGGAAGTTCGGGACAGTGGTCGGACACCCTCAAGCCAAGTAGCCTGGCGGGTGCCATCTGTGGAAGCAGTGTGCGGGCGTTCCGAGCATGGGAATAGGTTGGGGACATTGTGTGTGGACGGTCCATGTCCTAAACCCCGAGATATGCAGGTAAGTATAAGGCAGTACGTCGGTGCCCTGGGACCAGCTAGCCTGTCAGGTGCTATCGGTCTAAGCCATGTGCGGGCACCTTCGAGTGGGTTGGTGGAGCAACGAGCAGAATCAAGGAGCAATGGTGACCAAGAGGAAGGTTACGGGGCCCTGAGTTAGCTGGAGAAAGGCCCTGAGATGGCTGGGCAGAAAAGTGTCCCCATTTCAGACATTCTTACGGTCACTGGTAGCAGATTGAGAAAATCTCTAACGCTCTTTATAGGGGGACGACTGGTGTCAGCTCTCCACCACCCCCTTGGCTAGCGGGCAGGCGGGGACCTGGCTAGTTTGAAGTGAGCTACTCTTAGACACTGCTGGTGGCTAGGCTAGTTTGAAGTGAGCTACTCCTAGTCACTGCTGGTGGCTAGGTGAGCGAGCATCGTAGGTTCACGAGCGTGGCACGATGTTTCCTCGGGTCACGGTAAACCCGGGGGCGGTTGGGGCCGGTGGGCCTTGTATCGCGCCTTTGCGTTGAACCATGGGGTTAGATGGTAGAGATCGTTAGGCCCCTCGGTTTCCCCTCCTGGAGCCGGAAGGATCATGCAATGGTGTTTATGTAGGAGGGATGCCATCGAGCCAAAGAGATGTGCGGGCTAGCAAACAGTCATGCTGCTAGACCCCTGTGGCTAGTCAGGAGAGGTGTGCTGCTGCTGGGGCAGCCCACCCAAATCCCCTTGCGGGACTAGCATGATGGTTGGTGTCAACTATGCGTGCGGGCGGCTGGTGTGCTGCAGCTGGGGCAGTCCACCCAAGTCCCCTTGTGGGACTAGCATGATGTTGGGTGTCAATCATGCGTGCGGGCGGCCGATACTGATGCTAAGGGCCTAAGCCTTAAGAACCGAGTCTTGTGGGATGAGATGAGCCTAGAGGCTCTGAGCTGGCTGCCGACCAGTTTAAATGTGGTGCTTGCGTAAACTCGATACGGGAGCTTGCGTATGATACGAGCGGGCGTGGTGTTGGGTTCTCACCATGTTAAGAGGTAACAATATCATGAGAACTGGGACTGTGTGTCCCTATGGGCATACAAGGATCGGTGTTTGAGATACCAAGCCTTGCGGGCAGAGCTGGGTGCTCGGGGCTACGTTAAGAATCGAGGGTTGTGTGCCCCTCTGGGGATTCGAGGGTCCGTGCTCGAGTCCTTAAGCCCTCCACTTGAAGAATTGCGGGCTGATGCGTGATGAGAGTTGGGTTCCTCTCTATAGAGTTCGGAATGAGCAACCCTACGGGGTCAAAGCCAGGGAAGGCTCGTGGGCATGCGGCTTGAAGGACTGGAATTGGTCTGTCCGCGGAAAAATGGACACGATAGAAGGCTGACCTTGACTAGGATTAGTCTTGGTGTCGCACGGACGCGTGCTTTCAGAAGTAGGAACGCGCGGATCGTGACACCTAGCCTGGGAATTGTGACTTTGATCAGAAACTACACTGGAAGCATGCTTCACTTGTGGGTAATTTGTGATCTGTTTTCTTTTTGTACCCTAGCTCATTAAAAAAGAGCAAGAATATTGTATCTACAGCAAATACCAATTATGGGTAAGGAATGGTATTTCCATATGTATATATGATCTATGAACATTAAGAAATTTATCTCTGCACACTTCTAGAATAAGTGATGCAATCCAAAATTTTAACTAGGATTATAGATCTGGTTCTATTTTTGGGCATTCCAAAGATGTTTTCTCAATCTTCACCGACTGTTCACCTATATTCTTTTCACTCTTCAACGCATTCCATGGTATTTACTGATATGTTGACTTTGAATTTCAGTTCCTAATACTGATGTCAATATGCACCAATTCTGCACTTTTAGTATGGCTATACGATCAGGAAGGGAAATGGAAAATAGAGCCTGGCCTTGCAGCAATTCTCGTCATGGAACATGTTCTGCTGTTGATTAAATTTTGGTTCTCTCGCTTTGTTCCTGAGGTTTCTTCTCTTACTCTACCACGGATTAATTTGTTTACCTATTCTTTTAAAAGCTAAACACAGTGATTTGAAAAAGTATGAGAGTAAAAGAAGCATTGACCTCTCTTTCATGACAGGAACCTGCTTGGGTGAGAGTAAATCGGATGAAGAATGCAACACAAGCACACGACATGTGCTCTAAACAGCTTTTGAGGAGCATATCTGGGGGAGAAAGGGCGTCTGGGGGATTAATTCCAAGAAAGACAGCTGATGGAACAAATAAAACAGAGTAATGTAGAAACCCACCAGACTGGTGTATCCTCAAACTCATTTGCCTTAAGTAGTGAACAAGATTAACAGGTTGATGGTTCTACCAATCATCAAACCTAGCTTAGTTACAAATTTTGCAAACCACCCAAATATGTATAGGTTTTCTTTTCCCCTTTTTTTTTCTTTTTGTAAATTCAAGTAATACTTTATCATGGATTGTTTGCAACTGTGTTTATTTTTAATTATGTAGTGGTTGGTGTAAAGAATTTTGCAAACAGAGAAATCTCAAATCGTTCTTTTGTTTTTCTTTTCACATCTATAAGTATTTTCTTGGCAGATTTCTTTTAACCTTTTTTTTTTTTTGGATAATCATTCCCAAAATAATCTGTCCAAAGGTATCTTTCAAACGAATAACAGGAAGATATTGTGTCGATTGCACTTTAATCACCTCCATAAGAAAAGATCTCACCCACTCTTTGATGCGAATGAGGAACCCTGCTTGCTTTTTCCACGCTTTACTTGTGTGCCATTAAAGCATTGGCTCAAGTTTCTCTCATGAGCATTACCATGCGCTGCAAGAAATTCGCTGAATATCTCCATTATGTATTATTATTTTTTGGGTACATCATTTCTCAATGAATTCTAACAAAACAAACAAAATGCTTCCAGTAAAATAATAAAAAATTAACAATCAAAAGAATATACGTAAGAATGCAGATTTGGAGGAGTCAAAGACAGCAATTCCTGTCAAACAAAAACTATATACAAAGGCAAACATGTCCGAAGCTGTTCATCTCCTTTGAAATTTGACCTTTTCTAGAAGTTATCCCACCCAGTTGAACTTTAGATCACTAATAGATTTGTTCCCATCTTTGCTTCGATGTCATCAGCCAGCTCTCATCATCTCAGGACTCAGATGTACAATTTTCAGCCTTAAATAGAATGAATTCCAACCAGGAAAAAACCCTCAACATCTCAATCTACAACAATCAATAACACCAACGTCAAGTCCTTCAAAACTAGCTATAGCTATGCATGAGATGAGCTTCTAGAGCTCCCATATCGATCACTCTTCCTGGAGCTCCCAAAACGATCACTAACTTGACGAGCATATGCCACAACAGCCTTAGCCCATCTCTTGATCTCAGCCTTGAACTTGTTAGAATCAAGGTCGTTTAATGATGACACCGGTTCCATTGAAACCTCCATGAAGGAGAAACATCGGTTAAAGCTTCTGCGCTTTTTGTTACTACCAGTAACGTAGCTCTTAACAGCTTCGTCGCCGTTGTCGAGAGCAACAGTTTTCTTGACAGACATGGTTATATATGTCCTATAAGGACCAAAAGATAATGTCGGAAATGGTTGCTCAAATGACATTCCTGAAACGTATTTATATGGTCGGGGTATTAAACTTTGATAAGTAACACGGTTGTTCAGAACGTGCGGCAAAATAATTCCATTGACTTGACTTTTCAACGTTCTGCAGTTAGATTCCTGTAAAACTTTGGTCTATCCCATCTGGTGTAGCTTTTAACATGGATGAAACAGTAAATTTATCCTAATTAGTAGAAAACATTTTAATTTTAAAAAAATTCTAGCATTTTCATGTGGAAAAAAATCCATATACGAAATTCTAACTCTTAAAATTTTCAGCTTAAGCATTGCTTGAATAATTTATGTACTAAATTGTTACCTCCATGAATTAAATTTTGGTTGTAGATTAAAAATAACTTTGTGAAAAATATACGTATTAAATTGATATTATCTCAGATCGGTTAAATCTAAATTTTTTATAATATTATATTCAATTTCAATCTTTATATTTATAATCAATTAATTTTAAATTAAATATTTAACATAATATCTAAACTTAGGTTATGTTTAATGTTTTTCTTGACTTATACTCGTATTAAGTTGTCACGAGTTGTCTAACTTATGTATGATTCTTGAAATAATTTCATCTATACGTGATAAAAACTCTTAAAGTGATGTTATTTTATTTTTATTAAATCTTAAATTTATCATTTATAATTTTATATTCAAATTTGAGCTCTTCATCTAGAATGAATTTGGCTTGACAATATGAAATACTGACTCTTAATAAAATGGGATTTTGATTAAAAGTGTGCACGATTGGGTTTAATTAGAAGTTTCTTGGACACTAGGAATGGTTATATACTTGCTCACCAAGTATCTGAATAACAACCCAAAAAACCAAAAAAATTAATCACCTAATACCAACTACTATAAATATAATTACGAATTCAATTGTCCAACAAATCGATTTTAAATAGTTGTTTAAAACAAAAACAAAAGGAAAAAGAAAAAAAATTTCCCATTTGAATATGCATATATGCCAAATGGTACCTGGTTTTACAGAAACGGTCGTAATCTTAAATTTCTCTGCTGTTTCTGCTTCGAGAATTTTAAAAAAGTTGAGGAATATTCTTAGATAGCAAATTCAATATAATGGGGCTAACAGCCTGGCGCACGAGTCGCTATATAAATATATAAAAGTATTTTTACAATATTGATTATAAAATCATTACTGATATAAGTCATAGAAACTGAGATTTTCTGGTGATGGCCTTACTGTATTTTTAATGGTGTATGAATGTAGTAATTTTTTGGAAAATAATAAATTCAGAAATGCCTTAGATTTATCAAAATTTATAATTATTATATAAAATATAAAGGCTCCAAAAATTTTTAAATTAAAATTAAATAATTATCCAAACTTGAACTCTCAAATATTTATTGTCATATAATTAAACCCTCAAACATTTAATTTTATTTAATTATAGATTTAATTAAATAAAATTAATTAATTATAAGAAAAGGATAAAGATTAGAGCTTAAGTCAGACAAAATGGCTGTTATTATATTTGGTACACATGACAATCACCCTAGCATCCAACACGCAGTTAGTCCAAAATAATAGCAGTAATTGTTGGAAATATGAAACTAAGGGAAGCCTATACGAAACTGAAATTGTGGCGTTTTTCCTTTGAATAATTCACTGTCGGATCCAAAATTATCTTCTACGTTATCCTGAATGGAGACGAAATTTCGAGTTTAAAAGTATGGCTTAAAATTCATAATCTTGGTGCAATCTTTTCTAAAAATAAGGGGGAAAAGATACCTTGGGACTTTGTTGTTCTAGCTAGTTATTAGCATGGTCAAATACTTAATCGGAATTTTTGTCCTACTTTTTTGAGCTGGTGTGGTTTGAAAGTGTTTATTATTAGAAATTAAAAAGTTTTTAATTTTTAAGACCTTAATTATAATAATAATAATGTATATATTACATCACAATATATAAAGATATCAAATTAAACAGATATACGTGAACGTGAACATTTATATTTACAGTGCATAACGATAAAATTATTTTAGACATATTTAAAAGTTATCAACTTAATTTAATTTAATCCGAGTCTTAAATAAAAATTTTAAAATTTGATTTTAGATAAATTGATATATTATTTAATTAATAAAAATTATATTTTTATTTAATTTTTTTATGAAATTATTAATATAATATAAGTTACAATTATTGTTAAATATTATATTTAGATATGAAAAATCATTCCATAATCATTACAATAAAAAATTAAAACATAACTAGAAAATTTAATATAAAATTAAAACCTGAGATCATCATAACATTTAGCCAAAAAATAAAAACACTTTTATTATTTATAAGGTGTAAATTTCTGATTGCTCACACTGATTACAATCTCTAAGGCTCTAACCTTTATCATATGTCGAGCTTTGACATTTCTAACTCAACACCCAACCACCTAAGCATCGTTGACAGCTACCAGATTTTTGACATTAATTGTCACATCAATCCTTTTGAACAATGGTGCTCCTGCGTTAGAATATATTAATAATAATACTATTTCAATAACTATATTCATTCATTGTATTTTAATTTTGGATTAAATCTAATAAATAAATTTATTAATAGCATATGATAAATTTATAATTAATAGCATGAAAGATTCATGTGTTGAGCATTGCAGGACAATATAATCACTACCAAGTACATTATCAGGAGTATATATTTTATTTGGGTTGAATAAAAAAAAGTTTTATGATCTGAAAAATATTTTCAAATCATAATAAAGTTTTAGTTAGAGAGGACCTTTAATGGCCCAAAATCCTTGAACCTTCTCAACATTCAGAGGGTTGCCTGCATGGGATGCTTTGCTTTCATTTAATTTTGCCATATTGATTGGCCAACCGTTAGGACCTCGACAGGATAGGTAAAAGACCTACTGAGAATGATAGCTAAAGGAACACAATTATTGAGTACAATAATTGGGCTCTGAATCTCATTTTATATGTAATTCCATAGGTGTTCTTTGCATTCAGCAATGCAGGTATATGCTCATCTAGGTATAGAACGGCCCTTCGATGGAAGTACCCTTTCCAACCAAAAGATTTGGCAAATTAAAATAAGGAAAAGAGTTGTGATTACAAGAAACAATTAAGTTCGGATTTCCTTCACAATAGATAACAATTTTATACAAGTTTATTTCTTGGAACTAGTCAAACAGTCTAACAATTTCTCATGAACACTTCATACCAAGTTGGCTAGACAACTTTTTTCAATCAAGCCCCGTTATTATCGAAGGAATTTGACAGCATTCATTTTTCTCCCAATCAAATAGTTAATAGTTGGCATTAATTGCTTTATCCAATTCCTCTTCTGTCGGAACTCTGCCCCAGTCACAAACTCACACTTACAAAGGAAAATTAATGTCCTCCTTTCAGGTTTAAGCTCCCCTTCTTTTAGATAAGACAGGACAAGGATATAAATCGGCTGCAGATCAACTGAGATGGCGTTTGTTTGGTTACTAGTTTTCTGTCTGTCACTTGCTGTTGGAGTGGAACCTCTGCTGGCAGAACTCCAAGGCATGTATTTCTTTCTGTATTCTAAACAGAAATGCATAGATTTTAATGTACTCTTATCATTTTTATGTACAATGAACCCATTTTTGCAGGGAGCAAGTTGGAAGTCAACCAGTCTGGAATACACCTTAAGGTCTATCACGTTCAAGGGCCTGAATCTTCTCTCACCCCAAATTTCTTATCCTTCTCTGATTTCCTCTTGCGAGATGAAGAACGTGTTAAGGATCTCAATTCCATATTAGCAAAAAGCATAGACCGATCAGGCAGTAGTAGCACTGCTTCTGCTTTATCTCAGAGATCAGGATATTGGTTTAGTGGAAAATCTTTAAGTATTCCATTGAATCCAGGTTTATCCATTGGCACAGCGAACTACTATGTTAGGATAGGCATTGGAACTCCGGCCAATTACTATGCCATGCTCATGGATACAGGTAGCTCCTTCTCCTGGATCCAGTGTGAGCCTTGTGCAATAGACTGTCACAGCCAGGCAGACCCTCTTTTTAATCCCTCTGCATCTAAGACATATAAATCTCTCTCGTGTGACGCCCCTGAATGCTCTTCGCTTAAGGAAGCAACTCTGAACAACCCTTCATGTTCAGCTTCAAACAAGTGCATATACGAGGCCAGCTATAGTGATAAATCATACTCAATCGGCTTCTTAAGTCAAAGATTTACTGACCTTAGCACAATCCCAGACCTTCCCTAATTTCGTCTATGGATGCGGGCAGGACAATGAAGGTTTGTTCGGAAGGTCAGCTGGGATATTAGGCCTAGCACCTAGCAAACTCTCCATGCTAGCTCTGGTGTCCTCCAAATATGGATATGCTTTCTCTTACTGTCTGCCAACAACTGACACTACAACCGGAGGTTTCCTGACAATAGGAATTCGACCTGTATCATCATACAAGTTTACCCCCATGATCAGAGGTCCTAATCAGAATCCAAATCTATACCATCTGAGGTTGACATCCATCATTGTGGCAGGTATCCCACTGAGGGTGGCTGCTGCTCAATATAGAGTTCCAACCATCATAGACTCTGGAACTGTTATCACACGCCTGCCTCCGTCTTTGTATTCTGCCTTACGAGATGCCTTTGTAAACATCATGTCCAAAAAGTATGCGCAAGCCCCTGGATATTCGATATTCGATGCCTGTTTCCGGGGGACTGTCAAGAGTTTCTCGGTGGTACCTGAGATTCAAATGATGTTTCAAGGAGGAGCTGACCTCACTCTTGGTGCTTCCAATGTGCTCATACAAGTTGATGAGGGCGTTGCCTGCTTGGCCTTTGAATTGAACCAAGAAGCCATAATCGGAAATCATCAACAGCAGACGTTTGAGGTTGCTTATGATGTGTCAAATTCAAGAATTGGCTTCGCTGCTAATGCCTGCCATTGATATCTACCATTTTCCGTTTGATAATTAATTATGTGAACTATAAAATGTTTGAATAATCACACCGTAAATCAAGGACATATATATATATATATATATATAAAATCGAATATCTTAATTAAGTGTAGATGTCACTAGATGGAATAATAAGCTATGAACAGACTGTCATTCCTAGGATTCGCTGATCTGTTTCGAGTCATGGCAGACAACCACAGGAAATGAATCATATGCTTTTCCCAGCCTTGGATAAGACGCTAATACGAGCTGCATATTTTGCTTTAACCTTAGATATATGTTTTCAGTCTGTTGTAGAACAAGTTTTGATGTTAGAATGCCGTGTGCAGAGGCAAAATTTTGCAGACTATACGTACAAATTAAAGTTTGGTCAAAATTATGAATAATTGTACGCCAAAAAAATCTCTAAACTTGGCTCCCATTTCTAAAACAAATGACACCTAAAATATGCAGAGGATGGGAACATTAGCCATCATTGTTTATCAACATTGGTCGAGAGGCTTGGAAAGGCAGCTGCCGGTTGCTGCACTTTCTTTTTCTTCTGAGAAATGACAAACTATATTTCGAATTAGATATATATATATATATATATATATATATATATATATATAAACCACTAATCAAGGGATGTTGCGACCTAACCAAGTTTTCTAGATAATCATAAAAGGAATCAGCTCAGCTCCAATTAGATGATCATGAGGTACAAGATTTCTTGTTTGTCAAGTGGACGATAATGAACAATATTACAAACACCCCAATGCATCCCTCAATTGTAGTCAATGCTTTTTTCCCCTTCCTCTTTTCTCTTTTTGGTTCATATATCCTAATTTCTTTATGATTTATTGTGTCTTGAATATTTTGACTTTAGATCAATTGCAAAAAGAGCAGAAAAAATAGTTTCAGTGATGCCGCAATACATTTAACTTTCACGGTAACTCTCAACAACACAAACGTTTCATGCCGAATGCAACAGTAAATTCTATGCTTTTCTCAATTCCAGTGGAAATTGAAGGGCAAAATTCAGAAAATTACCATATTATAATTCGGAAAACAAACTATTTAGGACCATGATGATCTCTTCCGTTCAAAATCTAGACATAATGTCAAGCACAATATCCATCAATGAAAATACTACAATTTTAAAAAAGAGTAAAAGAAAATGCGGCCAGAACAATGAAAATCAAGCACAAAACAACTTCTAACTAACTCATTTCCTGCCAGGGATCTTCAATGCTTGTCTGTTCCTCTTCTTGACACCAGACTTTGCAACTTTCAGGCTTCTGTGCACAGCACTCAACCTTGCAAGAGCTGCTTTCGTTAAATCTGGCCTGTAGTAGTTGTCTGTCACCTGCAATGTTTTAAACATAGAGCATTAGAAAAATTTCATAAAACAAACACTATGGTGAGACGTAAGTTATAAGACTGACTAGTGAAGATAAAACTACATGAACAGAATTTCAGAATATCATGGAAAATCTGTATGAATAACAACAGCATGAATAGAGTGTGAAATTGGCAAGTTCATCTACTTTCGGTAACATCATTGAGAATATAATAGCTGCCAAGAGGAAGGAGAATGGGAAGAGAGGGGAAGGAAAGGTAAAATAGGAGGGGACAAACTGCAGGAGAGTATGACAAGCTAAATTCAGCATACATATACACAATTATGCCGAAAGCATTAAAGAGGCACTGTTTTGGAAGCTCAGAAGCCAAGCGTAACAAGTACATTTCATAGAAGAATCCAACAAATAGATTCTTCTTACATGTTATTGCTTCATCACCGCAAGATAAAACTTTCAAGAAAATTTAAATTTGAACGAACCTAGATCTTAACTCAAATGATTCACCCACCTCTTTTAAGAGGTGGATTCCCACAAGGCTAAGGTTCAATCTCAGCACTTGCAAATTCCCATTCCCTTATTCCCCCTAGGCTTCATCCTCCTTTGTACAAAAAAGAAAAAAAACAAAGCACCATAACTTTAGACAAACAAATCATCATTCAAGTGAACATTCTAACAAGTTTTACCAGTTAGTTTAAGGACTAACATTATATAAGCAAAAAAAAAAAAGGTTTTCAGGGTTGAATCTTTAGACAAACAGTTTCTCTTCAACACAAGACAATCACAACAATTACCAATAGCAAACCCAGTAAAACAATAAATAGACACGTTTCAGAAGATGGTTTCCTCTTTACCTGGTTTGCGACAGCCTTGGCCATCCTGGGGAACTCCTTCTTCATAACAGACTTGTGAAGCAAGCTCGAAGGCTTATTCTGCTTCTTAGTCTTGGTTGTTGCTAGCAGCACAGACTGGTCTTTGCCCCCACGTTGAATGGTGACTGTTTTCTTGTTTGCCAACCCTAAAATCAGAAAGATCCAGCAAAGAGTAAGTCAATCAGAAAGAATGTATTTGGCGGTTCAGAATCCGCGGAAGGGCAGCAATAAAATAAAACATATTAGACAAATAGGACATGCATTGCTTGTGCAAGCATTAAATCCATGTGTCCAGCTTTTAACCATTATCAAGATAAAAAGAAGAACACTATTTTACAAATGTTTGAGTTACACATCAATTACCATTTCCCACCTCACACTACTCAAATTTTCCTCAACTAAAGTAAAATCCAAAATTTCAGTTTTTCTAAGAAGCCAAACTCAATTTTTAAAAAACAAAAAAAAAGAAGATACTAAAACACATTCACAAATACCCAATATTGCTCTTCCCATTTCCTCAATAACTACCAAGCATTTATATAAAAAAAATCATTTGCTTATGGATATAATATTATTTCAATTTCTCTTTAATTAAAAAAAAAAAAGAAAAGCAAAAGAAAAAAAATATCATTGTTGTTTCCAATAAACCTAACAATAAACATCGTCGAATCAGCTAAAAAGAAAAGAAAAATGAAACTTTTGGATCAGAATAATACCAGAGTGTTTGTAGGAGTTGAGATTGTAGAGATTGTTAGGCTCTTTGCTGAACTGAACGCTAGCAGTTCCTCTTCCAAACTGCTTTACCAAAAAACAATTGTTCTTCTTCACTACCTCCCAAATCAACTGCCCTGGAACTGTCGCCATCTTCTCTTTCCCTGCACCGCACTGCACCAGATCCATCCCTTAGTAAAGATCAAAATCCTCTACAACAAATCAAATAAAATCATAAATAAATTATTATTAATAATTGGGCTAACAATAGAAGGAGAACCTGACGATTTTTAGGGTTTATAACAAGGGGACGGGGCTGCAACGAGAATTTGAAGAGGGTACAGAAGAGCGACAAAAGAGTCTTTATAGCACGGAAAAGTGAAAACCCTAAGGTCGATTACTATCAATCCAGCGGTGTTTTTTTTTTAAATTACGATCACGTCCATCATTTTCTCAAGTGAATTTTTGTTTAAAGGCCCAAAACTGTGTCTTACTTGGATGGTCGGCCCAATCTCAAAACAAATTAATTCGATCCATCAAATAATAAAAAGGTCCTTAAACTTAAAAGATTTTTTGAATAAATCTATATATTTTTATCATATTCAAATAAATATTTTAACTCTAATTTATATTTTAATAAATATTTAATATTTAATTTATACTCAAATAAACTTTTGACTTTTAATTTTTAACATAAAATAACCTTCCATTTGAATTAAGAATTTATTTAAGTATAAATTACAAATTAAGAATTTATTTGAAAAATAAAAAAACCCATTCAATATTTTTTGCCAACAATAATAAAGAAATAATAATTAATTGATTGATTTAATGATAATCCAATATTTTCATTTATGCTATACGTATTTCCTGTCAATTAATGGGCCCTGTTTTTTTGACAAGTATATCGAGATTAAGCCTGATCCATTATCAACCCAACATAGGATTACATGTCAATAACAAAAATGGAGGAAAGAAGGAATTGGAAATTGGAAGAAAAACATCTGAATTCCAGGAAACAAAACAAAGTTGAAAGGAAAGAGGCTTTGGGAATTGGAATAAATTACCAAATCAAAGTCCCAAAGCCTAAAAGAGGTGCAACTGGCAAATTTTAGGTTATTAGCCCCCTGAATCAACCTAAATTCATGAATTAAAAATTAAAAGAAAAAAAAATCAGGTCATGGATATCACCTAATACCAGATCCCACCTCCTTTATACCTCAACTAATGTTGCATTTTCATATATACAAAGCCAGAGAAGAGAAGCTTTCTTGTTCTTCATCATCCTTCATACTCCTACCAGTTTCCTTTTTTTACAACAACCCAATGTAATTTCAATTGTACATAGGTATTGGTTCTACCTGCGGGCAGAATGCATGCGGCTGCTGCTGGCAAGGCTTTGAAAATGAACCAGCTATGAGGTTCTCTAGTCGAATAAAATCCCGGAGGTGACCACATTCACTATAGTAGGGGGATCACCCACTCATGAATTGCCTGATGTTAAAGGGCGATGTGTTGGTCGTGCTGAGCCATTCATTGCTTCATTTATCCTACTGAATACTAACTTTAGAGGAACGCAAGCTACTACAGGACCCTTGGGCTTATCTGCCACCAGTTTCCTGTCAGCTACACCTTGGTTCTGACCAGTCAATGAAGACAATTTCCGAATCTTCTTGGACAAAAGTCCAGATTTCTTTGCTTTAGCTGATTTGCGTGGAGGGAAGTGCGATTGCATTTTCATAAGCTTTCTAGGGACTCGTCCACCTTCTGAATTTCGCTTCACTAAATGACCAATTTCAGTGCACTCCATTGCAGCTTCATGAGCCAGATTGCCATAGTAATCATCGCTCAAAACCTCAACTGATAGAGGGTGACCAATTATGGCTTTTCCATTCAGTTTACTCATGAGGGAAACTAATGGAACATGCTGTGGCCGATAGTTAGCTTTCACCTCAATCTTAACATCATATAATGATGAATCAGCAGAATAAGTTTTTCCAGGAAAATCTGTCATCTGATATCTGTAGTGAGTAGTATGGTGGGACTGACGGCATGGAAGTGATCTTTGAGGGGTGACAGAACCATCAGGTAGTATTTTTGCCTCCACTATTGGCCCTCTCACATGAGGCTCCTGAGACATAGACTTCCAGTCCCGGAACCTATCAAGCTGCTCTTCAACAACTGCCTTGGACTTGGATTGCAAGATGCAACTGTATGGGGCAACTGACACACCAACACCATTGCAATCAACCTTCTGACCAGAACCCTGGGAAAATCCATCCAAGTGCTCTATACCTGCCAAATAAGCATTTGGTTCATCATCCATGTCAGCGTATTTTCTCAGGTCGTGTTTTTGATTTTTACTTATTTGTCTCGATTTCCTCTTTCCTTTTAACTGCCACTCTGCAGTACCTTTCTCTATCATCTCGCCAATACTAGTTGTATGAATATCCACTGATCTGGTACAACCAGACTCATTATGTCCCTCAATTTCAGCTTGCCTTCCCAAATCACCAACTTCAGGATTCTCAGATGAACAAGATACAAATATTGGAGAAAAATCTGTCAGAATCAAATGATTTATCAGTATCAATGGGGAAAAAAGTAGAATGCTACAGCTGCAGAAAAGATGAGAGAGTAAAAGGTAAAGGAATCAGGTTCTGGAAGAATATGGATACACATCTAGCTATCACAAACGGGAGGTTTGAAAAAAAGATCCCTAAAATGAAACATTACCAGAATGAATAGTCTTAAGCTAAATATATCCTCAGACCATGTACTTAAATTGACATCTTCACATTAGAAAAGGATAAACAAGCAAAAGAACACAATGCAAGAAAAAAGCAGACCTGGTACTAAACTAACCTTATTTCAAACTGAATTGTTTGAGCTTGAAACAAATTCTGGTGGAAAAGGTGCATGACAAAAGAAGGAAAAGAATTCCTTAAACGAAGGGAATCTCATATCTTTACTCTAATTCAACTTAGTTTCCAGGAAAATTATGATTAAACAGGGACTACTAGCAGGAGCATTCAAGTTTTTGGTCCAAATTATGCCTTTGTTACCAATGCAGTTTGAACTTCAGCCCTTTGATCGTATGAGTGCATAAACATCAATGCATTTTCAATCCAATCAGAATTCATTGCAAGTGATCATATCCTCAACCCATAAGAAGAGTAATTTAGCTAATGTCCAATCTTATCACTGAATATCAGTGACAGTTTAAATCCTTATCCATTCCATCTAATACTCAGCATAGTTTATCATCCAACAAACCAGCGCTGCTTGGTCCAATTGGCTACTTAACCAACACCCTCAGTATCAGAACAACGAGTATAATAGAAAAACATATGCATTTGGGTTTTCAAAAGCACATGTAGATAGAGTTGGCTTCTAGTTTGAATACAACTCCTTTTGTTTGTTTTATTTTAACATCAACTTCATTTCATGCCAGGACAGCTGTCCTCAAGTCATCAAATCACTAGCAATTGCCTGCAATTCATCAGTTGTGTCTATTTAGAAGCCCTAAAGAGTCAAACAAGCTGGAGTCCAGCTAATTTGATTGGGGAACAAATCTGAATAAGTAGACCTGTTGACAAACAGTTGGCCCAAATGATCACCACACATCCACAATCAAAAACACACAATCATGTGTGTGTGTCTATGAATGTATGTTAATAGACACACTAATGCAAACACAAGACCCGAGTTATGCAATTCTAAAAGTTATATATGACACCAGAACATAAAAATCTTATTAAGGACCAAAGAAGAACAAAGTAATAACGAACTCGCCTCAACAAAAGCTAAATGCAGGCAGGAATATCTCAGAGGAGTCACACAAAACCAACACATTAAGAAGACACACGATAATCATGGTAAATAATAACAAGTCATGGAATAACAAATAATCTAAATATCCATCAGCTGCAGCAACCCACCCCACCCCACCCCCCCCCCCCCCCCCCCAATAAAAGCCAAATCAATACAAGTGCAATTTATAAAAGCGGCAGAATATGTTTATGCACAAAAATGATGCAGTGATGACAAGAAATGGTATAGTTTATAAATGTTTAATCCAGAATACCTGCACATGTTTTATCTTCTCCAACAAATGGTACATCAAATAGCCTGTCAGAAGATTCATTCTCAGCTAACCCCGGTATGCTGGAAATTTCATTATCTTTGGTCTTATTATTAGTTTGAGATGCATCGGCGGCATGTTCAGAAGCATTTAAGAAGACACCATTCTCGCATGAAACTCCAGTACTATCTGAGTTGTTATTATTGTTGTTGTTGTTATTGTTAATTACCACAGAAACACTTTTCCGTGATTCATTAGAATCCATTCCTGAAACCTTGCTGTCAGTGAGTCCCCTAAGGGGTGAACCACTTAAGCTTGGAAGTTCATCACAAACAACTGGAACTGACACCATTGCAGTACTCTCCAAAACCTTGGTTAATGGTCGGCGACGATTTTTCCTTTTCAGGAATTCATGAACATTTGCCACTTGAGATCTCTTTCTTTTCAGTAATGATGAATGATTTCTGCTACCATTTACAGGACCTCCATTAGACAGGCAATTGACAGTGTTTGATCCATAGAAGGAAGCATTATCTTGTTGAACTAGTTCGAGCACCCCTGCAGCCTGGGCTTTTCTTTTTGATCCTACACCCATGCCTAAATCCTCAAGTCCTCTCATACGCTTGATTCCTTCCATTCCATCATCCTCTGAATCATTTGGAGTTTTTCTTCTCTTTACCAGCATAGTGTGCCCCTTAGTACCATTATTTGGCTCTTCAAAGGATATGCCAGACTGTGATAACTCTGGAGCTGAATCTGATTCATCATCAGATTCACTCATTTCACCAGTCATATCCTCATTTTCTTTACCAGAATGTGACATGGTAGGTAATTCTCTGGCCAAACTACCCTCGTCACCACCAAAACTATCTTTTCGAGAGAAATAGTCTGGATGATCCTTGCCTAGACGTGCACTCTCAATCTCAAGAGCATGGAGAATAGCATCTTCTCTTCGAGCATATTTCACTGCTTTCTTGCTAGAATTTGCTGCTGAAGCCTTTGCTTTCTCAATACATTCATTATATTCTCCACAGCGAAAGGCCTTCACCCTCTTAGACTTTTCAAGATTATACCAGTCCCTAAAACCAAAAAACAAAGAAATTTAATAAACAAAGTTAAGTAATATGAACGCATGCCAAGCATAGTAAATTCTTTCCATTCAAGGGTGATCAGTTGACCAAAAGGCTCCTCTAATTTATATATTTCAATCTTCAGTGACAAATCATTCTAGAATTTTTTTTTTATTAGGGGGAAGAGGGATTCAATCATTCTAATTAAAAGAAGAAAATGCAGCACTAACAGTGTTTTAATCATAAATCACAGCATTGAACAAGGTTTAAATATAGACAGGATGGGCTATAAAGGCAAAACCTCGAATCTAAATCATCATAATATAAAATGGAAAATAGCAGTCATTGTTCCAAATCTTGGATAATTTTGTTCTTTTCTATTGGATCGATACATAGTCCCAAAGTTACAATGCAACAATTGCGACGAGAGGTGGTTACAGCCTCTACTAATGTGTGACAGAACAAACACTCACCTACTGAACTGATTTAGAAATTTGTTTTAGAGCTCAATTAACCAATGCCTATAAACTGCAACAGGAAAACAAAAAGTAAAAAAATTTATAAAGGGCTCTTACAAAATCAAAAGCACATGCTCCTACCAGCCTAATATAAGATCAACAGTGCTTAAAGAAAAAAAAAAAAAACTTTTCTCAAGTTACCAAAAGTTCTAGTTTTGATTATTAAAAAAAGGCACACAAGATTTTATTCAAAGACAGACCCCGTTGAGTTAAATATTTCACTGAAAGCACAAACAACAAGCATTATGCACCAAAGCAAACAAGCAGGCCTTTTCAATATGATACAAATGCTCAACTTTCCACCACACATTGCCACAAAAACCATAGATATGAACATGAAAGTGCACCATACATTAAAACCAACCAAGGAAAAAAAAAAACACTTATTATCTGCAAGTGTTTCCTCTTTTTCAGCATCTTTTTGATTAAGCAATATAAAAAAAAGAGTTTCAAAAATGAAAATACTATCAAAACTACTAAACAAATAAATTTGAATAAAAGAAAACTACTACAATGAATCATCAACAGAAATGCAAGCTATTAAACCTATCCAAAAAAATCTAAAAATGACTAAAAGATTAAAAAAAATTGGACTCACACACTTGCATCTTCACGACCAAGAAGCTTAACAGGAGTACCGGATCTTGGAGAAACCAAACAACCCTCAGAGAGCTCATCAAGGCCCATAATCCGACCAGGCCACCACGAACCGTTTCTGCGCCGGACCCAAACCAAGCCACCCACCGACGCGTCAATGCCCTTTGTGTTGGGCTCATCGGGGCTCCCCATCTGAAACCTCCTAAGAAAAATTAATGTTCAGAAAAACCTGATCTTTAGAAGTCAATCCTTAAACTCCGTTTGAAGCAGACCCAAAACTCCAAAATCACCAAAACATGTTGATTGCTTGAACAAATGCATACGCCCCTTAAAACCTGAAAAACTATTTAAAAAAAAAAAATCAGTAACAAAATCCTTAATCCTGCATGCAACTAAAAACCCAGAAAAGAAACAAAGAAACACCCATAAACCCAGAAAAAAATGGCTTAAAAGATAGATAAAAACCTAGGCTCAAAGGGTTTATGTACGAAAAAGGATCTAGGCGCTGAAGACAAAGCCCAGTTTTTTTTTTTTTTTAGAAGAAAAGAAAAGACAAAGCCCAGTTTAAACAACAACATAAAAAAGATCTGGAGAAATTTTGTTTTCTTTTCTTGTTTTGAAGATCACTTTTTTGGTTTCCTTTTCCACTTTCAAATTAAATTTCCGTTTTTCTGAGTTTTTCTTGAGAGACTTGAAAATATTTGTAAGTGCCTGTAACTTCACTTTTTATCCATTTTTATCAAATATTTTACCGGAATTTTTTCGCTGAGTGTACAGAGTGAAACGACAGTGAGAAAGAGAGAAAAGGGTACGAAGAAGAGTGAAAGGCTTCTGTTTGGATCATCAAATAAAAAAAAAAAAAAGACAAAATTAAAAAAAAATTAAAATGTAACTTTTGTTTGCATTTTGGCTTGTTTGGTTTAAGGGAGAGGTGATACTGTAAAATATGATATAATAATAATTATATATGAATTTTATAAAAAAAAAAATTATATTTTATATTTTTATATAATATATAATTTTTATATAAATATATAAATTTTAATATTTTATAAAATACCAATCTAATGGATAACGGGAGAGAGAAGAGAGAAAATAAAATTTATATTAAAAAATTAACTAATTTATTTAATAAATAAATTGTGTTAGCGTGATTCTTTCTACGTGCACGTTGCATCGTACGGGTGCATTTAAAACCGTTGGATTAAATTGTTGGTGCAATCGAACAGAGGTAATTACATTTGAATGCGATGCAACGTGGATTCTTCATTTCTTCTTTGACATGACCCGGGGCAACGGTTAAATAAAAACAATACTAATAATAAAATAATAGTACAATAAATTTCTAATTTTTTAAGTACATGTTTTCTATTCTTTTATTGGCTTTGAGAATTTTATAATAATAAAAAATAAAACAAATATTTAATAATAATTTATAAATTTGAAAGAGCTTAGCGTGTAATTTTTTTTCAATCGTATAAATAATATAATATTAAAGTTTAAAGGTAAATTAAAAAATTTTAAAAATAATGATTATGATTTCTTAATTAAAAATTTATAATGAAGGAAGAAAATTATATGTATTAAATTTTAAATTTATTAAATATTATATTTTTAAAATGATTTTACAAATTTCGATGATTTCTAAAAATGTTTATCAAACACATTAAAAATTTAAAATAATTAAAATTTTTTATTTTTTCCTTTGTGAGAACATGAAAAAAAAAATTGAAAGTAAAAAAAGAAACAAGGAAAGGATTGTTATATTGGTAAAGAAAGGGTGGCAATGAGACGCCCTTAATGTCCACATCAAGTAATGTAATACGTTCATGATAATCGATAAATCATTTGTCATTTCATGTTTTCAAATTTCAATGTGCAAGATCAATGAAATCGATATTGAATTGCAGTTGTGTCTATCTTTATGTTGCTCATTAATTAATATGATAATTTACTTCTACGTCCAAAGAAACTTTCGATTCATTTCAAGCAATTGAGTTATTTTCTTTGAACGATCTTAAAATACTATTTTACAATTTTGTGGTAAAAAAATAAAAATAAAAAATTTCTCAACTATATAATATTATATGTGTACTAATATTAAAACTTATTAATGTCATGAGTCAAGTGATATCAATTAAATTATAAAATTAATAAATATAAAAATATAAAATAAAAGATACATATATATTAATAAAATTGTAATTGTAATATTTTTCTTTAAAAATATAGACGAAATTTATATTTTAAAAAAATTTTTACCTACTTTTTACTTTATTTTAGAAACTTGTTTGGTAATTATTCACTTATTTATTTCTTTTACATTATTATAAATTTTTTAATGCCTCAAAGATTTTTTTTACCACACTTTTTCTAGTATACTACTATTTATTAATTGAAGAGAGATGCAAAAAATAATATGCATTAGGCTAAAATATATATAAAAAAAAAAAACTCATGAATAAGTTTATATTTTTAAAATATTTTTTATATTTTTATTATATTTAAATAAATTTTAATTTTTTAATTTATATTCCAATAAAGTTTTGTCTCAAAAATTTTTTTATTTAATTACAAATTAAACACTCAAATTTATTTAAATATTAAATATAAAATTAAAATGAATGATTTATTTAAATGCAATAAAAATATAAAAATTTATCAACATGAAACGATGGAATTCAAAGTTTTTTTTTATTATTTTACCCTATGCCTTAAATTCCTTTTTTTTTTTTTTTCAAATTTGGTAGAATAATAATAAAAAATAGAGTAAAGAACAAAAGTGAAACGGTGAGTTTAGAAGTGAGTTTTTCATTAGGTTTTATGGAGCTGAAGCGTCCATGTAAACTGTGAGCTTCGATCATCTTCATCTCTGGGAGGAAAGGCAGAATCAAATCCAATAACACAAAAACATAAAAGGAATATTATCCCCAATTCACAACCATGACTGGTAATTCCCTTTTTTGATTTTTTAATTCATTATTATGTAAAACTTTATTTTTACTAATCAAATTCTACTATTGTATTGCTAATCGAGTTTGTTGATACCGCTCCTTCAACCATCTTAAATTGCGTAATTAAGCTTTTTTCCTCTTATTTTGCTCCTTCTTAGTGTTTTTTTTTTTTTTAGGGTTTTCTTCTAATGCAATTTGCTTTTGTTTCTATAAAGAGTAACATAAAGACATAAGCATTTTTCTTTTAGGTAATCAGAGATACCCAGCAGCTGCAATGGCATTTTTTTCGGGTTGAAATGGAATGTTCTTTTGTTTGCTTTTGTTTTTTTTTTTTTATCATTCTGGAGATTTTCGGGGATCTGGGTTTTGTAAGATATCATGAAATTTTATTTACTTCATAATGAATGATTTAAAAAAAAAAAAATCAAAGCTAGTATCAATGAAGCAAAAGTGGTAAAAGTACAGGCTTTAAGAGAATCTCAAGCACAGATTAGCGGCTCAACCTGATAAATCATGGATGAACCATCAAGTTGTAAGAGAACTAACAAATACAGCTACCCTGTTCATAAAAGATACAACTTTACTGTCTTTATTCCCAAGCAACTACCTAAGGACATGAAATATGATCAACTTAACATTTAATAATATTGATTAAACCTTATTTTAACAATTGATGGAAGAATGCAATGCTGTTTTGAGATTGGTTCATGGTATACTTCCTTCAGCATTAATTCATTTATCTATGTTTGCAGACCACGTGCAGGAGCAGGAGATGGAAATTGAAGCCCTGGAAGCAATACTTATGGATGAATTCAAAGGTCCATTTGCCTTTCTTTTGTTAGACTTATGCTTTTCTATCTGATCAAATTTTCTGTTCTCTCCTCACCTGTAATGATTACTACTTTTGCATCAGAAATTCACTCTGGTGAGAGTGGGCTAAGCACCTCGAATAGGTGCTTCCAAATAACATTATCCCCTCAGGTGTGTTTTATCCTGACATAAGGTTATCTGCATTTTCGTTATGTGATTGGCATTTCTTTAGAAGCCCATTTTATTCTAGTTTCTCATGGTGACCTTACAATGGCATGGGCTAGTGGAGGTAGAGTTGTTTGCTGAGTAATAGTTCACATCTAAATGATTTAGAAATGTTTGGCTTTGGCATGCTTAGCTACTGGTTCTACAACATTATTCATTCTTCATGACTCTTATGCCTTGTCAACTGATTTTCCTCTCATCTAATTACCTCTTTTTGTGTTTGACAGGATGATGACGCAGATCAGTCAACCACCAGACCAGGTTATTCTTTTTATTCATTCAACAAATTGTAGCATGTCATGTTTATCTGTAGTCACACTTATATGCAGACATGAACAAATGAATTTAGAACACCAAATTTGATTCAAGTTGCTTAATTTTGGGAATTATTTTTGCTGCCCTAAGTTCATGATTTTCTGTTTCCATGTGAACATAAGCTGTTGTCCAAACTTCTGTTGCAGTTCAGCTGGCTTTGATTTTCTCGCATACGGAAAAATATCCAGATGAGCCTCCACTTCTGAATGTAAAAGGTCAGTATGTCCTTTCAGTGCAATGCGCCAATATGCATGCCACTATAAATATATTTGTGACTGTCCCTTGTTTACTCAAATGATCTGAGAAGCAATTTTTTTTTCCTTCTGTTTGAAACTCAATTAGCCTTTGCTCAATGGGGAGGATGGAATAGTTTTTAATCCAATGGTTGTGCCATCAATATATGAATCTTAGCCATTAGATTGAAAAATTTTCCATCCTTCCCCCTTCCCGTTTTCCCAACCTAGCGAAGTCTTAATCCTTCTTTGCAATCTCATGGGATCACATGGGGTGTTTTCCTATACTATCTGAGACTAGAGCAGCAGACATCTGGCCTTTTTGTTATTAACTGCATTTTTTTTTTAATATTCAGTTAGAGTTAATTGTTTCATTAGTTGCACCAATATTTATCAAATGCTCCTCAACTCTGAATTGACTGTTCATCTTCTATGTGGACCTCTGAAAATCATCAAGTTTTATTTCTTTGGTCATCCTGGCTACTTGATTTTTGCCTTTTTACGCTATATAGCAAAAGCATAATGTTATTTGGTTAAAAATGAGCAATTAGTTGAGAAGTAACACCGTTTCACACTTAATGGTTGCTACCTGAATTAGATCATGCTTTTTGTTATCCCTGAAACTAATTATTCAAAAATATATTCTTCACAGATATCCAAATTCATTTTTCTTCTTGCTTTTTGCTTTTGAAAGCAAAGAAGTTAGTAAAACTGACAACTAAATGGACCCTAGTTGTTGTCATGATCTACCATTTTATTTTCTGCTTTTTAATTTTTAAGCTACCTAAAGTGAAAGGTTGCACTAAGATGTCAGTGGCTATCATGTGAATAAATCCTATAGTTGTGTCCTTACATACTTGCATGAATGGTTTCTTTTATTGATGATTCCAACTGATACAATAACTGTGGTAAATCAATATTAATGTTTTTTTAACGTTTATCTTTCATGATATTGGAGACTATCATTTTGTGCAAGTTTATTGCTGATTACTCTATCAGATGAATTCTTTATCCCTTGTGTTCTTGCTCTTTCTGATGAGCTTTTTTAAGTAACCTGGACTTTTCATTTCCTTTTCCAGTATACGGGGAATACATACCAGTGACCTCAAAGTTTTGAAAGAGAAGCTTGAACAGGAGGTAACCTTGCATGCGTTTATGTTTTGTCATATTAGTGGAATTTGTAATTTACTCTTTAAGCGTATCTAAAGCATCCACAAATTGTTCTTCCGTAAGTTTAGTTTTTTGCTCTTAATAAAGAGTCAACATCATGTCTTTTCCTATCTCCTGTCACCACACTATGACAAATGTAAAATCTCCTGATTGGAATTTTTAAATGGCATAGAGAATCTTAAGTGTGCCAAATCTTTAGCTAATTGAACTCTGTCTCACATGTATCTTTGGCTGGCAGTAGCGTCTGTTTCATAAATTAATCCTTCTTTCTAGCAAAAGATTGCAATAAAAAGTGTTATTTTTAGTTGATATGCCTAGTAGCATCTTTTTCTTACATGTAAAGTGTTTATACAGCTTAATTTGTCCCGGTTGTGCAAATTCTCACGTGATTTTGTGCTTTACAGGCATCTGAAAATCTTGGAATGGCTATGATTTACACTTTGGTTACAACAGCCAAGGAATGGCTATCTGAAAGATATGGCCAAGATGCTGATGCTGACAATGCTGAAGAAGAAGAATCAACAAAAGATGAGGTGTGGTCATTTACTATGCACTTTCATTTCTTACGTTCTTGTGGTCAGATGTTTACAAGAGTAAATAAAACTTTTGTTTTGAGCAATCCTTTAGCAAATTCTATTTGCATTCATATACCATTGCCCACCTGCTAGTTGGATGCGATGTTTGTATTTATAGCTCATGGACGCATAGCTCTGTAGAAAGAACTACTTGCCTGTTTTAACTTACAGCTTTGACCTATAGAGAAAGGGTGTTGTTTTTGCCTTATGGTGCTGCAATCCACTACAGTTGCTAAGGTGGTGTCTGGTGATGCCTAATTGAGAGGAATGACATATTTCAAATTTATGCTTCAAAAGGTATAAATGTGATAGCTTGCGGCCAGGATTAGCTTTTTGACATTAAGCATGCAACAAATGAAGTTATTGTTATTTTAAATACTTGGTACTAGAAAAAGAAAAGGTGAATAGCGAAGCTGCTGGTTTGCAATGTTCATAATATCAATTTGTCAAATGAATCTCAACCAACATCAGTTAGAATGTTGGACAAAAAAACTCCCATGATTACAGAAAGAAACTTGAAAAAAAGTGTAAAAGAGATAAGGAAGTTGAGACTAAGTCCCAACATCAGAAAGATGTTACATTTGCATTAAGTGTTAAAGGGAATTGAAAAAAATTTGTTGAGAAGAGGGTAGAAGTTGGATAGTTGAGTCTGTTTTAATGAAAACCAATCACTGAGAAGAAGGATGCACGTTTCACATTGTGCATGCTGTCAAGTTAATGGAAGGTGAGAAATAATACCCATTGAGCTTGTGAACATGTGCTCTGAAACAAACTGGATTCAGTATCTTGCCTGTTGATTTCCCTTCAACTGCTCCGCAACCTTTCTTCTCAAGTTCAAATTTCAGAATGCTGAAATTACCCTTGGGACTTTGCTATATTACAGGATCATGTCAAGGATGTTTCTACAATGATGTAACCCTTTAGGATCGGTTTCTGCAAGTCAGGACTGTGAATTTAGGAAAGTGCTTTGATTCCAATGATATACTATGCTGTTTACTGCTATATGTCCCGACTATTGGACAAGTCATATCTACTGAGTAAAAGTGTGGATATTTTCCTGGTAGACAGATTTAGGGACCTTGTTGTTTGTGCAATTTTAAAAATATTCTTGATCTTGACTTGGAACTCTAATGCTAATTGGTCAATCTGCCGTAAAGAGGAGCAACATAAAACTTTGTGCTACTTATGATCCCAAATCAGGATGCTATTGAAGTTTGAGATCACTAAGTTTTCTCTTAATAGTTAATACCATGTTAGTCTTTACGTAAAAGGAGCTATCTTACCTTTTCCTTCTTGCAGGTAATTGTACCACATGGAGAACCTGTTACTGTTGATACATTTTTGGCATGGAGAGAAAGGTTTGAGGCAGAGTTGGCACTAGAGCGAGCTAAGTAAGTTTGGTAGCTGAATGCTTTTTGTACATATTTGAACATGCACACAGAGATTACTTTATCTTTGGTTTTTGTTCACAAGTTTGGAAGTTTGGTAGCACTAAACATGCTAAAGCCCCTTGTGCTTGTTATCATTATTTTATAAAGTTTATCCTTGCTAGAGAAGTGATTGACCTGGGACAAGATGTAGAGGCTCATGTCGTTGGTTCAGTTTCCTGTCTTGGAAGTCTGGACTTATGTGGCAGCTGTGTATTGCTTGCTGGTACATGTACTCAATGTTCTCATAAAAGGTTCCAGGCCATCAGGAAAAAAAAAAAAAGGAAATAACTGAAACACAGTTTCTCTTCCTGTTCTACACTTTGAAACAAAATTCATATCACGCAGATCTTCCTCGAAAAAAGAAAGAAAAACAAAAATCATGGAAGTGTTTACCTTCTGAGTAAACTTTGCTTTACTGTTAATTAAACTCAATGGCACCTAGATGAGAGAGGTGACTTAGTCTGTTATAATATTGCCTAGAACATACGTTACTCAAACTTGGGTATGAATGGCAGTCCATGTGTACATGGCCAACAAGCTTATGTAGAATTTTGTCAAGTTTTCCCTTATTTTGGATGGTTGTGCCTCATAGCCACATTCACTTTGAGGTGTCTGATACATGTACTTTAAAAATGTAGTCAGAGCAACAAAGCCTGGAATGCAGGAAATAATCCTGTTCTAGCTTTCCTTCTTCTAGTTCAGTGCATAGAGAGTTTCCTTTGTTTGTTATGGTTAATCGACCTCTTGATCATGATGTCTTATGTGTTAAAAAGAAGAGAAGAAAAAGAAAAGCTATGTGCCAATGTTATGAAAATTAAAAGGCATATATTATAGTCACAAATAAACTCTCAATGCATCAATTTTCAGGCTAATGCCTGAGTCTGCTCTCACGGCACCCAAAGAGAAGAAGCTCACAGGCAGGCAGTGGTTTGAAAGTGGAAGAGCTACTGTGGTAATTTATACTTCCTAATTTTTCCTCTCTGTAACATTGTGGAGATAACATCTATATTATTGTTAATTTGTCACCATGGATTTAGTAGGATTCCAGAAACAAACACATCATTGTTTCCTTTAAATTGTCTAATAATCTCAAATGATTAGATTGGGTTTGGGATGGTCTATTTCCAATTCATATATCCGCTGATTAATGATTTTTTCTCTAACATGTATTTCCACCATTTTAAAAATAGAATATAATCATTAACGGTAACAGTTTTGTGAAAGCACCATTGTTTCTAGGAATTAAGTATCTTTCCCCTACGTTGAATCTCAGACTTGATTATCCAAAAAAGAAAAATTAATCTGAGACTCAAGTAAATTTATGTTAGTATTAAAAAAATTTATATGCAAGATAAGATGTCTATTTAACATCATTCAGCCAAAGATTTAATTGGATTAAACGACTTCTTTCTATGGTCGAAAGCAATCATGACTCAATGAAGAATCAATGCATTTTGTGATATGTGATATTGGTAGAATTTATCTGTTTAATTATGAAAGTGCATCTTTAATATACTGACTCTCTTCTGCAGAAAGGTGGAGCTCCTGTCACTGAAGGATCTGACGAGGAAGACGAGGAAGATATTGATTTTGATGATGATGATTTTGAAGGTGAGTCCCTCTCTTGGCACGCAGACCATAATCGGTATTTGATAGTGCCAAGAACATTAATTAAATGCTTTCTTAATTATGATATTGTTTGGTAAAACTAAAGCGAAAAATTTTAGCAAATCGGATGAAAGAAATTATTTGATCACTTTGGTTTATTGCAGATGATGAAGAAGATATGCTTGAGCACTATCTGGCTGAGAAGTCTGATTCATCCTCTCACTCTTCAAAGAGAACTGCCTAAAAGAAAGTCTTGCAGTTTGAAAATTAAATATTTTTTATGGACTTCTGGCAGTGGAAGTTTGCCCTTTCTGCTAATATATCGTGTATTTTGGCCCACTTTTATTCTTGACGCTTGATGGCGAGTGGGAGTCATAGTTTCATGATTAGAAACTTCTTCTCATTTTAATTTTTAAGTATAATAGCAAGATGGCATTGATTGAAGGAAAACAATTTATGTTGTAACATTAGTTTCTGTTTAAATCACCACCTCTAATGTAAATGCACCAATTTTGCCTAATATTTAAAGAGTCTGCTCATCTTGGGCCTATCTTTTTGGTCTGTACTGTCACATTAAAATTATGTAACTCAATACATAACCAGAACAACAACTCCTAGGAAAGAAAAGGGTGCATGATATTCAGGAATCATATCGTTTTCTTGACAACCAATTTTCTTCATCAGGACAGCTTCAGCTGCAACTCTTAACTTCTTAAATCTTACGCTATAATACACCTTGCGGAATACATACTTTTGATAAGTTTCAAGCTAAAAAATGAATATATTTGCAGATTCGTTGTTGATGTCTTTTGTCTGCTCAGTCTTGTGGGCAACACAAGCGCTAGCCATTAATGCATATGTTGGTAGTTCAGAACATTATCAACCAGGCCCGTTCGCATGAAAACGTTACCCAGATTTTCCTAATGCCACGCTGCCACAATCGCTGCCTCGGTTTCCGTTCTTTTCTCTCACCGACACATCTCCACCTTCTGCCAAACCTTCTACTTCTCTTGCTAAGCAATCCAGGGCGCCTCCTATTGAAATTCAGCCATGTGAGTCACATTTTCAAGATATTGATGCTTGCATTGGAGACATTCTCAATGTGTTTTTGACTAACAAACTTATGGTTGGACCATCCTGTTGCAAGGCGATAACTGAGATCAACCAAGATTGCTTGGATGGCTTAATTCCACCATTCATTACTGCCTTCTTTGGTCCTTACTTGTAGGCACTTTGGTTTGTCTTAAAATTTTTATTAAGATAAAACATCCATTTATTAGTGCTAAGGATATATGGTTTTTTAGGATCAGATTTGGTTGCATTAGTTTGTTTGCTTTTAAAGGTTTGAATAAAATTTGTTAATATCATTGCTGTGTTAACAGTACTTGAAAGCAAACCTGAAATTTAGCTCGGTTGTTTATGTAGCAAGTCTAAAGTTTAAATCTCAGCACTTACAATCTTTCTTTTATTTCTAGGCTATGATCTCTCATTCCAAAAATAATGTTTGAATGTTTTTTGCATTTTGTTTTTGGGTTGAGTATTATATTAGTAATTTTCAAAGGTTGTTAGATATATAGTTTCTTGTTTGAAGAACTAAGGTTCTGTAAGAATAATGAAGACTTTTACTAAAACCGAAAGCACAATGATTAAAAATGCAGTTCTGGGATTTCTTGAAATAGAAATAGTGAGGCATAACATAACTGCTTGGCTCCTTTTTTAGGTTGTCTCCAATACTTTTGTTCCTACCTAGAATTAACATTTTTAGTTTTAGATTGCATCCCAATAGTTTTATTCCTGTCTTGATAACATTAAACTAGTATACTCAATGGAGTCATTAGACACCATTAAAGAGTGTAGCAGTTTCTTAAATGCTGAGATCAGGGGTGCTTCATTTAGAAGAGGGATTAAACAACTTCAATGATCATCAGGAAGAAGGAAAAAAAAAAAAGAAATGAATATTAGAAAGAAATAATATATTTTATTTCCAATTAATGTTGTTGTCAATGTCACAGACTCACAGTAGTGAGAGCTAAAATTTATAGGCAAGTCTTGCAGGCCAAGAATAAATGTTTCTATTCCAACCCTATTGCTCCTCCAAATTCCTAGTTCAATGAAATTCTAAACAAGTCATGCTTTTCCAATTCTTCAATAGTAATAGTACATTACATGTATGTTACAAAGAGATCTCTAATTTTTCCCGGCGTTGACTTCAAATATGAGATCTGAAAACCAACATAATAAAAGTTGACAATGAGCTCCAGTTTCCTGCAATGGATTGCAGTCTCCAAAGATCATAGGTAATGACAAACAAGAATCAGCGTTGGTGCACACACAAAGAATTATACACATCCTTGATCAGTCATGGCTTGAGCAATTGCCAGAAAAGCAGAGATGACTGCTCCATGTAGCAAAGCCCTGTTAAACGGCAATGAAGAAAGAGAGTGAACAATAGATCTCTTATGGTTGGGAAGGACATAACATCGGTTATTACATCTTACGTTCTCAAACAACATTTTTCCAACCATTATACCTTCCAATGCCTGCCAAGCCATTTAGGGAAGTATAAAGAATGGTCACTATATAGCTATAATATAGAATGGTTTTGGTCCAGAGCACAACTATGTAATATGTAGAGTAGAACTGATTTCTATTTTAATAAGAAACAGTGACTGCAATTTGGTGAAAGAATCTGGTAAGAACACCAGATCAGCAGCAGATAAAAACTAGTTTTTGATTCATGTACCTTTCACCAAAGAGAAAAATAAATGAGAAAAAGGCTTTCCACCTTGATTTCTTACTACTATAATGATTGTGCTTACACAGAAAAGCACTTACTCAGGGCTTTCTTTCTGATAACCAAAATCATTTGCTGCTTTGAGGGCTCTATGGAATGTCTGTTTCATCGCTTCCTGCAAGTTGATGAGCAGAGAAAAGAATCCTCACCAAATTTGGACATAACTAATAAACTTATTTGTCAAGTTAAAAAAGGAAGAAATCTCAATTAATCTATGATGGTAAACCCAAAAGAAGCCAACTAAATTCACAAGTATCATACTGACATACTGTTTGCAATTTCAATACTTCCAATTACTATAAACGGTATTATATGCTAAATACACACAGTTATCGGCAATGGACTATTACCAAGTTTGAGTTCATCTATTATATAGCTAAATTCACTGCAGTGTACATAAATACATGGCTTTTACTGAAGCAAATAAGGGGTAATGTAGCTCCAGAATAAGTCCAATTTGCAATAGTAGGACGTTGCATTGTGGTAGTACTAGCAAACTGATGAATGCTACTCTAGAATAACACACCCTTTAACAAAGACATATAAATCTTACCTGTAATTTAGATTCAAAATCCTCCGGTGACCAATGCATTACATTACACTCATGGTTTAATTCAATTTCTCCTGCAACAACCTGTAATTGTGTCATGGAATCAGCAAATAAAGTACTATTATAAATAACATTAATCAAAATCCATGCCAATATGGATGAATAATTCACAACTGTCTTAGCTTTACCATCCACCTTCAAAACATTTGGCTATTCCAGAAATAATCATTGAGACCAGTCCACAAACTCAGAGGTGTCACAAACTTAGCCATAAATTATCATCTTAAATCAGCATATCTGGCATTCGCTGTTAAAAGATGACTCTCCTGTTGAAGAGAATGAACTAATTTTTCTATTGGAATTCATTGCTCTTTCTTATAACCCTCATAATTTATCTTCAATTTTCTTTTGCATCTTTGTGACAAAAAAATTCATTTACTATCAAAGTGAGAAATGGGTGGCTCTCTTCTCCTTTGACACCATCACATTCCAATACAGCACAATATGAAGAATCAGGCATCAGCACATTATGCATCTGAAAATGCATATATTTACTTCACAACAACTGAGGTTTTAACCATTCAAATCTAGATTTGCATATTCTTCTTATATCATTATAGAATTTATTTCATGAACATTCCTTTTGTTCAAAAGGAAAATCAAACCTATTCTGAATTTTGTGAAATAATTAATAATGAAAATTAATTTCATCAAGATGATGGAGAAAGTGAAGATCGCACCCCTCCAGCACCAGCAGCCATGGCAGGAGCAATGAGAACATTGACCTTCTTCAATACATCAACTGCTTCAGGAGTGCAAGGCATATTTGAGCCTAGTAAGATCACAATAACACATAACTATCAGCTAATAAAATTAGTACTATAAACATTTCAGATGGAAAGATATTAAAAAGTTTTGCTCTTCATATCACAGACTACTACCTTCTACAAGTATACGACAACCTGAATTAACCAAATTAAGGGCATCAGCCTGGTCAATTTCATTTTGAGAACCACAGGGTATTGCAACATCACACCTTTCATTCCAAGGTTTTGCTTCATCGTAGTACTTAGATCGAGCATAAGTCTTTGAATAATCTCTGCATACTCAAAATGGATAATAGCAGCTCTCAAGAATCACTAAAAGAAATGAAATTTACATTTGAAGTATGGAAATGATAGTGAAGAAAACACACCTCAAACTTCTTTGTTGAGCTTTGAGATCCCTCAAAAATGATATTTTCATATAATCAAATCCATCCTCATCAATCAAATATCCCTTTGAATCTGTGTCACATATCAGGTAAGGGCAAGTGATTAAAAGACGAACAGCTGTTTCAACAAACTTTTATATGCTAAGATCTTAACTATGCTGAATGTGCCACCAACTTTATTTGCTTGCACGGAGGCTATTATACATCACATAAGTTCCTAATAATAGCGTTTTCAAACTTCATTCCACAGTGCCAAAGCAAATATTTATATGTTTACTGTCCTCAGGATCATTTTCCAAAATCAAGTTAAATGATAACCAAATCAAGTGATGACCTAGATATCAAGCAATGTAAATAGAACTTCTTGGCAATAAAAAAAGATCCATGAAAAATAAACTTGAATACAACTGTAAGGCATTTTTCTGAAGCAAAATAGAATGGCTAAGGTCCTTCATGTACTTTTAAAAAAAAATACACGGGAGGAGCACAGGTTAACAAGATTAAAACACTTGCAAACAAGAAATAGACCAATTAATATCCTTAGCTCAAAGCATCAACTCTTCGTGCAACCGCAACTGTCAAGAAAAAGGCAAAAGAGGAAAAGGAAAAAAATACAAAATTAATGTGTTTTTCTGCAAAAGAGCTCATTTGGCCTCATTATGAGAATTTTTCATTGAAATTAGTGAAACCTGCATTGTGACAAAATCTTTTAAGCTAGAATGATTATGAAACCAAAGGAATTCTGTAACAGTCATTACATAACATGTGCACAGCGACATTACAAGTTATGACTTTTCTGACGTACCCGATGTGGAATGGAGAATTACCTGATACCGTAATGGGAAGAGCACCAACAGCAACAAGCTTTTCCAGAACATGCATTGCAATCTTACCAAAACCACTTACAACACATCTGGAGGAAGATTCAAGGGAAACTATATTCAAGTAAACAATTTAGAGAAACAACTAGCAGTAGTGGACTTCTACATTTGCAATAATCTACGTTTTGGTACATCAAGTGACTAACAGGTCTTTGAAAAGAAAAAAAAAAGACCATGAGTTATTCACCATAGAAAATTCCACATTTTTATATTTCCACAAATTAGGGAAAACATTACAAAGAACTACAACTTATTCTCAAGGCATCAATATGCCCTTTGAGTCTAGCTAATAATAAGAATCAAAAGTAACCTCAGTCCTTTGATATCTTTATTCAACTCTGCAAGAATAAGCTGGGTGAAGAAAACCTGCAGAAGTATGCAAACTTTATCAAGTTCGAAGCTACCAGAAAGAGATAAATACATGGAACCAACAGCACCCACCATAAAGACAAGCATTGTAACAATGAAGTAAAATAAGAATCTTTCATGGTTGCAGAGGTGCAAAGTCAGGCATCAATGCATTCACCCTGAAATTTAACTACCTACCTACACTTAAATAGTAACGAGTAGAGATGAGATATTAGTTACCAGCCCATAAGCAGTTGCTTCAGTTCGAAGGCTAGAACCTGACCAAAATATCCTTGGCCCTGTAAAACTTCCCTGCATAAGGAACAAAAGAAGACATAAAGACCACCTCATAATTTCATTCAACATTGAATTCTCACTAAATCACTTAAAACTTCCATTTCTCTAACAACTCATAAAAGTAATATAAAGGAAAATTGAGGAAATGTTACAATAGTTAAGGTCCTTAAATGACGTATAGGTTACAATGTCTATAAACATAAAAGCAGGTCTTAAATTTTTCCAGGAATACATAGTATCAGATAGTGATTTTTTAAAATCAACATGCACACAGAAATAAATTTTTGAAAATCAATATGCACACAGAAAATTTATTTCTAAATTACACATGTATCTACAAACACAAAGAGTTGTGTTGAAGTGTCAGTAAAGGGAAACTTTAAAAAATACACACACACACACATATACACTCAAAGTGTGCGTAGGTTAAATGTTAGTTTATCCTCTTAGGTCTCATAATTTTCCAAATACAACATTCAAGTTTACTATACTTTTCTATTCTGTTCAAATCGTTGAAGTCCAAATGACCATGAGCGAAACTTGACAGGTTTAGAGCAAGAAGCACACCAGAAAACACAATAAATTCATCTTTTTCCTAAAATTGTGGTAATCCAACAGCTGTGAAGAATTTCACCTTCAAAGCACTCATGACCTTTAGTCCCAGTGACACGACCATAGAAAAGAAAACAAGAGGGCACGGATGTTAAAACAATTCAAGCATTCATTCAATTTTCTAGAAATTAAATTAAGAAATCATGAAATTATTTGTCCATAGTAAGAACTGAAGAAGATTAAAAATAGAAGTTTAAGTGTTCAAAATACCTGAAAATTACCAGCTAGACGTCTATATTGTCCAAAGAGGAATCCCATTTCTCGAATACCAACTCCCATTTCCTCTGATGGAAGGTCCTAACAATATACAATGGATAATCAGATATGCCGGGCTACACATTAACAAGCATATTCAAGCAGATAAGAGCAGGTGTCTCACTCACTTACCTTGTCAGGACCAAAATAACGATATGTCTCATTCATGAAACTTTGACAAAACCGCATGATCTGCCAGCGTTGATTTCATAAACAACTGTAAGGAATTACTAGAGTTTCTAAGAAGGTCTTATTAAGGAGATTAATAAAATATGAGAAAGGATCTGACCTCATTATCACTTTTTCCTTTAGGATCAAAATCACTTCCACCTGCTGCCCCTCCTAGTTTGTAGGGTGATAAAGCATTCTTTAATGTCTGCAAAGAGGAGAAATGACAAATCTCACTTATTAGGAGATTTTAAAAGCCAAATGGGTTTGCAATTACCCATTTTATTGTTGCTGCCATTCAGACTAAGAAGTTCCTTTTATTAGCAATCAAACAGATTTTTTGTTTTCTATTTATCTTCTGCTGACATATGTTCAGGTCCTGGCCTAACCAACAAATTTGGAGTTTCCATAAGTATCAGTTACCTAGGATGCACTTAAAGGTAAAGCTTGAGAAAGCTCACAATCCGTACTAAGTTAAGAATGAGCAAATGAACATGAAACGGAAAGTGCAGAAAATACCTGTTCAAAACCAAGAAATTTGGCAATACTTATGTTCATTTTTGGATGAAACCGAATACCACCCCTACATGGACCCAGTGCCTGGTTAAAGTGTACCCTGAAGCCTCGATTGACATGTGTTTCCCCTCTATCATCCACCCATGGAACTCGAAAAATAATCATACGCTCTGGTTCTAACAAGCGCTCCATGATGTTGACATAACTGAAGTAAATCGGAGCAAGATGAGATCAATAGTACATTTGACTGAGGACTTTTTACTTCAAATAAAGAAGAGCAAATCATATATAACTTAAAACTTTTTTGGCAAAACTCACTGTGAATTTTTTGCAATCACTCTCTCTAAAGCATGAACAGCTTCTTGTACAGATTGTATGAACTCAGCCTCATGGGGGTCCCTTTTCAGTGCAGCTTCAATGATTGATCCAGCCGTTTTGGACATAAGAGCTTAATTGAGGAAAATTTTTCCAAGGGATTGCAAAAATGAATATAAAGGTTAGATAATTAAAAATTTTCTAAGGGGGAAAAAGAAACTAAAACTATCATTTGTGATTATCAGTGTAGTTAAAGATATGCATGCTGGCATTACATAATTAAAATAGTTGTTCGAAAGGAATCTTTATCCCAGGGCTATTTAGTTATGAAAAACAGAAGGATAAGTTAAAACCTCCAATAGTTCATTCTGACAAGTTCCATTGATGCAGATGCAATATTTTTATTATGCTTTATGCTGCAGTTACTTTTTTTAAAAGAAAATTAACCAAATATTCAGAAGAGGTAGAGAATAGAGAATTGTGCAACAGCAATAACGTTTTGTAATGCCAACAGAAACAATGTTCTGAGTCGGAACGAAGTTTTAAATCTATAATGACAGAAACCATACCTCTGTCACTCATTTAAGAGTTTTAGTCGTGCACCAGCAGAAGCTTGAGAGACAACACTAATAGTCTGATTGGACTCTCATTCATACTTTTTGTTTTAAGAGTCTAAAACACCTCTAGTATTAGGATTCTAATGATGGTCATTTGAAAACTGTCCTCCAAATTAGATACTATTGCGGCTCATTCAATAGCATTAATCTAAGTTAAATGTACTTTGATAGAATGATTCAACTTCCCTATAATAGATAAATAATACCACCCTAAAATTAAAATATAATAATAACATTTAATGCTTCAGCACAACAAGATTAAAAGAGTTTAAGGCTCCTGCATAAGAGGAAGTTAAAATAGCAAAATCTAATGGCTTACGATGAACATTGTTTGCATCAATCTAATCCACATACTAATTGAGATGACTAACCTTTTACATAAATGGGTTTATCAACAACAATCTTATCCTTCGAGGCCATTTGGAGACGAAGAGCCTCCCTGTGAAGTAAACTATTGTTGTGCTCTTCCAATGCACTCATCTGCATGTTTCTGCTTCCTTCATTCCCATAAGGATTCCTCCTATGCTTTCTACCATATTCTTTACAAACAGAGCAGAATATCCTTGCTGTTCCTTCCTTCACATCAACATACGCCCACTTGTAAGTATCAGCCCATTCCTCTCTCCATCTTTTCACAACCTTCTTCTTCCTTTTTGCAGGTTGTGCCTTCAAACTATATTGATCATCATTTGGGAGTTGAGAGACAATCGGCATCTGCTTTGTTTCATCCTGCTCTTCGACAGAAGGTTCTTGTGGTGGAACACCAATGAGAGGAGTGTTGGCAAATGAAGGGTCAACATCTCCAGGTCCAATCTCCAAGTCAATCTCCTCACCAATATCCCTGACCAGATGCCTTGGTGCTTGAATCAAGTTCATGTCATCCATTGTAGAATCCATCCCTAACCCACCACCTGGTAGCAACATTCAGCATGACAATTTCACCCAACACCTTAAAGAGCTAGGTTTCCTGTCAACATAAGACACTGCATGTCTGAGAAAAAGTGTTAAATTAATCAGCATAAAGATCAAACTGATTACAGAGAAACAAAAGTTAGGACTTCTCCTCCAACTTTATGAAACTGAGATATTCTAGTCATCACTCACATAGCAGAAGAACACTTGTAGTGAGTCTGGACATTTGAAGGCAAAAAGGGTAGAGTAAACAGAAGGAAAAGAAAAGGAAGAGTAGAGGTAGCTAGTATCCTGCAACTCATTTGAGAGAGACGTGGAGAATTGAGTACAGCAAAGTAATGGGTTTATGTATTAAACTCAATGTACTCTGATTTGAGATCATTACTAAAATAAATTTCAAGACATTTAATTGGGCTCTCAAGTTGAAAAATATAGTAGAATACTCCAAACCTAAATCCTCCCATGTTGAGGAAATACAAAAAGGGAAGCTTTGAGGGGATTTATTCACCAACAAACCACTCCCCCTACATCTAAAGACCAAAAAGAAACTCCCAAACATATTAGAGTAATCCTTTCACTCTTTTTTACTCTACTCTCTTCTACTCCCCCTCCTTCCAAACCCACTGTAACTGCAAGAATTGCTTCAAGTTTTACATTTTGTTGAATTCCAGACAACATAGAACACAAAATTCAAAATTAAACCGTTTCAATTGCTTACATTTTATTTGGATGGTCAGATAAGAGATGACTACAGATAATCATATGAAATAAGTTATGACGAATGTCAATAACAAAGACAAGAGCATAAGCATAGAGAAGCTGTCATGAACTCATACCCTTCAAGAACAATTCAGGGTAGAAAACATGGTCAACTTGCCACACATAAAAATCAACTCAGTGAACATATTGTTGCACATAAAAACCCAATCTTCTTGTATCTACACTGACTTTCCAATATATTTCAGAATCTAACCAGCAAACAATCCTTGATCCTTCTGCTTGCCCAAGAAAAGGCTAAGCAAACTCTGGCAGTAAATTCAATTCTCAGAAACCGTAACTTTTTTACTTCTAAATTTCGTCAGTAACCTAATAAAAGTCACAGTATAAATACGTCAACATGGAAAATTGAAAATTGAAGCCAATCTCAAAGCAAAAAGTCAGTAAATCACCATATTCTTCAAAACCCACGAGTTCACGCACAATAAATCAATAACCCCAGAATTAAAAGAGTGATAAATTCAAAATTTTCAACATACCCAGAAGTTAATTTGAAAGTTTAAGGAATACCCAGAAGCTAAAATCAAGAGAAAAGATAAAAGTACCTTAGAAATTCTGCATAAAGGTAACAACTTTGAAAACCAACGAGCTAAATTTTACTGCCGCTTCTGAAAGTACGCACTTTTGTTTTTGTCCTGAGTCCTCTTTTCCGTTTTGTCTAACAATTTTGCTAATATATCTAAACTGACAGCGAGATCGTGCTCTTCTTGATGATTCTTAGTGGTAATTTATTCTCTGTAATTGATTTCATCTGATTATGGACTAAAAATAAATAAATGAAAATATTTGAGATTCCTGTAAAATTAGTAGAAGTATTATTTAATTAATAAATTTTTATTTTAAAAAATATTAAAACTATTAAAATTTTAATATTTCAATATATATATATATAATCCTTATAAGCTGACTCACTTTTTACCCTAAAAAAAAATTGGTGTAGGTTCGGCTTTCGACGCCCTCATGGCCGCCTCCCCGACGAAAAAGCGAAAAATCCCATGCCCATGTGCTGGTGATAATGCCGATTCAGTAGTTAAAGCCCCCAAAGCCCTGGGTGTGGAGTTAAAGAAAACGGTTGTTAAGCAATGTCAGTATGAGGACGATGGTGATGAGAGTTGTTTAGAGATAAAGAAGGTGTTGAGATTAATGGATTTTCAAAAGATGACTGGGGAAGAACTAAAGAGCAAGGTTTCTTTGTTGAAGACAATGGCAGCAGATTTCAAACCAAAATCAGTGGCTTGTTGGGGCAGCAGCGATAGAATTCCCTTCTTGTTTCTATGTCAGGTGTTTGATTTGATCTCCCAAGAGCTGTTACGAAATAATGTGAATGTTGCATGCAATATGTTAAGGACAGTGATGCAAACCGCACGTCGGGATTTGCTGGCTGCGGTTCATCTTTTAGCCAACAAGATTGCTCCCAAGCATGAAGGTGGGTCTGATTTGGGAGTTGGGGAGACTTTGATTATCAAGGCGTTAGCTGAAGCGTATGGGACAACTGAGGACCGTATCAATGACCAATACAAGATGTTAGGAGATCTGGGCGAAACTGCAAAAGCTATATGTCCCTCTCAACCTGTGATGTCCAAGCCCCAAACACTTACTGTTTCTAAAGTTTTTGAAACATTGCTGCTCATTGCCAAGGAGTCTGGGAGGAAAAGCAAAAAGAAGAAAATGGATTGGATTAAAGCACTTGTCATTGCTGCTGGGAATTGTGAAATTAAGTATATTATTCGTCTGCTTACCCCTAAGATAGGCACCCGAATTGGATTTGCAGAGTCAACCCTTCTAGAAGCATTGGGACAAGCTGCTGTATACAATGAGAATCCTATTCCTGAACCTATTCATTCACCCTTACAAGAGGCTGCCAAGATTGTCAAACAAGCACACTCAGTTTGTCCTGTTTATGATAAGTTAATCAGGGTGATTCTCAGTGATGGTGTATGGAGTCTTCCAAGGAAATGTTGCTTTTCCGTGGGTGTACCTGTTGAGCCAATGCTGGCAAAACCTATTGAAACAATATCTGAGATACTCGAAAGATTTGATGGCGTGGAATACTCTTGTGAGTATAAGTATGATGGAGAACGTGCCCAAATTCACTACATGGCGGATGGTAGGGTGGGGATATACACGCGCAATCTTGAACCAAGTACTGAAAAGTTCCCGGATGTTGTTATTACTGTAACAAGATTGAAGAAGCCCTTCGTAAAATCATTTGTTTTGGACTGGAAATTGTTGCTTATGACCGTGAAAAACAAGAAATTCTTCCCTTCCAGATTCTTAGTACTCGAAGGCGCAAAAATGTGGCTGTGAATGACATAAAGGTCCAGGTTTGCATATATGCTTTTGATATGTTGTACTTTAATGGACATTCGCTCAACGAGGAACAGCTTAGAATTCGTAAAAACCATCTTTATGAGTCATTTGAGGAAGAACCAGGATTTCTTCAGTTTGCAACTGCACTAACATCAGGCAAACATAATCAGAAGGAAATAGAAAACTTTCTTGACACTGCCATTCATGCAAGCTGTGAGGGTTTAGTCATCAAAGGTTTAGATGGTACATACGAGCCTGCTATGTATTCATGTAATTGGCTGAAACTGAAAAAAGATTCCATGGAAGGTATTGGGGACTCAATGGATCTTGTACCGATTGCTGCATACTATGGCCGTGGGAAGCGCAAAGGTGTCTATGGTGCTTTTCTTCTTGCTTGTTATGACAGTAATAATGCAGAATTTCAAAGCTTATGTAAACTAGACACTGGATTTTGTAAAAAAATCCTTACAGAAGTTTCTTCCCGACTCTCTTCAAAAGTGATTCCTAAACCAAAGCCATATTACATATATGTTGCAGAAAAAGTCAAACCAGATGTATGGTTTGAACCCTCAGAGGTTTGGGAGGTGAAAGGAGGATGTTTGACTATCAGCCCTGTTTATTCTACTGCCATTGGAATAGTGGAACCTGATAAGGGTCTTTCTGTTCGATCTCCAAGCCTTATTCGAGTTCGAAAAGACAAGGATCCTGAGCAAGCTTCTTCGTCTGAGCTGATCGTTGAGATGTATCACAAGCAACTTGCAAAGTCAACCAAATGATCAGAAGATGATGAAGGGGGGGTGACTAGACTACTGGGATTGACTTACATAAGCATTTTGATTGAGCTATATTATCATTTTCCTTTTTTTATTAAGCATTTCCGATGCTATTTCTATCTTAATTTTCTTACGAACCTAATTTGCCTCTGAAAAATGTGTGACAACGAATGCCTCATTAAGTGAAATGCCAAGGTTATGCAATGGAGTAACTCACCAACTTGTTTAAAGAGTTACAGAACTAAAACAAGAAAGAAAAAAATATAATACTGCCCCTATCCCAGTATGTTAGCAAGTTGAACTTGCAATTTCATCTGATATTTTAGTCAATTACGTTCCAGAGATGATAGAGTTAAGCTATAAATCTTAATTCTCCATTAAAGGGATAACACCCACCAAATCAAGCCTGGTTTTATATACCTGTTTATAAACAAAAGAATCAACTTCAAGTGTTGCAGCAGTCAAAAGAGCTTTTGATATCAATAGCTTTCTTGGTGCCATCCATCCTCATACACTTACCAGGATTGGTATGTTATAGCCACAAATGCCTTTCTGCTATTGTATAAGACCCATCTTAATTCAAGGGATAAAATGTATTATACTCAAACTATGCCGAAGCCAAAACAATGCCTGAGCATCTTTTTTTTTTTTTTTTTTTCAATCATTTGTATACACTTGTTGGTTGCAAAAGCAAGATTAAAACAAGCTGTCAAAAAATTCTAGGACAAAATTGGGGCCCAAAAGCCAAAGTTCTACACGTTATACACACCCAATTTGGGTAGAGCCTATTGCACATCACACCTCAATTCCTCTAGGACCATGGAGCAGAATGTGATGTGTTCCTATCACCTTGAACCATCTATAACCATTTACAAGTGCTCCATTCTTAAAAGGGCAAAGCAACACATTACTGTTGCAAGAATGCCTGCCCTGCAAGACAATGGAGAAATAGGTTTCGCCAATTGCAGCTTAGTATGAAAGAAGAGGGTCCAATCTGTTGGACACGAAATTTGAAATAATTCACTATCAATCTATTGAATGTGACTCAGCATACTCTAGAAGCCTCTGCTTAAGGTTCTGCAATAAGGAGGAACCTCTAAATTACTAATCATGGGGAAAGAGGAGAGAAGAGACAGAGAGATTAGATGATAGTACTAGCAATCACCTTCAGTTCATGATGGAGCACAACAAATATTTTCTTCAGTCTTTTATGTCTCTGCAAATCAAAACAGTCTTGAGCTAGAACATAAATCCGAAAGGAAAATTTTCAATTTTCAAAGTTAAAGAAGATGGATACACATCACTTAGAAGTAAATAATAGGAACATTTCAGAAGCCAGGCAATAAGGCATATAATAGGTACAAATTTCAACACCCTTGCATTTCTCAATAACAGAAAATACTGATATTTTCAGACAAGATCAAAGCACCAGATACTAATGGAGACCTGGGGTTCATTAAGACTGCCACCACATTAGTTTGTGTTTATTAAACAGTTAACATTATATGCAAACTTCTTCTAGACAATGACATAATGTAGTAATTTCGACAATTATCATTATATGCAAACTTCTTCTAGACAAAGACACAATGTAGTAATTTCACTGCTGGTAAATGATATCATCCATCACTCTATTCTGCTCATCATGTCTCCTTAAAATATGAAAAGACTGATTGCTTCTCGGCTGTTTATCATATTCTTACCATTAAATCACAATAAGAAAGTCAAGGTCACGTAGGCAGAACCTTAATTTCAAATTGGCATCAATATCTAAACTTGATAATAAACCGAAATTCAATTTATCAGGCAGATAGATTAGTGAAACATTACCTCGTCAGAGGGTTCCATGTCTTAAAACATTCCACCCTTAATAAGAAAAAGGATATAGCAAATAAACTAAAGAGAAAATATATACCAGTCCGCACTGGTGATAAGACTTCAGCAATTGCTCCAAGGTCTTACAATATTTCTCCTTGTCCCTATCTTTCGAATATTTGAGGTCCTTACCTAGCTTTTCAAAGTCATTCCTGTATGTAAGAGGTTATTCCAAATAGAAGTTCATCAAACAAGTCAAAACACAAATACAAAGTGCAGTAACACCTTATAAATGAGCAGAGGAATTCTGAATAAAACCTATAGGTCTGAAGGGTCTTGTCCAAGTCGTTGTAAGATTCATATTTTTCACAAAACTCATTCATATATGCTTCATACCTAGCATAACAAACACAAAAATAGTTACTTTGAATTAGATGTCACAGTCCTCTAAAATTCAGCACAGCCACCACATTTTAAAAGAACAGATACATCTACAAATATAACTACTTACTGAGATGCATCCTTAATTGGTCCCCTGCACTCTGGCTCATCTTTTTCATACTTAACATAAGGACAAAAGTCTTCATCTGAAGAAGACCCCATTTTCTTTCGACCATTTACATTGCCATCTGTCAAAACTGTATCCTTATGCACATCAGTCACATCCACAATTTTATTAGATGTTGGTATTTTGCTTTCCTTTATGAGCTGGGACACTGATCCTCGTTTCGATTCCTGCTGTTGTGGTGCCTTCTTATGGCTTTCACCACAATCATCCAGGCCAATTCCCAGTTTGGCACTAGTTTCAGTTTGTCTGGTTTTACTAGTATCTGTCAATTTATTAAACTGGGACACAACTTCTTGTCGCTCTAATCTTGAGAGATGTTGTGGCTGCGACTGAACAACCCTATGATGCAATCTTGTTAAATCTTCAACATGATGTTCTGTTTTATGCCTGCTTAGATTGGGTGGAGATGGCTTTCCTGAATCCCAATTTGTCTTCCCAACAGGTTTGCCCCTGTTTAGATCAGGATTAAAGTTATCTGAGGTGCTTGTCCTACTGCCTGACCGTTTAAAGGAACTTTTTCTCTCAAATTGCTTCTTTATTGAAGTTCCCTCAACCAACGGCTCACGAATCTCACCGAACTCCAAGAGTGAAAGCTCTCTGTGGAGAACATTGCTTTTCCCATTTGCTGGAAATCTATCTGCAGCAACCCTGCTGTTATCCTTTGGGGAAGAATTAACATATGAGCTAGAAATTTGACCAGCATCCTTGAACTTTCCAACAGTTTCACCATGTTTCCTGTGATGGAAATCAGAGGGCACAGCATTGTTATCTCCAGCACCACCTTCCTTAGGATTTCTCAGCAACCTTTTTTCCTTCATTAAACCATCCTCATTTTGAGCGTCCCTATCTTTTTGGATTATATAACCTTCATGCACATTCTTCTCAGAGAACTTACTACCATGTCCTGTGCTCTCAGTATGTTTAATAGGCCTTTCTGCTCTATTAGTAGGTTTAGCACAAGCGCCTTGATCAGATGACCTACAACCAGATTGATGAAAATCTGAACTAGATTTTATGGGAAACACCTGATTGTATCCCTTTTGAGAACCAAAATCAGAATGTTCTTCTCTGTCACCTTTATTGATCATTAGAACAGAAGAGTTTTGGTAAAGCTTGTCTATGGGTCTACTAGGAGAAAAATTGTGAATATTCCCAAAGAAATTGGCATCTCTACTCCCAGAAGCAGGTGGTTGACGTGTGCTTTCAGACTTCAATCTTTTAGAACGTTCAGACTTCTCATCAAAGTGCTTCAGATCAGATCCTCTTTTGGATTTATCTTTGCATAACTTCTCAGAGTTGTCAGATTGTTCATGCCTCATGCCATGCTTATTGATATTTTCTGCGTCATCAAAGAGATTTCCTATGAAATTTTCACACTCCTGGAGTTCATCATGATCAGATGAAGATGGTTTTGCTCCTTCCTCAGGTTTCTCACCTTCTTTGTTAGCGTTGACAGCCATTCCAATTTCCTGTTCATCTTCAGGCAAGTCTTTCTCAATGTCAAAAGCAGCTGATCCATGACCCTCAATATCAACAGCATCAGATCCATTACCTTCAATATCAACTGCATCAGATCCATCACCATCTTGATTTTCATCCATCCCATTCTGCAGAGACCTGCCATGTTCAGTTTGCCACAGCATAGGTGATGTCAACAGTCCTGGTTGAGAGGTCTGTAACCCCTGTTTGATCTCTTTGTCATCATCACTGGTCATTATATCCACATCCTCATCAGACCCTTCCTTGCTGTTGGAAGAAGCATCGCTTGCACTGTCACTGCTACTCCCGCTCCCACTTGCTACCGGGCTCCTACTCCTGCTGTGGCTTCCACGGTCACTTCCACTATCACTGCTGTCACTGTCACTATCACTATCACTGCCACTGTCACTAACACTATTTGCTGGCCCCTCACTATTGTCAGAAGCTTTTCTCTCCCCACCTAAATCAGGTGAATGTTGTTGGATGTCAATTTGTTCTAACACATTTGATTCTACCCCAAGTTTAGAGTCTAAATGGGTCTGTTCCTCCATTTCATCATGAGTAACTTTCTCCACCAGGCTTGGTACTGAAGCAGGTGTCTGGTCATGGTTTTCTTCAGGAGCTGGAGTCTGATGACAGTTATCTTCAGGTGAACTGCAAAAATAAAGATAAACAACATTATATCGTGCTGCATGTGCTGCACAGATAAACATGTTCACTAGAATATATATATATATATATATATATATATATATATACACACACACATAAATACACACATACACACGGATAAGCTTTTAACTAAGCAAAAGACTAAACCAAGAATGAAGTTCTCAGGGTTCTTTAATACTTAGAAGTGGCACCAACCAATTTTTAATGTACTCATCTTTATTGACAACTATTTGAGATAATCATTAAACAGAAAATAACAAGAAGATTAAGAATAACCATAGCAACATTTAATTCCAGATAATCAAGAAAAAGATTTATGGCATGGGATTCCAAAAATTGTTTAATTTAGAGTCATCTAAACCATTATTTCTCTAAAACATAGAAGCTAAATAGAAAAAGAATCTTGGATAATTATGTTAAAAAAAAAAAAACTTATTTTGAATTTGATTACCTAAAATAGCACTACTATCTCATAGGAAAAAAAAGTCATTGTATCTTTCTACTAGATAAAAGCTAACCTATCTATATATAGGGTAAAACTTAGTTAAAGTTCTTTCAATATTAAAACCACATCCTGAGTTAAATTGCAGGCTCAACATTGAACTCACCTTGAACTTCTAACATTAAATCCCCATGCTAAGTTAAGACATGGAGTGATTTTATTGAGGAACCTAAGGAACTTTTTCAGTCCTCAGTCTTACCTATACACACACACACATATATACATATATATGATGAGAATAAGAAACATCAAGTACAAAGATGAAAAAGAACAAGAAGAGAAATCAATTTAATCATAAGATTGATCAAATCAATCCTATCGGATATGAAAATCACAGGTACCTTCCACTTTCAGACGAAGGTTTCTTCGAGCTTTCAAACTCCACTCCTGGTTTCAAGAAATATCTTCCTGGAGCTTGAAAATTTGCAATCTGATGCCCAAAATTAAAGGAAAGCATAAGATCACATATTATTCTCAAAAATAGTTGCATCAAGGATTTCCATCACTTACTTTTTTTACAATGGGCTCAATCTTTCGTGCAGAGTTAGGGATTGTATCCCCAACAGCTTTCTCCAAGGCCTGTAGCCATTTCAGAAAGAGAGAGACTAAGAGATAAAATGATCCCAAAATAAAGTAATGGACTGAAGCCAACAACATGCACTAGCAGCAACAGAGGGACAATTAATTTAAAACTTCCACTTAATCCTAGCCCTTGCCTTTAAGCTCATCCCCTTGGGATTCTCCTTCAGTAGACAGATCAGTAGACTCTGCAAGTCCATTGGCTTAGGTCCAAAGTTTCCTCTGCGCCCTGGCATCTCACACACTGCACTAGGAGCACTGGTTGGTATTTCTTTCTCAGAGTTGGAAATATTTTCTTTGCTGTTCACCTGGGGAGGCATAACATCCTCAACGCTTACATGACTCAAGGTGATATTTCCAATTCCAATAGGAGATGCTGCAGCACCAGAGTGCTCAGGTGGAGACGGTAAAGGCGAAGATGAGCGTCTTACTTTCTCACTAGCGGCTGAAATAAACCCTGATTTATAGCCAGATTTTGGAGGGGCTCCAACTACAGCTGGTGCAAGAAACATACAATGCAATAACACTTGTTAAGAAACCTAAACAGAAGAGAAAGGAACTGCAACCATTTAAAAGAAAAATCTCAATACCTCATACAGATTGTTACTTTTGGAGAGACCATGCAAAAAACATAAGGTTGTTTTCAAAATTAATTAAATGAAATTCAAATGATTTACCTTGAGGTGTCTCAACTTTCCGCTTCTTAAAGGCAGACTCCTTTATAAAATGGGACTTCCATGGACTAGCTGGAAACACAAGAGACATATAAGACGCTGAACATTTATGCTCTAAAAGGTGACATCTTTTGATCTTAAATGATCTCTAACAGCTATTACTTTCAGTGAAAAACATTTCCAATGGGCTTTTTCTTCCAATATCTTTTAGCATGTATCGAGCATGCAAGTTCTTTTTCCCTATAAAGAGTGAAGGCCATGGCTAAAAATACATATGAGAAGAATCATCCTCATTACTAAGGAATTTCATTAATGAAAAAGTAACTTGAAGATATCATCTCAAAGCGTGGGCATAAAAAAAAAATAAATGCATAAATAAAGCATCATAAGAAAATACACAAGGGAAGAGATCTTAAATAGACATAAGTCCCAGCATACCCTTGTTGTGATGCTTATTGCATTGGTACCTGTCTATATGTCAGAAAAGGCAAAAATATACTGGCTACTGGCTATGGAAAAAGAGACGGGGTGCAAACACAAAATCACAAAGAAAAACTTACCCTCAGCAGCAGCCAATTGCTTGATTTGACTCTTCATAGAAGGGTTTCCATGGTCTAATACAATGGCTCTGTCATCAACACCAAAAGAAAGAAAAGATGAAAACAATAATGTTTATATAACTTAACCCTACTACCAACAGTGACCAATGACATAAGAGTGTAACATCATAAAATATTTACAACAAATGAATAACCAGAACCACATAAAAGATAAAACAAAAGGCCAGAGTTTCTTCCCGAAACGTAATCAGGAACAAGAATCCAAATTTTTAATGCAAACTAGGAAATGGTAAAATTCGACTAAAATCCAGACTAAAGAGCTTCTTAATCAGAAGGGTTTCTGATATTATTTGAGTTGTCTCTATAATGGCAATGTGGAGAGTTATGCACATCTCCTTTCTGAATGTTCTTTTTCAGCTAGTCACCACTCAGAATTCTTAAAGAAGCATCGCAACATCAAAAATACTGCAAAAAATTGGGTGGTGAACTTTAGCTATGCTGATGATAGAATAAGCAAAGTGAGAAGAATTATATTAGCTGTTATTATGAATAGAATCTGGTATAAGAGAAACAATGGTTTACGAGGTGATTTCAAAGATCAAGTGGCTGTTTGAATAAATTGTTATTGATATTGATTTGAGACTGATTGACTGACTTACAGTGTGGTAGATCAAGACTACTATTTTTATAACCGGAACTTGGGAGGTGAGCTTCAACATGAGAAAGATCCCGTGTAATGGAAGGAGCTCTTAGAAGTTATAATGATTTAAGCAATGGTCACGGATCTCTATCCAGGAAAAGATGAGGATAGAAGTGTCCTGAAGAACTCTCAAGGTGAAGCAGTGCTTGCTTTTCCAGGAATTGGCTTGCCTACAACTGTTCCACAGCATTCATTAGAAGAAACAGAAAAGCACCCAGAGATTGCACTTCAGCATAGCATTAACCTCGTTACTGTTTCGTCAGATTCTCACAATGCTGTCAGTATTTGAAGGGAGAGTTCTTGTAGTGCTAAGAGGCTAGTCTAGGAGATTATGAAATTTCAGCTGGATTTTGATCAAAGTACAGGCAAACATGGAAATAGAGAAAAAAATTCTCCACGAAAAGGGTTGCCTTCGCTTATGCAAAAAACAGCTAAATGAAGAACTAGCTAAACTGTACTGAATGAAACTCCAGTCCAGATGCAGAAAATGGAAACCAGCTAGATACTCTCAAACAAGTGCAAAAATGGCAACTAATGTAGTGCATTAACCAGCCAAAGAAATGTCAACAGGTGTCTCCTCACATGTTGTGTATTACTAACAAATTATATGCTATAAAAATATCTACATTTTGATAAGCAACCGTTTTGGAATATAGATCTAGATCTGAATCGTCATAACTGGACATAAACAACATAAAGTACAGTAGAGAAGAGAAACAAATATGCATGCTTAGTCAAATAATGACATGAGAAAACCATCCTAGATAACATACTTGCGTGATTTATGCTTGCGTTCAGCTTCCTCAGACCGCATCTTAACATGGTTCGTGGTTGACTCATCCAAGACACGTTGAACATTCAACTTGCGCCATGCACATCCAGATTCAACAAGCAAACCATTTCTTTCTTCACCACTTTGACATTCTTCATATATATCACACAGATCACCAAATTCCCGTGACCAAGTAAACCTAAACTCCTTCCCACCAACATCAATGACCTAAAGTCGTGACAATCAATTTAAACCCATATTTGTTGTTAATTGACAGGCACTTATATGTAAATAAGTTTAAAAAAAGAAAAACGTGAGCACCGAAGAGAAAATAGGAACTTCTGTCTCCAAAAGTCTAACAGATTATGGGAACATCATTAATTCAAAATAAGAGAAGAACATCAAATCAAGATTGTTAGTGCAGCAACATCTCAAAAAAGGAGACAAAACTCTCAGGCCCTGGCCAGTTTTTCTGTATTCATGCTACAAACTTTCATAATTAAAAGGCCATCCGTCAATCATGAGAATTTTCTGCATAATTCTAAATCCACCCAAAAACAAGTAGAAAGCCACTGATGCAGTCCATAAAACATATCAACTGACAAAGGTGCCCCAGACAATATAATGCAATCAAAAGAAAATTTAACACATCCTGCACTAAATTCTAGTGCCAATGATTTGAAGGCTCCATTTACCATCAAACAGACCACACAAATAATACAACCTTTTGTTTATACATAAGAAATACCAACTTTGGTGGATAGAGATAGCCCTATTATTTTAAACCAGTTGGTTAGGTTAGTTCATTTTTCAGCAAATGCGTCTTTTTTTTCAGAGGTTTTGGTCCCTGAATAATCCTGCAAACTAACTAATATTCTCCTAGTACATGTTAGCATGTCCTCAACCAACAACAAAGTTTGTGTCTAAACTTTGTACTAAACTTTCAAATTTTGCATGCTTTATATAGTACTCCTAGTTTAAGCACCCCCTACTACATCTAGTACACAAAGACTTAAAAGCCAATATCATATTCAAAGCAGGAATCACCAAAATTCAGAAATGAAAGCTAAATCATCATATAATAAAAATTAACTAACAATGAAAGTTTGTCTATAAAGAATGAATATAATTGGTGCACAATGTAAACGTTTCAGACCCAACCCAAGACATGCTAGGGATTACACAAACAAAAGAGATACAAAATAGACCAAATACCCTCATAGCTGACTAGAATCCAGAAAAACTACAACCTAGTCGAGATAAAGACCAAGCAAACCCAGCACAGTTACAGAATTACCTGAACATCTCCCAATAAACCACCAAAATTTAAATAAAGCAACAGAACACAACCCACAATCATCCATGAAAAAATCCAAAGGAAGCACCAACATGACAAAATCCAAAACCTACCCCATAAAGTTACCCAATTTGAAATTAAACCAGGTTGAAAAACCCTATCGAGCAACTTACATTTCCATAATCAGTTGTAAACTAAGAACTACACAAACATGACAACAATTCAAAAATTCCATAACCACACACAGTTACATCCAAAGAAAAAATCAGAAACGAAAAGATAGCCAGAATAAAATAACCAAGAAAAACAAAAATATAAACTAAATTCCATAACAATTCAAAAAAGCATTATAAAAATTTTAAAAAGAAAATAAATGTAAGCTAAACCCAGAAGAGTTCTGATCAAGCAGCATTCGTTCCTACTAATTTTATCCCCATAGACCACCAAAAGTATATGTACAGTTAAGAAAACATTTTAAGGATAATATAAACCCCGATGAATTCCAATCAAGCGGAACCTTTTCCCACTAGTTTTATCCCTAAAAACAATCAACATTCGAGCAAAAAGAAATACAATTTGAAATAAAGAGCAATAAAAATTTTAAAAATTGAGCAAAACCCAGCTGAATTCTCCTTTAAAAACTCACATTCCCACTAGGGTTAGTCGGAATTGAATCAAATTTAATCCTGGCCGTCCCTCCTTGACCCTCAAGCCGCCTGATCTCCTCCACCAAATCTGGCGCCAACCTAATGATCAAAGCGAAAGCCAATGGATTGTTCCCAGAAACAAGCGAAAAGCTCTCTTCGACAGCCGGTGCAGGTCCCAAACCGCCCCCAATACCGGGACGGTTGCGAGAGGCGGAGCCGATGGAAAGTCGGCCAGTTGGGGCAGCGGAAGAAGAGCGGTGTGGCGGCGGCCGAGGGAATGAAGAGCGGTTCCAAGGACCTCCGCCCCCACGGCCCCCGCCTCCTCCGCGGCCGAGCTTCGAGGAGCCTCCGTACATTGGTTTTGAAGGAGTGGTTGACTAGATTAGTTCCGTTGCGTTATTGAGACATGTAAATTTTATTTACACATCGTATATTTACACGCATGCGTTTTCGTATTTGTACGTATATATAGAAAGAATGGCGGCGCGTGGAAAAAATGGCGGAAGAAAGAGATAAGAAAGGAGTGCATTGGGATAGTTTCTACATTTGTCATATTTTGTAGTGGGAGTTTGTAAAATGTTGGAATTGCAAAATCTCCTACCTATTTTTGGTATTGTACAGTTAAATACATTCTATTATATAGTATAATTATAATTTTTTTATTCAAAAAATTTAACATTATTATTATTATTTATTGACTATTAAAAAATTTTAAATTTCAATTATTTTGAATTTAAATAGTAAACTAGTTGTATACATATCATCAATTAAAATATTTTTTGTGCATATTTAAATACTCTTTCTATCCTTTTTTTATTTATTTATTTTTTGAGATGTCTCAAAATTATATCTTTTTTTAATATCTAAAACTCTTAAATTTTTATATTTTAAAATTATTTTTATGATTTTTTAATATTAAAAATCATAAAGCTTTATTTTTATAAAAAAATAATTTAATATTAAATATAATAAAATAACAATTTTTTTAAACTCCGAAAAAATTAAATATAATAAAAAACATGTAATGTTATTTTGAGCATAATAGAAGTTTTTATATATATATATATATATATATATATATATATATATACTTGCTTGTGTTTAGTTGTAGGGGTTTTAATAATTGGTATTAAATGTTTAATGGCAAACTCATTTGTGTAAAAATAGTTAGTTTCAAATTTATGATAAATCTATAAAATAAAATGAGCAATAAGTGTCACATGTGATCTAATTATCATTTGGTAATTCAATATGATAAATTAATTTGCTAAATATAATTATTAAGTATGATAAATTTAAAAAAATATTATTTACTTTTTATATTTTTTAAAATATTTACTTTTTAGACTTAAAAGCTTAAGAATTTAAATTCTAATTATTCAAACTAAACTCTAATACTTTATTAATCGACAATATATAACATAAACGTGCCAAAATTTAAACTCGACTTTAGGTCATTTTTTCTTACATTCATTTATTTTGCTATAATAAAGCATAATATTAATTAATTATTTTATATTATTTAAAATTTTTTAAACCTAGACTTATTGATAAACAAAAATGGATTAATGATTAACGATTATAGTCCTAACCAACATCAAATGAGTTTGAAGATATTTTCTTTATAAAAACAAAATATCAAAACAAATATCATAGGTTAAAATAATAAAAAAAATCTTTAAATTTTCATTTTATTTAAATAAATTTTTATATTTTTATTGTATCAAAATAAATTTTTTATTTTTAATTTACATAAAAATAAGCATTTAATTTTTAATTTATATTTAAATAAATAAATAATTTTTATTTTGCATTTAGATAATTTTTTAATATAAATTAATTTTTTATTTTTTATTTAAAACAAGAGTTCATGTAAACACAAATGAAAAGATAATAATTTATTTAAGTATAATAAAAATATAAAAATTAATTAAATAAAATTAAATAGTTCAAAGTTTTTTCGAAGTATTTTAGCCGTTACTTTTCCGTGAAGCAAAAAGTGCAACATAAGAAGAAACCCACTCTCCAAAAACCTGAAGTCTCTCGTTCTTTCTCAGTGGATCCCCACTAGTAATCTAATCATGCTGACAGGTTATATGCTCGAAGCTTTTTGTTGAGTTTTTCCACTTTCCTTCATAGTTACTGACCCATTTCATTTTCTGGTTTATTGTTATTGTTGATTAATGAAACTGCTAGAAAATTTTATTAATGGACTTCATTTTGGATTTTTTGAAATGGGTCTTCTTGCTTTTTCCATTTTTTATCTGGGTTTATTTTGGGATTTGATTTTATTGTTCCATGTTTGCTCCTTTATGTGATTTTCGATTTTTTTTTTTTTTGGGTGTATATGGGATTATACTAGCTGTTAAGGAACCAAGCTAATGTGGGTTTCCGTTGTCTCAGCGTTGAATTTGAGGGTTGTAATGTTCATTTTTCTTTTTTACCGTTAAGTTTACGTAGTGGAAGTAATTTATTGAGTATTGAGATATTCCATAAGCAGTTGATTAAGCGTCTATATTGCATTAAAAAAATTAAACTTTATGTGCTTGAATTTCGCAAATACGTCTAACATTTGAAAAGATCGAATTTTTATCTCTATGAACCCAATTTTGCTCATAGTACTGAAATATAAAAATGGTTAAGAGTTATAAAACTTATGGGAAAATTTAGATAGACATTCTATTCACTTTGAACTAAATTCAAACTTCGAAGATTTATGTTGCAAATTTAGGGACGAGTTTGAGTGGTGGTTAGTTAGAGGCGAAATCAGCTGTCAATGTTGAGGCTTTATCTTGGTTACATGTATTGCATAAAAAGTATCCCCTATTCGGCCAGTTGCATAATGGTGTCTTCATGCAGCGGGTTCTTTTTTTCTTTTTTTTTTTTTTAGAATCTACTGTACATAATTCTCTTCCTCTTTTAGATTTGTTTATATGCCTATATGTAATTTGGAATTTTCTACAGGATGCTGAAGAATGTTGGACACAACTTTTATGCACACTTTCTCGGTCTCTTAAATCACCAGGTTCCAGGTAGTTTTGTGGTTTTTTTTTTTGTCATTTAGATCACTATCACTAAGTTATGCTGACTGGCATGAGTTTGAGCAAATCCATGTTACTCCTGATAATTGAAACAGTCTCATAGAAGCCTGTCACTTGCGGCTTATCAAACTTTTTCAGCTACATTAGGGATTTTTTATATTTTGAGCAGTGTTATCTTGCGTATTTGTGTTGGTACTGCAATGCTTTGCTAGCATATATCTTCTTATTTTAGTAACCAACATCTATTTAGAAAAATAATACTATACTCTCTTTTTTTTTTTTCTTTCTACAGTGAAAATCTTGATACTGTAAAGGACCTTTTTGGTATTGAACTTGTAAGCAGGTAGATATCTACAGATTTGGTCATTGTTCTGTGTTTTATTTAATGATGACATTGTTAAGTTATACGGTTTATATAAGTCAATGCCATGTTATGTAACTGTTGGATAATTGTTGGTGCTATTCAAATACCACCAGTGCTGTGCATGCAAGAAATACTGATAAAGATCAAATTTCAACAAGTCTAGACAAGCAAAATCATAGCACACCTTGTCTTTTCATGCTAAAATCAAAGTAGTTTATGCACTTTCTAAGTTCAAGGGACATTAGGATTGTTGTGTTCTTTATTTGGTCTTTTGGGATAATTATTTACCGAATATTCATCTGTTTTGTCTATATGCCCCAAGTTTGTGTAAAGCATGTAAGTTATATCAACTATCTTCTTCCTATTCTATATGTGTATTAAGTATATTCATTCCTGCATGCAATGCTTTTCTTTTGTTAGTCTTACTTGTCAACTTTCTGGCTGAATGAAAAAGATTTGAGTTTAAGATAGTTATTGTGTTCGGTGCCCTCTTGCTGCTGATTGCACTTGTAATGTGTTTTAATTTATCTTTTTTTAAAATAAAAAATTAAGTAACAAATTTACGATATTGGATTTATTTTAATATCCCAGCCACTCTGCCATGCACATCAAATTACAAATTAATGTTAATGTCTATTATTATTCATCCTTTTGTAGCTTCATCATTAATTGAATGAAGAATCTGATTCTAAATACATTGATAGTTGACATGATTAAAAAGGTTTCTATATATAAGGGTTTAAAATCAGAATTGGAAAAGGCTTCTCCTGTCCTGGGGTGCGGTGCAATCTATGTGAAAGAGTCCCGAATTAATGGCTTGCCAAGGTAACTAATGGCTTCCTTTTTGCCTCTCTCTCTCTCTCTATATATATATATGTGTGTGTGTCTGTGTGTATATATTGTACATTTGTAATGTAGTCTGCTAAAATATCACGTGACATTTCTTTCTTATGTTACTTCACTGATGTAGATTCCATATGCTATTTTGATGCTTCGTACCACCCATGTTTTCATCCATCCTTTTGAAGAGAAGAATCCGGTAACTTTTTTTTGGGGTGAATTCTGAAGGTATTTGACTATTCAGTTTGTATGGTTTTTCTGGAACAGGGAGTCAAATCAAAAGGCTAAGATACTGCAGGTATGCAAATTTTAGTCTCTGACTTGGCAGACATGTTTTCATAAAGAAATATTTATTTTTGAATTAACTAACAGGAGGAGATGACTTGGTAAAGGCACATAAATTAATGAGAACCTTCTGTGAGTTTATTAAACAATGTTTTATCTGCGTTGAACATTCAATCCAATTGCATTACCTGATATGTGTTTCCCTTTTTCAGAAAGTGGATTATGTGGTGGAATTGGATGTTTATGATCTGTGTTCGGACGAACTTTGCAAACAATTGGAAGGTCCTCGCCAGGTAGCCATTTTTGCAATGTTTTTATGAATAATTAAATTTCAGTTTGCCATCATTGACCAACTTTTTCTTGATATGCAACTTTTAGATTCTGAGGGATGAGGAAGGCAAAAAGCTTGGCTTGAAGGCTAATGAAAAGAGCTCTGGCTCAAAAGATGATTATGTCAAGATGACTGATGCAGAGGTGACTATAGGTGATTCAGCTTTAAGTGCAGACATGAGATAGCAATCCTGAGTAGTTGTGTTTGAGACAGTTTTTCATTCTTATGCATGCAGGGGTCATCAAATGCAAGTGGAGAATCATCTTCGACTGCATTTCAAGAAGGTAAAAACCCTCTATAACCTGATCTTTTGTTGCCCTAAACTGGTTACATGGGTACTTGTTTGCAGTTTATTCTCTGGATATATATATTATCAAGTGGTTACACCGAATGCAGCTTTCCTCTTTTATGTAAATGAATATCTGTTGAATAAAATGAGTTTTTAAAGCGCATTTTACAGGGACAAATTTCCCACCATCAGATTGTTATAAAGGTGCTATGTTTAAATAATTTGCTAACTCCTATAGGGAAGCTCTTGAATAACAAAATTTGAGTCCAATTGTACACCATAGTTGTTCTCTGTGAAGATGCAGTTATATTTCTCAAGTAATGAATGAGGTACTTGAAACACTTTTGACAGAATGGTTTCTTACTTCGTTTTTTCAGGGGTTCCCTCTGACAACGAAACACATTTTAACTAGGATTTATGATTTGGTTGCTGTGCTGACCCACAAAGGTCGAAGAGCAGATTCAGGGCATCATGTTGCTTGGGTCAAGCAAGAAAGCGGTCAGTTCCCTCGAATAGTTTGTTTGAGACTTTATTTCTATGCCATTTAGTATATATATTTATTGTTGTCCTAATTAATGATTGTCTTTAATCACAGGGAAATGGATTGAATTTGACAACGATAACCCTATTCTGCAGTGGGAAGAAGATATTGTTAAACTGTCTGGAGGTGGTAAACTCAATCTGACTTTTGTGAAATTCTAACCATTTCTTATACAAACAAATTCTAATGTACTAATGTTTTGAATTGACAATTCATCTCATCTCTTTACTGTTTACAATTATTGATGGGGAACATTCATTGACCCCATTGTTTTCTACGGTGTTCATCTTTTAACTGGTAATTTGTTTTCATTTTTTGGGTTTAGGTGATTGGCACATGGCATGCATCTGCATGTACAAGGCTCGTACTCTTTCAAGGTAATCTTGTTTTGATATGAGGTTTACTTTGATCCTGTTTTGCATTTAAATTAAACAGGAACCTTCTTCATATATTGAGAACTGTGAAATGGCCAAATAGACTTTTTACAGAATTGTGTTGTACTTTTATACATTGTCACATACATTCAGTATTTAGTGTGTTCTTTAAATTGATTGAATTTTAAATAATAAACTGGTTGTTTTTCTTTGGAGACGATTTTGATCAAGAAAGAAGCTATTTTCAAATCCAATTTTTGAGCTAGAGCAATTTATTTTTCCTTTTTCTTAAATGACTTGAGATTCTTGATAACGATTATGTTAAATTTTGAGATGTATATTTTTTTTAAACCAAAAAAAAAAAAATTGTAAAATCAAAACTATATTACTTGCCATTGCCAAGTTTCATATTAGTTTTTGTGCTTATGCTCGGAATTTATTTTTATATTTTTGTTTACAAATTTCAGTGACATGACTGTCATATTGCCCATATCTTGAACTATATTAAAATACTAATCCATGTATTATCCATTTGTCCTGAGAAATCAACAATAAAATTTCAGAAATTGTTGCAATGAAAAGCCACAAGTACATTGACGAGTGGCTGGAATTGGCTGCCAAAATTGGAAATGAAAGTCACAAAGAAGCAAAAGCCTTCTGCAAGTTCGAATTGACTTGACATCCAAAGGGCTCTTTCATTTTCATTTCCATCTTAACCCATGATTTTGATTCAATATGTGACTAGGAAGCAAGGAAGCGGCAATCTGGTCAATATGTCTACTGAGTGCTGGACCAAGACCACCCGCATTTGGTCTTCATTGATGCCTGACTACATCAATTTTGTGGGTAGCCAAGCAAAGTCATGGCTTCTTACTCTTCAATTTTGGTGGCCAAATAAAACACAAAACCCCTTGTTGAAGGAACCTCGGGAGGGAAGCTAACTCCAAAAGAAACCAGTTCTCATTTCTTTGACGAGTGTCTTTTAAGGTTCATCAAGTAGGATTCCAAGTTGCCAATTGCTACCAACATATGAGGACCAACACAAGAACATCATTCTCTTCTTGGCCTCCAACGGGGATAATGCAACTTCTCAAAACTTTCATTTCAGCCATTAACCACCCTCAATTTCTGTAGGAAACTTGATTTCAGCCATTGATTTTTTTTCCCCAGTTGGGTCCACCTCCTTAACTATATATAATAATGTAGTACATGCTTTTCTTGTGGGCCTAATTCCTCCATTTTTGCCAAAAAGGACTAGGGAGGAGCCCTGGCACATGTGGTTGGTAACAGATGACACTGTTAACCAAAAGGGTGGTCCAATATTTCTCAACACATTATAGTGGGTGGTCCATAAGGGGCAGAAATAAAGAGAGCAGCAGCAGCATCATTTGATAGATTCAACTCCATTAGTTGAAAAATCATCACATCAATTAATCAGATATAGATTGATTCCTCTTAAACCCACCATTTCTTCCTTCCCAAATGAAGACCCTATCTAGCTAGGCTAGAGATAAATATGCCAAAGCAAATCTGGTTTGAAGCGTGAAGGACCCTAGTGATGTGTGTATAGGCTAGGCTAGCTATTCAACAATAACCCTACCACTAATTCAGTATTGATATTTACATGTTTTGTTTTTGTAGCATGTACCACCACTAAAGGCCACATGATCTCCTGAATAATAAAGCTTAATGATTGAGTGTTATGGGTAGCACTGTACTTTTTGAATGTCTTTAAAATATTTCACCTGTTATTAAAGTTTGATATGATGTTTAATTTAAAAAATGTTAAAATGTCATCTCTCAAATATCTAAATGTCAAACTTAAGTGATAGGCTAAGGCCATGGAGTCTCAAGTCTCAACTTAGACACAAACATAACATTGATGTGATTCATTAAATGTTTGATTGATATTTATTTATTTATAAAGGATTATAGAATAATATTAAAGTAAATGATACATCCAATTTAAAACACCTTGAAAGATAAAAATTTGCATGCTCAGATATCTGGTCAAACAACCACAAGAAAACTTCAAAAATTTCTGAAATTTAACTTTGATTTATGCAATAATTTTTAATATTTATAATTTCTTTTTTTATCTTCAAGTTAATTTTTTTAAAAGAGACATAAAAATAAAAGAAACACTGTTCTCTTTAAATAAATATTGAATCTTGACAAGTTGCAAAAAGAAAAGGATACATTGAAATAACCAAAAAAAAAAAAAAATCCCAGTGAAGGGGGTTGGATTCTGTCTAGCTCTTGAAAGACAGAAACTTTAATCATATAGAGCTTCAACTAAGGAGATTGGATTTCCCATATCTTGTCGCATTCCACCAAACTCATGAACAACAAAAAATTGTCAAATTACTTTCCCTCATGAATGGCATACTAACTAACAAAAATATTTAAAGCACACACAAAAAAAGCTATACATTACTACAAAAGGATATGAAGAGGAAAAAGGGGGAAAACCCTTTTCTTAATATTTTCTTCTCTTAATATTATCATTCATAAAACACTTACAAACACACCACAAGGGAGAAAAAAAAAAAGAAAATCTCAATAACTATAGAATGGTACAATTGTAGTATGGAAGTCTTTTGTAGCATTGTCATCTCCCATAGCATCATTTTTTTTTATAAAAAAAAAAAAAATTTCAAACTCCACAATTTTAATATAAAAATACACATACTTTATCATTAAATTAAATGCTCGGATATTCTCCTATGGCATCATTAAATACTACAAAATCATGCAATTATCATCACAACCTTAGGTTTTAATTACCATGATTAAGCAGAATTAAACAAAGGGAAAGTGGGGAGATATTAAAAAAAGGGGCAAAATTCAAAAATATATTTTGTCTATCTCTACTGAAAACTTGAACCTGGAGTGTAAATAGCTAGATCAGGCCAACCACTGCTACCACCAGTCCAACAAGTTGTATCCCCACTACCCTGCACACCCAAATAGCTCTCCCCATTATTATTGCTCTCTTCCAATCCCGGATCCCGACCCGAACCTTGATCCCTTCCACGAACCGGATCCAAATTCCCTCCGAAATCACCCATTTGCACCGTTTTCAAACCGGACCCATTTGGATTCAACCCTTCTAGAAGGTTCCCAAATTGCCCACTCGATGCCAACAGCGAGCTAAAGCTCCCACCGATATCCATCATCTTCCTATCTTGATCAATCGACAAGGCATACATCCGGGTCGGGTCCGTATGTGAACCTGAAGTCTGAACCCCCGAGTTCAAAACAATTTGCTGGGGAATCGTCGATGATGTTGTCAGCGGCGGAGAGGGGTCAGGGACTTTTTGGTTTCGGGTCAAGCCAGGGGTGGAATTGGGCTGGCGTTTAGGGTTGTTGGTGGAGGAGGATGAGGACGAGGACGAGGACGAGGAGGAGCGTTTGGTGTTCTTGCGAGTACCGCCACCCACAGGGATGTTACGAAGGGCGCCACCTTTGGTCCAGTAACGGCGGCAGTTCTTGCAGAAATGGCGGGGCTGAGACAAGTTGTAGTTGTTGTAGTAACAGAATTTAGTGTTGGTTGAGTCACACCGTGGGCATTTTAGCTGCTCTTGCTCTGGAAAACCCGGTCCTTTCATTTGTTGAAAACCCGTCTGATCTTGCATTTTAATTAATTCTCGTGACCTCAAACGAGTAAAAAGGATTACTTTTTCGGAATTGGGATGATAACAAAGACTTCAACTTTAAGCTCAAAAAGATCACTTTTTGATTGAATTGGATGACAAAGTTTTGTTTAGAGATTTTGAGATGAGAATGGATTTGTGAAAGGCGGCAAAGGAAGAAAGTTGAGTGTTGAGACTTGAGAATCTGAAGGCGGTGTTTTTGTTTCAAGGAATTAAAAAGCTTAGCCTTTGAAGCATGTTAAGTGGCAAAAAGGCCAAGGTGGTGAAACACTGAAAACAAGACAAAATGGAATGATATATTTGTTTTAGACAAATATTTTGGAATTCATAAAAACTGGGAGATAGAAATAATCAAACTATGAACTCTTTTATTAAAAAAAAAAAAAAAAAGCAAAACATTCAATCTCCATCAAAAGAAAAGAAACCAGAAACCCAAGTCAATGATCGGTTTTGAATCAAAGGAAAGTTATAAAAGAGAGGAGACAAACACCAACCAAATTGTCAAAGTAGGTCTTGTTTTCATTTCAAAGATCGAAAGATGTAGAGAGAAGAATGACAGAAATAAGATATTAGGGTGTAGAAAATCCTGGAAGAGGCTGATACATGTGTGCGTGTCTCTTCGCGTGAGACTGACCACTTGACTTCAAATCGAGAGTGACCAGACACTTCTTTCTCTCTCTGGGTGTGTGGGGATGTGGGATTGGCTCGCGCTAGTTTATCTTTCTTTTCTGGACAGACCCACGAAAAAAAAAAAAGCCGTCCACTATTCTAGTGTAATTAATTAAGAGTAATCCCAAAGTTTTTTATTAAGAAAAATATTTGTGAACACTGCCATTAATATTCTTATTCTTATATCTTTTGGGAATGTTGTTATTCTTCTTGTTTTATATTGCTTTTCCTTTTTTTTTTTTTTTCTTTTTACAATTATTTGAGAATATATGAAGATAAGAAAGGAATGAGAATATCTGAAGTTGATAAAGAAGTTATAGGTATAGCATATGATATTTTTTTTACATAAACATTTAACAAAGGGGACACTTTTAAAATCAGAATTTGATTATTTTAGCACATCAATTAAACAATTACTATGTATATTTTTTATAAATTTAAATTTGATATATTATAAAAAATTAAATATTAACATCTCATTAATAAAATAAATCAAATTATGTCATTTTTATTAATAAAATTTTTTTAACATTAAATTTTTATATATTTATTTTAAGAGTTAATATTTATTAATTAATTAAATATTATTTTTTAATTTATCAATCGTATATAAAATTTATATATTAATAATATATTAAATATAAATTTATTTTTTATTGATAAAAAGCTATGAATGAAAAATCTAACGGGACACATTTTTATTTATGGAAGTGCAAAATAAGAAATATAAATATTTATCAATCAATTTTATAATATTCATTATAAATATACCATGAAAAAAATTAGAAAATAAGATAGATATTTGTCAAGGTATAAATAACATTCTGGACTAAACAACTTCGTCAATCCAAAAGTAACAAAATGAGACGTTTAATATGCTACCCTAGTCTACTTAAAAAAAATGTCTTTGTCACCTAAACAATGAAAAATGAAATGAGAAAAAAATAATTGGGAAAGCCTAATAGGTAATTAAGCTTAGCTCAAAGCTTAAAAATGCCAATTAGAAGAAGGAAAGTGGGCCATATTTTTAGATAAAGCAAAAACACTCATACCTGATGGGTTTCGGTTCGATTTAATTTTTTAGGATTGATTTTTTTTTTTAAATTAAAAATCGAGTCGGGTCAGGTCGGGTTGGGTGGCATGAAGAAAAAATTGAGATCGAGTTTTAGGTAAACCCGACCCTATCTGACCCGATATATATATAAATAATTTTTTAATTAATTTTTAATTATTTATTTATATATATATTTATATAATGATATTTTTAAATATTTAAATTTAAAAAATAATATTTTATATTTTTAAAAAATAATATTTTATTAATTTAAGTTCGGATCAGATCAGATACGATTTATATAATATCGAATCGGATTCAAGTATATAAAAAAAAAATTTCGAGTAAGATCGAGTTCAGGACGAACAAAATCCGTCCCGAACCTGACCGGATACCAACCCTACATATTTTATTATCAAACCCCTTTAACTTAGATAAAAAATAATAAACTTTCATAACATTTAATATATTCACAAATTATTATGTAATATTTAATATAAAATAGTATGAAATAATTAAGAATATTCTTAAATGAAATCACTAAGCCACAATCTTGATCAAGTAAGCCAACTAAGCCAAGCCAAAAAAGCCAACACTCCGAAGCCTGCGTGCACATAAAGCAAGTTCTCCCCTATGAGGCATCATTTTAGATTATAGTAGCGAATCAGGGCCGTTTATTGTGCACATGTTTGTATCAGAGCCGTGGAAATAGGAATATTAGCGCTATGGTGCATCACACCTCACGGCGACAGTAGCCAATGTCACCGGTGACACGTGGCGGAACCCCACTATCCGTTGCGAGAACTTTAGCGCTGGGTTGGGGTGACGTGATAGGGTGGCAGCTAAATCCAGTGAATCGAATCTGAAAGCGTACGAGGTGGACCCATTTAATCCGAAATTTATTGGTCTGTTGCGTGTCCTACAGTAACATTGGAGAAACACCCTTCTTACCGCCTGAAAAGGTTAAAGGAGATTTTTTACTGCAGTAAAATAAAATCTTTATACTTTATAATAACACACTTTATCCATGAACACTTTGAATGCTAATTTAACAATTTATATCGAAGCCAAATTTGATATAATCGAAAGTCAAGATCAATTCGATCAAAATTCATAATAATTTAAATTTAATATTCATATTAAAATTTTAATTTAAAATAATTTAATTAAAAAAATCAAATCTCAAATGATTTAAATAGGAAAGAAACTATGCTTAAAAAATTCAACATCAAAATAATCCAATTCAAATCATTCATTTGCCACTTTTAATTTAATAATGAGATAATTTTTAAAATGAGTAATAGACTATTTGATAAGCATGTAAAATTAGGTTTTTGAATTTTTTTTGTAAAAGCTTTCTGAAAATATTTGAAACATAAATTTCCCTTTTCAAACAAAAAAAAAAATCCCCCACTTATCTTGAATTGGGCAAATCCTTTTTCCTTAATTGATTATGTCAAAAAATTACTGGATTTATTTATTGAAAAGATTTTCATTAGAGAAATCTGTAAGTGATTGAACAATGTGATGTTAAGCTATGTACTGATCATCTTTTAGATGCATGCTTAAGAAATCAATTTTTGAAGTATTAATGATCATCTTTTTCTCTGAGAGCATTATCTCATACAGTTGAATAATTTATTGAAACTTATTCAATAACTATGTATGAGATAATCACTTTCTCAACCTTAAAAATCAAAATCAAACTCAAGTTCCACATCTCAAAACCCTACACTACAATCAGATCAAAAATCTGTACAATTTATGATTTCTCATACACAAATCCTTCCAGAAATATTTCACCATATGGCTTAAAACAATCTCCCTCAATTCTCTTTTGAAGATATTTTTATCTCTATCTTTGAGATTGAGATTGAATCTCATATGAACATTGTCAATTCAGATGACAGTGTGATTTTGGCTAAAATGTAAATTTAAATTTTTTAAAAAATAATATAAATATATTATGTTATTTTAAATATTGAAAGGTAAAAGTCTTAGGATCAAATGATAAAAGTTTATCAACATCTTTATGGGTACAAATAATTAAAAATTTTATTTTTTTTAAATAAAAATTTGATTTTAAATTTTATGAATAAAAAATATAAATATTAAAATAGCTTGATTCTTTTATAAGATTTAATCTATTAGACTATAATAACTCAAAGTAATTTTCGGATTCTATAAATAAATAAATAAATAAAGGTTTGATTAAGGGAATGGAGACATCGACGGAAAAGATTGCATCAAGAAAGAGAGCGAGTGTGCATAAATGATGGGGAGTAGGCAGGCATGATCTGGGGCCCAAGAGGCCCACAAAGAAAGCGTAGGTTCCAGTAAAAAGTCCTGTCCCGTCCATGTCTCTCCCGCATGCAACCCGGCTCAAATGGCGTCCCTCAAATCTTTCCACCGGATTCAGCGCTTGGGTTTTACTTTTATTTTTTTGAGGCTTTTTATTATTGTTGAAACCACTTATTTAAAGGGTTATCACTCATCAAGTGTTTATTATATTCTAATTGAGATAATGAATAAATTAACATAATAATTATTCAATAATCACATGCCTAATAATATAAAATAAATTTATTATACATTCGAACATATATTTAATTAATAATAAAAAATAATAAATATATCTGTTTTTTTATTTTAATAATAAAACTAAAATATCATTCCTTTCACATAAAAAAAGTAATAATCATTGTATAAGATAATATAACTCATATTATACATATACACCATATCAAATGTTGAAATATAATTTTTAACTATATTTATGATTAAAAAAAAGTCAAAAGCATGTATAAATGGGATCTCCTCCTCACTTAGGTATGAGAAAAAAATTTATAAATTTAAAAATGATTCGAAAATATAATATTAAGTTCAATTCGAATTAAGTTTGAATATTAAATATATTTATATTAAATTTGAATTGAGAGATAAAAAATAAAAAAAATGAATCGAACTGAATTATATATTTTAATTTTTATTTATATTTTAAAATTTATAAAATAAAAAATAATTTTATATCAAAATTTATTTAAATATATTAAAATAATATATAAAAATTATAAATTATAAATCGAATCAATAAAATTTGATTCATTTTAATTTGGATAAAATAAAAATTTGATTTGAATTTTAAAATTTCATAATATTATATAATATTTTAAAAAAATCAAACCGAATCCAATTTGAATCATTTTCTTCATATCCCACTGTTTATTTTATTCCATTCCGTTCTTCTAAGAAAAGTTACATGCAATTATACACCATATAATAACTTAAAGGCTTGTTTGGTTAAAAAGACGAAAAAAAAAAAAAGATGGAAAACTTATTATTATAATTACTTTTTAAGTAACTTAATCATTAAATTAAAATTTTTTTTCATATTTCTTATAAAGTCATAGAGAGAATTTTAGTTAGGCATCCCAAGGGATGCAGCGAAAAAAAACCTGGATTTGATTTCTTATTTCTAGATTTAGCATCTGTACAAAAATTTAGTGGGAATGCAGAAAAACTTTTGACATTTGAGATGCAAAGAGGCAGAATAGTTGGCAAAACCCTGAGTTTTTAATCAAAAAAACCCAACTGAATTAATCCATGTCCTGATATTCTGTGAAGGGATCAATTCTGAGGAGAATCATATTAAAAATTAAAGATGTTATTCCTCATCGCTGGCTATTCTTCCTTCATGTTCTTGTCTTTTTATATTTGATGTCCACCCCAAAAACGTTCGGAAAAAAAAAAAAGTGATGCCTATAAGTTTATTATTACGAATGATTTTGAGAGAGTACGATTTAATTTTAACATCGGTTTGATACATTTAAAATTTGATTTTGGAAATATTTTTCACGAATTGACAAGAAAAAATATTTCTAAAGGGAATCAATCTGAGTGTTTCTTACAGGCTTATGAAAATCTTATTATGCTCCTTATATTCTAAAAGATGCTGTTTTGTTTTCAACCGTCATATTGTTCTTATGCAGATTCGATGCCTTAAAGCTTTATAATTTGGGATTTAAATGAATAATGTAATGCACTTGGCAACATGTGTCAACAACATCAAGTATGAACATGTCAAAGAATATAAGAGCAAAAATTCCACTTGGCTTCCACAATTTGCCAAAAAATGAAGACGGAATGAAATTTACAAGCATTTCATCTTTAGAGCAAAATTAGTGAAAAGAGTTGAAGACTTTTTTGCAGAGAAAATATTCACAAAATTGACAAAATTATTAATGTGATAGTAATGTCCATAGCTGACAGACTCTCATCAGCTTCAAATTTTAAGAAGAAGAAAATTATTGCAGGTAATAGAATTGAAAGTTTTTAAACATAGTAACCTGTAACTGTAAACCCTCTTCCAATTACCTCCCCGCCGTAGAACCAGGCAAAGCACTCAACTCCAATCAGAGCAGCCATGCTAGCATTTTCAATGTTCCATGCTTCCTTGGTCATTAAAAATTGTTTGAGGGAATCAAGCTCTTTCCAGAACGCCTCTTGTCGTCTAGGAATACTGCATATACATCAGACTGAACATTAAAAGAGGTGAACAACCACTAGGTTAAGCCTGGATTGTTTATCCTATGGAACTTGTCACCAATTTGCCATATCCAGTCAGATTTCAAGTCCCCCAAAGTGAAGGAAATCAGACCAGTTATTAGCCAATAACAGGAAAGGATTAAAGACCTGGATATCTGCAATCAATAACACAAAACTGATATCTGCGTCAAGAAATTCTACTATTTATGGAATACCACGTTACCAATGCATATCAGTCTTGCCCCTGTTTCTCTTAAATGACCATAAGTTGAAGGGATATAGGAGGTCATTGCTACAGATTTTCTAAGCCGATTTTCGGTTTTATTTATCTAGCATTCCTCATTATCAGGACCATATCAAGCAAGTTAGAGAATCAATGTCTATGGAGGTGGTCTTATACTGTTATGATAATGTAAAAACTTGCCAATTAAGCATATATTCACGGACCTACCATGAATTTGTTGGAAAATTTCTGCAATAAACTTCTGTGCTTGAGTGAAAAGTGAAAAGGGCTACCATTTAAAGCAATATAAAGGAAAAAATATTCCAATATATATGCGGAAGAAAAGAAAGTACCTGGCAAGTCGAGTATAAAACAATTGTTTAGCTAACAATTGGCTTGTCTCTATACTGGATGGTTCCTTGATGTATTGCTTGTTTCGCTCCATCAACTCCTTGTAGTAGGAACCTCCATTCTTGGTCACAAGCTGTGAAAATTGAGCTGCCTTTGTTTGCAACTGTTGAAACTTTGACGCCATCTGCAATTCCTTAAAATAACCATCAGAATTGGTCAAGAAAATGCATTAAAACAATACTTACAATTCTACAAGAAGAACAAAATGCAATAGTGACCATTTCTAAAGAAATTGTAAAAAAAAAAAATCAAAGGAAGAACATAGATAAGTGTAAGCAAAATACCTCCGCTTTCAAGTAAAGTTTTTCTTTGTTTTTTTATTTTTTATATATTTCTACTTTTTGGAGAAAATGTGAAGTCTCAACTGTGTGAATTTAGGAGTGACCTCACTGATGTGAAGCCATGGAACTAGGGGGAGGTTAGCTATTTACTTTGAAATTTTCTTTGAAGTATTCAAACGGTAATTAAGTAATTTTGCAGATATAACATTGTTATGCTTTGGATACAAGTCTCCCAATTTATATGTGGGCCTCCAGGGAACATCAGATTTCTCCAAGATCGGTGGAGAGTAATCGATCTTTGGCGTTTGAACTTGAGAACATCCATTTGTAATTGAAACTGGGTTCGAATGCACTTGGAGGAGAAGATTATATACTTTAACTCTGTTAATAATAATCACTTAGTAAAGCATTAGACTTCAATTTCAGTGACTAAACTTAAAGTAGATTTATAATTGAAGTTGAATGAGGGCAAAATTAAAACTTTTCTTTAACTTATGGTAATTACATATTATTATAAAGAAAAAAAAAAGAGTACTGAAACCAATATTACACTAGCCCAACCCCAACCCAAGCTACATTGCTTTTCACAAGACGCTTTTAACCGAAGGATTCAATAAATAAATAAGGAAAAAAGGGGGGTAGAGGAGAGAACCAGAACAGAAACATCAACCTAGTTGCAAATACAAAACACCCTTTTCACCAAATCGTTTTTAAGTTGGTATTTGGAGTCAAAACTAAAATGTCACTTGGCAGACCTAGTGACGAAAAGCAAAAAGGATAGATTCATCTAAACTAAAGGATGAAGGTCCAAACATGACAAAAGAATCAATAAAAAAATTGATGCACTGCAAGTTTTTAACAGCTCCTTCCCACCTTGATTTTTGAGTAAAAAACTACATTTTACCTTAAACCTAGTGGCAAATAGGGAACATCCTTTAGTTTTGTTGTAGGTGAGCTACAATCACATTTTCTGCTAACTTCAACCCAACACAAATCTTGAAACATTACTCCATCTTCTATTTTAAAAGAAGATAGGCTAGGGTGTAAAAAAAGAATTAAGAGAAAAGGCAAAAGAAATTTTTGGGGTTTGGGAGATGGGGGTGATAAAAAGAGAATTAAGCTGCCAACCCAGGAACAAAGACAGGTTGCTTCCTCATGGATCTGTGACAAGCCATTTCTGGACCTTGATAATATAACATGTGCTATGGATTTAGGGGCACCGGAATTATGAGACTCAATGCAGTCTTTAACTCGCTGGTTCGCGGGAAAAGGAAAAGGAGCTTTCGCCATCAGCAACCCATAAAAGTTAACCAAGCAAATACATTGCTTCTTGGATCATCTTTAAGCATAGTACACGTACAAGCTGTTTGCAGCGGCACAGGCAATCGAGTTTTCAGTTGGGTGCCATGCTAGGTGCAGCAACTTTGTTGTGAAATCAAAAGAATTTCCATTTGCATCAACTCCGGGGGTTTCTGGTCCTGATACGACAAAGTCACCAACATAAAAGCATTTGAGTACAACCAAGAACTGAAAGAATTCATTTAACTCCCCTCTCCCTGCACACCAAGGAGTTGAGCAAGAAAATAATCAAAAATTAAGGAAACAAATGAACACTAAATCATTACCTCGTCTGACAACACGTGTGATACTGCTTAGGGATCTGGAAGGCCTTGAGGGAGTCTGAACTTGTCTCCTGGATAGTTATAGGGATGTTTATAACTACTAACATCATTACGGAAATCATAATTCACGGCACTTTTAATCTTTTACTTTGCTTGAGTGATTTTTTTTTTTTTTTTGGAAAGGCCCTGGTGTGAAAATTTTACCTCATTGGATTTTTGGTGGCTTCCAAAGTTGTTGCCTCCGAGCTTCCAGATGCACAACCAAATACACGGAATAGATTGCTGAGATCAGAGGGGAAATTTATATTTTGTTACATGGAAGAAGATAACGGCAACAACAAAAAGTTAAGAGACAGACTTTTGCTCAAAAACAAACCTGTAGGAACCTGTTGCCACTCGCAATCCATCACCACTTAGGCAACATTCAAATTTGTCAAATATTGAATCATTTTCATACAAATCACACAGCTGAAACAATTAAAGAATGCAATAATCAGTTCAGACACAGCACAACACAGAAATGATTAATTTCATCATCTCTTTCAGAGCATAGAAATCATACCTTAGGTCTTAAATATTCATGAACCTGGAAAGTTGCAACTGGACCTGAATCCATATTAATGTCCCACAACTGACAATCGAGTGATACATAATCAAGTTAGATGACAAGTCCTAAAATACCCATTAAACAAGTAGGAAACATCAAATGTATATGATATCAAGAACACGATCAATAATAAAAGTTTAAAACCACCATCAGAAGTCTTACAGCTGAAAATAAGTAGATACTGATTTAAATTAACGATATTAAGAGTGATTTAGGTTAAGTATGTTCAAAGATAAAAAAATTAAAACACAATGGCATGCAATTGATTCAAACAGAGAATGAGGAAGAAAATTACAAACAGCAATTTACTCTAAAATGATTGAACTTGTATATTCATGCTAAGTACTGAAAAACAAAATTGTTTGACTATCTAAGTCCAAAACGCCAACAAGTCAAATTGTTGTTTCCATTTTAATCACTTCGTGTTGAATGTTGTATATTCATGCTAAGTACTGAACAGAAGATATCACATCATAACATTTGCCCTCACCCCCCATCCCCACCTTTTTCATATCTTCATGATAAGCTCTTTACAAGAAAAACAAAATTGTTTGACTATCTGAGTCCAAAATGCCAACAAGCCAAATTGTTGTTTCCATTTTAATCACTTCGTGTTGAATGTTTCAAACTAGAATGTTTTTATCAGACAGATATTTGCAGCAAAAGGTCATCACAGCTGCACATTACATAATACCAATTGCAGTCAAATCCTTTCAATGTCTTACAGAGTATGGTGACAGATTATTCAGTCAAGGATTAAATGGCACAAGAAGTCATTAGGGCATGCTTAAGAAGAATTACATACATAATGTGATGCTCATGCAATGCAAAGAATAATTATACATATCAATAGCTAAAACAAGAAAAGAAAACAAAGCAAAACCAGAAGAAAAAGAAACAAAGCCAAACCTTAAGAGTCATGTAATCACGGCTAAGTATATATCTCCCATCCTTCGCAAATTTAATATCTGAGATTGAGGCAATTATCTCTGTAAAAAATGATCTAGAACTAGGTGCCTCCGGTTCTTCAAACCTGTTACCATAGAATAGTACTCATTATTCAGAAAGGATACTGAAAGCAAATAGCAAATTTATACTTCAAACCTGTTACATGACTCACATATGAGGATCTATAGCATGGTATTTTTGGTGGAAATGTAAGTAAATTCAACAAAGAAATGAAAATGGTAAAACACTTACAATTTGGTGTGAGAATCACACAAAGCTGACTGCCGCAAATCAATGAGGCGAATTGAGCCCTTTGAACTACTATATGCTAGCATATTACAGTGGGTAGGGTGAAACTCTGCTGATGTGATAACCTCTGCAAAGATAACATAGCAAAAGTTCAACCCTTACTTTTGCAAATTTATTTTGCAGCACTGAAGCAGCAAATACTTCTTAAGTAGTGAAAGCAGCACAGAAAAGTAACAATATGCTAAGAGGCTTACCAGTTAGATCTTCCATGTTAGCTGGCTTTACATCAACGATATTGAAACTTTGATTGCTAATGTCCAAGTTCCAAAGATTTATACGTAAATCATCAGCTGATATAAAAGTTTCACCATCACTAGGAAACATAAGAGAGAGAGAGAGAGAGAGAGAGAGTCAGTATACCTGGCAAATCAAACTAATAATGAAAAGTAAAAAACTGAAACAGGATGTGTTTTCAAACACACACATGCTTGTCATACAAGGCATACTATAATCCAATAAGATATAAAATGCACACACGCCTGAAGCTTTAATACTATAATATCATCATAAGGATTTCCAAACAAATTACATGAATAAGAATAAAGATAGTGCAGAAAACATGGTGTGCAGACAATCCAACTTCAAGACAAGTACTATATAATTCTCTGATAAAATATTAATCCTTCTAGATTCAAATGTTTAGCATGAGCTAAAATCTTTAATGCTTCAAGGGTTGCATGGCATAAAGCATGATCAGTTGATAAAGCTAACTAACCATATTCTCATGCAAAATGAGAATGTGATGGCTCAGAGGCCTACAAAAGAGATAATTCCTGAAGAAAGCTCCGTCCATAGCATTTAAGATCCAATGATTTAGAAGTTCTCCATTTTTCTCAACATTATTAATCAGCCTTTCATTTCTAAAGCAAGAAGACTGACAGCTTCTTGCTTGGACATGACAACACAACAAGTTCAGTAACAGAATGTTATTAGGGAGGAATCAGGATTCATTATATCATTACTTAAATAATCAATCAGCCTTGATCATTATAACTTGAGAATCGTATGCTTCACAAAAGCACTAAGTTTGAACAGAAAAAGAAAAAAAAACTAGAAGCCCAATTAATGCCAGTTTTAATCTCTACTCCAATCTAGAACCTAAAATTAGATGACATCACTTTCTCAATAATCACCTAAGAATAATACTGCTAACGACAAAAAATCAACAAAAATACAATATATAGGTTAGGCAATTATCAGATTGAAGGGCATTCAAGTGTCTGAGGTGACTTTTCTTCCTTTAGAGAAGAAAAAAGTAAGATGCATGATTCTACTACATATTATCCAGGAAAAAGAAATCATACATCCTCTTTGATTGGTTTTCAAATAAATCCAAATATAGGAAGTCAAAGCACAACAAAATTGTAATAAGAAAAGTGAATAGCTACCTGTTATTTGAAATAGAATTGATGTGATAATCATGAGCATGGGCATAAACCCGTCGACTTCTAGCCACTAGGCTGGTCTCCTGACTTGTTACCTAGATATAGTAAAGGTTAAAGGTTAGTGCGGAGCAACAGACCAAGAAGCATTTAGACAATAAAAAATGTCCCTGATATTCAACAACAAAGTTCTAACCCTCCCCCCATCCAAAAAAAGGAGAAAGAACAACCAAGTGGTCTTCCAAGGACTTGTGCGACTTATGGTCGTGAAGGCCCCAGTCATCCAAAAAGATGAAGAGCAGAAAGTGGCAGATTCCTAGATGATAATATATAACAGGATCTAAACTCTAACAGTATATTTTACATAAAAACATGGAAGTCCATATTTGTAGAAATGATGTAGAATATGATATAAATGAAAAAACTAATCTCATTTGCCTTCACCACCAAAAAGGAGACAAAGAATCATGGGCTTCGCCCCTAATTCAGTTAGGCATCAAAGTGCAAGTCCTATACCTAGTTGATGTACTGCACCTGGGAAACATTGGTTGCTCTTACCCTACTTTGCACTTGCATAGGACTTGCCCCTAATTGTATAGGATATAAAGTTAGTCCTACACGATTTAAAAGTTTTTATCAACCTTGCTAACCTTGAGCTCATATAATTCAAAAGTTTTCATTAACCTTGCTTTAAAAAGTTTTTGTTAAAGCTCATATAGTTCAAATGTATTTAAATTTTAGCCTTGAAGTTCATTACAGCGAGCATATAAAATGTGTAGAGTACAACTACCACAGGTAAACGCAACGATGAAAGGCCTCCTGGTGGGAAAGAAAAGTCATCGCTCAAATTGTTATAGGATCTGTCAGGGGAGCCTCCATTTGCAAGAAAAGGTTTGGGGCTACTTGAATTACTTGAACTAGCAATGCTGCCATTTCCTACAGCTTTTGATGGGTCCAAATTCATGTCAGATATTTTCTTGACCTTCTTTTCTTGTACCTGTTGAACCCTCGAACAGCAGACAAATAAGTGGGTTTAAAGGAAAGGACAGAGGTATCCACAAATCATAACATCAATCATTAAATATACTTAACACCAATGCTTAGAAGAATAGATAGACTAAAATGAAAAATATTACCAAGCGAGTTTTACTCGTCTAACCATTTCATAGGAAGTATTTTACAGACCATTCTATCTATACACCACTAACTTTACAGTGGTTTTACGGAACATATTCCATTATAATTGCATGAACATACTAAAATACTAGCCACTACTTATTGCAAACAAAGTGTTCATATGGACAATCTACAATCAACTGAAAGGAGACACAGTTAAGACAGTAGTTACAACACAAATTTCCTTCCTACCTTCCAAAACTTGATGGTTTTATCATTGGTGGAAAGCAGAAACAAGGCACTGTTGGCTGTTTGGCACCATCTGATTTTGTTGATTTTTTCCTCTATTTCCAAGCTCTTGAGATAGTCAAACTGAAAAAAAAAAAATTTCAGACAAAGATATGGGACAAAAATTGAGCCTAGTGGGAAACAAGTGTTTCTGTAGTTGTGTGCGTGTGCATGTGCATGTATACTGCATCAAAAAGCGAAGAGAGAGCACCTCAGGTTCGTGGCTCTGGAACTCCGTCTTGTAACGAAACTCAGGATGCCGACCAATTGGATAATCCATTCTCTCGAGATCCCTTCTGGATACACCATGCTACAATTTGTAGTAAAATAAGTTATTATGAAGTTGCAATCCAAGAAAAACACTAACGTAATATATTAACATCAGAGAAGCTAGCAGAACCCACATCCTTTGTATCTGTCCTCTCAAAGAGAACAACCCGGCCCCCACGGTCACCAGTGGCAAGATGATCCCCAGTTTTATCAAATTCAATTGCTGAAATAATATCAACTGCAGGAGGAAACAAATTCTTAAGATAATACATTGTACTGCCAGTAAGAGTAATGGTGAAATTTTGTCAAGATTGCCTTTCTATATAGAAACTGCATTGCCTGGGAAGAAGCCCATATCTTTTTTCTTTCTATCGATAAATCACTACTCTCTTGACATAATTTTTGTTTTCTACACTACATTTTTCTCTCTGAAAAAAAAAAGGTTAATATTTGATAGAATGTACACTATTTCTGCCATGCCCTACCAAGAATAATCCACAGCCATCGTAATCAACATTCCTATCACCTTTGCATCACTATTATTCTAGCAAGCTTAAGAACAATGTCATTGTGGAAATGACAAGCTTAATTTGGAGAGACAATAAGAATAAAAAGAGAACTACTAGACAGCAAGTGACAAGCTCTAAGAGTATCAGAAAGTCCAAGATAGTTCCTTTCCAAAAAATCCTTGCCAGAGACTGATTCATTGGTTTTCCAGAACTCAAAATAGAATTTTGCAATGTTTAGCTAAACTATGAGTTATTGTTGACAGAAAATAATTGGCAATTCCACCAGAATCAACAAAAATGTTTCTGAAAGCTATCAATCTCTCACTGAATCCAACCTGAACTATTGCCAGGCATGACCTTTTCATAATGCTATTCATATGTGCAAATTGTGTCAAAGACCAAATCCTTTGTATAGATAAGCATAAATGTTGCAAGATCAGACCTCCCAAACTTTTCTAGAAGCAAAAAGATAGCCATACCAGCCATCCAAATTCTCCACCGACTGTCAGTCCAAAAATCCACAATTAAAGAAGCCATAAAATCACAGCCATACTTTTCTGGGTTATTTTTCAATAATTTACCTGAAAGGACTTTTTAATCTTAATGAATCAGTCTTATAGACAAAACCAAAATGGTCTATTACGGCTACTTCCTCCAAAAAATAAGTAACCAGCTCGTTTAGTATCATTGAGAATTCACTTTTGATGTCTTCTTAACTCATTGCTCATTGACTAATTATGTCCTTTAACATTATTGGTTTTCATCAAACATCATTGAACCATCTTAATTCTTTGGCAACTTCCTCGGATCTTGCTCTCCACACTTCTATTTCAAGCTTCCACAAACTCATTACTTTTCTTAGCCATCGGTTCCTAAGGATGTTATCAATTTAAGCGCCCAACAATAATCTGCAGTTTCTACATCAAAGCCCTTTCGTATCATACTAGCTTGTTCTTATAGTGTCATTAAACTGACCATTATCAAGCTAGTTCTAACACTTTTTCATCATAACCTAGGGTCTCTATTAATCTGTTTCAGTATAAGTTAAATATTTTAATGTTTACCCACATTATACTTGCACAGGAACTCAACTTGTTAAGCCAAGTTTCACTATTGACTTGCTGAACTGAACAATATGAATTTAAACTGAGTATCTAGAAGGTAAAAAATCTACCAATCACTAAACTATATCTTTCTAGGAAGCACCATACAATCTTAAATCATTCAACTCATAATCTAACCCACTTTCTGCCTGTCCCGTTTACAAGGAAGTTTGCCATAATACAACCAATTCCTATCAGACATAAACCACCACCAAATAAACCCAGGAATTTGCAAAATATAGCTGACTTTAACCCCCCCCCCCCCCCCCCCCCCCCCCCAAGATCATACAAATAGTAAACCCATGCCACATCAATGTTGTCATCCATCCATGGGATAAGAGTTAAGTGACATGAACTCGAAAAGCATATTCTATCTCCATCCTAACAAAGTGATAATAGCCAGATTCCAATTTCAATTCAGTTTTCAATACTGTTAATCAATTGACATGTACTAAAACCCACTACCACAAAATAGGTAAAAAAATGATTAAAGATCCAAACGACTGCCATTAACCGAAAAAAGGGCAAAACTTGTTGTGCATGCACCATCACTAACTTCACCAAGTTCATTTCCACACTACCTTTTCTCCCAGAAAACTAACACCCAGAAATGATTCAAAGTGTTATTTGGACACAAAACCACTATTTTTCCCAAATCAAAGCCAAAGTCCAAAACAAACAAGTCTCAAAATTTCTCATACCCATTAACCTAAACAACAATTACTCAATAACCCATGATCCCAAATAGATCCAAAACACCAGAATAAACCCTAATTCCAATAGAACCAACAAATTACCAATTGGATCCAAAAACAATGAGTTTACCTTCTTGAACTTCTTCTCCAGCGGTTCGTTCACCAAATACCTGAGAGAATTTCCAATCTAGCAGCTGTGGCGGGCCCGGCGGAGCTGCGACCACCTCATCGCCTCCGTTCATTTCTCTCTCTCTCTCTCTTTCTCTCTCCTTCTCTCTTTTTGGTTTATCTCTGCCTGTATTTTTTACTGTCTGATAATCAATCTTAAAAATGGAAAATCTAACGGCCTAGATTCAACCACACTCCCAGAATCAAATAAAAGATCGCGTCTTGAGTTAGTTTTTTTTCTTTTTTTCCTTTTTCTTCCGTCTTAAATTCGAAAGGAAAAAAATGAAATATAGAGACAAACAACAAAGACCCAAAATTGCTCCCTCTTCTTAAAAATTATATAAATTAAAAAAAAAAAAAAAACTTTTCCTATCTTTTTCTCTTTCTGGGGAAGGACAAATTTGGGATTTTAGATTTCTTAAAGGATTGAAATGACCGAGTTGGAAAAAAAATACTCTCTATTTTATAATTTGTGAATGTGATAGCGACGGACTGTGACTTTTTCTGTTTTGACTCGACAAGCGCCTTTTGATTGAAGGAGGGTGCGGGTGATTTTGAGAGGGTGAGATTTTACGGAAAGTGGGACTATTTGCACACCACCCTTTTCACTTCACATCTTTTTTTTTTTATAAGTAAAGTTAGTTAATTATTTTTTTATATAAATTTTTAAAAAGTTTTAAAAGTATTTTGAAGTTGAATTTTTTGAAATTTTTTTAAAATTTTGAATCACAACTAAATATTTTAATATAAAATCAAACGAAAAAGTAAAAAAAATAAATGATTTATCTTTGATTTTATATTTTTTTACTTCAAATTAATGAAAATTTTAAATTTTTTTTATTTTTAAGAACTTCAAAATTTTTTTTATTTTTTTGTTTAATTTTATATTTAATTTCGTATGATATATTTTAAAACTTTTAAAATAAATTTATGAAAAAATTTAAAAATTTTCATAAATAAATTTTCGAATGTTTTTAACAACTTTTAAAATTTTCCAAAATTGTTAAAAACTTTTGAAAATTTATTTGAAGGAAAAAATAATTAAATAATTTCATAAAAAAAAAAATTGAAGTGTAAAGAGAATACCATGGGATACAAATAGTCCCACTTTTTTTATGAATTGTTAAGTGGTATGAAATGGCATTGTTGTCACTGACTTTAAATCCTTCGGTGAAATTTGGGACCGTCCGATTAAAGAGATTGGGAAGTCAAGTGATCAGACGGCAAGAGATGAACTAAGAGGTAGGGGAGTGGAGCATAGTTTTTCTTTCTTTAGTATGAAATCATTTTCTTTGTTAGGAGGTTTGATGGAGATTGCATGCCAAAAACAAAATATATAAAAAACATATAAAAAATATTTGATCTTTATTTTTTTATTATGGATAAGATGTTTTTAGATTTATCGGATACTTTGAATTTTTAAATAAGAAAAAAAGTTTTTAAGTTCACAATTAAACTCCATTCCAAAATCATTAAAAAGAAATAAATTCTAAATAATTTTCTATTTCTTACATCTTTTTGATGAGGAAATAATTTTATAAGGTATGGTTACTAGTGTTATTTAGTCATGTGGACATCAATTAGTAGATGGGGAATTCACTAATGAATTGCATTTATTACATTAATGTTTTCTAGTGGCATAATTAGACAAAAATTAATTTAAGGACATGATAAGAATGAGTGCAACTTTTGATCTACGCTCTATCTATAGTTTTGGAGGATTTAATATCAAGGCTGAAATTTTAAAATTAAAGTTCCTTTTTTAAACATTGACGTGAATATTTTAATCTCGATAAGTAAGATTAAAAAGTTAACATATGTTAATTAATTAATTAATTAAATTTTTAATATGTATAAATATATCCTAACTAGAATAGTTGTGAATCCTTGTAGGAGATAATTTTTCAATTACATGACTATGAGATGCATGCATGGTAAGCAAATGTTTGCCACTTTTTTTTTTTTTTTCTATACAATGCCATTTGCATTAAATTAAAAAAAAATAAATTACTTTTTTTTGTTTTCTAAATTTTTTGGTAAGTGATGCAATAAAAAACAACCATGTAATTACAAAACAAGATTGAATGTCTGAGAGACAGAGAGTGAGAGTTTACCTGGAACATGGCCAAAGAAAACAACCTTCCCCTTTTCCTTCTTTTTCCTGTTTAGACCTAACTATAAAACCCAAGAAATTAAAACCTTTCTTCGACCCTTTTTGGAGCTTCTGAATGAGCAACACGTAGACTTTCCCAATTGCATGGGGCCCCAAAGCAACCATTTTCCTAGCACATTCCAGGAAAAACCATGATGAGAATTGAGAGACGCTGCTTAGGACCTAAAATGATCAAAACTTCTTTCGGGTCCAATTTGCAAGGTTGAAGATAAATCCCTGGTTTTCCTCTCTTAGACACATTGGTCAGATTACATAAAGAAAAAAGTGGCACTTTCTCATCTTATTTCCCCATTTAATCCATCTATATCAAGGTTGGAAGTTAGAATTTCAAATTTTTTTTAAAACGAAAATATATCGTCGGATTACGATAATTATTGAATGTTCATGGCTTGTTTGATTTATGAAAATGATAGAATAAGAATACAATAGTTCCTTGGTTCCCTTTGGCATGATTTTTTTTGTCCATATCAATTAACACGTAGTCAAGTAAAGGCAAATTTACAGTCCCATAATTCCTGTCAGCATCAGAACTGAACACCATTTTTGTTTTTCACGTTTTGGGCCATTGGCACAGTTTAACAGGGCTTTTGGAGTGACCAGACCCTAGAAAAAAGCCCAATCTCAATTATGATTACCCGAATTTGACTCTCACACATGCCCATAACATGTTACCCCCTTTCACGCCAGTTTACCCCAATGATCCGCTGACCAAAAGTGATTGACCACATAATCCAAACAAAGTCATCAATTCAAGCGGATAGTATTGCTTGTACAATAAGATTTTTTTCAAGCAGTTGTATCAGATTAGTATGTAATTTCAAGGAAGCTTGCAGAAAAAAAAATTAATAAAAGGAATTCTTGTGCCTGTTTCCAACTTAAAAACTCAAAAAATCCATTGTTTATAACCAAAAAGCCCTTTTTCTGTCTATAAACACTCCTTTGTAACGTTTGAGTTTTCAATGTATTCAGAAGCAAAGAGATTTGCATTGCATTATTTCTTTTGTTTTTTTGACCCCCATACATTTCTTCCCCAACATTAGTGTTTTGATAGTACTATCTAATTGATTATGGTTTAATTCCTTATTAGGGTGTTGTGATTGAAAGGATCCAAGCTTCACTATGGATGGATAAGGAGAAGAAAACAATAATCTACCTTGGAGATGGGATGGGTGATTTCTGCCCAAGTGTGAAGCTTGGAGATGGAGATTACTTTTGTGATGCCAAGAAAGGATTTCCCAGTTTGGGACTTGATTTGCAAAAACAGGAGGCTAATAAAAGCCGATGTTTGCGAATGGAGCAATGGAAAGGAGTTTGAGCACGTGTTGCTCCTCCTTATTAGCAGGATTTCCATTGAAAAAAACAACAATGCTGACAATACTGCTCAGCTGTATTCAGATTGCAAACTACAAACAATATTGCAAAATGCAAATTCATTAGAATTCACTAAAGATTATCCTAGTTAAAAATATGAATCAGATTATATATGATCGTAAACTTACTAGATATTATCTTTTGAAGGTAGATACATAATATACTTAAATCAGATTATGTATGATGCTTAAATATAATTTCATGAATCTATCGAAGTATTTTTTCTAATAAAAAAGACACCTCTATTTTAATCATCACTTCATCAAAAGCCAATGTGAGTAGGAAATGTTATCATAATGTTCCAATATATATATAAAACAAAGAGGAAATGGGGATGCCATTTTTTTGACACAGCATTTATGGATTTGTTTTTGGATCAAGAATTATCATAAAAACCTGTCAACAATATATATTCGTCTCTAAAGTAGAAAGCCCCCAATTCTCAAATATCCAATGTGTTCATAAAGTCAAGCAAATGCTCTTTAAAGAATGAAAAATGGTGATCAATTCGTATCCTACCTAAAGACTTCAATGACCTAATTAATTGACCTTGAAGAATGTTTTAATTTTATTTTGTTTCTTTCACGTGGATCTTGTTGTAACATTCTTTTCACGTATAAATGGTAATTAATTAGTTTTTCCATTTACTTTTTAGCGCAAATTGTTTCTTGCAATAATTTAATACTTTTTAGTGTTAACTCATTTCTTTGTCTTGTAATAATAAGAACTATTCCTTGATGCAGACAATTTGCACTAACTCAAACAGATGGTTAGTGGCAATAGTTAATTTTTATCACGACTTTTTCCATTTAACTTTGACTACATCAACTCAAGGAGATGTTTTAGCATTGGTTACTCCAACTAAAATCATTGAGTTGGGAATTAATGTTTTCATTTTGTTGTAAAGGGTTGGGAACTTGAGCTGGTGATTGGTACAATGAGCATGAATTATAATTATTGTCAGTATTCTTGTCAAAATACTTTCTTATCATAATTATAGCCTTCCTTTATTCATATAGAAATAATTGGAACAAAGAGCTTGAATTTTATAAATTATCATTGATTCCACTTCCTTCCCATAGGTCAATACTAACAGCTCACGGAAGACCTAGAAAATTTTCTGTTCAAGATAAAAACAATGTCTTAGTGTTGTTACACACCCCGGGCTTGCTCTTATTGTCATGCCAGTGCATTTCTTCTGATCATTGATTACTGCTAAAATTTTGATAGGAATTTCTCCTGCAACTTGACCAATATTCAGCTACTAGCTTAGAAAAGGAAGAGTTTGTCTCCATAAGGTTTTAGGGCTCATCATACTCCAGCAATTTACCTGCAGATATTATCAGGAAATATTTCCATAATTAGTTGATTTATCAGAAGCCAAGTGACGGCAGTCCACCACAATAACTTTGAACAAAATAATAATGTGGCAGTAATGTGATTATTATTGGGATCTGTTGATTGATGTTCGAAGTAGAAACCAAGAGGTTACCATAGGAGAGGACCATCACCATGTCACTGTCTATAATGGTTGGAACTCTATGAGCTACTGTCTGATAATTCTTTGCAAAATGGCATCTGTTGCAGAGTCTATTGAAGCAGTGGCTTCATCTAGGACCAGAATTTTATTTCTTTTCAAGAGAACTCTTCCGAGGCAAAGGAGTTGTCGCTGCCCAACACTCCAATTCTCACCTTCATCACTCACTGTCAATCCAACAACAACAAAATGACAATCTTATCTATACATTCCCTACCCCAAGAAAATAGTCATTAAATTACAACTCACCAGATGAATCTAGCTTGTTTGGCAGGCCGCCGATTGTTGTCTTAAGTTGACACTTCTTCAAAGCCTGCACAGGAACATTTGGTAAATAAAAAGAGTCAAAAA